CTCAGATTTACCCCTGACGTCTTTCCGTGCAGGTCTAAAATGTCCCCGCAGAACCGGGTGGGACCGCTTTAAAAGGACGTCCTGCGGCATCAGGAGACGCGACTTCCAGAGGGGCGTTATCTCTAAAGCATACAATAAGCAAAACGCGCTTCATATTAGGCTGCGACTCCTTCAACGAGCGCCATAGAGATTCCCATACCGGAGTCGCCTGTGCCCCAAAATGGCGGCGACAGAAGGGCGGCGAAATCACCGGTTCTTCCTCTGGCGTATCCCCTGTCTAGATGGAGATCTCGTGATCTCGTTGGACGGACACGAGATATGAAATAATTTGCTCGAGCGTAAATATGGCGGCACACCTGGGCACATAGGGCCCCAGATCCCGTGATTTCTTCCCCCTTTGTCGCCCTCGGATCGTCCGGTACTTCGTCGCCCTTTCGAGTAAACCGCGAATCGCGTGCACACCCCAAAGGACCTTCTCGTTTGATTCTAATTCGAGAGCGGTATCGGACGCACCTATCTCAGCGAGCGTGCGCCATCTTTTGTCGGGCCCTTGATTAATGTCATCGTTAGAGGTCTTTCTTTGGAAAGGCCCCCGAATTTAGGCACCGGCAGGTCCTTCTTCCCTTTGTGAGATCCGCCATTAGGGTTGCCTCGGGTCGCCGACTCTCCCATGTCTGCTGACGTCAAATTACCCCCTTCAGTACCGTATCTTACACGCAGGGACGAAAAAAATAATCAGCCGATGTTATCGAGGTCTGGACGCCGTGGCCATATTTTTTTTGGAGTTTACGGGTCACCGGAAAATCTGGATCGAGGACGAAGACAAATCGACTGGCATTTTTCGACCGGTCGTTCATGAAAACCGTGTAAAACGGAACGTCTTTTGCTTCCTGGGATTTAAATTCCCCAGCGATTTTAGTTTAAATATTTGTATCTTCTTTTTTTAAATACTGTTGTATTTGAGAAAAGAAGTAGTAGGACTGGAGCGTCGAGTGGTACGTTTAATTATGTAGAATTAAATTCGGACTTGTAGGAATTGTTTGCTCATTTGGTTTATCATCGGTGCCTATTTTGCAGGTTTTTAGGAGACGGAAGGATGTAATTGTAGCGAGTCGGAGTTTTCTTCCTGCGACGCTCTCGTGGGTGGAAATTGATTCCTCGCCCCCAGGAGGACGAACGAAGAGGGAAGCATAGGCGAGCCCAGGTAGAGGGACAGAGAGGGGAAATGAAACCGATCGAGAGGCGAGGAGAGAACGAGAATCCAATATAACTGCACACACGTTTATAGGGTTCGTGGGAATATATTGGAGCGGATATTGAAATACTTGTTGGTAGTTTGAGTCGAAGGCGAGAGATGCCTTTCCCGATGCCATCTTGATTGCGCGATCAAGGCATCGTGGTACAGAATTCAACGATAATGAATCGTACGGATTATGGACGGAATGAGACCGCATCCCGATAACCGCACGTGTATGTACGTACACATTTTAGAATCGAGCACGTAACGACATAAAAGACGTTTACCAAGTTATAATTCCTCCCCCGTTCGGAATATCACGATAATAATTGTATACGGACCTCGTCAATGGTAGACCCTAGTATTTACCGAGACCGCGTATCTTATCTCATAACGTCCCCGTACAAACTTCCAAAAAATTATATTCCTTCAAATTATTTGTTACCTTCCCATGAAATCTCGAAAAATTGCGCAGGGTACACCCCTAAATTAAAAAACTGACCTAGTCATCATTTGCGACGTTTAACCTGGCGCGTCGAACTGGACAATACGCATGTAACTGCGTTACCCTGTACATCGGGTTAAACATCCGGGGCAGAGCCAGCAAGAGTGCGCAATTTGTCAAAGGACTCTGCAGGCCTCCCGTGAGGTGTCTCCGATTCGAAAGAGCGAATCGAGTGCTCCGTTAACAGGGTTTAACGAGGGTTAACAAGGGGCGGTTAACAAAAGAAGAGGGAGGACAGTCCGACGATTCCGTCGAACGCGGCCGCGATTCAGCGCAGTCGAGTCTCAGCTCGAGTCGACAGATAGATAGATAGAGTCAAGATTCAATTAGCTCTAGCTGTCAGCCGCATGATACTCGTCGATTCAATACCTAGCCGCCGAGATGAGCGTGTATTTGCACGTGGTATTTACCTTCGCGTGTACCAGAAGAGTGTGCGAAGCGAACCACCCTCTCGTTTCGATCTAACGTTGAGCCTTTCCGGCGAAAATCGCTCGAGATGTGCCGAACGGAGAAATCGATCTACTATGTCAAAATCCCCATCCAAATGCGATAAATACGACCTATCCGAATCTGCGGAAAGGAAAGATCCATCCATTCCCAGGATGCATTTTTCCCTCCCGAGAGAAAAAAAAAAGAAGTTAACCGTCTTAAAATATAAACATTGCGACGACATTGTGTTTATTTTTAGTATCTAGTTTACACGTATTTAAAGCTTGTAATCCATTTTTCGAATCTTATCTTTTTGCTTATTCACATTGGGAACCAATTTGCAGGGTTCCCGGTACCTCTTTGGATGCATCCCGACTCCCATCGATCTCGATCGAGACGCAACGTCAGAGGCAGCGACCGCGGGGAAAACCCGAGGAAAGGAACGTAGTGAAAAACGGAGGGAGAGCGAAAGGGCGAGACAGAGAGGGAAGAGGATCCGCATGAAAGAATATCAAGAAATCCGTGGAAGCTCGCGAATCGGCGCGGCTGGGTCGGAGCGGGTAGGTATCACTTATCCGAGCCGAGGCAGGACGATGCCAGCCATTTTCAATTTATTTCAAGTGCCTTTTGGTGGCGGAGAAAAGCAGGGTGGCTCGGCCCACCAGAGAGATACCTACACCAACCACCGATCCCCGAAGCTGATATTGAGGTCTCAAAGTTATTTCAATTCAAATATCGTCGAGTACATTTAGTCCGGCCGTATTGAGTCGGCGTTCATATAGCTCGCGCGGAAAGAGAGATCGATAGGGGAGCGAGCCTCCCGGAAGAACGCTTTTCCGCGACTCGTATCCGACCTGGAATCCTCGATCGTTCCCATAGTAAAAAGCATTTAAAAATACCATTTTCCAGAAAAAAAAAAATAGAATATTACAGACTCGACATTGCCATCTTCCTAAATTTCATTTAAAATAAGAGAGTGAAATCGGTACCGATTCCAGCGTACAAGAATTTCCTCGCTAAGGAAATGAGTCACCCTCGAATCCAGGTGATTAAATTAAGTACGACTACAAATGAGATTTCCAGATTTTCCTTCTATATTCAATAGTATCTGGTAAGAGTAATTAGAGTAGAGTCTGAGCGTTTGACTAAAATCGGTCTTGTGCAACAGGTCTATTCTAACGAGAGGTCGCAGGTCGCATCGGGTGCTATCAGCCGTCGAAGACGCGCTAATTAACGGGGTCTGTTTTTCAGGAAGTGGAAGGAGCCGATTCGGTGCATTTACGGGGGAGGATTTAAGACGGGCTTTTCAATATAAACATCCAGGGGCCTGTACGAAGCGTAAGCCCGAGCTGAATGCAGAAATCGCGCACGGGGGAGCCGCCATTATGGAGCACGGCGGAACGCGCGTTTCCGCATTTAGCCCGATTCTCCTTTCGGCAAGCGGGAACGCAACGACGGTTTTACTTTAGCCAAGGCGCATAAAAGGGGAGTAAAGACGAGATTATTGAAGCCGCTCCGCAGGTAACGCGAGTGTAAACCGAGCGAGAGGGTGGAGGGGAAGGGAAAAGAGGAGGCCGGGTCGGACGAGGGAAATTCCCTCTGTTTCGGGAAACGGGGAAACGGGGAAACGAATGAGGGAAAAATGCGAGGAGATTGGCTCGTGAAAAATAACGTAGTTAATTAGCGGCGGGCCACTTTAACCGGCTCCGGGGCTCGGCTCACAGTGCACACTGTAATAAGCAAGGAAAACAACTCGGCGAGCAAACGCACTCCAACGCGAAGAAACTGAAACGCGCGGCCGACCCGGCGCGATTTAACGATTCCGGCGTTTCAGCCGCCCCGAATGGGGAAATGATTTTTTTTTCTCTCTCTCTCGACTCTCGGCGACACGGCCGGGGTTATTTTAGTTTTCCGTGTCGCAACGTGCAGCGCAGAGGACAAAGCCCCTCGTCCGCGGCCATATCGCGAAGAGGGTGTTCACCACTTTTCGCGACCTCGTCTGTCGGGAATTTAAATGAATTCCCAACGAAACTTGTTTCCCATCCATCCGGATGATCCGCGACGAGGAAGCTGGAGAGGAGAGTCCAATTGGCAACACCATTAAACTGACCAAACGGCTGACCCCTTGCTGCGGCCTCCACCCCTTCGACATCCCGCGAGTCTCTCCGCTCCTGCAAAGGAAGAAAGAGGGCAAGACAGAGAGGGGCGAGTCCGGGGGAGGTAAAAAGAGAGGGCGAACAACCCGCGTTTCACGCCTCGTGGATCTCAAACCGTTTGAAAGCCCGGACGGTGGAAATAATACAACTTTATGTTCCTTGTGCGGGATCAAAGAGATCCCTTTGCCGAGGTAGGGGTGCAAGTGGTGGGTGCACCTACCCCAATCTCGATTCTTCGCATCTCCGGGGCCAAGGGGTGCCTCGGGGATGATCTCGTCGAGAGATCGACTTCTTCCGAGGCCCTGAGAGCCCGGGTATATCCCGAATCTTCGGGCCCTCTTGGTCCTCTCTTCGGGGGCATTCCGGATGGTTATTACGTGTCCTCCGAGTTCTCTGTCGCCGCGCGCCGGAGGACGTCGCCAAAGGGTCCGTGGGGTCTTCCAGCTAGGAAGGAAAATTGGGGGTCGTTTCAATGGCTCGATTTAGCCCAGGTTTGCCACGCGATTCAAAGCGGAACTTTATTGGAGTTTACCGATCCAGCGAGATGCCGATTCGCGGACTCCGGTAAAAATCCACTTTAAACGACAAGTCGATGATTTGGATAATTTCGATAACGTTTGAACGTACTTTATTCGCGATTAGGACCAATTAGGACGGTACCATTCAAGTTTGCCTATTGATCCAAAACTGTGGGGGTGTGGAAGTCATCTTCTGCAGGAGTTTTTGAAGGCGTGCCGGACTGGTTCGCGATATCCGGAGGCTGGTCCACGTTTGGTGGAAATGCGCCCAGTATTTGGAGGACCATCAGCATGGTCTCGATCACGTGAGAGGGATTACTGTAGAAATATTTGTATTTCGGGTCTCTCGCGTGCCGATTGTACGCTTCTCGGAGGAGTCGTCCTTCGGGCGTAAAGAATAGGATCCTTGGTACGTATTTGCCATCCGGATGGAAAACTCCGCGGTTCCTGACGCTGTCCGGCCCATTGTCCACGTTCACCATGACGAAGCTTCGAACGACAATTTTTATTTATTAATACTATCGATTTCATACTTAACACTTAAAGTTCTGGGTGTTGCCCGGTAATGGGTCTTTTTTTTCTTGCAGAACTAACCGACTGCTCAACTCGCTTAACTTAAGCGACTTGACGAATTTACTCTTGAGATGTTTGCATGCAGGGCAGGTCGATCTCTGGATGAACACGAAAATCGGCTTGCCGGTTTTCCTTGCTTCGTGAAAACCGGCCGGCAGACTTGTCCATTTGTAGATCTGGAAAAAGTCGCGGTCGACTTCCGCGGTCGACTTGTCGCCGGTTGCGAGGACATTTCCCATAAGCTGATCGGCCAAGGAGATCAGATTCAACGACCCGAGATATTTGAAGCATTTGTGCATACCGTTGCAAGAAGAAACTAGAAAGAATTTTTCTAAACGAACGGACAAGGCTGTTGCATCTGAAACGTTACACCACGAAGCCTTCGATTACTCGATGACAAAAGAAGACCGAGGTTAAAAAATATCACAAGGGTTGCACGAAAGTTCCCATCGATACTGCTTATATTCTAGTTCGTAGAATCTGACTCTTCGATATTAATATATTATTTATTTTTTCGAGTAACATAACGATTTTTTTACAGGTTTCCAATTGACACGCGACGTCTTAGAAATTCAGGATGACTTAATGATGAATGTGGAGCTCAAGAGGAAATGATTGTGTGAAATTGATAAATTGTAGGGTAAGTAGCTACGAGATCGATCGGTTTGTTTGATCATGGAAAATGTCTTGGATTGAATGCAGATTACACGCTTCTTATTTTCTTCAACTCCCTGTAGAGACACTCCATTCTCACTGGAAAGAAAAATATCAGGGCTTGGATGAATAGTTCCATGAGTGGTTCAACTACGCAATATCGAAGAAATGCAACTGATCCCTTATTAATTACTGATTAGGTTTTAGTGAACTCTGTTACAGTACAGTTACAAAAATTAAAAAGTAACTCACTGTAGGGATCGTATACGACGAACTCCAATTTATCTCCGAGTCTCTCTCGTACCGCTGTGCGTTTGTGACCGCTTATCACACTCTCCATTACCACCATGATAGCCCTGTACATGAAAAAAATTAAGTTTGATACGGATTTGTACTTAGAAACGTATAATGATTAAATCTAAGTCAAGTGTTTCATTCTTCAATGCTTGCAGGTGATGCTAACGCCATCTTTCATAAATGAAAGGAACTCACTCACGAAGCTGTCGGTACTGTACTTATTGTGCATAAAAATTGAAAAGATGTTATAGGAAAATTTTACCAACAATGTTATCTGCAACCATCATATTTTAATTGTCATTAAATTATATATTTGTATATATTTTATATATCTTCATTTATCGACAAGCAGGAAACCTAACCTCTAATAAAAATGAATTCCGACCGCTGATCATTGAAACACTTGGACGACACGACTTACTTGCTTTTCGCTTTTTTCAGTAATACATTTGTCAGGAACATTTCTGTGACTACTTTGCAGTGACTTTCGAAAAATAAAAAATCTGTAGAGATTAATTCACAATAAACGCTTTTTGGAGTCCACAGCCACTGACTAGAAAGTTTCAAAGATGGCCAACTTAAACGGTATTCTGATCTAACGTTACTGTCTTTCCGTGAGGATCAGATCAAACTAAACCAAAGGATTCATTTCTTAATCAAGGAATTTCAATCTATGAGTATATAAAGATTTTGCACAAAGTCGCAGTATAGTGATTTTAACCTCAAAGCTTTTACCGGCATCGAAAACAATTTCAATATTCACTATGTAATGTTGATACTGACTTATTGTTAATTGTATAGATGTAACAGTGGTATTTGAAACAAGCTGTAAAAAATATTGTATCGAAATATCATTCTTAATGAATGAATGTATGTTGATGTTTGTTATAATTTAAATATTCTGACCGACTCAATTTAAATACCGAAAGATATCTTTTGAGACAGAAAACACTTTGAGAACGAAATGCCTATTACGCTGGCACACGAATTAGGTGCAAAGGCACGCACAAAGGACATTAAAATCCAGGAGAATGTTACGTTTTATCACCTAGGCTTGTCACAGATTGTTCTCAATGGGTTGGCAAACTGCGGTTTTCAAAAACCATCTCCAATTCAGTTGATAGCAATACCATTGGGTCGCTGTGGATTCGGTAAGTTCCGCTATTATTTCTTACAAGTTCAATACTTTTTAATGATAAATTGCATTCTAGATTTGATCGTACGGGCAAAGTCTGGCACAGGAAAAACTGCCGTGTTTGGGATCATAGCACTTGAGATGATAGATGTTACCGTATCATCTGTACAGGTGTTGATTTTAGCTCCAACACGTGAAATAGCTGTCCAGATTGCTGAAGCGATCACATCGATTGGAGCGAAACTGAAAGGTTTAGAAAAAGAACATCAACTGTGACCGTTTTCCTAGGACAATGACTACAAGAAAATTATTTTCAGGACTTAAACTCCAGACATTTATAGGAGGTATGGTTGTAGAGGAAGACATAAAAAAAGTTAAAGGTTGCCACATCGCAGTTGGTTCACCAGGAAGAATAAAGTACTTAATTGATAAAGGATTTCTTAAAGTCGATAGCATCCGACTCTTTGTCCTGGATGAGGCAGATAAATTAATGGAAGCAAGTTTTCAGAAGGACATTAAGTTAGTATCTTACAAATTCCATAAAAGCAATTCTCATTTAGATTTCTAGAGTTTATACTTTGAAATTTTCAGTTTCATTTTCTCAAAACTGCCACCCAACAAACAAGTGATATCCTCTAGTGCAACATATCCAGGTGACTTGGAGACATTTCTTAAATCATACATGCGCTGTCCAGTATTATCTTCCCCTGACAGCGATGGCCCAATTCTTATTGGATTGAAACAACTTGTAACTATTGTCCCCTACCATCCAAATGCTATGAAACAGGTAATATAAAATTTATATTTTAATTATAGAGTTAAATGAAAGAATACCCCTAAACTATTTCTACGTTTGACGTTTTAGGTCCAAATTAAAGTGGAGGAGTTAGTTAAAATCTTCAGCAAGGTCCCATTTAAACAGTGTCTTGTTTTTACAAACTATCAAGCTCGGTACGTATTACTTTTGGACTGATTGCAATTTTCTTTTTTTCTTATCGGTTTAATTTTACATTGTTCATCGTATGAATTTCAGAGCCCAGTCAGTTTGCAATAAGATTTGCAGTATGGGATTCGCGGCAGTGTATATTGCGGGCAGTCAAGACATGCACAAAAGACTAGAAGTCATGGGGAAATTGAAAAATTTCAAGTGCCGAATTTTATTGAGTACCGATCTTACTGCTAGAGGTATCGATGCAGAAAATGTCAATCTTGTGATCAACTTAGATATACCTGTAGATGGTGCTACATATTTACATCGAATAGGAAGAGCAGGGCGATATGGTTCTCATGGTATCTCTATTAGTATAGTATCCGAAAATGAGGTTACAAATTTTAAGAAATTAATGGTGTCTGTCAGAGGTTCGCAATTTTCAATTTTTAAGCTTCCCAAAGATTATCCACGCGATCTGTGGAATGCTGACATCGACGCTTTTGAAAAGATAACTACTGAAGACGATATTGAAGAAGATTCAGAAAAAATTGACGCAATCGTCTTAGAGTCCGAACATGGGGTTCCCATGATTCCTATTTTCACGATACCAGAAACGAAACACCATAATGTGGAAACTGTTGAAAACACTGCTACTGAAAGCAATAAAAATATATCAACAGATTTAGTTGCACCTAAAGCATCCAATGTAATTGCTACCAAGACTGAAGCTGCAATGAATCCTTCCAAATTAATCACCACAGCTTCTACATTTTCTGATGGGAATAAGTTTTTTATAAACGAAAAATCACTTCAAGAAAATAAAGTCACTGCAACGGTTTCAAATTCATTATCTAAATCAAATGTTTATCAACTAAAATTGATGCCTGTCACAGAGGATTCTTCAATGTTGCAGAAACTTAATGAGAATGTAAATTTTGAATTGGATCTTGATAATATGCCAAAAGATGATTTCACAACAGAGGATTTCAATACTGTGAAGAATTATTTGAAACTTCCGAATTACAAACATTTACAGAAAAAGGAGCCTGTAATTCAAAAAAGTTCAATGTATAAAAGTTCTGAAAATGAAGAAAGTGACGATTTAGAAAATGTTCTTAAATTCCTAAGCTGTTCAGAGGAGTCAGAAGCATTGTTCTCCTCAAACAATTACAACAAGGACTTTTATAATAGTTTTTGTAGATTGTTGACAGTGCAAGATGACAAGGATGCAGACGATGATAAGTTGCAAATTAAAGAAGCTTCTCTCTGGAATGAAACACTTAAGTTTGAAATTAACTCTCTTTCACACAAACTGCCAGGCAAGAAATATTTCGGAAAGGATACTGGAATCTATGATACGCATTACACTGCGTTGAAGACATTCTATGAAATTCAAAAGAAAGCACTTCTCTGGATATATCCAGAGATTCGTAGTGAACAAGAGACAGATGACAGTTACGCTAATTGCACGGATAGTAATTTAAATCTAATCGAACTGTATAAAGAGATAGAGGAATACAAAAGTGTTCATCGAAAACCTGGAAGAAAATTCACTGCATATTTCCCATTTCCAGCAGTAAGTGAAAATGAATCCCTGCCAAATATATCACATTTGATGATGTCAAAAGCTGAAATTGAGGAATATCAAAAGGCAATAAAGTATTTACAATATTGGCGATCTGGCCGATACGAGCTTCTTGCACTTGAAGAATTTAATGCTTTCGTAGGACCAGAAAAACTACTTCAGTTGGAAGAAAAGATAAGTCATAATACAACAACCCACAATGACAGTATAGAATTTTTGAAATCAGAAAAAGAAAACGCAACACCAATTGAGCAGGACGCACCTAAAGTACTTAATGATTTAAAGCGTAGTAATACATTCACAGAAGTCAGTAAAGAAAATCAATTAGTGCAATCAGAAAAGAGTCCCAATGTTGAAAAACCAAAAGAAACTCACAGTAAGCGATCACAATCAAAACAATCACGATCGGGATGCATTGTTTCATCAAGTAATCGTTTAAAAAGGAAACTTCCACAAAAGAAGTTAATACCTGTTCAGACAAATAACCTAAAATATGGAGAAGATGCTATAAACAGTGATTGGAATGATTTCGAAGCATACACAACTGCGAAATGTGAGCGATCTTCTGAAACTATTTCACAAGATGTTGACCTTTCTTGGACAACAATTCAAATGAAAAAAACAGACAAGAATAAAAGCGGTCATAGTTTTAAGAAAAATTTAGAAATTCAGGAAACTCAAAAGAGTACCACACCTCAGCTTACGAATGGACATTATTCGTATGATTACTTTCATCGTCAAAGTTATCCTTATAATGGTGTGACACAAGAGCAGTCATCTACACGAAAAAATCATCATCTGGCTCAGGATAAACTTTCGGTAGAAATTGAAGAATTCTTCAGCGCTTTAAGACTACAAACAGACGAATTGCATTTACAAAACTATAGTTCACAGATGTTAGAGGACTGTCGCAGGATGCAAAAGTAGCAATATCATACATTTTAATTTTTTAAAGTTCTTACGTGATGACAATTAAGATTAAAGGGAAGTAGCGTAATTTGTACCATAAAAGTGATATAATCTATTCCTGTCAAATATATGTGGTATTTTTAAACAAAACTTCATGCGTTCCTCAACTTTCATGTTTTCCGCCATCTAGTTCAAATGGACCCATAGTAATAAATTGTCAAGAAAATAATACCATTATTTTAATAATTAATGTTTAGCTAATTAAAAACCGGAAACTATAATAGAAAAAAAAAATGAATTCGTTCTAATCCCGAAGAAATGAAGATTAAGTTTAGGAGAGGGTGCTAGTATCGCACAAAATCCCTAGTAAATTCCTAGGTTAAGTGCAGTTTTGATTGGTTGGTTTTTCAACGTATGAAACATTGAATGAGATTCTGGTTATGTATGAACTTGCTCCAGTTTGATGGTCACGTACCTAACCTCAAAGTGTGGCCGTACCCCGTAGCCGGTTCAAAAATTACAATACGAAAATGACACGAATGCCGCTGCATGCTGCCTCTGGAACAGGAATTTACAAAGACCTGACAACAAAAGTAATAAGACTCGTCAGATATGGATGTACAAACAGACATTTCCTTCACATTGTTGTAATGGAGGTAAAACAATTTCCTTCTATGCAACCATTCAATCTTTGAAGCACGTTAAATTAATGAATCCGCTCAATTTAACTATAGACCAAGAAGCATCCAAAATCGCCACCCATAGAACAATTAGGAACCTTCGATATCTGCGTTAACGAAAATAACGAGAAGCTCGTTGCCTTCAACTTTGAGAGGGTACAGTTCTGGCTGAGCAAAGGCGCGAAGGTGACAGATCCTGTCGCCAAACTTCTGGGACTAGCAGGTTATTTTCCTATTCATCCGAGAACCTATATGACTGCATGGAGGAATCGAAAACATGCCGAGGAAGTGGCAGCAGCAGATGCTGAGAAAGCATCAGCTGAGAAAGCAACTGCTGAGACGAACTGAAGCATTAGCCGCCCCTGTTTTAGCATAACTTTTGTATATACCCATAGCACGTACAAGTAAAAAATCTAAGTTTACGCCGTTCAGTTTATTTCTTATTAATTCACCTTGTATCGCTTTTGCTTCTAAGCTGCAAAATATGGGAAATAATCCGAAATAATCCAAACTCTGTCGCTATGACCAGAGGCGCGATTGAGCAAAAAGTGTCAACACTTCAGCAAGGGTAAGGAGTGTATGTACATGAATCCCCAGAAAAAAAAAATGTTCCCCAGGTGAGGCTCGAACTCACAACCCCGGCATTGCTCACAAAGTTACTGTCTTATAAGTACCGTGCGCTAACCAATTGCGCCACTGGGGAGCTGCCAAGCTGCTCTCCTATTACCTCATTAAAGTGTACGCGTTCGGCTGAGGGCGTTTTTAATCGAAAACTAGTAATTTCTAACATAAAAGGATGCCGATCGACCATTTACCCGAATATTGCGCGATGTACGCGTTACTTCAACGTACAACCTTGGCCATTGATACGGTGTGAAATTTGAAAAAGTCTCAACACCCCAGCACGCAATTGGGCAAAAATGACTTAAAAACACAACCTTTAAATAATTTCAACATCTCAACCAGTGCAGCAGATATCGGGCTTGAAATTGTTTACAATAAGTGGTGAAAATAAACGTGACACAAAGACCAACGTGCAAATATTTGCAGGCACGCGAGTACGCGGTTAACCCATTGCCGCGTAACTGGCGCCGCCATCTTGAATAATTCAAAAACTGTTACGATCTCGCGCTAAATTCAAACAATTGAGATCTTCAAGACAAAGTTAACATTTCCCTTACGCTGATGAAAAAATGACGCATGACAACGAACACTTTATTCGTTTTGACGAAAACAAAGACGAATTTTAACACGCAGACTCAGTAATACACAAAACCGAGCTTGTGAACTTAAGAACTACTTCCGAATGAATAAAGAAAACCGTCGCCAGATTCCAATTTAACTGAACAGTGACCTTGCGTATCAATTAAACCGGTAAGTTCTACACTTTACATCGACTTCAGAGAGAACATTACTCCTTCAAGTTTGTTATTTAAGCCAATTGCACGATTTGGTTAAATAAAGTGTGTACACGATACACTTTTTCGAATGTCAACGAATTTCACCAGTCAAAGTGAAACAACTGCTAAAGGAATCTACCACATCCCGTTGCGCCGACCTTATCTAATAATAAAATATACGAAAATATAATAAAATATAATAAAATACACCCGAGGCGGTAAAAATTCTCTCTTCCGCTGATTCTTAAACCTTTCCGACGTAGAGGTGATCGGGTGAGCATTCCTTCTTAAGCTAATTTGTCCGTCGAGAATGGCAACGCTAAGCCTCGCGTTCGCCAAATTAGTGATCTCAGCCACGTGAAACAGGTCTCCACGAGCCTCGATAAAGAAAGTCTGACACGCCGGTTGACTTTCTGAAGGCGGGAGCCAACAGGCGAGGGGCATCAGTTTTCTCGAGGGCGAGCGACCGACAAAACGATAGGCGCATACTTAAGCGTACGAGAAGAGTCAGTTCCAAAGTTCGGGCCCGCAGGATACAAGGTCTCTCAGTGACATCTTTTCCATTGTAGCGAACGAGGAGAGTGCTCCAAAATGTCAAGGACCTCCCAAGTGATCCTCTGCGTCCTGGCGCTCGGATGGCTCGTTTCCGGAGAGGAAGACTCCGTGAATACCTACGGCAGACACGGCACGGTCGACTCGACGGCAGGTGACCCGATTATCGACACTTCCCTGGGAAAACTGAGAGGTTCCTGGCTGAGATCCTCGCAGGGAAAGCTGTATGCGGCCTTCAAAGGAGTGCCGTACGCGAAATCGCCCATCGCCGACTTGCGCTTCGAGGTGAATTGACACTTTTCTCCTAAAAAAGTGAAAGAAAAGAAGATATAAAACGTACACACATGACGACCTAGACACAGTAGTAAACTCGACTGTATTCGCTGTGCGGTAATTACGGCGCGCCAGGTGTAAATGAAAACTGTTTAAGCTGTTCATATTTTTATATACGCAAATTGAGCTTTAACTGATTTCGAGAAAGTGGAGTTGTCATTCTAGAAACGAATCTCAAAGTAGAAACCATTTTCCATAGCCACCTCGAGAAGCGCAACCATGGGAAGGTGTCAGAGGAGCTCAGAGACATCGAAGACCATGTCCCCAAAAATGGTGGGTTTTAAATCGAGTCATGGGCTCCGAGGATTGCCTCTACTTGAACATTTACACTCGTTCGGTAAGGGAACAACTGCCTGACCTTTTTAATTCCTTTCTACCTCGGGCGTAATGTAATCGATTTCATTCCTTTGTTAATTTCTCCATACGCACATGTAATGACTGCCGGAAGCGGGGAAAACATTTTAGCGAGGCCGATGACAACAAATTTGTTTCTCTTCCGTCCACGCCAAATAATTTCCGTCACGCGATATGATCGCATAATTCGTGTCAAAGGATTCGTCTCATTATCGAAGCATCGTGACAACCCGACCAATACCATACATACGTATCTTGCTATTATTGAATCGGAACCACGTAACCCGAACATTATCGGCATTGAATCTTTGCTCGTTCAATGAAGAACGATTCTGTTTTTCCATTCCGCAAAAATAAGTGCGCTTGATTGAATAGTAAAATTAATTAACAATATATACAATGCCGGGCCTATAGAGGAGTGTATTTTTTTTGGAGCTGATAAAACTCCGGAGTAGAAAAAAGTACAATTCAAGGAACTAAAGGATAAACCTAGAGAAAACCCTGCCCGACATTCCTTGCTTCGAAGTGCAGCAAAACAGACAAAGATTTCGTCGAAACGGCGCGTTCGCTTTCTACACTTTCTCGTTTCCGATTCTTGACATGTAAATAACCCTTGCAGATATGCCGCGAGAGAACGTGCACAGGGAAAATTCTGATGCCGATTATTTTCTTCATACACGGAGGCAGTTTCACGGTAGGATCCGGCGACATGGATGACTTCCTTTATGGACCAGACATGATAATGGACGAAGACGTGGTGTTGGTGACCATAAACTACAGGCTGGGAGCTCTAGGATTCCTCTCGTTCGAGGGACTGGTTTCCGGTAATATGGGTTTGAAGGACCAAGCCATGGCTCTTAGGTGGGTCTGGCAAAACGCCGAATATCTTGGAGGTGACAGGAACAGAATAGTGCTGATGGGTCAAAGCGCAGGGGCAGCCTCGGCGCAGTTTCACTCGTTACATCCTAGCTCGAGGAGACTCATCTCCGGGGTGATCGCCCAAAGCGGTTCCATATTGGCACCCTGGGCATGGAACCCACCTTGGGAACAAAATCTGCGAACCAAGAGATTAGCCACAGCCCTACTCTGTAACATTACGAAGCCAGAAGCTATGATTCGATGCCTGAAAGAGGCCAACCCCTTTGACATTGTGAAACATCAGTTCCTGAGTGACAATGTAAATATCCTTTACTAGTCTTTGATATTTTTTTTTTTTTTTTAATTCTAAGGGATTATTGCATTTCCAGTCGGTGATGCAAATTCCTATCGGGATCACCTTCACTCCAACTGCGGAGAGAGAAGGCTCGCCGATGGCTTACTTGAAGAGCTGCCCCGGTAATCTGTTGCAAGAATCCTATTTGCTTCTTAGAAATATTTCCCTTATGACGGGGTTCACTAGTGCGGAAGGACAACTCTTCGGAGACATTTTTGGTCAGCATTCAGACATCTACGTAAACTCGATTATATGCAAATCAATATCGATATTCACTTTTCTACATCTCCAGCGAAACATTCTAACCAGATCTGACCAATTTTCAGAAGCTATAGTGAATCCTGTAGCTAGAGAGAAGGGCCTTCAAAAGCTTGGTCTGAAGGTCCAGCAGCCAGGTGCTGTTCGAAGAAAAAATACACCGAACTTCATCACCTCAGCAGCTTACAAGTTTCTTGGCAATTTAGAATTCAATGTGCCTATTATAGAAGCATCGCAACACTATGCTCAGGCTGGGGCCAACGTGTATATTTATCACTTTGCCTTTGTTGGAAAGAACAATTTTGTAAAACTATACCGCGACAGTACTGGTACTTGCAAACATTATTATCGATCTTACTATGAATCTGTATATTCATTGAATTTCCTAGTATTCTCCTTATCATTCCGTTTTTAAAAAACGATTATCAACGTATGTTCTTTTCTTAGTTTCCACGCACATGGACGAGTTGACATATCAGTTTCAGGGACGAGGGATGTTTTCAAAACTTCCTCAGATCAGAGAACCCTCTAATGAAGCTTCGATCTCGAAGGCTATAATTCGTATGTGGACAGATTTCGCAAAAACAGGGTATGGATACAAGATACTAATTAGCTTTTTTTTGTGCTAAATAGATATGCAGATTTCTTATAAAATTGTGAATAATATGGATAAAGTTTTAAGCTAAGAGATATAAATGAATATTTCTATGTCCCGAAAATTTCAAATAATCATCTTTCATCTTAGGAATCCAACTCCAAAACCTAAAGAATACTCTTGGCCTGCTGATCCTCGTAAACTTCTTATGATTGGAGACAGATTTACAATTCAAAACACACCATCGACAGCTGGATGGACAACATTAATAAACGCGCAGTGCGCTATTTAAAACGTAAGTTTAAAAAATTTGTAAATAAATTAGAAACTGTATCACTCAATGAATTCGATGCTGACATTGTTCGGCTTACTCATGCTTCTCCATTTCACTGTAGTTTAATTCAAACTTAAATAATATTATTTAGAAAATGTGACGAGTTCATAATAAAATACTCCTAAAAATGAAAGAACATACTCTTACGACTAATGTTAAACCGATCCTTGCTGGCTGATGCTGTTAGCCTGATCCCAAGTATCGAGTTCAACACATAATTTATTCCAAACCTGCTCAAGTTGGTTTTTCCTAAGGCAAGGTTGACAGAAGCTATTTAATAGTTCTTTATTAGATTCTGCAAAGTCAACTGTAACAAATGCAGATAGTAATAGTATAAAATAAATATATAATTAAAGAAATTAAGACTTTGATTTCAGCATATAACGTACCAGGTTCTTTTGGTTCTATAGAAAAGAAATGTTCTATTCTCCATGTATTATCAAAAAATTTCAGGTACCAATGCAACTTTAGATATATTCTTTTTTTATCCTTTGTAGAATGGACGTGTGCTACAATGCCCCCCTCTATGTCTGTGCTCTCTTCTAGAGACACATAATTTTTCTCTTGACATTTTTGTAAAATTCGAGCACGTATAGCATTTTGCTCGCTATAATCAGAAATTGCTGAAAAGTCAATGTAGTCAAATTAATACTAAACTTTTCAAAGTATTCTATTTAACTTATTTTGTATTTACTATTACCTGACATTAAAAATGGAAAATTATTCATTCTAGTAAATCGTTGGACCCAGGGGCCAATTTCTGTCATATAGCACCGATTTACCTCTACAAAGTGACAAGTAATATCGGTCACTTCAAAATGTGGTTTATTCTGTAATGAAGCAACGAAATCTATGTTGAATTGTCGATTTTAGACCAAACCTATTTTTTATTTTAACTTCTATAATACATTTTACCTTTAAATCGACTTTAAGGTCCAAAAAGAATTTGATAGCTTTTGTTATCACCCTTGCAGTATATAAATATTCATTATTCTTGAGCCACTTCTTTTCTATGTCGTTAAATGTTATTCCAAAAATGCGACGCGATGCCTCGCACAATTTAGACTGGTCTCGCCAAGAAGTTTTAGGACTATCGGTCTCTGTCTCGTCAATCTCCAATAAAAACCTAACATCGTAGAAAGATTTAATACATACTTTTTAGCAGTAAATTGAGCTTTATACAATTAAAATTTCGACCAAGTTACCTTTCCAATGACAAAATCTTCCCGACTCCATTCTCCTCTTGCTCTTTCAATTTGTCACGGAGGGTTTCTACCTTTTTTATCAATTTAAGCTTCACGGCCTCTAACTCTGCCAATTCTAGGTCTTGCATTTTTTTCCAATTATAGAAATATTCAAGGTAGGCTAAAACTCCGTTCGTATGTTAACCTCCAAAAGTAAAACAAATTACAAATCTAAGTTTATTTCTCACAGTATGTGTCTTAGATTTCCTAGACAGTTTATTTTCACATTCTGCATGAACAGCTAATATTAAACACGCGCCAAACACAAAATTTTTATATACTCGTCAACACAACGCACAACAAAAGCCGTACTACAAGCAAATCTATCGATCCTATATCGGCCGGTGACGTCGTCCAATCACGAGTGGATTACTCGAAAGGACCCATTTTCCTTTAAGTTATCGAGGACAGTTAATCAAAACGAACCTGACTGGACTTGTTGGTAGGGAATGTTAGGTTTTTATGATACCCCTCAGTGGAGAGTCAACTCAGAGATGAGGAGGATCCCTGAATTGGGCCGTCATTGGGGGGTAAGGTGGCAACGGCGTTAACCACTGTTAGCCGCCCACATCCTGCACCAGGAGGCAGCACAGAACGCGATCGCGCAACCCAGCCCGTGAGTGACCTATCAACTCCTCTCTGTAGGCAACGTTAAAGCGCGCATCGCGCGCATTTCAGCTGATTTTAGCATGGTTTTGAGGGTTTTGATTCAGAAGTGTTTCATCACACCTTTTCCTAGATTTCTAGATATATTGGAACCTAGGATTGCAATGCTAGTGATGCGATGCAATGGCTCACTTGGAATAAAGTGAAAAAGCTAAGAATGTATATTATCAAAATTCTTCATCGGCTCTAAAAATACAAAACTATTATCTATTGAAAGGCAACGATGAGGGTAGTTCTTGCTTATGTCGGGTTTTTATTTATTTCGTTATTAGTTTTACTACTTTATATAATTGGTGCATCACGTTACCTTACCGATCATGAGGGAAATACATGTGTTATGACATATATGTTCGAGTACCCTCAGTATGTGGTACGTACGAAGTGAACCATAAACTTCTACAGTTTTTAGCTGGGATTGGATTCATTGAATTGTTTTCTCTTTTTTGGCCTTTTACAGAGAATAGTTTTAGATGATAAAATTGAGGAACAATTCCCAAGATATGGCCTGTACGTTTACGGGGAGGGTTCAGGGACAGAAAAGTATAGGAGAATGCATTTTACTGGCCTTCCAGTATTATTTATACCAGGCAATGCAGGATCTCACGAACAAGGTAACTTTTAGTAATGTCGGTGAATAATTGAGCCAAAGAATTTGTTATTAATACCAATGTATTCCTTACAGTGAGATCCTTAGCTTCGGTGAGTCTCAGAAAGAGCATAAAAGATCGTACACCCTTTCACTTTGACTTTTTCACAGTGTCTCTTGATAAGGACTATTCTGCGTTATATGGAGGTATAATGCATGAGTAATATATCATAAGATAATGATTTATAGGAATTGTTAGTTAAAAAATTATTCAATGCTTATGATGATATGATGATTATTCTGTGTAAAAAAAGGTGTACTTATGGATCAGACAATATACGTTTCGCACTGCATACAAAAGATTTTAGAATTATACAAGAATGAAACTCAGAGCGTGACGATAATTGGTCACTCGATGGTAAGCATTAATTTATTAGCCATCTTATACAAAAATTGTATTACTATTTATTTTTAGGGTGGCATCGTTGCAAAAGGTGCTATTCTCTTTGTACCGTCGATGGATCCTAAACTGGTGAATATTTTGATTATGCTGGCTACGTCACATGAACCATCACTTGTCCCTGACAATGCGTTGGCTAATTATTATTACAAAGTACTGATTTTGGAACATCGACTGAAAGCTGCAGGAACGACTGTGATTTCTGTTGGGGGAGGCACAAGTGATATCCTAGTAACTTCGGTGCAAGCATTTGATCCGTCCGCAGATCTTAACGTTGTTTCTACAAGTGTTCCTGTAGTTTGGAAACCTGTCGATCACTTGTGCATTCTCTGGTGCAAGCAACTGATTATTTCCATAGTGCGATCCCTTTTTGATTGCGTGAATACGACTCGGCGACCCGCTAGAATTAGCATGTCTCCACAGCATAAATTACAAGCATTCTCATATCACCTCTCAAATGTAAGTCATTTTATAAAGAAAAGTCACAGACACACGTTAACGTTTTAATTTTGCAGCGCTATGCAGGTAAGAAACAATATCCTTATCAGGATAAAATTAACTTCGAGAGAGGAGGACTGTGGGTGGAAGATATTCGTCGGCAATACACGTGGACTAACAAGGAAATTACGGATACAAAAAATTCTGTATATCTCATGGTTAGACTAGCTTCTATGTCATTTCTGACCATTGAAACTATCAACATAGAATCCAAAGACTGGCTCTTCGCATGTACTGCCTCTAGCATAGAAAGGCCATTAAGGACATGGTATGATAAAAAAAAAATTATTTCTAAATAAGCATATTTACGCAAATATCTGTAAAAGTCTATATATAGCAGGGTAACAACAAAGTTAAAATTTCAGCACGTGGGGCTGGAATCTCACGAACCGTACAAGAATTCTACCCGACTTGTTTCATCGCGATAGAAAGGTCGTGGATCTGGATTTAAGTACTTTGCCCTTTAATCAGCTGTCACACATAATAGTTAGGGTGACACCGACAGACCTACGCAAAGATGTTACAGTGCACATCGATCATTACAATCGCTTCGGGCGAACTCGGAAGTTATACAGCAAAATGGGATTTCTGGGCAGTTTGTTTGGCATAAAAGGAGTTGGAGTAATAAAATCCACCAAAGGACACCTTCGTTACCACATGGAACTCATCGATGTCAGATGCTCCGTTGTGATCGAGCTTGAGAAATCCGAGTGTTCCACTCCTTCGCGTTTCTATCACGCTGTGGTAGAGCTGATGGAACCATGGAACCCGGGTGCTATGCAAGTCCGGTTCTTTACTGAACAGTAAGCGATCTGAAAAAAATAACCTGTCGTATTTTCTATGTCTACACATTTGTCGCTATTCCTACAGGGACAATGGACCCAAGACCTTGAAACTGCAAACTATTTATGGGCGAGAAAACGTCACAGCATCGCTGAGAGTAACTCTCGATCCGAATTGTTTATACTCCTTCAGGGTACAAGAAGCAGGGCTCGTAGAACGAATAGCTTGCGCAGTGAGAGACCGATGGCCAGCTTTGTACACCACCATCATAGGTCTTCTGCTCGTAGTGATCGGAACCAGAGTGGATCATTGTAGAGAAGGACTATTAGTGGCAGCGGTTACTGCAACATTATGTTTAACCCTGGGCATCGGTCTGGAAAGTATCGTAGCTTTTGCTGCTCTTCATACAATGGCTGTTGGCACCTGCTGCTGCGTAATTTTCTTTGGCAGCGTTGCACATAACGTAGCGATCAGGTATTGAATTTGTAAAAAGGTATGAAAATATAAATATGAATATTGTTTGAACAACAGTCTACTGGCTTACAGGTTTTTGGCACGAGTGATAGCATTCTCGACGACCTGGTCAGACTGGTTGCTCGGAGGACTGCACCAACTGCCCTTGATGACAACGGTTCTAGTATTGTCGTTGATTCCAGCCACGTGTGGAGCGCTGGCAATGATAATGTCAATCTTTCTCTATTTTTTGAAATTAACTCGAATGTACGAGGACTACTTGGAGGAATTGTTCATAGCATCGCTGCGACACTTCCACTTGTTAAGGCCCGATAAAAAGGGGGAAAGAAATGGAAAATCCGACGAAGTCACCACCAGGGAGAAAATACTTAACCATCTCGTGCTTTTCTTGACCACTACTATAGCTGCGATCCCTGCTCTTCCTTCCGTGCTCGTCTGGGCAAAAAATTTTAGGTCAATTTTCTTTACCTTCACTAATGCGTTCACTGTAACTCTCATTCATCTCTAACCGTTCATATGTGTTATATTAGCACCAACACCAGATTGATCACTGAGGACCCCATTTTGTTGGCAAGTTGGGTAGTACTTTCTGGATGCAGTATCATGGGCCTCGTAAAGATTCCATCCAAGAGTTCAGGACGCCGGCCAAGAATATTAGGATTCTTGATAAGAGGTATTGGATGGAGTATTCTCATTCTCTCCGCAGCTCGAAATCCTGCATATTATCAACCATGGATACCACCCACCGTAGCATCGATCATGTGTCTAGTCGCCCTAGATTCTTTGATTCCTAATATTGGAGACCCTTGATCTTAACAAGCAATCGAAAGAGAGATTGATTCTCCGATTAGACGCACAAAGGTTCTAAAAGAGTGCAGTGAGATTTGTAATTAAGCTCTTGCTATCAATTAACATATAACTCTGTGGATAATATTCTTGATGTGTTTACGCTAAAGCTTCATAAATAAGTAAATTTACAACGACGAAGTCGTTCTGCTTTCCTAAAAAAAATAGACATTCAGGAATTGCGATAATTTCTTCCCCAGAGTACAGATAACCGTGGTTTATTTATTAACAAAAGAAATTATTTTTTCATATTTCTCGCGTCTGATAAGGCATACAAAATGGTAAACTTGTAATGGTAAAATGTCGAACAAATCATTATTAATGCACGAGCGAGTGACAGGTAAAGAATAATGCGTACCATACAAGCGAGAAAAAGACAATGGGGTAGATAAAAGGTAAAGTAACCGAATATACAATTCGGTTTCAGATAGGACATTCGAATCTACAATCTCTACACCCGAGCACATGTCGGTCATATTTCTCTGTATTCGTCACTAACCGGTGTCCCCTGAGATTACATATCTGAACGGTTAACCTTTACTTTAACGCGTTAAAAGACTTGTCTGGCGTGATCTCGGACACGCGAGTCCTATGTTTCCTACTTCCTTCATCTTAAAATAACTAATTTTATTTTATAATTTGTGAAAAAGCGACACGTACATACATGTCCGGAAAACATTGGATCTCTCGCATGCAATCACTTGTGCACAGTCCATATCCTATAAAGGATCTCCGAGTTGCATGACTCGTCTCCTCTTCTTTCTTGATTAATAATTACAGCTGTTTCCTATTTTTTTTTTTTGTATCACTCCTTTATCTTTCTCTACCGCGGATCGTAAAAATCCGCGTGCGGTTTTGCAAAAGGACGAAGAATCACGAGTTTTAGGCTGACCTAATCTAACGGTCTTTAAAACTCTCGTGGTGATCTGGGCAATGTAAACTATCGAGGCGTGGCCTTTGATGAATTTCCGGATACTGCTCTAATCTTATAACGAAACGAAATGTATCTAACTGAATCAATTGTCACAAAACTGAGCTACCGAGAGGTGGTTTAACGTAAAGGATAATTTTTGTTTTCGAGATCAGAGGTAGGGAGAAAACATCTGTTCCTTGGCACACCCTGAGGTGTAATATACAGTACTGCTCAAGAGCTCAATAGTCCAGTGCCCACTCATTTTCCTGCAAAAAGGAGTCTACTACTTCTTTCATAGCCAGATTTGGTATCAGTTGATCTTGCGTCAGGCGAACTCTCGTCACGGGATCGAAGTGACCCACCCTCTGGAGATGCTCTTCGATATCTTTACGTTCGTACGTGATCCCACTCGGAGTGATTACTGGCTCTTGTAATATCTCGAAGCTGATCTTGCCACAGAGGTAGTCGGGTACGTCTCTTTTCTAAATTAAAGAGATGTGTTGTGTCTCAAAGCGATAACGTTATTAAATGAAACTAATCGAGAACTTACTCGTCTCCTATCATCCACTTTAGCAAACAGATCATTAAGTTGAGCTATGCAGGTTTCTTTCTTTTCCTCGATTTCCTCTTTACGACGAATCAGATCGGCATCCGCCGATCCCTCCTTCCCAATGGGTTCTCCTTCTGGTTCTGACAAACTCGCGAGGTTTTTCTCCGCATCCTCGGCAATCAATTGATTCAAGTAAGTCTGAAGCTCGATATCTTGGGCGATTCTTTGTTCCTCCCTTAGTTGGAATCTACGTTTACGCGCCTGTCTCAAAACGCTCGTCATGTCATCCCCATAATTCAGTTTCTGCTCCTTTGCCAGATCGACCGCTGTATTAATATCAAATGTAAATAACTGATCCGATTCTAAATTGATACACCGATAAACTTCTTAACGTTACACATACAAAGGCCCTCAAGATCATACCACGTTGTAAGTGCTTGACAGCTTCGTCGAAAAGCTCAAGTTCGAGAAGTGAAAGTCCAAGAAAGAAATGACCCTTCACCAGACAAGGCTCCATGTCGAGGGCTCGTCGACAGTCCTGACAGGTAGACTCCCATCGCTTGAGTTTCAAATGACAGAGGGCTCGATTCGTAAAATAAGTTGCCGTCGTTGGGTTTTTTATCTGCAAGACATAAGTACATCGTTACAGTTCCAGGGTCTCGATGATCCCAAAATTAACGACTTACAATAGCCTTTGTATAACAACTGGCTGCATCCTCGTATTTGTGAAGATTAAAAAAACGATTCCCTTGCTCCTTCAGCTCTTTGTCCGTCAGATTTGCAGTCGAGTACATTTTGCTCATAATGGCGAGGGCGCGTGGCGCGTTGTCCGGGTTCACCGGAATGCACCACCGGAGATCCCTAACCTCTTCGAAACGCCGAGCACAGACCAGCACCAGCGATCGCGATGTAGGGATCGCTCGCTCAACGAATCTGTCAAAAATATTTTCGAGCCTTCGCCAGCATAACCTCAAATGGATGGGTCTCCATTCGTGACGTCGCGACGTATCTTGGACGTTCCTGAAACGACTTATGTATGTTCCAGGGTCCTCGCGATATTCGGTACTCGTCCTCGCTTGTGACTTTTAAATATCGATTAATTACACATTTCTAGGTTAACATTTACGCGGTTACGACTACCTTCGGCAATGCAACGGTGCAGCGGTAAAGCAAACGCGAAAAGTAATATCTAGATTAATCACTGGAGGCAACTGCCGGTGACTGCCGGTCCGTCGGCCCGGGCTGCGACCGCTGGCCGTACCCGGCTCTTGGATTGGTCCCGGCCTCGCCCAATCCGGGAGCTGGATCGCTTTTCTCTCATATCAGAGATGAGCAGGCTCATATGTATATCATGTAATTTGATGTAATTCATCTCTGATTTCTAGACTTGAAAGGTAATATTTAAGTAATTCGGAGAAATTCTCGTATGGTTCGCAACAGTAATGACACATATGAATTTTGGATCAAAGTGGAAGGAAATTGAATTACGCGACGGAAAATTTCTAATATCTGTCAGGGAAGAAAATAAAACATGGAGAATACTGTTGACCGATCTTGTAGAAATTTGGTCGGAGGTATTGGAGCAAAAGACATTGTTAGCAAGATGTCGGGTAATTGTTTTCAGTTTTTAATTGTAACAATTGACATCCCTGTAATTACTTAAGGCAATAATGTTAAGCGTTGCTGTAATAAGAATGACGATGTTCATATGCCTCTTTTTATAGGATTTAAATCCTCTTTTGGGAGTGGACTCTTCTTGCATGGAGAAAATTATCGAAAGAATATTAGATGACATTCCAAAACATAGTACTAGTCAGTCATCCGTCGAACGTATAATTTTACATACCATCATAGAAGGTGGTGTATTCAGATTTAATATAGATTTAACTAAGGGAACTGCTCGAGAATTTTGGCGAGAAGTAACTATGCCAATGTATCAAATCACGGCAGAACTAGATCGACGACAAAAGATTTTATTGGATCTTGTGAAAAGAAAAGATGAAGAGATCGCCGAGTACGTCGCAACTGGTGCTGAATTGATCAGAAGTAAGGATGTATCCATAAAATGAGCAAAACCGCAGCTACACCAAATTTACCGTGAACCGATTCTATAATATTCCTTTCAGAGCATATAAAAACACAAGTTTTTCATTCTGATTTGTTTAAAACGGAATCCCCCATATGTACTACCAAGGATTCTTTAAATATATTTCAATCGGTGATCTCGTCGTACAATGAAATAAAGGCAGAAACGGTACCCTTGAACGACGACAAGGAATTACTAATGAACAGCTCCAGGTTTTTACATTTTCTTTTCCGACACATGAAAACGTTATAAAAAAAATTAAAACATTCTTCCTTTTAGAACTATAAAATCAGAGGAGCCACTTCTGCCGATAAAAGTTGAGGACTGTGCTTCACAGTTAACGGATGTATCAGAAAAGTCTACCGCAAGTACCGCTACAAGTAGTTTGGATGCATCCGTTCATAACTCTTCCGTAACTACTAAGAAGAACAATCCAAGTCCAAAGGGGTTGGCAAAAACCTCAACGAGCAATCCTTTATGCTTAAGCAACTCCGTTACAAAACTACCAAAGAAGAGAAAAACGTTGTTCGATTTAATCTCTTGACCAAAGACACGCTCACTCTTTCATAACGGCACACGCCAGATTTAATAAAGCAATATTTACACGTAAGTAAAAAGAGTGCATCTTTATTTATTACCGACTCAAACATCAAGTTGTATAATGGCCCTATTAACTTATTAACTAAAGATACAACAAATGTACACGTCGTTTCATCGGATCACCAGAGAATCGGCGCTCGCACGTTTTCCAAAGAATTCATGCGAGCAAGATCCAATCGCGACCCTCATCGAAAAAGCTGTCGTACCGTTCCCCTTTGTGTCTCTTCACGACGGGATCGTCTTAAACCGAGCGAAGCCCATTTTCAGGAGTCTCCGGGAAGGAATTCCCGAAAACGGTCGTCACCGATCTGCGTGGAAAAAGGTGTCCAGTGTAGAGACAGTTGCGAAGAAAAGTAACGAGAGAGGAAGGGAAACCCAGGAGTTAAAAGAGAACCCTATAAAATCGTTTCTCAACGTTCCTCCGAAGACCAGCTTCGGAGAAAGAAAGTACATCTCGTCGGAGGGCGGGAGACTAACGAGCCAGCGTCTCTCGGCGGAAGCGAACGAAATCGACGTCTGCGAAGAACCGATAAGCGAGTCCTCGTGCATCTTGCGAATCTTATCCCGGAGCTCGGAAAAGCGATCGTCTCGACGCGAAGCCTCTTTGGATCCGACGAGAAAGTGCCGCAAGAAATGACTCGCCTCGGTGGAATCTAAAAAGGCCCCGAAGAGTCCTTATAGACTCGCCGCAAGTTATAAATATACAAAAGCAACAGTGATATAGTCGTGTATACACCGTTTCGCGATAGTACAAAGCCCGTCGGTCTTACCGAGGCCGCGAGGTAACGAGGAGCGAAAATCGAGACTATCGGTACACCCTGCTCGATTCGTCATTTCCACCGCTCGTTCGTCACCGCGACGGGTTCATGCGCGGCCCTTCAGCTATATAAGCGTCTTACTTCATACGTCGCTCGTCCGTTAAATCGTTTATAGGCACAATGAAGGCGTTTTGTGTCTGCCAGCGTAAATGAAGATCACGATTAATGACAACGTTCCTATCGGGGGAGCGAACGGTCTACGTTCTACCGTGAACTTCTTGTGCGATCGCGACGTTTCCGGTCCTTCGGGAGAAGCGGCTCTACCGAGGGGAGACCTGCCCGTCAATTTCTTTCGTCAAACGTAAAAAGAAAGATCGAATCCTCCATTCGTTTCGAACGCACTCGAGACAAGCCGACGGACGCTAAATTGCCGGGAAATTAATTCCGCATTTTCTGCGCTAAATTCTCCTCGATTCCTGCGAAATGTATTATCTAATTTACGTCGCGAAATCAATCCCGAAGAAGAGGTCCCCGAAGCGCTTCGGCCGACCTCCTGGTCCGCGAAATCGCGAGTTCCATCACAATGCGCTTGAATACTTCTCGGTTAGCGAGGACGCGTAGCGGAATGAGCAGCAATCGAACGAGATCTCGTATTAGGCCAGAGAAAACGCCAAGCAAGGATCGAGACGACCCCGGCAGATTTTCCTCGTTCTCGAGGGAGTCTCCGCTCCGATCCGTTTCCTTCCCAGGCGCGGTAAATCCGCGAGAGTGCGCGAATCATCCCCTCCTGTCATGTCTAGTAAGAAAAGGTCGACGTCCCGCAATTGGCGATCGGAGGAGATAATTGAAATGCGTGCACATACATTACGATGACACACTTATCGCGAGAGTACTCTTGGACAAGCGTTGCTTCCAGAAGTCTCTAGAACTTCGGAGGTCTAGGTCCGGGTAGAGTCTACGTCATGCTCCAGCAAATGGCTCTACAGTCGATCGGATCTATTTAAGACCAGACTGGACGATGGAAAAATTCCTTAAACATATGCGGCTTTTGAAATGCGACATTTGACACGAGACCTCTTCTCGTCACTTTTACATCACCTTAAGCCACGACAAATTTAAGGGACAATTCTTAATTTCAATCCATGATGCGAAAATTGTTTCGAACGGCTGTAGCGTAGCCACGGCCTTAAAGTTAAAATTCGGAGACTCGCTCGGAGTCTCCTTATGGCCGAATCCTCGCGTATCGTCGATCGTCCGATTGCTCGCCTCCACTCAGGGGTCGATCGCACGGTCACGTCGAGGTTCACAGATAAAAAGACGACAGTGTAAGTACAAAGAGTACGTGAGTACGCTTAACTATCATATTAAGTATATACTCGGGGTGGCCGAGGCCTCGTGGACCTCCCTTCAAGGACCAGTCCTCGAGGTCTCGGTCCCTTGGTTGCTTCGGTACTGTGCAGCGTTAATTGCTCGAATCTTGGAGTGCGTGCATGGTTTTGAAATCACGGTTGAACCTTAAGGCGACATAAAAATGGCATCAAAGAGTTTATACCGTCTCGTTTATCAAACTTCTCCTAATCGGCGAACGATCGACCTCTTAGATGCCACTTTCGCATCCCCTTAAACTCGCAACGAACCCTACGTAATTCCTTTCCAACGAGGCTGATTCCTCGTGAACGCGACCTGCAGGCCACGGGTCTTCTCTTCGGATCTCGAAGCACGGTCCATTCCTCCATGAAGACCCCGAGGATGACCTCGGCTCTTCCTGGCGTCCCTTGGACGCGGCAGTCTCACGCTGTGCAGAGAACGACGACGACCTCGGCCCCTGCCGACCGCTTGCCGCTCTTCCTGGCCTCGCAGGGTGGTCAAAGCCTTCCAACCATTAGACCACGGTCTGGATCCGAATCGTGGCGACTCTTCGTCTTCGCACTTGGCCTCGCGGGGGTCTCTTCCAGGCTAACAGGAACATCGCCACGCGTCGCCCTGCTGGGACGGCGATTGCGCCTTGATTATGCTATCCGCGCCTTCTCTCTCCGAGGCCTCGAAGAGACTCGCCTACATAAAGCATAAACGATTAATATATATAATAGAATATAATAAAACACTTAAGCAATAATATATCAATTACAGGGCACCGGATAAACCGTACGCAACGCGACGAAGAGAGATTTTACCCTGCGACCTCGCTGCTCGCGTATTCTCCTCGCCAGGGTGAGGAAGGCCTCTTCGATATTGATGTTCTCCTTGCAGGAGACCTCGAAGAAGGGCATGTCGAAGTTCTCGGCGATCTTCTGGCCCCTCTCCGCGTCCACGGCCCTGTGGGTGCTGGCGTCGCACTTGTTCGCCGCCAGGACCTTCACCACGTCCGGAGAGGCGTTCTGCGGTTGGAAAATCGTGACATCAGGAATAATTTCCTATTAGTGGTGCATTATAGAGATCCCGTTCTACCTCCTGGATGTTTCTAAGCCAGTAGGAGAGATGGTTGAAGCTTTCCAGGCTGGTGACGTCGTACATCAGCAGGATGCCCATCGCGCCCCTGTAATAAGCCGTCGTGAGGGTCCTGAATCGCTCCTGGCCAGCGGTGTCCCTTGAAGAAGAGAACGAAGAAATGATCTCCAATAATTGATCGATCAGAAAAGTCAAGATCGAGCAACATTCCGGACCCACTCACCAGATCTGCAGCTTTATCGGCGTGCCGTCCAGGTTAATGATCTTCTGCTTGAAATCGATACCTGCGAAAACGTCACCATGAGTCCGGATCGATCATCCCGAGGAGAGGACAAGGACGTTGGGAACGTTAAGAACGCCTTTCGCGCCACTTTCCACTTGGTCCCACCTCGAAGGGGTCCTTCCATGTCGTCCCTGGACGGGACGCCCTGCGATCAGCTGTTCCGCGCCAGACGAGTCCCATCCGGGAAATCCTCGCCTTATCCCCCGCAGACTCTTTTCAAAATTATTCCCAAGACCCAGGACCCCTGTTCAATTCCTGGCCGGAGTAAAATAGTTCCCAGGAACTTCCCAAGAGAGGGTATAAACCGAAAAGCGGCGTTCAAAGAGCGCATTGGAAGGAAATCGCGCCCCGAGTCTGGAGGAGATATCTATTCTGGGTCTAGTGGCTCTCTTCGGGTTTAAAGGGACCAAAGGGTGGAGGGGCTCGCGGAATCCGCGAAGCGTTTCGCTGTCAACAAACTGGAGGACTCCGTTGAAGAGACCCCGAAGACGAGGTCGTCGGTCTCACCTATGGTGGATATGTAGGTGTCGTAGTAACGCTCGTCGCAGTAGCGGTGGACGATGCAGGTCTTGCCGACGTTCGAGTCGCCGAGCACCAGGACCTTGTAGGTGGCTGCGAAATCCAGCGCCATGTTTGGGGCTCGCAGGGTGGTTCGGACTGTCGTCGGGTCGTCGGGTCGTCGAAGTCGACGGCCCTCCGAGGAGCCCCAAGTCGGGGGTGGAGGATCGATTCGGGGCCTGCGCGCTGCCCCGGCCGGGGGCGAACCGCCCCCAGGGGCGACGGGACTGCTCCTCTGGGCGGCGAGTCGACACCTGATGGAGGAAAAATGTTCAATTAAAAATTGCACTTCTAAAAATAATTCAATTTATCCTAATCCGTAGGGATGATTTTTAAAAATTGTAATAATCAATATCCTTCCGGATCAGCGACGAGAAGCGAGGAGCCTCCCCTTTCTCGTTACAGCCCTTGAAGAAGGACCCTGGAATTTTCCTGAAAGTGTCATTCCAGATATTTCCAGGAAAAGCAGGGAATAGATTCCATTTCTGTTACGAATAGCCGCATGGTCGCATGGCCGCATGCCCGCAATTAAAGTCCAACGCTAATGCCCACGGTAGTGGCGTAGGTCAGTTATCGCCGTAATGCTCCCAGGGGTCGTAAAACCGCCCGACACGAGAGCGAGGGTCATCGCGCAACCCCTCGTAATGGGACTTCGAAGTCACCGGGTATTTTTCTTGTCGGCAGATCGAACATTTCAGAAAAGCGAAGGAATTGCCGGTTCTTTCTGCAGGTGGAAGCGGAGGGAGGAGTTCGGAGAAGAAGACACCGGTGAAAAATCTCATCTCATATATTCGTTAACAATAAATCCACCGTAACTCTGTTAACACCGACAACGGAAGTATACGCGTGCGGGGATATTCCTCTCCGTAATACCTAATTGTACTAATTACTCGTACTCGCGGAAGCTGTGTGCGCTCGCTCTCCTCATTGTTCGCGACTTACTCTTTTGATTCGTGGTCGTACACGGTACCAGACGTTGTAATAATACATGGCGAGTGAAGGGGTCTAAACCGCGCCACTCCGAGCCTCGTGAAAAATTCCTCGAAACGCCTACCGCACAATTTGCTTTCTATATTCGAACTTGAGCGGGCAAGGTGTACGAAAATTCCTGACCAAACGGAATTAGACGTGTGGAATATGCAACGAGAGAAGGCGTTTAAACCGCCACTCCTAGTATCGTGAAAAATTCCTCGCAACGTCCACTGCATAATTCGCCTCTTACATTCGAACTTGCGCATGAAAGGCGTAGAAAAATTCGTGGCTAACAAAAAATGAAACAGCCGTCTGAAATAAGTACGATCTCGCGACAAAGTCCTTTCGATCGGTTTTAGAATTAAGACGAACTTCGGAAGATCGGTCTTGGGTGTGCGTGTCTATTTCAGGCCTGACCACAATTGCGGCGACTCCGCAGATTTCGGAGCGACATATTCTCGCAGGCACTTTTACTCGCTTCGCGTAATTCCTCGGTAAAGTCACTTCGGCGTTTACTAATAAACCGTCATACTCGCAGTCAGTTGATCGCGATCAATTCCCTGCCTCATTTGAAATGTACTAATTATTTCATCCTTACCGACACCCGCGCCGTGTCCGCCTTAAGGTGATGCGAAAGTAGCGCGAAAGAGATCTCGTTTATGAAACTTCTCTTCAAACTGGATGTACCGCCGAATCGTACCAAATTTTATAGCGTGAACACGAAGACTATAGGGAAGGTCCTGATGCCCATGAAATTTAATTTTTGATATACAATTTTTAAAATAGGTATAAACAAATTTTAAAAAAATTAAAATTTCATGGGTGTCAGGACCTTCCTTATAGCCTCCATATTCACGGTATAAAGTTTGGAACGATTTGGTACACTCAATTCGGTCAAAAGTTTCACAAACGAGACCTCTTTGGCGCCACTTTCGCATCCCTTTAAGCCGCCGATTTGCGTTTCCCTACGTCGTTAAAAATCGAGAACGAGTCGATCGGGGACCTGGAATTTCGAGTTTCGAAATGTCCGAAGTACCCGAGAATGATTTAAACACAGTATTCGCGTACTTAGGCGCGATTTAAGTACGGTCTATAATTATCGCCTAATGGGCCTACGTAATATCGGAAGAACTACGTTCTAGCTTAACGATTCGAGAACGACCTAAATACTACAAGGTACTAATCACTGGTAACGTAACACGATTCTAATTGTACACGTTAATGATATGGCGTTAGGATATTACGAAACCAAGAGGGATTCGTAACCGCGCTATCGATAATGCGTAATCGCACCCTACAATGCGTAACGGGGATATGGCCTGTTAATTGCTTAAAACTCCGATTACTCGATTACAGCTTGATTACAAGAAAAATAATCCCTAGACAAGTGGTAGCGGAATCGTCGCTGAGCTCTCCTCGATTTCGGTAACAATCTCCCCTGACAATTATCGGACTTTGCATCGCGTTAACAGTCTTTTGCAGTCCACCTTTGATTTTGCAATCTTACGGTAATACTTTCCACGTTATCTCAGAGCATTAAACTCGGACATTCGTTGAACGAATAAAGTTATTTGGTCGGTAGCAACAATATATAACTCGTGCCGCGAAATTTAAATCACGGTCTTTTAACTTATCACAAATTAGGCCATTTTGTTTAACAAAATTATATATATAATTGATTTTTTTTCAGTGAGGTCGAATATAAATTGAAAAAAAATCTGACGTACAATCGGCCCTATTGGCAGTTGTTGAAAATAAACGATACTTCCTGTAAATGTTCCTGTAGACGTATAAAAACGCTCGCGACTAAAAAAAGATTACAAACTAAAAATACGTATTGACAAGGATTGGACGGGACGTGTAATTAAAGTAATCAAGTACCTATCACGGTAACGTCAGATTTCTCGTAAGGACGTTTCTCCTTGCATCGAATCTTGGCTGCTTGTTTTACCTGAACAACCGATGTTTCTCCAGATTTTCTTTTATAATAAGTTGTATAAATGATCGATCGGCACCCGAGACCTCGGTGGTCGAGGTAAAACAAAGTGCAATTTCTGAAAATACTAATCACGGCGATTCGCTTTACAAGACGGAGCAAACGCACAAACCCATGGCCACCATGCCTAACATACATGTTAGATCCTTTTTAATACTAGATTCTTGTAGGCCAGCTCCAGGAAGACTGCGAATGTCGCACCATCGCAAGGACCACAGGGGAATGACAACGTGCAGAATGTCCGGGATCATGAAGCCCAGATCCCGAACAACCTATGAATTATTTTAAGCTTCGATGAACATTTACTTTGAAACAAAAGTGTGTGGAAAATTCATTTCAAATTCATTAAAGCTACATTAAGCTACGGCTCGAGAGAATGCACCAGGAAAATGTAGATTTTACGGAAATATTACAGGAACTCCGTAGAGCCTTGATAAGCAAACGATCGATCGGTGAAACGATTACTTGACCCGAATCCGAGGAAGAGCTTTCATTATCCATTTCTATAATTGATTCAATTTCAGCTAAACGTTGCATGAAGAATTCTCTCGTGCCGAAGCTCAATTAGAATGATCTCTTACCTGGTGAGCGTAGCCCTCACCTCTGACCACGTTTGTAACGAATTGGTCCCAACCACCGGCGAGAATATGCAAAATAGCTATTGCAGCGATACCAAATGCTTTCCGATGAGTAATCGAATGCTTGCGATCCGCCAGGTGGACGACGAGGGCGGTGGATATTAGCTCGGTAACGGAGAAGAACAGCTGATGATACCACTGAGAGTAGAAGTCGTCGTTCCAGTAATTGATGTAGACCCACCAGGAGTAATAGTGAGAGAACACCGCGGTGGAAAATAAAACCAGCATGCCGAATCGCAGACGATTTTGCAGTGCCAAGTGAGACAGATACTTGACGGTCTCGTAAAACACGATCACTCCGACGACTATGGTGAACCAAATTTTCAAGGTGTTGTTTGTGGCATTGAAGTACATGTGCTTGTACGAGGCCACTCCAGACTCGTAAGACCCTAAAAAGAAAGAGACTGAATTACGTTGATTTAATTAAAATTATTTGGGAGATAAAACTAGGATTATATTAAATACCTTTAAATACGGTGTCCCAGCATGAACACGTGCAATACTGCTTGTCGACATCGCGCGAAAAATCTTTCCAAAAATAGTAAAGGAAGGCAATGTGCAATGGCGGAATAGTCAATGGGGCCAAAATGCCTGCTGCCTTCGAACCACAGTTTACGAAATGTGAAAGTATATAACGTCTGAACATCCTTGTGAGTTTGTACAGAAGCTCACGGTATTCATATTCAATGTTTTTAATCAGCCTTGGCCACGGTACCATGCTAAGCGGTGGATCAAAACTCTATGTGCCAGTTCTTTTAATTTAAAATCGAGTTCCCTGTGCGATCATCTTTTAGATGTGAATTTCTCCCCTGAAAAGGATTCAATTAAGATATACATGTAGAAATTAAAGCAGCTTTAATTTTTAATATTAATATGGATAATTTATACTTTAGAGAAGTTACTATATCACCCCTACAGTTTCACCTGGTAGGGAGCTTCACTTGTGGCTTACTATCTAAAATTACACTTCCTCGTTCACTTTCAAATTTCTAGGCACATTTGCCAACCATAAATCGACTGCCAGGTCACCGAGTTCAACTTACCTCCAAATATACTTTGGTTTTAATTAACCGCTTACACTACAGCCAGCTAAATTATCGTTTACCATTTACGAATGCATAAGTACAATTTACAAATACAAAATAATATCCCTTTACATACTCCTTATATCTTTTAACATGCCGTAACATTATTCATTTTTAATTACCATCAATTAAGATTTATTAATTTATCACAGCGAGGGTTTAATTAATTTGTGGAAAACCATACTGACTTAATAGCAATAATGGAACGGTATGTTTCGAACATGAGACAATGACTGGGGTGTACTCACTTGAAATTTAACGCACTCAATTCGTTGACACCCACAAGTCGGGAGACAAAACGTCGTAATCAATCAGTGCGAATGTATTCGCAGAGAATAGGATCGTTTCTCTGGAGCGAGTCATGACTTTTGTGCAAAAATATTGGAGGGATCGGTATCGGCCACGAAGGAAGCTATTGGGAGCTCAGTTGCGCGATATTACGTCACGTTGTTTGACGTTCATTGCCGGTACGAGTCTTACGAGCACCTGCGTGAGACGCCTCGCAAGCTGCCGCTCGAACTCACATTATAACCAAACAAATCAAAAGTCTAATTGATAAGTCTGCACCGACACTGTGTGCTGGAGCAAGTGTCACCACGAACGACCATGTTTATTCGATCACTGCACAAACTCGTCACGTCACATTGCGTGCGCAACTGCAAGTGACTGCAAGGCCGACGAAAATCAACGAAAATTGAACTAACTGTCTCCCCCCTTGCGCACGCGCCCTCTTCACGGCTTTCACGTGTGGCGGCCATTTTGTTTGCGGCCGCTATCCCAAGCCAGACGCCGGAGTCAATTCGAGTACTCTGATTAAAGATTCAACCTCTACTTATTCGCCTTTTCCTCTCGTTATCTGCGAGGAAAATTCTAAACCCGTCTGAAATCATTTTTAAAGGTTACGAGAAGTCTTATTATAGAAGTGAATCATTAAACGGAGTAGTGGCTAAGGGACGCCGTCGTTCAGTCGTGTTATACGATAGTTCTCGTTCTCAGAAGGTGAGGCTCGATTTTATTGCTTGTTAATCCGTGATTTCGTAATATTCAGGTAAATTTTTATTCAAATCTATTATTACTCGGCATAGTGGGTTTAAAGATTGTTTGGAGGATTCTCTTCCAACCGGTCCCATGGTGTAATGGTTAGCACTCTGGACTTTGAATCCAGCGATCCGAGTTCAAATCTCGGTGGGACCTACAAGGACTTAATTTTTTTTTCCTTGAATAAACCATATAATTTGCGGGCATAATCCTATGGGATCTTTTACATACACCATGTTCGATTATTTTATCGTGTCTCGAGATATAGATGCTTACACTGGAATAAGTTGCATTTTTTCTTGCATGCTTGTATTGGATCTTAGATAAGGATTCGGTTCGAATTTCGACTAAAATATACAGTAGAGACTAAGAAATGGCATTTGACTACTAAAAGCAGTCAGCTATGATCATTCGCGTTGAGTGTACAAGGGGACTTCCTCTTAATCTAAAATTCGACTTTTGCATCCACAGGAATGCATTTTTATTGAACATTGTGTGACCTTACAGGTGGAAGAGGGAACTTAGAGATAGAAGGAAATTCTCGGCGATGTACCAGTGATTCGCGAGACTTTGGTGTGTTAGTTCTGATTTGTTCCTAATTAAAAACTAATTAAGATGACTCTAAGTACCAGAGTATACAGTCTCGTGTTCGTTAGGGAAGCTTCGAGGATTTTACTGGGTCTAAAAAAGCGAGGTTTCGGCGAAGGGAAATGGAACGGATTCGGAGGTAAAGTGGAGCCCAACGAAACGGTCGTCGAGGGCGCAGTGAGGTGAGAAAGATCTTTTATTTCACGTTTAATCGATAAAGCGTCGAGTATACGTCGCGCCAGCCCTTGTTCCCCGTTTAATTCTATTCCCAGGGAGTTGAAAGAAGAGTGCGGTTTGCTGGCCAACTCTTTGAAATATAAAGGAGTCCTCAAGTTCCAGTTCAAAGAGGACCCTACACTTCTCGAGGTCCACGTATTCGACACTTACGACGTTTGCGGCGAACTTACAGAGTCTGACGGTAATTACGTCAAGTGATTCCAATTATCCGGAGTCTTAAAAACCTCTCTGGAATTGGTTTCAGAAATGCGACCCAAGTGGTACAATCTACAGAACATTCCCTTCGATAAGATGTGGCCGGACGATGCTTACTGGTTTCCGTACATGCTCCGAGGAGAGCTGTTTAAAGGATATTTCCTGTACCAGGGAGAAAAGATCCTGGAGCAGGATATCAAACCGCTGACGGAAGTGCCGGAAGGCATGAGCCTGTAAAGCAGTATTACCCTAGAGTAATATTTTTATACCAACTCGTATAAGAGCCCTCGATTAACATAAAGAGTAGATCACCTTTTCTACGTACTTAGCCAAGAATTTCATACGTTTCACATTTACTATTTATATATTTATCATGAATAAATAAAAACGCGGCATGTAATATTTTTTCTTTCACTCAGGAAATCACCAGTGGTCGTAATTGCGGTAATAATTGCGTGACGCATGAAGGGTGTATGCGCGAAATTTATTAACCTGCCAGCGTACACTGATAATTCCTTTAAACATTCGTCCTTAACACTACGACCATGGCAGGGTAAAGTCTCATGGTGTCTCCCAAAATCGCGTTGCGCGTCTAAGCGTTTTAAAATCACAAGTTAATGCAACGCACCTCGCAGAACGGAAGCGAAGAGTGTTCCTAGGTATGGCACTCGGGCAAGAATACAAAATGTGGACGTCATGGCTCCAAGAGTCGCACTGGATCGGTCCGAAGACTTCGGGATTAATTGATTAATCAGGATTAATCGCAATCGCCAGCGTATGCCGTCATTACGAGCTAATACGGCCTAATGATCCTCGAGCACCCGCGATGCCTCGATTTTGCAGCGGCGTTGAGTTTCTTCGTCAACGTTACATCGGCCCATTGCGATAAGAACCTCGAGCGGCATCTTAGTTTCATCGATCCAAAGGTCCGCTCTCTTCCTTTCGCTATTGTTCCGTCGTCGCGTCCACAGGCGCAGGCAGAAGCGAGGGTCAGTGGCTCCGGAAGATGCTGAAGCCGGAAAATTGCCACCTTCTCTCCATGTTCGCGCCAATGCCGGACAATTCCTGCTTGAACACTTGCGGGAACCTCTGCATAAGAGCCTCCACTTCGTTCGGCCTGATCCCGGGTTCCATCTTTTGCAAGTACGACCAAACGTAGTCGACGCTCGCTCCGAAAGGATGGATGTGCAGGAAGGTCGCGATCAAACCTGCTCCAAAAATAAATCCTTAATGCAAAGCGTTCACCTTGATATCTTTCAGATATTTTACCGCGACTCACCGATGAGCTTGGCATCCTTTTGAGTGACTTGAACACATCCGAGAGATGCAACAGGAAGCTTAGGTATCCGCGGCTCTTCGCTGATATCGTCGTCCTTATCTAACGTAATGATCTCGCTTTCCAGGGGCTCCTCCTTCTTCGTGGCGTTCAACTTCACCGTCAGGTCCTTGATCTTCTGGTCGTCCTGGGCTTGCTGCTTCTTGGACTGCATCAGCTGCTCCTGCATGCCCTTCAGCGTTTGCTGCAGCATCTTCATCTGCTTGTCCTTCGCGTCGATCTCGGTCTTCGTCTCGGACTTCAAAAGGTCCACCTGAAGAGCCGACATCGGTATAAATCTTCCAGGATTTTTCTACTTAACGATGAAACTTATTATACTATCCGTACCTCGTTTTTGTACGCCTCTAGCTGGCATCTCAGACTGTCGTTTTCCTCTTTCAGGGTCTGCAGCTTCTCGGCGTCCTCGTTGAACTCCTGGCTGCGGATCTTCTTCCTCTGGGGCTCGTCCTCCGAGTCGGACACCTCCATCTCGCCCTCGCCCTCCATCAGAGCCTCTTCCAGCTGGACGGCCTTAATTTCCTATCCAACAAACGTCTCGTAATAATTTCGATCTTTGGAGGCGCGTCGCCAGCCACAGTTACACCGGGCATGCAAAATCTGTAAGATACGATATGCGAGGTGATTATTACGTCGCGTGAAACCTCCGGATTACGACTCGACACTTTTCCTTCGTGTAATGCTTTTCTGCAGTTCAGAGTGTTTACACGACTGGCTCTGAATTACAGAAAAGACATGCATCTACGGTAGAATTATAGTTACGGTGGAACGTTAGACCTCGGAGGTGGACCTTGCCGGAGAACGACCCTTGGCTCTGTCTTCGGGGTGCAACCATCGGGTTACCCGTGGCTCGTGATCGTCCATCGACTCTCGGATATAAGCACTCGCTGGTTACCTGTTCCTGAAGAAGCTATCGGGTGTCTGACCGTCTAGTACCTCGTCGTCAACCTCCTCTTCGTCGTCGTGGCTCCCCCGAGTGCTCGGCCACTTACCTGGGTCTCTCAAATGCATGCAAGAACGCTTTTTGCGGGGCTCGTAGTTTAGCGGGCCGGCAAAGGGAAACGCCGAGCCATTGTCGCTTCTATTTACTCGACACTCTCTGCCGTTAAACTGCGGATACATACCGAGGACTGTTTCCTCCACATCTCGATGTTCTTCCGTTGGGCCTTGGTGAAGTGATCCCAGACTTTCTTGTGGCTGGCCGCAGTGAACACACGTTCGATCTGACTGACTGTCGATGACACGGGTGTCGCATGTCGCATGTCGCATACAAAAACACAACAAATCTTCCGTTGTACACCCTCATTAATGCACTATGCTCGTGGTTGATTGCGTTGCACAAAGGGCGCTCGACTAATTGTCCGACACCTTAACGTTAGAAACGGGACCGACCAGACATTGAATACCCTAGACCATCAATTTTTAATCATTCACCGCGTACTTTCCTCTCTAAATGGAACACGATAAGGGAGAACAAACGGCGAAGTTTCCGCGTTCTTTTTTTATATATATATTTTTTTTTATTTTCGATAACGGCACGTGATCCTCCGAATTAGCTATCTGTCATTTATGTTTGGAACGTATCGATAATGAGTCAAATCGGGGATCGCGTTTTTGCGTGGTTTTGACAACTGGAACGATACCGCCACGTGTAGATACTTACCGTGAGGATCTATATAATGTTTCAATTAATTAGAATACGATATTCCGTCTACCGCGTCTCTAACGTTTCGAGTGCCAGATAATTGTTCATCTCCCCGTGTTGCGAGAATGGATTAACTCACATCAAGATCGAGTTTAAGGGGGTATATACGCGTCCAACTTTAAATACAGATTTTAACCCTTCCGGGTAGCTGCACCCTATCTTGAGATTTTCCCATAACAAATAGTTTTATTCTTAATAATCCATAAATGAGACGCGAACGAGTATTATTAATAAAGCGATCTCTACAAACGACTGGGAAAATGTCTATAAAATTCTGCGCTTTAAATGTAAGGGTTCGAAATTTCAATAATTAAATTTTTGGAGGGTAATTCCGTGAGACTATTTTTTTTTTTTTGTAATCGAAGCAGATGAAAAAGTACAATTAGCCATGTTTAGGGAAAAAGTACCACCCGTGTACGTTAAGTAGACGTTCCAGAGACTCGACGATTATTACGTATATACCTCCTTGAACGTAAATTTAATCTGTGCGATCCTTTCTGCGATTTTCCCGCGATGAACACCGTTCGAAGACCATACATGCGTAGCTGATCGTAGCCAGCTATAATAGCTGCGTGGACGACTAGCTTCTCCGAAACCTGTTTCCTGCATCCTGTCGCTGTCCGAGTCTCAGTACCTAACTTATGGCATTCTGCTACACACCTTCCTTCCTAGAGGTATCTTCGAATCGCGTGACGATACAAAACTTAAAAAAGCAATCTCGAGCATTACGCCAGATTTTAGGAACGATCGGCAGTGTTGCTAACACGGAATTCACGATCTTGGTTCCATTCACCGAGGAAGTACTAGATTCGAGTAGTTCATATTCCGCATGGCCGACCTCGTCGTTTAGCAACACTGCTTACCTCGCTTATTGAAAATTCCTCTAGAATGAACAGCGATGCCCGACACCCTGTAAACATATTTAATTCCACCAGCATGCACCTCTCGGACGCTTAACGACCATCCGAGTGAAAATCCTCTTCCGATTTGACATAGTCCTTATCAAGGTCCACGCGAGTCCTCCTCGTGGAAGATCGAAAGTCAGCATTCTTCACCCACCTTGTCGCCTCCCTTCTTGGACGCTCAAGTTCGCCCCCAGCGATCGAGCACCGATCGAAGGGTTTACCTTGAAGACCTCTCACCGATCGTGCAGTCTCCCTTTTTCTCTCATTTCCTCTTAAAAAGAAGAGCAGAACCCGACGTCGACGGCATCTCGTGTCGAACGACCGGGACACCAGAAGTGAAAAATGCTGCCTCGATATGAAGAATGCACGGCTAACCATAGGAGGACCGATCAAGGATCGATCGATCTGGCTATGCTTTCTCGCCGGCGGTCCTTCCTTGGCGAGGGACCGATCGATTGTTTTCGCTGGAGCGAGGTAGGCACTTACCGGAGTAAAGCGACACACGTATACGGATATACGTTCGCGAACGTCATACCGACGTACGGTAGTTACGGCTAGACTGGTTCGATCGAAACGGTAGGTAGACTTACATTGTATGAGGAGTCCTTGCATCCTTCCTTTCATGAGCTCCTTAGCCTTCTGCAGCTCCTCCTCGTATGCGGCCTTTTCTGTCAATAATCGACGCACGTGGGAATTCGTCGACTGGATCATCGAGTAGAAGGTGTTCGCGTTCCTCTTCGTGCAATCGCCTCGTTCCAGCCAAGTAACGACGACCTGAGATTTTCGATATATTTCTGTTAATGATATTAGACGATACACGGGATCGATAGGGATGGATATCGATGAAAATTCATGGAGGGACTTGGACGTCGTTCCTAACCTGCACCGCTTTGACAAATGTATCGTCTTGCTTGATCTTCTCGCAGATGTTCGATGCTTCGTGGTCGGTGTAGTGGACTACAGGAGGAGGACTCGATGGAGCTCTTTGCCTCTCCTTTTCAACCCTTTCCCTGTGACGCTGCTCTCGCTGTAGTTGCCTCTGTCTGCACTCCCATTCGTACTGATCGTCTCTGGCCTGATATCGTGGATGTAGAAGGTAGGAAAGCGTCACAGGTGCAGCGGATGAAGGTACTCACCTGTGCGAAGTCCACGTGAAGTCTTCCAGTATTTGCAGAGTCGCCACTGGATCCTATCCGTACTCTGTATCCAGAAAGGTAGATGGCTGCATCGACGCTAGCTTCTAAGACGAAACGTATGTGACAGAAATTCTTCTTGGAAAGTCGGAGCGTCGTGATTTCGCCACACCGTTCGAATATCTCTTGAATAATCGCTTCGGTAATATTTTCCGGCAAGCCTGTTGAAGTTGAGAAAGAGAATCATGAATTGTTAGAAAGGTTAATTTCTTTTGGTATCGACCATGAATATTCTAACCTCCAACAAATATCGTTCTGCACCCTGGTGGTCTTTCTCGAGTGGTAGGTGGTGGTGCGTTTGGATTAGGTGGAAATAACGTGCAGCTTTTACAGTGGATGATCTCTTTGGTACCCTGTGGTCCTGCTGGAGGTGGGGGCAATGCACTGCTCATTATTTGAGCAGCGGCGTCGGTCATGATCTGTTCCGGCCCTAGCATGCGAGCACCGATCATTGCTCCTTCGTGTGGCATCATTCCCATTCCCATAGGGGGGTATCCATGAGCGTGACCCATGTGAGGACCCAATGCCATTTCTCCCATCATTGGTCCCATTGGCCCCATGGGTCCCATTCCCATCATTGGGTAGCCAACACCCATGCCCCAAACTCCAGCTGTCGGCTCTATTTGAGCTCCCATATTTTGAGTACTGCTGGTTCCTGCATTCGTCGATGACTGTCCTTCGCTGCCGTTTGTGCTCGAATGGCTCTCGTTGTTGCTAGTAGAATTTGTACTGGTCCTCTCTTCTGGTCTGCGGTCTTCTCGCCTTTCTCTTTCGGCTCGTTCCTCTCGCCTCTCTCTGTCACGCTCCCTTCGATCACCCCTTGACCTAAAAACAGAAATAATCCCATTTTATTCTACCCAGACGCAAGAACTCCAAAAATAACAAGATGCCTAAAGATATAACCTTCTACTATCACGGCTGTCTCTATTCTCTCTCGAGTCTCGTTCTCTCCTATTATCGTTCTTTTCATTCTTCCTGTCACTAGTCTCCTCGGCGGTTTCTCGGGCCATTGGTGGCTGATTTTTATTTGTGCTAAATTCCAGTGGGGTGTCGTTCATCCCAGGTAATGGAATAGGTGGAGGTAGAGGAGGAAATCCTTGACTCGCCAGTTCCATAAAACCTTGAGGGCCCGTAATAGGACCCAGGGGTCCCATTGGGCCCATACCTAACATATGAGAACAATTTTAAGTCGCTATCTCATTTAGGTAAACAGGCTTCTTATGTACTAGAATAATCTGATCAATCATGTAAGAACGTTCCAAAATAAGATAGACCTTGGGCAACATTAAGTAATCGTTAGAAGAAAACACCTTATTGCTTAACGGTATCAAATACGATACAGAGAAAATTAAGAGCATTCTTTCATTTTTGAGGACCGTTTGATAATTAAAAAAAAAACAGTGACAAGGTAGCAACTGTTCCTCTTCGGTGCTCTTCGGATTCCCACTTGGGACCCAGGAGAGTTTGGTTAGGAAATCGATGAATACTCACCCATCGGTGGCATAGCTGGAGTTGGCATTCCAGGAAAGTTGTAAGCCATTTCACGCGGTGGAAGCCAGTAGTTGGCCACGAAAAGGTGCCTCACGATTGTCGGGTCTGCATATGTCGTACGAATATCCCTTTGCTCCGAAACGCTTCACTTCAAGTTCAGCCAGCTTCTGCCAGCTTCTGCCAACACATATCCCTACCTCCCAAAAAGTTCCTTGCATCACTTTAATTGCCTAATTGCGATTTTATAATGAACCAGTTTCGGTGGATGGCCACCAGGTGATAACATGCGAGGCATATCTAAACATCTGAATTTTCTATGCCGTTCCGGCATATTTAACGTTAACTGGCAAATGGCTAACTTCTAGTTGTCACGTTGTTACATTTTAGAGTTTTTGTTCTGGCGATCAGTTAAAACAACGATGCACTACAGCATTAAGAAATACGTTGAAGCAGTGACATGACGTTGAGAGAAACTCTCTGGAAACATGGTAAGGGCTTGATAATTGTGAACTTCAGACCATGTTTTGATTGTACAGTTTGTCCTGCTGTATGGAATAATTCTTTTTTCATTCTTTGCTTTTCAAACGCCGATAGATACGGTCGCTGGCTCCTAGTCAAAGAGGAAAGCGTCCACTGCTTTTAGACATATCCAATGATATTCCCAGGACATTACCTACCCAAACAGTTAAACAGATTGAGAAACGGTGTCGTCGAAATGATAGGACCATTGCCATTCCAGAGTGTAAAGTGGTTGCTCTTACCGCTGAAGATGTATCCGCTACACAGGAAATTATATCTGAACATGTGAGATCTATATTCGATTATCTTTTGTCAAATAACGAATATTGTATGATGTGAGATACATCGTATGATTTAAATTTCTGTATTACAGGAACAGCGAGTTCGTAAGTTACTTAGCAAGCCATTTAAAATTCCTATTCCGGGATATCAATTATCGGGTCGAGCACTTGGGATGCGTCTGTCTGGCCCTCGCAGAGCATTATACGACCCAAATGAAGCAAATGCTTTGGTCGTGTATGTTCCACCGGAACTCTCTGAACATGACAAGTTGAAATTAGACCCGTAAGTTTGCTCTTTTCCTTTATATTTTTCTGTAGATAGAACTACAATCCTTGGAAACATGAAAGAGTACATTCAAAACAAAATCGAATTGAATAATATATATTTAGTCTCGTTACAGATGTAAGCAGCTAGTACATGTGGTCGTAGACCCGGTGCTTTGTAATGTCTTACGACCCCATCAACGGGAAGGTGTTAAATTCATGTATGAATGCGTTACAGGAAAACGTATAGAAAATGCTTATGGTTGCATAATGGCCGATGAAATGGGTCTCGGGAAGACCTTACAGTGTATAACTCTAATGTGGACACTCCTCAAACAAGGTACTTGCATACAAATCTTTTACAAGTGGTATCTAACTTTTAGTATACATACAACATTTTCTTATCAAGGTCCTGAAGCTAAACCACTTATAGAGAAGGCAATTATCGTTGCTCCTAGTTCATTAGTAAAGAATTGGTACAATGAGATCATGAAGTGGCTAAACAATAGAGTTCGGCCTCTAGCAATAGATGGTGGCAGTAAAAGTGATATCGACGCAAAGCTAAATGGATTTATGAAAACTTATGGGCGTAGATGTGCCAATCCAGTATTAATAATTAGTTATGAAACATTTCGTCTACACTCCAAAGTTCTTCATGATGACGAAGTCGGGTTGGTGTTGTGTGATGAAGGCCATCGATTGAAAAATTCTGAAAATCAAACATATCAAGCCCTTATGGGCCTCAAAGCTAAACGAAGAGTTCTACTTAGTGGGACACCCATTCAAAACGATCTTCTGGAGTACTTTTCACTTGTACATTTTGTAAATCAGGGACTCCTTGGTACTGCCCAGGTACGTATAATTTATAAAATGCGGAAATAAGCTTTAAAAACCCTTTCAAATTATTTTTCATACATTTTTGAAACGCATAATTACCAGATAATCAATGCTATTGCTTTCAGGAATTTAGAAGAAAGTTTGAAAATCCAATCTTGAGGGGACAAGATGCAAACGCTTCCAATGAAGATCGTAAAGTTGCTCAAGAGAGACTGGAAGAATTAGTTACCATTGTTAATAAATGCTTAATCCGTCGAACTAGCGCTCTACTCTCCAAATATTTACCTGTTAAACATGAGATGGTCATTTGTATAAAGATGACAAAACTGCAGACTGATCTCTACAATAACTTCATTAACAGCGAAGCAGTTAGACGGTCCATGCAAGGTATTAATCATTATCGTAAGCACTCTAATGTTCGATACAGTTAGCTACATTTATCTCCATACTGTCCATTTCAGAAAATGATACAGGGACCACAAAGAAAGGAAGTATATCGGCACTCGCAGCAATTACATTACTCAAAAAATTGTGTAATCATCCGGAGCTGATTTATGAAAAGATTTTGGAAAAATCTGACGGTTTTGAAAATGCTCTGAATCTATTGCCATCTAATTACAGCACCAAGTAAGACAATACATTTTTATTACGATTTGACTTACGGGAGCTTAATACATATTTAATTTTTTCCAGAGATGTTATGCCGGAATTATCCGGAAAACTTATGGTATTGGACTGCCTTTTGGCAACGATCAAATCTACGACAGATGATAAAATCGTTTTAGTGTCTAATTACACTCAGACACTGGATTTGTTCGAAAAACTCAGCCGCAAACGGTGCTATCGTTACGTGAGACTCGATGGTACAATGAGTATTAAGAAGAGAGCCAAAGTTGTGGATAATTTCAACGATCCAAACAGTGGAGATTTTATCTTTATGCTTAGCTCTAAAGCAGGAGGGTGCGGACTGAATTTAATAGGAGCGAATCGTCTAGTAATGTTCGATCCAGACTGGAATCCTGCGAACGATGATCAGGCTATGGCTCGAGTATGGCGAGATGGTCAGAAAAAACCGTGTTTCATCTATCGCTTCTTATCCGTGAGTATTACCATACCGATGGAAATTATGAAACACAGTGTAATCAAGATATATTACTATGGTGTCAAATTTGCATTTCGTATCCTCTTTGACAACTTCTAGACTGGAACGATAGAGGAAAAGATTTTCCAGCGGCAGGCTCATAAAAAGGCATTAAGTTCAACGGTGGTCGATCAGGAAGACGATGTCGCTAGACACTTTACGCTTACAGATCTTCGCGACTTATTCGGTTTAGAAGAGGATACCATCTCGGATACTCATGCAAAGTATGTACTCATAATTTTATTCGGCTCATTCATTTGTGCTTTAATTCTGAAATATTTACATAACAGGTTCAAATGTAAAAGATGTGTCAATGGTGTCGAATGTAAAGGTCCTCCTGAACAGTCGGACTGCAACTCCGATCTGTCGGATTGGAGACATGCTCATAATGCTCGAACCCTTCCGGACATACCTCTGCGTCAATGTTGGTCAAGTGGCATTTCATTTGTGTTCCACCATCGCTCGCACGAACAAGTAAAGACAGAAAGTGTATGAAGCACAATTATGCCATGTAAGTATAATTCTCGGTACGCTTCATTTAAAATAATGACATTATTTCGTTAGTACTCTAATTGGTCGTTGTCAATTGCTCTCTTTGTTGAGTTTTTCCGATTTTTCCCCTTATTTTTTTTTGCATTATTTTTCTTTGAGTTTTGCTTCGTTTTATTCACTGGCTTTTTATTTTTCTTTTGAGATTTTGGTTTAGATACTTTGGGTCGCTTTTTTGTCTTATTCGACTTGGCTGAACTCTTTGTCTTAATTTTCTTCTTGAAAATCGTGGGTTTTTTCTTCTGCGCTGATCGGTATTTTTTCAAACCTTTCACTTTCTTCTTTGACCAGTGAGTCGTCATCGAACGGTCTTTAGCATTCATCAGTTTCACCGAACGCAATTTGTTTGAAACATCGGGTGGTAATTTGTTCTTGACAATTATTTTAGATGTGTTATGAGAGGCCCCGTTGTTAGATTTATTCACAATTTGTGTAGTTGTCTGAATTTCTGTCTCATTAACTACTCGCAATTTATATTTCGGTGATGATTGTTGATGATTAATCCCCATAGAGTTATTCAAATTTTCTGTTTCGAATTTTGGATATCTCCTGTTATTAAATTCGGGTTCAGATGCATTTGTTTGCATGACCGATGAATTACTATCATCATCAATTTCCAATTCACTAGTTGTCGAATTGATGTCTATATTAGCTATCGAGATGTGATGTACCAGAAAGTGGGAATCATCGTCTACCTCCTCTTCGGAGTATTCTTCTTGATCCTAAAACGTAGTTTATAGTGACAGTGCTTAATTAGCAAACAACTTATTTTCTAAAAAAATAAAAAACAGAAGCAGAATACTGGATTACCCCGACATTATCCAGGGTTGACGCAGGATTGATAAGTGCATGCATATTTTCAGTTTTCGTTGATCCTTTGGACTCACTAACATCTCTAAGATTTGGATATTTAGGAATATTTATACTTCGGCGCTCTACAGTATGATATCGCCTGAATAGTACTTGCTGCGCATTGAATTTTTTTTTCCTCACAATATTTTTCACTTCGAAAGTCTTGTTACGTTTTAAATACGCAATATAATCGATTTCATCGAGAGCCTTATCGATGATAGGATTACGTGCGACTTCTTTCAGTCGTTTCCCAGTGCTAACATTTTTTGAAAAATAACGTTTACTGTCTCCATGATCTGCAAAAGTATTTACATGATAAATTTAATATTCAATATTTTATATACCTACAGTTGTGGCACTCAATATGCTTTTAGAAGAGACGTTCTTCTACAATGTAGCGGAAAAATAAATGAAGAAGAATATTGGTCTCCAATGAAACAATATGAACAAGATGTGAGCCTGAAAGCATTGTACAATGTGGAGGTATTTACACTAATATTCTTGTTCCCATCAATTTATTCCTGACAACGAGAAAGTTTTTATAATTAAAATTTAATTTTTTATGCCACGTTGTCAGTGCGAGGGAAGTGATAATAGTACGTACAAATGTGTAAACGTAGTAGGTCGTCTGTTATTACAAATGCTAGTAAATTTGTTTATTTTGTACATGAAGTAGAATGTAATGATGGTAGACTGCTATTTTTTGCACTTTTTGAAGATATTCGAAATAAACAAGGGTCGCTGAGGTATTGAGATTGAAAATGATTGTAATTAGTATCTCATCGATCTCGTTGTTAATATTTTATATTATGTAGGTTTTACTCTTACCGATAATATGGCGCAGGTGCAGATAAAAGCACGATTTGCAATGCACTCTCCCCTGCAACCATTGCTTGCTCACATTGTAACTCTTAATGGTATCGCATTCTTCTGTAGTATTTCTTTCAGAACAATTCCTTAAATAAAATCAGGTGAACGATATGCCATGATTTTAATACTTAAGATTTGTAATAACTGAAAGGATTTGTAAAACTTACGGTTTCTCTGCGAGGCTTCCGTTCACCATCCAATGGTAATAAATGAAGAATGTTGTTACCGTAAAAAGGCACCGATTGATCCGACTGAAAGTACTCGATCTACTCGACACCATGGTTAAAAAAAAGCCAGTATCCAATTTAGAGTTCCATAGACACAGTTCTATTAAACGTTCGATTATTCAGAGTACCGACTTTCCATCTCGATTACCCGTGCAATTGCGTTCAGTTGATTCGTTTGAACTAACAGCGTTGGTTGGAGGAGTTTGAGCAAACTGTAGCTTATTCGGTGAAAATGCATCACAATGGGTGTAAAACTGTTAATTAATCGCTGCTAAAGCAGCAAACAAGTTTTCCACGGTTCGGTTACGGCCCAACTTATGCTACAATTTCCTTATCTAGAAATTGAACCGAACACGAAGGTGCGAAATCTTGGAAGGAATTGAAATAATTACGTATGAACGGAAGTCATTTGGTTTATTAATTTAGGATAGCTTTGTACAAAAATTGTTGGGTACAAATATCAATTCAAACGTAGTCGGTAACATCACGTCGAGCCTAAAATTGGGCCTTTGAAGCGAAATTGTAACCTCGGTCGCAAGATGGCCCCACGCGGCCAAATTCTCTGTAAAATAGAACCACTTTTTGTCAGCATTTTAAAACCTCTTCGGACCAATGTATACAAAGGTATGCTTATCTACTAATTCGAGTACAATTACTCGTTACCCTGTATACATCACGAGCCGCATATAACAAAGACGTAACTTTGCGCAAGCGAAAAAAAAAAGCGTAGGCAGCTGTCAACGACCAAAATTATCGAAAAGTTAAACCAATGTCGATCGCAGAATTACGAATAAACTCCAGAGCCACTTCCCGAAAATAGAAGCGGCTTGCGTGTCTCGTAAAAAGTCAATTTGTCGAGCCTTAATTAGGAGATCGACTTTTCCATCGCTTAACGAGACCTTCTCCATGGGCAGGTACGAAGTCCTTCGCGAGAAAGAATTGGATCTTCGGGTCCAGGGAGAGAGAGAGAGAGCGAGAGAAAGAGAGGGGAGCGATCGAACGGTCCGTTTCCGGGCACCGATCGCAGGAGACGTTCACCCGGTTCACCCGGTTCACCCGGCCATAATTATCTCGTCGGTCGAGGAGCTCTCGAGCACGTAGACGCGGCGTGACGTAACGCACGTATCCCAAGAAGGCGACGTCTTTCGATCGGGCAGTACGAACGGTGAACGGGAGCCAATGGCTCGGCGCGTCGCGTCGTCACGAACAAAGTGGGGTAATAGAGAGGTAGCCGGGTGGGGGAAGGTCGCAGGGAAGACGCGGTCTCCGGGTCACGTGGTCCCGACGGAGCGCTCCGATTGGCCGGGCCGACCTCGCCTCGCTTTCCCTCCGACTCGGCGGCCGCTCGCGCCGTTTTCCGTCCAGCCGCCCGCTCAGAATAGTTCCAGATGTGGCCATGTTTAGTTAATCTTTGAAGTTTCGCTCGAATCAATTCATACACCACCGCATCTTTACATAACTGCCGACCGATCGTAACCGCTCTGCCCGCCGATCGCCCTCTTCGCCGCCTGCGGCTACCCGCGCCCGCACACTTAATTGCCGAGAGCGCTCTCTCGCGCCGCAAATAAGGGCCGCGGTGTCAGCCCGAGTCGACGCCATATTACGGCCCGCTCGCGCGAGCTCTCGAGGCCGTGCCGCGCCGGTCAGGGCGCGACGCGCGCACCTGGCCCGGGATCGAAAAGGCGCATCGCGCGAGGGCTAGCGAGCCAGCCTCGCTTCCCTCGGCGTGGCGCGCGCCCTCTCTCTCGCAACGGTTCGTCGTCCCCCTGAAGAGAAGGTACCTAGTGGAAAGAGATCTCGCGAGCACGCGTCTCCGCCATTTTCGGGGCGTCGCTCGCGCGAGGTGCGCGCGCGCGCTCGCTCATCCGGGAAGCGGAGGTGCGCGCGCATCGCCGGGGCGGGCGGACGCGCGATTGGCCGCCGGGCGGCGCGCTCCCCTCCCCTCCCGGCGCCCGCGAAGCAGACTTTGGTCAGCCCTGCCGCGGCGAGAGAGATCGAGGGGCGCCATTTTCCGATACGCCGACCGGCCGAGAGAGAGACGCGCCAAGTGATCCACGCGGACCTTTTCGCTGCCGAGTGCTCAGGGAGGAACCGGGCGGCTTGGCGAGAGCCCATGCAATTCCCGGCCGTCCGCCGGTAACCGGCGGCTATCGGCGGCTATCGGCCCACGGGAGGAGGGGAAGGGACGGATAATTCGTGCACCGACGTGGCGCGGCATTCATTCCGGTCGGGAGAGACGCGGAGGCTGGTCCGAGTCGAGGCGATGGTAGAGCTCGGGCGGGGGAGCTACATGGGCAAAGAGCGATCGAGTGGCGGGTAACGGCTCGAATAGTGGGACACCGTACATGAGATAATAACTTTAGTAGCGAAAGAAAACACGATTGGCCGAACAAACGGGGAGTATGGCACTCGAGAGTGTTTCCGGGGCCCAGACTCTAATACAAAGGTTTGCCTAATCATTTTTATTCGGAGGCGCGCGCGCGCCCGCGCACGCCCACCGCTATGCGCCGCGTGAACACTCGCTCTCACCCTCTCTCTACCCTACACCGACGCGCGGCGCTGGCTGCACGCGTATACGCTCACCCCGGCGCCGCCGGCGGCGCCGGCGGCGCCGGCGGAGGACCTGGGAGTGCGCTCTCGCGACGAAGGGAACCGCTCGGCTCTTCTCCTACCTTGCCGTTTTCGGGCGACGCGACTTTCGATTTCGGTCGTTGAACCCCGAGCCACCTCGGGTTTTATTCCGACGGATGTTTCTCTTTCCACGATCCCGAGTACCCTCGCATGGACGTGGCGCGGAATTGACGCGTTATCTGGCCGCGGAGTCGAGTGGACTCGCGTTAAGGGCTCGGAGATTCTCCAAGTCGAATTTAATTTTTCTTTCCGTTTTTTTCGTTCTTCCTTGCCAGGTCGAAGTATGTATATGTAGGTATATATTCTCGCAACTCCCTGTAGATCTCGAGGCCGTCCCGTTTATTGGTCGAGTGCGTTTTAATCGAGGGTGCCAGGAGGTCGCGACGACGTTTACTCTTGCCGCGCCTTAAAGCCTGCAAGTGCAAGATAGGACCTTTCAGGCTCTGCCCGCCCTAAGGGCGGTTGCATCGACCTGCGACGACCGGCGCCGGTCCGCGTCCGAATTCTAGCCCGACTAATGCAATTCGTGTCAATGACGCAACGATGACGAGGTATGCCAATGCTTTATGACGAGTCGTCGGTACGATGCCAATGCTCGCATGAATTATGACGACCGGCCTATGGTCGCGATCGTGACGACGATGAACATGATTATGACAGTGATGACCACGATGATGCTCCTATTGTTTATGATGATGATGATGATGATGATGATGATGATGATGGCGGTGACGGTGGTAGTGAGACGACGACGGTTGGCGATAAGCGGATAAGAAATGCGGTAAGGTAACGATACGCTGTTAACTGATTTACCAGTGAACATGGTTTACCATTATATGGGGTATTTCAGGAGATTCTTTTTTTTTTGGAGATTTCTTATCGAGAAGTTTCACGGAGAATTTTTTTATGAAGAGGTTTCGTGGAGACTTCACGGACGTATTTTCGTGGAGATTTTTCACGGAGATTTACGGCGATCTATTTGGAACGGTCTAGTCTAATTGCACGTGTTGTAGGTGCACCCGGATACGGATGCGGTCGATTAATTTACTTGGCAAGTAGACCGGCGAATTATTATCCATTTTATTAATTTTCGATGCCTTTATTGGATCGGGTCGATGTCGAGGTAACGGACGCCGTTGATGGCTGAGATCATGTACCTTTATGAATTTTTATTGGACTTTGAGCACACCTTGCGAAATTTTTTTCTAGTCCGATTTCCCCGCGATCGCTTGCCGGGCGATTTTGACTTTTTTTTTTTTGTTGGTTTCGAGCCACGACGCGATCCGATTTCGCGTTTTCTCCGCCTGGGTGGGTTGCGGGGGGTGGCAAACGCTTAGGCGAGTTTCTATTAATACTTCCTTTTCTCTGCCTTTTGTCGGCGGGTTTCTTCTTCTCTGGCCTCTCTTTGGATTCGACGCTCGCCCGTTAAGATTAATTACTGCATGCGCCGTTTGCGGAAAAAGCTACTTTTGGCTTGGGAAGCTCTTTTCACCCGTGATATCGCGAGCGGTACGGCTTTGTTAAATGGATCGTGTTAATACGTTGCAGTGGTTGTTCGCAATGAATCGTCTTACGACTTTTGTTTGACTAATCGGTCGCTCTTATCGCCAACTCGCCGCATTGAAAAATTAAATAGCGAGTAGAAGTGCTACTTGAACTGTCCTTCGCGTCGAGGTCATGGACGTAAAAATTCAATTCGTTAGGGTAACTTGGAACTACGTGGCGGATTTATTTCGTTAACGAGAATCGGGTCGAGGTCATCGCTGATCGTCGTCGTCGGTGGTCGTTGCGACGAACTCGTCATCGTGAAAGCATTGAGCGGAATTTGTATTCCGCCTCGTCGATCGTCATCGTTGCGGCTTGGCTGTGGAAATTCTGATTCGAGAAAGAGAAATTCAGACGACCTTAATAACGTATTTCTCTCCTTTTGCGAACAGTCAGAATGACAATGACTTGGAGGACGGCGAGATTCCGTCCGACGAGGACGACGACACGAGCTCGCCGGCCCCGAAGGCAGCTCAGGAACCACCGAAGCCGGAGCCGAAACCCGAGCCACCCAAGAGCAAGAGCTTCGACTGCAAGTACAACAAGAACAAAAAGCCCTCGGTGCAAGGAGGCAGCAAGCTCGATAGGTTTCACAAATTCAAGAACCCTACCGAAGACTGGGCGGGCGACGTCGAGAAAGCCATCAGGGCGGCTCTCGAGGAGGACAAGTCGAAGGGACAAGACAAGTCCAAGAACAAGAACAACAGGAACAAAAATCGCAAGAGAATACGAGATGACAAGGAGGACGAGAAGAACAAGGAGCAGAAGGTGGGTAGGACGCGAGGTCCCTCTTCCTGGCAATATCGATGAAACAAGATAAAATGGAATGAAATAAAATATTTAAATATTCGATACGCCGAGTATTACATATAGCACATGATTTTAATTCCAGAAGCGAAAGTTCAGCGACGACGAGAACGGCAACGAGGACGACGACGAGATGCTGTTCGTCCGAGGAGCTTCGCCCATCAGGAAGGACAGCAGGGAGAACGTTTCTCCTCCAAGGAGGATGAACGACCACGAGAATTTCGACAATAATTCGGACTACGACGAGCGACCCGTCCTCAGTCGTCACCGGGAAAGCGAGAATAAACGCGGAGGCGGAAGGGGCGGAGGTATACCTCACTCTGGATATTTTTATATTTTCATTCGGCCGAGGTTTATTCGCTATTCCCGTGATAATCTATAATTTGGCGGTCCAACAGGTCGCCGAGGTGGGAAGAGCGAACGCGGCAGCAAGAACAAAGGTCGCGGCCAGATGCGGAACGACCGGAACAATCGCAGGAACCAATCGAACGATCACGGCCAAGATCCTGACGCGATATGTCTGTATTACATGCAAGGGAAGTGCCATCGAGGCGACGACTGTCCCTTTTCGCACAATGCTCTGCCGCCTAGGAAAATGGAGCTCTGCAAGTTCTACCTAATGGACTGCTGCGCGAAAAGGGACAAATGTTTGTACATGCACCACGACTTCCCTTGCAAGTACTTCCATACGGGGCTGAAGTGCATCCAAGGGGACAAGTGCAAGTTCTCGCATCAGCCGTTAAGCGAACAAGTGAGGGCACTTCGTCACGAGACCTCGATGGATACAATTGTACTCGCGATGATGTAAGGTAACTCCTGGGTTTGTCTCGCAGGTGAAAAACATTCTGCTGAAGCATCTCGAAACCGCCCCGAAGGAGATCCTAGGCGACTTCCCAAGACTGAGCAGGGAAGGAGCGATGCTGATGATCAACAATACAGCCAGAAGTCTTACTCAAGGTACCGACATGCCGAACCAAAAGATCCCGAGTCTCTTCGAGCTGAACGTACACACGCCCGATTCTACCACTAAGACTGACGAGAAAACGGACGAAGGTAGCCATCTTCGTTGATGAATATTCGATAGATTTCGAAAGCAACGGGCTAAGGGTGTTTGTATGCCTTCGATCGATAGGTAAACCGACATCTCTTGGTCCTTCGCTCGACGCGTCCCCGAATGGCCAGCAGAAGGGGATGAACGCGTCGAAGGAGAGGAAGCCTTCGGGAAAGAAGACCCGCTGGGGCTCGGATGAGGACAGAGTTCCCTACGAGCAGATAATGCTTCTTCAGTCGGCCAATCAGCTGGGTCTTCAGCTTCCGAACGCCGCCCTTGGACTGGCCGTCCAGCAGCAGCTGCAGCAGCAATTCCTCATGCAGCAGCAACATCAGCATCAACAACAGCAACAGAATATGCCCGCCATGGACTTCTACACCGAGACCAGCGCGAGTTCCAACGAGGGACCGCGAATGAAGGAGAAAGAGGACTTTACCAAGGACGTGGAAGAAGACGAGATACTTGCACAAGTAACATCCCTTCCCGTACTTGTTTCTAATCGTGTCATGGTGTTGTATGGATCTAAACAATGTGGGATTTTAGGCAAAGGTGAAAGAAGCGGCGAGTGCAGTTTCCAGGGACGTGGATCTTCGACAACTGTTGGCGTCTTCCACGAAACCACCGCCCGTGGTTAGTATAGCGGACGAGGTGGCCAATCTTACCCAATCCAAGATCGACGAGGAGAGCGATCGAGACGAGGAGAGCGATCTCGTCATCGAGATGCCAGCCGAAGAGGAGGAAAAGGAGAAGGAATCAGGTGAGGGTATTTTCCATTTGTCGGTTCTGGTGTTTTTTTTTTTTTTTTTTTAAAGGAATATTTGATGTAACGCGTTCAATTATTTTTCTAGAATCCCAAAACTCGACTCAATCGTCCGAGAAATCCTTGTCGGCGCAGGACGACGACCAGGAGATCCCCTCGCATCTGCCGAAGAAGGCGCAGGAGCTGTTCATGCGCATCCAGCAGCAACAGCGTGCCGCCCAGGACAGCTTCAAGAACATGGATGAGGAGGACAAGAGCAAGGAGAGCAAGCTCCAGACGCTGGAGGACTGGTATTCGGACGACGACGACGACGAGGACGAGGTCGAAGAGAACGACGAGGACGACGATGACGACGACGACGGGGAGACGGGCCACCTGACGATAGTTTTGAAGGACTCGCAGAAGGAGGAGAGCGAGCAGGACGCCGAGAACAAGGGCTCCGTGCAGGAGGAGCCTTCCTCGGGGGTGGGCCAGGTGCCTAGCATCCCGCAACCGGCGGTGATAGCCGACAAGCTGGGCGACCTGAGCAAGATCGACATCAGCGCCGAGGTGTCGAAGCTCCTCTCGTCGATCAAGGCCCAGAGCTCGAATGGAAAGACGCAGACTCAGTCGAAGACTCCGTCGGCAGCCAGAGAGGCCTCCAGAGGTGCCAGCACCGACGAACCTCGAGACGACCACGGTCGCGAGGGTCAGTTCGCGATGCAGCACCAGGTAAAGGCCGAGCACGAGTCCGCGGAGCGGGGGTCATCGCCGGGTCCTAGCACCGCGCCCGCTCCCGTGTCCAGGGACCCTCGCATGTCCAGGGACCCCAGACAGAGGCGGGAGGAAGTCAAGGTGAGCAGTCCCAGCACGGCGGACGCGAAGAAGGACACCAGGTATCCCAGGGCGGGCACCAGCATCTACAGCTCGGGGATCATCGCGGTGGACGTCAACATGGACACCGACCTCAGAGCGAGGGCGGACCAGGATCACAGGAGGAAGGACATGGACCTGAGACAGCGCTTCCAGACCGACTTCGGCGACACCGACCTCAGGGTGGTCGGCGGCAGCTTCGTGGACCCGCCCGGCAGGTCCGACGTGGACCTGCGACAGATGCTGAGCTTGCCCTTCAAGCCGGCCCCTTCGCACGCGCCCTGCACCGAGATCGACGCCACGGTCTCCTCGCATCTGCCCATGCCCTACCGGGTCTACGTCGTGGACATCCCCCGGCCCGACTACACCGGGCTCAAGCTGACGAAGAACGATCCCCAAGTGCGGTACGACCCGCGGCTCAGAAAGATCTTCCGGCTGCCGAAGACCGACCTGGCGGACTCGCCCATGTCGCCGCCGCCGATGAAGATGGAGCCGCCCAACAAGTCGCCGCCCCAAGTCCGGGCGGACCCCAGAAGGAAGACCATAGAGGCCGCCAATCAGTCCTCCATGAACAACGCGGTGTCCTCGGTGCTCCAGGTGGGGCCTGGTCCACCTCAATCTCAACAGCCGCCGGGGGAGATGCCCGGCATGGGGCTGGGCCCTCAGGGGATCGCAGGGCCTCCTGGGATGCCCATGCCCATGATGGGGAACATGGGCCCGATGGGACCCATGATGAGCGGGCCCATGCCGCCGCCCAATGTCCCGCAGATACCCATGGGTGGGATGCAGAACGTCGGCCCCAATGGACCCATCGTTCCGCAGAACCAGGTGCCCTTCGATCCTCGCTTCAACGCTCAGAGGAACAACGGCGCCGGACTCTTGGGCCCGGCTCCGGGATTGGGGTTCACCCCCGAGGTGGGACCCTCTTACGACAACCCCGGGTATCCCCCGGGGAACTTCGGCAACTTTGGCCCCGGCCCTGGGCCCGCTGATCCTAATATCATAGGCTTCGGTCCCAATGGACCCAATGGACCCAATGGACCCAATTTTAACAACCCGGAGTGGAACGCGAGTCAGGGCCAGAACAGGAGAGGCGGCAGGTTGCGCAGGCGGAACAGGAACAGGGCCAACCCTATCCCTGGAAGCAGGGGCAACAGGTCGCCCCCGTGAGGACGAAGCACATTTATGGGAGGAACTCGGGATTAAGTCGAGATCGAACTAATTGCGATGTGCCGTTCCTCGATTACGACTATTCGTCGTCTTTCCCGGAACTTCCATGTCGCAGGACGGATATAAGAACTCTGGAACTCTTGTGGAATTCGGGAAAACCTTACGCAAGGATTCGGGGGTCAGGACTTATCATACCTTGAAACGTTGAAACCGATTATGACGCTCGAAACGCTGTTTTTTTTTTCTCTCCGTCTCTGTCGAGATATCGTATGTATGCATCTTCGTCGAGATAAGGGCTCGGCGGGCGAATTCGCTCGTGGATGAATCTGTACATATTGAGAGATAGCTCGCTTTTGATGCAAGCCGAACACCCTCTTTAGGTAGAATTCGCTGAATCGGGACGAGTGCCTCGCTTCTTCGCTTGGATTTTCATTTTCTACGTCTTCCAAACGTATGACGACGCTTTAGGGCCACGTACTCTGCACCTGCGAGTCTAGATTAGGGACTAAGCGAGTTTACTGATAAGAGATTTAGTTTCTTCTACCTTTCTTTCTTTTTTTCAACTTCTCGTTTTCACGAGGTCGAGACCGACAGTCGTCCTTCGGTAGGCCGGCCATGCTCCATAGTAATAATCGCCATAAAGTACTGATGTAAATGTTTAAAAAGTTGTATAATAACTTCCAGACGTTTCCCCCTTATGTCTTATTTGTGGAAGACAAAGGTTGGGTCGTCTTGCCTCTTAGGACGCGTTTTACGTAGTTTGGGAATCCTTGCACCGGATTTCTGCGTAAACTCGCGGATGAAATCGGAGTTGAAATATTTCCTTAGGTTTAGGAGGCATTCGGGGCGATTTTTAAGGTACACGCGGAATTTTAGGGAAGTAATCAAGGTACTTTGCTCATTAATCTTTGCCGGTCTTCGAGAGTCAAGCAATGAGGAAAGGACGATACTTGAGGAGCACAGAATTTGGTCTCGTGGGTGAAAAGCAGATTTGGCTACGCGTACTATTAATAGCCATTTATTGGAGTATAGTTATGAAATTAAGTTGCCGTGGATGCTTCTTTTGGCTATGCGTACTATTAATAGCCATTTATTGGAGTATAGTTATGAAATTAAGTTTCCGTGGATGCTTCTTTAAAATTTCTCACTGGCATTAAAACAGTTGTATGGTTGAATCATGTTTCGTACTCCGTGGATCCTTTTTTTATGGATTACTGGCATTCAATGCGAAGAACGATTGTAATGGGTACAAATGATTGCTCTTAGTTATGCTCGTATCTTCTTTCTCACATTCTTGGCTGCAACAACTTAACTTGCAAATCTACATTTTGAGGTAAGAAAATGTAACTCTTGATTGAAAGTATATTTAGTACGGCCATGGGACCGATACACCGAAGTAAGTCTCCTGACGTTTTATCTTTTTCCTCTGGTGGAATTAAGGAGGATTAATCGTGCACATTCTAGTAAATATAAAAAAGCCTCAATTGTTTATAAATGAACGTATGTCAATCATGAAAACGACGAGTCAAGGTATGGATATTTGCTTCTGTGTCTTCGTTCCATGGCATGGTTAAATAAAAAGGCTTACATAGCAAATAGTTACTCGACAAAAGACTGTGTAAAAGGTATATTTTTATGTACAGAACTATAGTTAGTACTTACATAGTAACGGTGGTGACGTATTTTGTTGCACACTTAAGTATAATTAGTAAGAAAAATTCGTGCAGCAATTCTTCCTAGACTTAAGGAACTTTTTAAATTATATACCTGTTAAATTACTGGTAGAATTAGGTACAGCTATGGTTACGCAAAGTTTAAAGTGGTGTACATATATTAACAAATGGAATAGATTATTGTAATAAATGATTTGTATAACAGTATCGAGTGGGCCGTCACTGTTGCATGTTGACTTTTATACCGTGTCGTTATTAATAGGATTTAAACCAGTTATATTAACTCTTGAATGTTCAAAAATATCACGTTAAATGGGTGATTGAAAGTCAACAGTTTGCGGAATTGTATTTAAAATATTTTAATGTATTACAGCACTCAATGGATCTGCCCGAATTGTTGATAGATCTAATCGTGCGTCCATTTCGTCGTCTAGCTCTCCTACGATTGCCCTGAAATCAAAATATACGTACAGATACGAATTCCGTTAATGCGAGGTTCTCATAATTATAAAACATTGATCGCATACACGTTATCTCCTCGGATGATGTGCAATCCTAAGACGACTTGCTCTACTCCTTGCGTGGTGCTATATACACGTTCATGGGACTCGTCCAATATTAAGTTGATCGTTTGATCAAATCCTTTTAGCGTCCCCTACATAACATCGTGAACTAACATAAAAACACTGTAATCTAATCTCTTTCTTCTAATTGCTTTGGGGCAATGCTATACTTACTATGAAATTTCTGCCATCAGATGTAATAATTGACACCGTGTCTGAGATTTGTTTATTAAGGTATAACCTAAAATGGGACAGGCTGAACACAAGAGAAAAATACGATAAAGTAAATAACAAATTGCGAGCCAAGGATACGATTCACGTAACTCTCCAGTCCCGATGCCATCGTTTACTTCTTATAATTGTATTGTCGTGACTAATTTATTTATTAACAAACTCTTGTACACTTAGCACGGGAATCCTCCTTGCCAAACCTTAACCAAGGGTTAACCATCATTAGCAGAGGTAGATAACGTTCGATCTCGTCGAGGAATGGAAATCGTAGTAGCAATTTTAGTCGATGGTGGCGACACTTAGCAAAATTTAAATGTAACCGCTCGCAGACGATTGGATTACGTTTGAATTTGTACGCGCACATTGCCGCCTCTTTTCCACGTGTTGGGCTTTGTTGTGCCGTGTTGTGTGGAAGATGAGTTAAATGTTTTTGCGCAGTGCCTATTGTTTGCGTTGACTTTATTGTTTGTATTACACCAGTTGTAAGAGAACGTGAAATATGGTGCGAACGAAGGCTACCAGTCTTACCGTTAGAAGTGAGTGTCTAAGAAAATTTCCTCCTGTCTCCTCTCATCACTCCTGTACTCAGCACTTTACATAACCTTGAAACTTTCCGTTAAATCTTGCCCTTTGTATAATCGTTTAATTGTATTGTGTTATTTTGTGACTACGATTTCAATGTTATACGATTAAATTGCATTGCAGCCTCTGGCGGGAAAGCACCTCGAAAGTTTACTGCTGCTGCCCCTATGTCAGTTTCCAATGGAGCACAAAGTATGTATCTTTACTAGTTTAAATGCAATGATTTATTTATCCTTGTATTTTTGTTTTAAGGTAAAACTTACTCAGGTGGGAACCCATACCATCCACGTGAGACACCTAATTGGCAGAAACCGATCACGACATTTTTTAATCAACCTTTTACAAATTCCGATGGGGCATTGTCTTCGACCGGTATTAACGATACATTACATTCAAAACACTCCGATGCTGGGCCATCATGCAGCAATCAGGTGTCATCTTCTAAGGTAACGTACATAATTTTTCTGATTAGTGCAACGATTTTACTTAAACATCAGTTAACTAAAAATTATGTTATCGATATAGGAACAAGTAGACTACGAGTCACAGGTAACAGACAATGAAACCGAAAACAAAGCTGGGAGCGAACCTGAAAATGAGACTGAAATGGAAAAACAGCGCTAAACTGGAGTTGCAACAAATAAGACTGTGAGAGAACTCAGTATTGTTACAAAAGCATCGTCAACGAATACCTCTTATATAATAAGATTTAATTGCGCGTACTTAAGAATTTCGAGCATTCCAGGACATTTAGGTGTAAGTTTGAGTGAAATTTCTGTCGATAACGTTACCATGTTTTAATCAGTAGTTATAGCGACGACCAAAATGTCAAGGGCAAGTGGGTCCAGCGAAGCGAAGTGAATCGAACAGGCCAATTCGTGCGTTTTAAGGGACTCTTTATTTACTCAATTCCGTTCTTATACAAAAAACACCTGACAAACGTGTGCGATCCGCTCGCCTGCTCCAGACGTAAGTTGTCGCAATTGTGATAAAGAAACGAAGTGCCGCCAACGGTAATAAAAAGATGTATTTTTGAGAGGCTTCTACCCTGTCTCTTCTGCCAAGGGAGGGGGTCGCGCTAGGCCATCGAACAAATTTTACAAAAGTCTGGCTCACCGGCTCTCTCCTTGCGAGTACGTTTGTATGTATGTACAATAGGATTCCAGGGGTTGCCATTTGACGCGAGCCGCGAAAAAGGGAAAACAAAGAAAGAAAAAAAAAAAGATGAAAAAATAAAATAAAAAAAAAAAGAGAAAATCCGCGGGCGCAACGCGCGATCGTATCTGAACTTACGAGTGGATCGCGATTATTCAAAAGGGCTTTCGGATTCGATTCGTTGACAAGTCGGCGTGTACGTTCTCGGGATAAACCCGAAGATAACCAAGCGATAACGACCCTGCCTTTAATTTCAGAATACACCCACCGATGTTCCTTCCGACGCCCAGCGGACGCCGACGAGAAATGGCCACCGAGGAACCTTTTGGCAAAAGTGATCGATCAACTTATTACGACCTAGTTAACAGTAATTAACAACTCTTGGTGTCCTTAGCCCACCAGCAACAACGATAGCATCGTGTCTCTCGACGCGGTTTCGTAGATCGGCGCTCGCTAACACGGCAGCTATCAGCTTTACAAAAATCTCGGCGCCTCTATTGCTTTATGCCTTTTACGCACGAGGCGGCTACTTTGACGCCTAGCTCTATCCAAGGGCTCCCTTGCTCTAAAATCTTAGGGAAGTACCTTCGTTGCATCTGGCCGGAAGGAAGGGACGAGCTTGAGTGTCCTCCAGGAGGCGTGCCACCCCCAAGAGACCGAGCTCTCGAGTTCTCCACACCCCAGGGCCGATTGCCGATCGACCGAACAAAGGCCTATAGACGCAACAGGGGTCTTCTCTCGAGTTAAAAACTATCATCTCTATCGTCGACTAGAATAACCGGACCGTACGAACGACCATAGCGATAAAAACTAAAAAGAACGAATACGGAATGTCACAAATCAAGGTCCTTGAGCGAACGCAACCTTAGAATCTTAGAACATAGTGTACACAAATGAAGGTAATCCTTGTATATAGAAAGTATGCGTGTCACAGCGAACATCGGAGACCAGCCCTGGCATGCTAGGTCGGCCATGTAACCCTTTCGACGTCCGTATCCCCGGACGAAGCTTTTAGACGTCTCCGAGATCCGACGAGCGCTCTCGTAACGCGATTTTATCATGAAATTATCAAGTCGGCCATGTAACGTTATTAACGATACAATCGCGCGTTACGAGCGCGACCGTGGAAGGAGATACATGGATCGACGTCTTCGTTTGTGCGCCATTATTTCCGCCGCCCCGCTCGACATCGTTCACCCCGAGGAAGAGTCTCGCGACTCTTCCGTTTCCGTAGATACGTGCTCGTGGACCCCCCGGAGCGCCGCCCCCGCCAGGGCCGTGACGAGGCGCGACGAGTCTACGATAGCGAGAACAAAGAACGTAACTTGAAGCAGCGAGCTAGCAACTAGTGGTTCACCCGGCGCATGTCCATGGCCGCGATGTCGTCGACGGAGATAAGCTTTTCTATGGGGATGCAGGAGAGCTCGCCGCCGACCGAGGACTGAGGTTGCTGCCACCGAGCCTCCCTCTCGGCCTCCTTGGCCTTGATCTCGGCCTCCTTGGCGCGGCGTTCCTTCAGCTTGAGGGAGAATATCGCGACGGAGCGGGCCCTCTTCATCAGGCTCTGCTTGACCCTGGTCTTCTTGGCCTCGCGGTCCTCCTTCGAGGGCTTCTCCTCTTCCTGGCTGGAGACCGTCCTACTGGAGTCGGACAGCCCGCCGGCGTCCCTCTCCTTCTCGGTGAAGTACTGCTGCCGATCGCGGTGGTCCTGAGAGTCCCTGTGATGAGGTTGCTGAGATTGCTGCTGAGGCTGCTGAGACTGCTGAGGTGGTTTCTGTTGCTGCTGTTGCCTCTGCTGCTGCTGCTGCTGCTGCTGCCGCTCACTCCTCTCCCGCTCTCTCTCCTTCTCCGGGGAGAAGCGGAACTTCTGGTTCCTGTGCGCCACCGCCCACGGGGGCGCCGACCTGGGCAAAGTAATCTCGATAATCGCGACTTCAATAAATTATCAGGATTGTCCTTCATATTCCGAAACTCGTCATTAAATTCGAGTCAGGGGTCCGCGACTCACCGCAGCAGGTCGCTGTCCGAGGAGGACGCCAGCTCCTTCCCCACGATGCAGTCCGTCGACCTGTGAAGAGTCAACTCGTCGCCGCTTCCGCTTCCGGTCCCGGCCCCGCTGATCTCGGAGTCGCTCGACTTCCTCCCTCCCGGCTCCAGGCCCAACCTGCGGACCCAGTCGACTCCTCCGTGGGGACCGATGGTGAGATGGTGGCTGTAGTTGTCCCCGCTGGGGGAGAACTGCTCTCCGGTGAGCCACTCCCTGGAGCGTCTTCCTGCAGGTGAGGTTAATTATCAGGACCACGTGGTTCATCCCGTCCTCTATTTCTCTTCGAGGGAAATTAAGCGTACCGCGCTCTCCACCTGGAATAGAGGCTCTCGGGGAGTTTCGCAGGTCCCGGTTGCTGCTGCCCAGGTTGTTCTCTTCGAAGAAGGGGCTCCCTGTCTCGCTGCCAGGGCTCCCAGGTGTTTCCAGAGGTGGGGGAGTCTCGGCGATCCTCGGGACCGACGTGGCTGCTCCCGGAGTCGGCGGGCTACTCGGCGTTTGCGCCCTCGACGCCGTTACCGGGGTACCAGGGTGGCTGGCGACGTCCCCGCTCGCCTGACTCGTCTCTTCGGGGCGCAAAGTCTGCCCCTCGGCTTCTCCGTCTGCTGGACTCACCGCGAATCTCCCTGAGTTAGGGCGAGATCAAACGAACCGCGTGTAAGGTCTCGAGCCATTCGGACAACGACCGGAAGGCCGTGGTCGATCGACGGCTCGCGGTAAAGAAATCTGGCAAGGAGTCCCCGAATTCCTTTACCTATCACCGTCAGTGGCTGTGGCTCTGGAGAAGACGTCGACGAGAGCCTCCTCACCGCCTCTCGCCGCAGGAACTCCACCTTCGCCATCTCCGTCGCCACCCAGTTCGGGATGTCCGGGATCGCGCATATTATGACGAAGCGAATCGCCAGCATGATGTGCTCCAGGGCGACGATCAGCAGGATCGTCTGCGTGGCCGACATCTCGGGGAACATCCGCTGCACCTGGCCACTCAGCCCGATCAGGGCGCAGTTCACGAGGATCGCCACTAATCCCATCGCCTCCATGGCGTTCTGTAAGGTGTATTCATGAATATCGAAGACCGTCCCTTAGGAACGGTCCTACGATCTAAAAATCAACCCTCTTCGATATATGGGCGAAATTCCCGTCCATGCCTAGGCGATACTGGACCATACGTCAAACGTGCCTATCCGTCGTTTTTCATAGGGTGAGTGTCATATTTTCACGTTTTAGTTAATATAGACCCTTTCGAATCGCCTTAAGTAGCTTCGAGTCGCTGGATACTTCTACGGCCGAGGCTAGGCTCTGAATTTCTCGGCCTTTAACGATAAACTGGCAATCTACGCATTCTCGCACCTGCCAGGTACCGATGTTGGACACCCTTCTGCCGAATGGACGCTGAAGGACGAAGCAGAGCTTGAAGGCGTCGCCGCGGAGTTCCAGGAGGTTCCCGGAAAGCGCCGCGACGGCCGCCAACGGGAAGGCCGACGAGAAGAGACACACGTACCCCAGCTGCGAGAGCATCTCCAGGTGCTCCGAAAACGCTCCGTCGTACTGCGGATACCAGGCAGAGATTAGTCCTAATAATTATGTTTTTTTTAATATCAATATCGAGATAAAGTTAATTCAACACACGAGCCACTCGGGGCCGCTCGATTCCACCTTGGATGGACGTCATTCCCGTCCGGGTTTGGCATTCATCGGCAATTTGATATTCTAATCGCGTCCATCCACCGGTAGAATCTTTGCAAACCTCCGATTATTATAATCGACAGGGGACGATCACACAGAGAAACGGAAAACGATAGACAGCGGCTGAGAGGACGTAACAGAACCTAAGGATAGGATGAGTGAGAGACATTACCTTTTTACGTGTGATCTGCACTTCGTCGATGGGATCGGTGGAAAACGGAAAAGAAATCATTAAAAGTCTGCAAAAAATGAAGAATAAAATGGCACGGGTCAATGACAATCTATCGTAGGTATGTAACGAATGCGATATGGGCTCTCGAGTATTTCCGCCGAGGGACGGACCTGGTGAACTCTGCGATAGGAAACTCCTCGCCTGTTGAGTAAAAGACGACGAGAGGTCCTTCGAATTTGCATGCAACCACGGGGAACCACTAGATAAAAAAAAAAAAAAATGATGTAAGCAATATAAACGAGGTAAACGATAGCTAGCCAAGTTTGTAAAATACGCACGAAGCTTCTACTTAGTAGACACGTCTACTTACTAAAATCTATATGAAAAAAAAAAGAAAAAAAAAAAAAGGACCGACTACTTTACTGGTCAAAACGGTCGTTATCGGTATTAATCTTATAATCGTGCCCAGAGACCAAGAGAAGGAGAGCTCGTTCGGTGCAGACTGAGACGTCGAGTGCGAACACTTGTTGCGTAGAAAAGTAAACGAAATAGATTCCACCCAAATCCGAGTCAAACCTTCGCAGTAATGTCACTAAGTAGAGAATTAGCAGGGTGCCCTACTCTGTAGAGAGAACTCTCGAGTTCCGCCTGGCTGACGTTTCTGGGTTGCTTCCCTTTTCCGGGATCCCCGCGCTCGTCCTTGTCTTCTACCTCGGAGGTCTCGTGCTCCTTGGGGTCTTTCCCAGGAGGAGGTCTAGCCTCGCTCGGGCTGAGAGCCCCGAAGAGCTCGAAACTCATCCTGGCCAGTCTGAGCTGTTCGATGAGGTACGGCACAGCGGACTCCTTCAGGTTCCCGATGATCTGCCGGGCGATCAGAAGAGCCGCCAGTTGCTGGAAAAAAAATATTTATCTCCGATAATCCGAGTTAACGCGATTTCCACTCACCGGCAGGAAAATTCGCCTGACCTGAGCTCGACCGGTCGAGCTCGATTTGACTTCGGTGAAAACTATTAAAATCGACGATACCGTGATTACACTCGTCAAGGCCTCACCTCTTTCAGCCTTTCTTGGTCTTGAATGTAGAAGGCGATGTAGAAGAGCGACAGGAACGAGTTGACGAACTGAAACTGAAACGAGAGGACGTCAGTAAGTCGGACAATCGTCTCGTCCGATGAAAAATCCCGTTAACGAGCTACCAGTCTACCGTACGACTAGTTGAAGAGACATCTACGGTGCACGCGATTTAAGAAAGACCGAGAATATCCCACGGACTTGCAGGGTGGATTTCGCATGCGGCGACAGAGACAGCCAGAGCGTGATCTTCGTCTACGGGAGCTGACACGGAAGCGCAATTAAATCCGGAGAATTCAAGGGAACATCAATTCGTATCTCCCTCTCAGCACCGACTAGAAATAACGCCGGTAATTCCAGTCCTTTCTAGGAAGCTACCGGAACTGAACCAGAAGAGGACCCAAGAAACTCCTCGCACAATGTGTCGACCGCACCGAAAAGGCACCAAGTTGTGACTATTCGCTACAGCGGTCATATTAACTAGCCTAGCTACAGTAATTAGCGTATAAATCGGTGCGATTCTCGATTCCTCGGAAACCCAAATGCCTCCTAAGAGATGCCCTTTCGGTGCGTATATTAATTTCTCGGTAGGAATTATACTTGTACACTTGCTCCGTCGTGGGCACATCTACTAAGTTACACACAAAGTCGGTCTGTATACATGTATACATATTTATGTATATGTACACGGTAACGATAAAATTCTTCCATTTACCAGTGCCACCTTGTAGATCAGATGATTCTCGTACTCGGTGTCGAGACGATAGTTTTCTGCGTCCAACATAGAAAAATCATAGATACTAACTACCGTACCAGGTACAGGTTGAGAAACTCTACATGTTAGTCGGCAAGTCAACGCTCTGTACATAGATAGACAACGTGTAGACTTTCAGGTCGCAACTAGTAATCTCGCTAAGGACTCCTCGAGGTGAACGGGTCGCATCGTCTCTAAAAGAAGCTAAGCCGTGAAAGAGTCGCCGAGGTTGTATATACGAATTCGCTAGGAAGGTCTAAAGTCGTGCACAATTAGGGTAGTTTTATAAATTGTAAGAGATCGTGGGTCGATTAAGACGGAGAAGACGATCGGCAGGGTTGGCTGGTGAAGAAGAAACTAGATATACTAGGGACGAGTCCTTCCGCCAACCCTATCGATAGGCATCGACCTTCAAAGATAGACGTGGTACAGGGTACGAGAGATAAGAGGACGATTCGGACACGTACCCAGATCGTTGAGCCACACGGCGACTTTGAAGTAAGCCTCATCCATCAGAGTGATAACGATGGCTAGGAGGACCTTCGGGACGTAACTCAGCCAGAAGCCGTATCCTTTGGACTCGAGGCCGGCGTCCCACCAATCCTGGTGACGAGATAAAAAAAATTACGTCCCAAAAAGGCTGCGCATCGCGATAAATAGGTAGCAGGAGAAATCCAAGACCTGTATCTGAAAGCTGAGGATCATGACGATGAAGACGAAGAGCAGGCAGACCGCGATTATGGGGATGGTGACGAAATAGCGGAACGCGTTCCTCTTCCACCTGGGGTACGTCGGCTCCAACCTGCCGGTGACGGGCGAGGACTCGAGGGTTCCCTGAATGCGGTGAAATTGAAAAATTGATCCGTTTGCTTGTAAGCAGGGAATTTGTACGTGACATCAGAAATCGAGTTCGGGTACCCTGAAGAGAGGCCTGGGTTCCAGGAGGAGGTCGTCCCTCTGGTCGAGGGTGCCCCATCTGTAAGCCAACTCGGCACCTCGCCGCTTCCACGTCTCCAAGTACACCGTCGCCCAGATGACGTTGAACACCGAAAAAAGGACATAGGCCACGTCCTCCACCGCCTGGTTCCGACCGATGATGCCGACCTGAGGGACGAGTACCTTCGTGCAGGTTCGACAGATTTCTAGGAACCGCGGATGAAGAGACATCGACGTCATAAACATTAAAAATGCAGCTTACCCAGTATATGACACCCACTGCAGCTGGAACGATGAGGGCGGTGGTATAATGGCCGAGCCAAGCGAAGTACATGGCGATCTTAACTCCGAAATATTTGCAGATGTCGTCCAAAGGTTGGGGGCTAAGGAAGGCACGGACCCAGGTCTTCTGCAGCTTCTCCAGGGCAGGCAACTCGTGTAGAGGAAATACCTGTCGGCGAGGAAGAGACCTTAGGGATCGTCCTCTCGTTTCTACGTCATAGAATCGTAGACGTCGCGTCACCTGCGAAATAATCCCGGAAGAGATGCACTTTGGTATTATCGCTTGGCCCTCCACCAGCTTCAGGCCTGGCAAGCTGTGCAGGTCGTGTTGTGCGGCTCTCAAAGTGTGTAACAAATGTAACACCAGGGACTGCCGTTCCTGGGTGGTGAAGAACCGAGCCTCGTCGTCGCTCCCCTCGAAGCAGCTCGCCTCGGACCCGACGAACTCCTTCAGCCCTCCGCCGTACTCCAGACGCAGGGTCTTCGGCAGGTGCACCTCTTCCGCGGCTTTCAGCAACCTAGGTCAGAGGGAGATAAATGGCTCATCCGGAAAGAAGATTCGACACGAAGTGGACTGAGTACTTACACGGGAAAGGGCGCCGTCAAATAGAACCCGTAGCTATCGGATGACGCGTGATGTCTCACGTGGACCACCAAGCCAGGAGTCCCGGCCCGAAGTCTTCCCAAGAGCCACATCAAGGTCTCGTCTCGCGCGCCGCTTGGGAACATCGTGACTACGTCGCATTCCTATTGAATAATTAATAACGCGGAGTTATTCGTTAGCTATCGATTACCGGTTAACGAGACAAGAGCATGCCAAGACGACGGCGTTAACTTGGAAGATTCGAATCGCTCGCGGTGCGCGCGCACCCTCGTTCCGCCATCTTTGATCCCTCCGGTACGATTGCCAAACGAGGCATAATCGATCGGGTCGATTCCTTAAATAATCGACATAGAGCGTACGATGAATAAATTTAGGGCCTACATCTAATGGCAGGGGTCAAATGAATCAGAGTACGAAAGGAAACTCGAATCCATCCGCGGGAAGGAAAACCGCTCGAGTTTCTTCAAGGGGGAGGTGCGAGTCGACGCAACTGTTTTGGTTTCCTTTTTTCCTTGATCTGCCCCGGTTGACCCGTTTCCAGGGGGTCACTGGCATCTCCAGGGGGATAAAGCCAAATCGTATGGGCGGCCGGTCTCCATTTCGCGTAATCGCGACCTCGATATACGACCGAGTTCTGGCACGGGCGACAACTATCTTCTGGCCTTCATCCAAATCGTTACCACCTGCCCGTTAACTGTCGTGTCCGACCCGGCTACTTCCCTCTCCGCTTCCTCTTCCAGTCATGAAGATCCTGGCTCGGCGTCATCAAAGAGTGATTCTTCACAAAAGCGCTCCTTTTCCCCGATTTTGAAAACCTTCCAACTAGCCGCCCTCGAGGGTGACTTTTCACCCCGCGGGGTCGCGCGTCTCGCTTTTCCCCCTGACTCGGGAAGCTGCGCAAGTCAACTATACTTACGGCTGACTTTTCACCCTGAGTTCACCGACACTTTCCATACTTTCTTAAGCGGAGACACCTCGTGCTATACGTGACGCGTTATATGAAACCTGGCGTGTAGAATATCGCCATTAAAGCGTACAACGGTCTTTCACTCTGGGGACTTTAAGTAACGCGTTTCAGCTGTGCGGCTATTTCTTTATTACTTACAAAATAATGTATAATAGTCGCCCTGCTAAATGTCCCCAGAATGAAAGCCGTCTAATTGTAAGACAAATGTGTTAACAAATGAGGTAAGGAAGCGAAGAGATGCTCACCTGTGTTGGCACTTTTTGTATCCATAGGCGGCGGGGGGTCATCAGGTGGCCGGTACATGGTATCTTTCGTCTTAGTAAACGCGATGCTGCAAAATAAAATTAAAAAAAAGTGAATGAAATACATGAGGGAATAGCTACGTGTCAACGGTTTGTCAGGATGAGAACGCTTCCGCGATTGTGGAGAAAGCGGGCGATGTCAATAAACATTTGCATGTCCCCGGCAACGGGGCGCAAACATCCTCGGTATTTAATCAATTGATTCAAGATATAGACTCCTTATTTCCCACGAATGAAAGGAAAACGCGATATTCCGCGACCGGCGGCAAGGGTTCCATATGAGAGAATTTTCCTATCGTTAACGGTCGTTAAGGGGAGGCGTTTATCTCGCAAAAGGGTGAGGACACTTTGCGGCTTCGGGTGGTAGAGGGATGGTCCTCTTTGAACGGTGCCCTCAAGGTTGGCACATACACCCACGTCCTTCCAACGAGCTCGAGTGCTCCTAGAGTGCGCCTCTTGTTTCCACGAGTGGATTCTTATTCTCATCCCTCCGAGAATGCCTCGGGTTACAGGGGATTACCGGTAACATGGCCCATTCAACTGGAAGGACTTCTTGGCCACCTTACCAATGCATGCAAGACCTTGCACCGTGAAAACCTTGTAAAGCTTCGTGCATCGCTCCATACTTTAAACCAGAGGCACGATGAGGATCACTAAATACGGTTACTCTGCGATGTGCACTACTTCACCGTAATCTAACTTCACCGTAACACTCGACTCCATGCGAAAGCGTGTACTAACATCCTGCGAAGTAAACTTCCGATAAGTGTCAATCAATTTTGGCATAAAATTAATATCCAACTCCCATGTCTCTAACCGTGGGAATTATAATGACCATTAAAAAGCCGCGAAGTGTCCCTTGTCGCCCATCGCGATCTTGGTTATAGTCGAGTCGCCTCGTGCAAAATACATTAAATCGGGGGGAGGAATTCGTCTCACCCTTATCTAGAGTCTCCCTGGCCGCGTGGATGACCTTCCTCCGTCTGAGTCCTTCCGAGAGGAGGCCGCCCTCGGAGGCCATCCTGTCGTCCGGGTTGGCTTTACGGTCGTCGGGGACGCGCTCGGAGTCGACGGGATTGATCGGGGCAGACCCCTCGCCGCCCGACATGACGTAGATCCTCCCTAGGACCCGCGAGAACCTACGACGTCCCCTTCCGAGGACTCGTGCGCTCTTACTGACACCTGGCGGCCATCCTACCAGCCGTTGCACCCTCGACCCGCGCGCGGCTACCTAACCTCAAACTCTGGACGCGAGCACGCGGCGCGCCATCTGCGGATGCTGCCGCAACCAGCGGGGCCGATCGATCGCCGCCGTGGAGCTCACTCCACTAGCGCGGTCTCGTTCTCTCCACCAGGGAGTGCGAAAAAGAGGGAGCGATGCGCTCTCCGCAAGGTCGAGAGAGACGCATCTTCCCGTGGACCGCGAGGGCTCTCGACTTTCGAGTCAATGGGCGAGCGATTTATGCGGGGAAGCGGCCGAGGACGCGGAGGGTCATTATCGATGGTTAAGTTAGGAGAGACGTGCCCTTGCACGGGGGACGCTTAGAAACTGATTCCCCCCTTCGTTTAAAAATATTTATTCGCTTAACCTGTACGGCGTATAGATACATGAGGGGTTAAATAATTAAATTAAGCACGCTCGACGGTGCCCTCCACGACGAGTGCGAATTATTTAAATACTCGGACGAGAGCCGACTGCAGCGATCGGTCGCAAGTGCTCGTTGGGACACCGAATGGCCGTCGAGTCCGTTAAATCTTTTGAGCATGAACGGGTCCGCCTCGCGTAATAAATAAGTACATGTGTACGAGGGGAACGATGGCGATGGAGGTGGCGCTTCGCTAATTGTGAGAAACCGGCGGTCCGCGCGATTCCGCAAGTCTTGAGTAGATGCCGAGGACTCGACGAGGATCGCTCGCGAGTCCCTGAAGAGTTGTCACGTCGCCTCGACCTTGACGAATTCTCCGATTCATCTGGCGCGAGCCTCTTTCTTCGACCTTGTCATGACGCATTTTCCCCTGTAACAGATCTCCGTCATATGGGACACTTTGGTCGCCGTGGAGGTGCGCAAGACCTTGCCGGTCGGCGTGACGTCCAAGGTCGAAGGGGTGGTCGAACTCGAGAGGACCTCGAGAGTCGTCGAACCAGCCATCGAATCGATCACCGATGCGGCTTCGAGGGTGCTCCCACTTTCCCTGGACTCGCCACGATTTTCCGGAACTTCTTCAGGGACGGTGGAGTTCTTCGAGGTCGCTCGGGAAGACGTGGGCACTTCCGGAATCGTAGTCGTTTCGGTTTCTACCGGAGGACTGCTCTTCGTCTCCTCGGGATCTACCGAGGTGATGCTCTCCGCCGCGTCGCTCTCTATGCTGCTGAAGATGGCTTTGACGTAGTCCGCCACGACTTCGGGAGACGCGCTGGTACCGGAAGTCTCGGTATTTCCGGGCTCGCCGGTGAATTCTCGCTTCCCGGTGCCGCCCTCGGTGCTCTGGTTCCCGAAGACCCAAGGATTGAACTTGGAGTAGTCGAAGAGCGACTGGCCACTCGGCCAGCGCACCTCGTTCCACTTCATCCTGTGGTTCTTCGGGTGATTTTCGTTGTTCACCACCTGCTCGGTACCTGAAGAGACCTCCGACTCTTCGTTCTGAAGTCTCTTCGGGGTCTCCGAGGATTCCGGGTCGACCCTTCCGATACTCGAAGGCTGAAATTTTCGGGGGAAGTTTTGTGCCATGTGGTACCTCGTCAAGAACTCCTGGCGGTCCAGGGTGGTCTTTGAGTCCTCGGATGGCGTCGTCCCCGGGGTAGTCGTCATCGTCATCGTCGTGTCCGGAATGACGACGGTGATGGTCTTCGACCCTGGAGCCCCGGTGGGGGTTGAGTAGATCTCTGTATTTTTCTCGGCGATCTCGGATGTCGTCGTCGCCGCTTCGGGGTCCGCGGAACTAACGGTGACGGTCCAGGGTTCTTCGGGATGATCCGTCGTCGTCAACGGCGCTCGGCTTGACTGCACATCGCTGCCTCCGAACATCTCCAAGACGTCCTCCAGGATCGATTTTCTAGGTACCTCTTCAGCATCCACGGTTTCCTCAGACCCGCGATTCCCATATTTCGACTCCATTCCCGACTTCTCTTTACCCTGTAACAGGTTCTTCGCCGCAGACCCGATGTCCTGGGACTCCGCCGTGACGAAGTCCTCGACTGCCGGCCGCACCCTGACCCGCACCCTCCTCCTCTTCAGGCCCTGAAACAGGGTTCGTCGTTACGAATCTAGAAAAACCGAAGAAAGTCCTCGAGACCCTCTCTCTTCACCTTTCCAACAGCCAGCGGATCGACGACCTTCTTCAAGACTTTCGCTGGTTCTTCGTGTTGTTCTTCAACGTTTACTCTCCCTGGAGACCCGGGGGACCCTGAACTCCCTGCAGCAACGTTATCCCCGACCACTTCAGGACTTGAACTCGACTCCGAAGAATTCCTCTCTCTAACCTGCGAGCTCTCGACCATCAATGTTGAAGAGGACCCCGAAGAGTGGCCCTCGGGATGAGACTGATTTTCAGGGACGAGCTCTTCGGACGTGGTGATCTTTGACGTGGATTGGGCAAGAACTTCCGTGGGTTTCCTGCCCTCGTACGAGCTGAAGACCGTGATGGAGGCGTCTTCGGGTCCCGCCGTAACGATCTCGCTCTCCTCGGCCTGTAGACCGACCTCGGGGGGATTTTTTGCCTCTTCCTGTGGGATGCTGGGCTGGAAGGAGTTCCCGGAGAGCTTCGGCGACCACTGGCTCTCCGCTCCATAGATGTCGGACTGCTGTTGGATGCCGGAAAAGGATTGGGTCCTAGGCCTCGAAGGGAGGCTGCTGTACTTCCTCGTGGTCGGAGGATCGCTTGCCAGCTGGGTCTGGTCGTACTCCTCTCGCTGGGAGTCACCCTGCCTAGGATGTACCCCGAAGTTCAGGACGAAGTCCTGCCGAGGAGCCTGGTACTACAGAAGACGTAAGCAGAATTAATATCTCAGAGTTTCGCCAACTTCTGGCACGCTTCCACCCTCTCTTCGCTGAGATGACTTTAATTAAGTGATTTGCAGGACTCGCGCGTCCTGGAACTGGGATAAGGACTTCCAGACGACGAAATTGGTGCAATCGGTGCAGTCGGGGCAACTGGCGCAATTACCGCTCACCCATGAAATTACTCTGCATGCAAGAAGGATATTTCAAGGAAATGTACGAGGAGTCTGTCAAGGACACGCCGAAGAATCTTCTGGGACCGGAAAAATCAAAGTCGTTGATGACGTCGAGATCGACCTCGAAGACTTACTCGCTGTCCACTGGGCTCGATCCTGGACTGGTACTCGTCCTCGTAGAGGAATCTCTGGTCAGGGCCAGGATCGGGCGCGGATTGGACTATTCTAGGATAATTCTCGTCCAAGGGCAGCTCGTTGTGCGTCTCCAGGGTGGGTTCGGTGCTCGTCGTCGCCGGAGTCATGGTAGTGGTCGAGGGACGCTTCTTCCCCGGTCTTCGGATTCTTCCCCGACCTCTCACCGGCTTCTGCTCGTCCTGCCTGCTCCTCGGCCTAGCCGTGTAAACCGAGTTCAAGGAAGAGGTCGCCGAAGAAGCCCCAGGGGTGGTCGCAGGCTGGTCGAAGGACGAGTAACCCGTCGTCGAGCTCGGCACACTAGGTCTGCGGTTCGACTGATACTTCTGCCTGTTCTTCAGGATCTCGGATTGGACAGGACTCGACTCCACCGCGGTGTCGTCCGTGGAGGGGGTGCTTTCCTGCTGACCCTGAAACGGACCGACTCCATGAACAACTATATCACGTCCTACAAGGTTAAATTGCTTCGGTTTCCTTTTCAAGGTCCCTACCTGGAACCTGTCCACTGGGAGCACCGGGTGGAAACTGGGAGGTCGGATGAACCCGTAATCCGGGAGGTCCTCTTGCTCGGGCCTGGATGTCGTGGTGGTCGTCGAGGTCGTCGGGATTGGGGAAGGTCGCTGATACTGTGCGGATCCTTGGATCCTGACGTACTCCTGCTCGTCGGTTTGTATCCTAGGGTGGTTCCTAGTCCTAGTCCTCGGCCTCTGCGAGTGATCTCTTTGTCGAGTGACCGTCCTCAGGGGCTCCTGCTTGACCGCGCTGAATCGCACGTACTCTTCCTGGGAGCCTCGAGGTCGCGTCTGGATCGGAGAGTCCTGGTGCTGACTTCGACCTCCGAGTCTTCCTCTGACCCTCTGACGGATTATTACCGGGGCCTCGGTGGTCGTCGGCGAGGTAGCGGTCGTCAGGGGAACCGTGGTGGCTTGGGTGGTTACCTGAAAAATTAAATTATTAATCACCATTTCTCTGTCTCCGGTGCGTCTCTCCTCTTCAGGGTCATCTCACCTCCAAGGGGACGTCAGCGGTGGAGACGCGGTACGAGTACTCGTCGGTCTTTCCATGCATGAACTCCTGCAAAGCCGGCTGCTCGCTGGGGTGAACGATCCCGGGGATCTCTTCAAGGGTGCTCTTTTCGCTCTGAGCATCCCCGAAGTGTTCCCGAGGACCCAGCCCGGGGTAGGTCTGCTGGCCCTGAAGAGCGGCGGCCTCGAAGTTACTCTGGGTTTGTTCTTGAACTCGCGGGCTACCGGACTCCCCGGCAAAGTCGTAGTCTTCGGGTTTCTCGTTGTAGTAGGAGAAGTCCTTGGAGGTCGTGCGAGGGGTGGCGGTGTTCACCCCCTCGGTCCGGGCTTGATAATTGAATCCATTGACCGGAGTCTCTTCCAGGTTGCTGGGACCGGTGCTGGAAACCTGGAAACCAGGATGGTACGGATCCTGACGACTATCCTGAGGAGGCTGGGAGACCTCCGAAGGATAATTCTGGTCCCTCGAGTAGATCTCCGAGTCCCTGAAACCCGACGTCGTCTGGCTCGACGGTGCCCCGGAATTGTAGTCGTTCGTCGAGGGGGAAGGAGTCGTTGAAGAGAACTCCTCGTGGAAGTACACCGGGGACTCGGGCTCCTGGGAAGTCGCGGACGCTTGAGAGTGAGGTCCTGCAGATTCGCTGTCGTAAATCGATTGCGTCCTGTGGCTGTTCGTTGGTTGATCATGGTCCTGAAAACGAAGAGGAGTAATTAGTCCTCGAACGAGGTCTTCAAGATGTGTCTCAGAAAAATTATGCATCGATCGTCGCATCGATCGTTACATCAATTATTACACGACGCATCGCCTCACCTCAGCATTGCCATGGTTCCTGTCTCCGTTTCGAATCTTCACTCTCTGGTTCCTCGCCGTAGATTTTCTATATTGTTCCTGACCTCCGTACCTAGGAGTCGTCTCCGGGAAGGTGGCCTTGGTGGGCTCATACGAAGGCTCGGGCTCGTGGTACTCTTCCGTAGTCGTGGTGAACCTGGATCTCGACCTTCCGAAGGGCCGACGAGTTCTTTCTCCACTAGACCTGGGACTCGAGGTCGTGGAGGGCGACTGCGTGGTTGGCCTGACAGCGACCCTTCCCCTGGGGTCAGGTAAATTTTTGTATCAATTAACGTAATCGATATTAATCTACATCAATGTACCAATGCCTCTCACCTTTGTCGACCTCTCGTCCTGTAGGTCGTGACGGGACTCTCGGTGGTGGTTCTGGGAGTGGTACCGATGGAGGAGGTGGTCCCAGAGGTGGACCCCTGATTTCCCGCGCCCGCGTCCACCAGGGAGTTGACCAGCCCCGGAAGGTGCGGAGAAATTGGCGGAAGTTCAGCCGGAAGACTGTACTGCGTGGGACCAACGAGCACCCCATGATCCTCGTGACCTCGACCTCCATCGCTTCCAGATTCCGGCTCCAGGGTTCCCAGACTACCTCTGCGTTCTTCGGGAGGTCGAGTAGCCCCACCTTGATCCACGTTCTCCTGGTACACGGGACCGGCGACCTCCTTCGCGGAGGGTGGCCGATGCAGAAATTCGGGAAGATCGGGACCAAATCTTGAAGAGTCCCTATGGTGAGCCAGCTCTCTGTTAACCAGGGCGAGCTGGGCCGCGAGGTCTTGCTCCTTCGTCGGCTCGTCCCTTGACCCGGGATCGGGTCCATTCACGGGATGTCTCGAAGTAACCGGGTCCTCTTGCTGATTAGGGTATCTCCCAGTAGTGGTGAAGATCGGGGTCTGGTACCCAGTCGTTGATCGAGAGGGACCTTCAAGGAAGGAGTCGTGCTTGGGTCCAGCTCCAGGATCTCGACTTTCATCTCCGGTTGGAGTCACCGGCGTGGTGGAGGAGCCTCGAAGACCGTCATCCAGGGTCTGCGAGCTGGAGCCGTCCTCGCCGAAGAACTGCCTGAACCTGAACCTAGACCCTGAAGGACTGGTCGAGGACACTGCTTGGTTGTACTTGGGGCTGGTCGGGCCGGATTGGGCCGGGACCGCCCTGGGCCCCTCGAAGGGTCCCCTAACGAAGGGACGGTCCGGCTCGATGTAGGCGTTCGGCTCTATCAAAGGACTCGGGCTGACGATGTCCTGGTCCCTATTCTCCGGCTCCTGGGACCCGTCCAACGTGTTCACCACCACCGAACCGATATGTGGCGCCGGAAAGGGGATCTTCGAGTACCCCGGCGGGGGGTGGAAACTCAAGGGAGCCACGAAGAACGGCAACCTGTCCACCTTCCTCTCGACCCTATTATTGTCGATGGAGGAAAGATACGGAAGGTCGAACTTGGAGTACCCTGGAGGTGGGTCCAGGTTCGAGGGGCCCACGAAAACTCGCGGGGAGTCCGGGCCCACCGTGTCCAGGACCGCGATGGTCCTCGCGTCTTTTAGAAGCCGAAGAACGTCGGTGACCTTGATGCTTTTTGACTGATCCCCTAGACGACCCATGTAGACCGAAAGCGGAGGCTGATTCGGAGAAGGAGTCGTCGATGGGGCTGGAGATGAGCTTCTAAAACGGTGTTCTTGGTCACCAAGATGAGCTTGATGACCCTGATGGGTCTGGTGAGTCCTAGCTCGAGGTTTCGTCCTGATCCTCCCGTTTCCCTTTGCAGGTTTCGCCGGGACTTCCGTCAAGTGCTGCTGCTCTCCGTTCCGGATCAAGGCCTGGGCCTGCGGCAGGTCGCTGGCACCTGGAAGAAGGATTAAATTTCAAGACATTGATGTATGTACTTGACCATGATATGGAATAGAAAAATTGTTTTCACGATGGACCTTAAGAAAAATTTTTTTTTAGATATTTTATTGAGAAGTTCCGGTTCCTACCGTCTCGATTCCGAGCTCGGTCCTCTCGTTGTTTTTGGACGATCTGTTCCAGCTGCTTCTCCCTTCTGATAGCCTGCTGGATCTGCATTTCCTTTTGTCGCTCCAGAGCAGCCAGACTGTCGATCTCTGCTTGCCTGGCGACCTGCTCGTCCCTCTTCCTCTGCTCTTCGAGAAGCTGAAGCTGCGCCAGTCTCCTTAGCTCGTCCTGCCTGGCGATGTCTTCCTCGACCTTCTGCTTCTCCCTCGCCTCCCTGAGCCTCTCCAGCTCCCGCTGTTTGGCCATCTCTTCGAGTTTGTCCAACTCCTTCCTCATCTTCTCGGCCTCTCGTTGCCTCTGGGCCTCGTGCTCCCTGAAAACCACCTCCTGGTGGTACCGCGCCTGCTTCTCCAGCTCCTTCTGCTCCTCGCTCAACCTGGCTATCTCCTTCATCCTCTGGTCCCTCAAGAGCTGGTTCTTCTCCTCGTGGTCGCGTTGCAGCTGCTCCAAGAGGTCGCGAGCATACGCCTCCTGGGCGGGAGAGATCGTGGTCGAAGGTGCACCCTGTTGAAGGTGCTGCTGGTGGAACCGATGCTCCCTTCCTCTGTGTTTTCCGAATTTTTCTTGATTCGGTCCTCGAGCCAGCGCCTCGGCCGGAACGTACACCAACTGGATCTCTTCGTCTTCATCTTCAGGGTTGATCGTGGGCTGGGTCACGAAGTTTCCCCTACCTCCCTCCTTCAACTTCCTCGCGGTCTCGAATCGCTTGCCGCTCGCCGAGGCTGAAAAAGGAGAGTTCCGAACTAAGGACGAGGATCTTTTTCAAGGTAGGGGGATCGAGGTATCCTTACCGTCTTGATGTCTGATCTGACTTTCGGCGCTCTTCCCGTTTGTTCGCTCGGTTTCCTCAGGGTCTCCTTGCTCCCTCCCCGAGGTCGTCTGACCCTGACCTGCCCCAAAAGAGGGAGCTTGCTGAGGAACATCTTGACGGAGGCGTGCCGGCCTTGGCAGGAATTCCTGAGCTGCGAATACCGGAGGAAGTTCATCCGAGGACGGAATCGGTGGCACCAGGACCTCGGGGGCGAGTTCCGGGATCGCTTGCAGGTTTGCGACCGTGCTTTGACGAAGAGCCTGCTTGCCCTCTCCAGGGTTGCCGAAGCCGGTCGGTAAGAAGGCCTGATTCTGTATATTATGGTAAAGTCTCGATAATCCTTATACTATATGTATCCATTAATTTTAGAATAACTTGGTGAGACGAGGTAGAAGCAAGTCGGAGAAATATGGAGTTCTCTTCTGCAGTACCTGTAGATGCTGCTGCTGGTTTCGCAGCTGCTGCTGGAGCGCCAGCAGCTCCCGGATGCTCTCCTGCGTCTTCTGCAGCTGCTGCAGTTGTTGCTGGTACTGCTGCTGCAGGGCGGGCGGCAAAGACAGAGATTGCACCTGGGAAAGTTGCGAGGTTCCCGCAGGTAAGGAGTCTCCTTCTATCTGGCGATGGGATTTTATTCCATGGCCAGCCCTCGGATTGGCCATCGGGATCCATTCGCTGTTGGATACCTGCCGGGACCATCGTTCGCCCTCGGCCGATCCTGCCGACCCTATCCCCAGGATCAGCCCGACCGGGAGCAGCCAGGACCACCGCCTCCGCACGATCTGCGCCCAATAATTAATTAGACGATAGATCATTTATTTCCGCCTAGAAATAGGACCTGGAGACGATGATATCAAGTATTTTAATTTTTACATCTTCAGGGAGTATGTCGAAGCGGGTGCAGGTTCGAAATCCGCAGGGGAAAAAAATGCACCACGATCTTTGACAGCGCTTTTTTTCACTTAATATTCGCGGTGCACCGAGACTGAACAATTGCGGTGCGAACAAACGACTCGTGGCACTTTTTCCGCCGAGAAATCGCGGGTTTTGCTAAAAGCCGCGATATTTGCCCCTTTTGTGACGGCGCGTTTAACGCGTCGCGCTTACTTAGTTTCTCCCGGTGGTATTCTTTCCACATCTTGATTATTGCCCGACCGGGGTATAATGACTTAACAATGGGGCAAAATACTGCGGCTCGACGGCTCCCAATTGTCCATATTGTGCAACTGGCTAACACGTTAGCAAACCGTCCTATTCGCAAGAACGACCCGCGACTTTCGGCTGCGTTCCGCGACATTTTGCGGACGGTGCGTGAACGTCTACGATGGCGCCGAGAAAACGCCCAGAAAATGCGTAAGAAATTCTCTTACGAAAGTGCCTGGCGAAAGGAAACGGATGCGACCGACAGGAAGGACGCAGAAAAACGGACCCTTCCGAGTTCGAGACGGCAACGATCCGTTAACGTTCGCGGTCGTCCTTCTTGGGGACTGAACTCGAAATTCCAAGTATCATCGAATTTCACTCGTGGAAATAATTCCGAAGGCCGGTTTAAACGGTCGTATCGGTCGCGGTCGATTCATGCAATCGATATCGGCAATGGTCATTGGTTTCCGTCATTCTGCCATTCATTTGGCGTGTCCGGTTCATTGAGAATCGCATCTTCCATCTCCCTTTTTCTCGGCAACTTTCTGGAACTTTCATTTCGCGGCTGTGCGCCGATCTTGTCGATTTTTTTTCTCGCATCCGTCGTTTCTTCTCGGTCCTCCCCGCCAGTTGGCGTGAATCCGAATTCCCTAGAGATTGGTGAAGACGGAGGGGCCGTTCATTAGTCTTCTCATTGTCTCGAGATTACGGGTTCGACTCGACCGAAATCGTCGCGGTTGCGGTCAAGGAATCCGCCAAGGAGCCGGGAAAGGAGACTAATAATTCCTGCCTTTTCGACACGCCTCTCGTAATCGGCTCCTCGCTCTCCGTAATCGGAGAAACCGACTCAAAGGCTTCGTCGAATCGGTCCAAAACGGCGCACTCCCCTTTCGGCTCCCAACGAGATTCTAAACTCTTAATTACCTCGTTAATTTCTGTCCAATTGTCGTAAATATCGGAGTGGTGCAAAAGTAACTGCGGCTCGTAAGTATCGACCGCGTATAAAAGCTGCAATTATTTATGCATAAACCTAATGCTATTAACTCGTCGAGAACAGATGTTTTCCGAGTTTTTCACGATGGCCGCCGCTCCGGAGAGACGCTGTACCATCTACCAAAATGCTACTGCATCTTTTAGACAAGTCCTCGACTAATCCTAATCGTCATAAACGTTGTCGAATACCCTTCTTCCCCCAGTTCCATCGCCATTTCAGGGTGGTAAAGCTTCTCCGTCTTAATAAATATCCTTAACTCGCGCAGAATGTCCATTTCCCGTTCTCCAAAATGGCGGCGCCGGGCCGCGCCCCACATCCACGACAGATCCGGATTACGTAAGCTTACGTAACCGATTAGCAGGACATTCCGATAGGACAAATCGTGAGAAAGTGACGCCACCTCGTTATCGTCGTTATTCTGAAACGCCCCGCCCATGATAAATCGGTGAAGATCGATCTCGTTCCCCGAGGATCGCGAATGGAGGAATTCCCGACGAGGACTTTCGATCTCCCATCGATCGGCCGGCATGAAATCGCATTGGAATCGTCATTTTTCCTCGGTTTGGGGGAAACTTCTTTCTCTATGAGGTAACGTCGACGCCGTACGCCACTTCCGCCATATCGAATCGCCTTATCGCCTTGCGGACAGAAATTAAATCCGCCATCCGATTGTCCAGTCTCTTTCTTTGTTTATCGGTAAATATCCGGGATTATTTCCCGTTCCGGGGAATAAAAAACGGCAAGAAATACGGTATAAGGTCGGTCCGATTGGCTCTCGAGAGTCGGTCGACTTTTCCGCGATAGCGGCGTGGACAGGACGCGGCGTTCTCTCCGCGGGTGAATGTAGTCGACCTTAACCGGAGTTTAGCGAGAAAATCGGACCTCTAGAGCGGTTATCGAGCTAAACCGAAAGAAACGGCACGCAACGACGTCGCGACGACTTCCTATTAAGTCGAGGAATGCGCGGAGATGCCCCAGAGAGTGCACACTCGAAACATGCGGAGGATTTGGAGTGCGACCATAGCTAACGAGCTGTGAACTCGGTTTCTACCGCGATTTCCTCCTTTCGTGTCCGATCATTTCTCCAGAGGACATTAAGTGCCTGGAAAAAAAATCTAACGTGGAGATAAAAAATCGAGAACACCTCGCATGAGCCTTCTCGAGCATTGCGACGTTAATCGACTCCTTTTAAACGCAACCACCCTGAGAAAAAAAAAAGATCTCGTTCCAGAACGACTCCGGATTTCTGTGCGTTTCCGGTGGTCCGCTTTCTTCCGCGATTCCCTCCAATTTGCCGGCAGACCTCGCGAGATCGATGCGGAAAGCAGAAAAGATTGCGTCCTGGCACGCGACCGGATGAGGTTTCAATCCGCGGAAAGAAAAAAAAAGAAAATTGCCCTCCCCCACGAGACGACTCGATTTCGCGGATGGCGGTCTAGAAAAGGTTCGAAAATTCGGTGGAGAAGCTGGCGAGTCTTGAAATTCAGAATTCGTCGAGAGGAGACAAGGCTCTCTTGGAAAGAGAGAGGCTGCTCGACGAGTCGATAGGAAAGTGCACCTTAAACCTGGACGCGCGTTTCAGCCGCACTTTCCTGTTCTCTCGCGCACTCGTTGCTCTCTTTCCGATCGAGGTTATTCCCCGCCGGTTAAACGCACTCCAATGGACGTCATCTTCCTTCCTCTTACCAGTTAACGCATTAATATATGTATTTTCCGCGGGAATTCGCCATCCTTGCCCGGTTTCGTCGTCGGTTTCGCACCTTCTCGGGGCCCTGCTCGGATTCGAGGTCGTGTTTTCTCGAGGTTGCTCCCGCGAGTCATCGGTGCACTTTTAGCGCGAATCGAAGGAGGTCGATCGCCGACACGCCTTTCTCCCTTTGCAAGAAACGCGAGCCGAGAGCTGCCAAGGAACAAACGAGACGATCGATGCCCTGCAAGACCCGCGCCTTTGAAATCGGAGTTCCGATATCATTCCCCTCTATTTTTATCTCCCCCTCGCGAAATTTCACCCGGCAGTCGTCATAGGAATTATCATTAATTCCAATAACGAGCGACTATTAAATTTAATTCCCTTTTAATGCTCATTTTTCATCGGCTTCCAGGTTGCACCAGGACGACCCGGTTTCCTGCAGAGGATCTCGCGGATGAAGGGTGCGGTCGGTGGGAAAAAATCGGAAGGCGAAAGTGAGGGAAGAAAGTCGATCCGCAGCGAGCAAAGTGGCACGCCGCGTCGCGTCGAGTTCCTCGGAATTAAATCGTCTGCGGGACGTTAAACGATCGATAAAGGAATGGATAATGGTGAAGAGATTTATGCGAATTGGATCGATCGGTCACGTCACCGCGAGAATGGTCTCGTTTAATCCAGTCCGTTCCATTTCCCTTCTAATCCGCCGCGGTCGGCCGTTCTCCCGAGCGCCCTCGATGCGGCTGTGCCGCCTTTTTCCGCGTTTCTTCGATTTTCCGGCAAGAACGAGCGGCGAGTGGTTTTCGGGAAAAAAAAGCGGGCCGATCGACTCGAAGAAATTCCCGAGAGCAGCCGCCGTGACCGCAGACTTCCTGGTGGGGACAGGGCAATGGTGGTGGGACATTTTTTAGACTTTCATCCGGGGGTTAGGAAGGAAACGCGACCATCGAGGCTCCTTACGGCAGCGAATTTCAAAAGGGGATATTTTCTCCCTCGCGTATATTCGGGGTAAATTTCAACGAAGTGCAAATTAAATTTGAATCAAGCGCGGGTTAAGTTTTGCCGAGAGAAATTTTAAGGAAACTGATACAATGAAACCTGCGTTAAATTCTAATAGAATAAAATGAATGGCAATTATCGTTTCTAGGTGTCGACCTTGGGTCGCGCCACCATCTTGGTATCGGAACGAAGAAGAGGACGAGGAGGAAGAAGAGGAAGAGCGAACTCGCTCACACACTGACCCCCATTCCATCGGGCAGTGGACTCGACAGGTGCCTCGGCACCTTCGCCCACTAAAAAGGAGCGAGAGAGAGAGAGATCTCTCGCCTCTTCGAGGAACCCGAGGGAAGAAACCGACCCGTCCACCGGATGCCGAAGAAAGGCCGACAAGACGTCGCACCGGAACGCGGAGTCTTCGTAAATCCGCGAAACGCGATTTCTACTTCTTCCTCGATGTCGCCCAACCGTCGGTACGCACAGAAAATATTTCTAATCAGGATTTTTTCCCAAGATACTGACGCAACGAGTCGCGGATGCCGAAGAGAGGCCAACAGGCCGGAACGGAGGGAGCTCGTAAATTACCGCGAAACAACGACTTCAACTTGTTCTGCGATCGTACCCTTTCCAGTGCCTTTAGAAAGCTCTTCGAATGAGAACATCGGGTAAAGATTGGAATGTTTCAGATGTAAGATAAGCCGAGGAACTTTTTTCAATTAATATGTAAGGTTACTTCGGTCATTAGTCATATATAGACCGCAACTAATCCATCCATGGGGTTGCCAATGCAAAGCACGACCGAAATGTTCCGTTCTCCATTCTTATTATTTAATATTAATAATTAGTCGTGAATATTAAATATTATTAATTTGGACAAATTCGTTTCGATGCGTGGAAGGGTCTTTGGAGGACCTCGACTTACCATCGCGCAGGAGCGACCGCCTCCGGGTGAGGGCCTCGTCTTCCTCTTCTGAGACCTCTTTGAGACACTCGGGGGAGCTCTTGAAGACCACCTCGAGAGAACCTCTCACGTCGAGAACCCGAAGAGCTCACTGAACCACTTTCACGCACCCATGTCGGGCCCCGCGCCCCCGGGACACCCTCCCTCTCCGCAATCCAGGGTAGGAGAAGAGGAATCTCGCGACACTCTCGCCACGCGATTGGGCCGTAGGTCTCGGACAGTTTGAAGAGGCCGAGAGACGGCGACCAGCCTATATAGGTTCCCCTCCAGAAGCCGAGGGGGGTCCCCCGGTTGCGTCGAGAGAGGCGTGCACCAGGGAGCGATCCGAGAGAAAGCCATCTCTCCGGAGCAGCCACTCTCGCCGGAAAGTACCCGGTTCCCGAGGGACGTCCGAGGTCCTTGTCCCTTTTTATACCCCTAATTACGAGCCCCCTCCAATCGGGAATCACCTCGGAATGTCCCCCCCCTGGTGGACGTCTCGTTCCAATGTTTCTTTCGGTGGAGTGGTTTTTTTTTTTCAGGATACGTTTGTATAAATATCAAGGGAATGGTCGGACTTGCGGGATCCGCGCACCTTGTATCCATGGTCCATGGGATTCCGCGGAGACGAGGTCGCGATCCGGTCGATAGGCGATTCCCCTCGACTCGCGTAATCCTCGGATCGCAACGAGGAACGGGGTCGCGGGATTCGAGCGTTCCGCTCAATCGTAGCGAATACTGCGAGCGGGAGGAGAGCCGATCTAGGCCTCCTCCGGTGGAAATATCCTTTCCTTTCACTGGGCGGAGACCCGTAAAAATCCCGCTCGTGTGTGAGCTCGTTCCCCTGGTCCATTAGTCCGGAACGAGACTCGCAATCTGCAGGTGCAACGCGGCTGAACGCGACGACTCGCCGCCTAACGCGTTTAATGCATTTCATGCATTTCATGTATTTGCCGCGTTTACCGCATATCTACAATGTGTACAATTTGTATCGATATCTCGAAGAAATCCGGGGACTCCTCGATTCCCTCGATTTCCTGGACCTCCTCGAGCGAGGCCGACGAAGACGCGCGATCAACGCCCCGTGCATCCGGGCATTGAAATCTCTCGATCGGCGGGGATCCTGCGCTCTCTATGCTAATTCCAAAGGGATAATTGCAGGATCCCGTTCCCAGGATGGGAGCCAGGGTGCGTCTCGAGCCCCTCTTACTTTCGCGTCTCGAGACGGGAATTGATTCCCCGTAAAAAATCGTGGCCGGCAGTGATTCGTTCGGACGCCCGGGAGGCGTTTTCTCACGAGCGGCCGCGACCTCCACTCCCACGTAAAGTATTCGTTGCAGAGATCGCAGCCTCGATCCGTCGTTCATCGAGGCTTGCCCAAGACTCCACCTTCGGTTCCGAGGCGAGGAGTCGAACAATGGCCCTCGTTATCCCGCTCGCAGCATCCGAAATCTCGACTTCCACCTGGCGTGCTCGCGGGCGATAATTATGGAAGCGTCTCCACCTCTGGACAATGCGCACGGAATCGTTGGACAAATTAGCGCATTCATTTCTTGAGTCGCTTTCGAACGATCACTGGAAACTCCAGAGAAATCGCGGAGGCCCTTTCATGAAGATGTCGCGGCGGGGGTGGAAAGCGAGGTCTCGCGATTCACTTTGGAGACGTCGAGGACGCGGTCGCGACGATCGAAAGGGGAATCCTCGGAAAAAGGGAAGCGACGCCATAACGAGGAGTCGACGTCGCCGGAGAAAGCGATCCGCCCCGTCTTGGCAAAATGCATTCCATCCCGAGGCTCGGTCTCCTCCACTGTAATTAACTTAACGATCCGCCGCCTTATTACCGGCATCCCCGAGAGCCACCTTTCCCTGGATCCTTCTTCCTCGGCGACAACTTCCGTTCGAAAGCCTTTCGGAAAATAGGAAGCACGGTCCTCAAGAACAGCCAAAGAAGGCGTCATCTCCCCCAGTTTCAATATGTTTTAATTCACCCCTCTGACCCCTGAGACCGCCGTCCATTTTTTCATACGTAAATTTTAGGTTCTATTTGACGATATAATTTATTGAAACCAATCGGAGTACTGCTTGACGTTAAAAAAAAAATGAAAAACCCTACGTATTAGAGGGGTGCTTGACCGAGTGAGGTTCTCCAAAATGGCCGCCTCGCGGATTTCGAGGAACTCGGCGCGGAGATGCGATCGGGAAGACCTCGACACGAGGCCTCGGCGGATGAGCAATGAACTTGACCGGAAGTGGGTCACGGTGCCGGGTAGACCTACGACCGGTTTGTCGATTCCTGCGATAATTCCGCGGGAATTTATCTACCAGGAAAGTCGAGCGCGTTTCGGCGAAATTGTTCGAGTCCTTTGGGGAGGATGAGGATATCCCGGGTTTTAAGGATCCCCTCTTGGGCAGTCGAGGTAAAGTCCGGCGCCGATTTCCGCGTTTTGGCGATAAAATCGGCCCGGAGCGATCGATTCCGCGAACGATTGTCCAGGGGTCAGGCAATTATTCCCCGGTCGTAACGCTGCAGCTGGAATTCCGGGAGTGAAAGTCTTTCGAAGGTGGTTCGCGGCGTTCCTTTCTCGGAGAGGTTGTCCGCCAGCAGAGGCGGCCATTCAAATGTCCACGGGAGTCATCGCGGAGAGAGGCGGCCGGTCTTACTTTCACGCTCGTCTTCCACTTCCTCGTCTTCCCGGGTTCAATGTCAATGTTTTTAGGCCACCGCCATTGCATCCAACTCGCTTCTGCGATCGGACTCGAACTCTATCCGAGGCGCCTCGAAATTACGGCCACCGGACAGTACCTTCTATCGAGGAAGAAAAAAATATTTCGAAAATCCGCGTGACCTAGAATCTCTCGCGAATGGCACTTTCGGTCTTTAACGTTTCGTGGAAGGACATTACGCCGGTCTCTCGTCGGACATTTTCTCGCGTTTCCAAGAGGGAGACTCTGGCATAGCGATGAGCAAAATCGACCTTGGTTTTGCGGTAAAGCGGTAATTCTCGCGTTGCACATTTTTTGCCAGAATTTTTGCGAGGCTTTTTGTAATAGGGGATACTAATTTGCGGCCGTAAGACCGGGATTGAGTTTATGCATTTCGGTACCCTGATATCTTGCGCGGTAAAGCGTTTATCTTACACCGTTGAGAGGCTTTTTGCATGATCAAGATAGTAGGACCAGGGTTGATTACCTTTTTTATTCTCGGTATTCTGATATTTTGCACGGTCAAGCGTTGCTTTTTCTCTAACACTTTCGAGGGTTTTTTCTGCAAAACCAAGACTCTAAGACTAGGATCGATTATTTTATCTTCGATATTTTAATATCAAGAGGGCATCGTCAAGGCGTTCCGGACATCTCGAGTGGCTTATGCTCGAGTATCGTGAAATCTGGATCAGCCGGATATGTGGAGTGTACCGACGCGTAAGAACTTTCCACGTCTAGCCGGAACATTTCCTACCGGCCCAGATTCCAGCGGTTCTAAATTCGGTCCCTTCGGATCACGTCCAAGTACCGATCGATCCCCGATCGATCTTCCGAGATACTCCAGTTGCGTACTCGCGGAAAAGTTGCGGAACGTTCGGGCCGCGGAATGAACGCTCGAGTCGCTCTCCTCGGCCGGACACTTTCGATCCCACCCCCGGACCTTGTTTCCTTAGAGCGGAAAAACACCCAGCAAGTAGTTGGCGAACAATTCCAAACGTTTACAGGACAATTAGAGCCGCGAGAGATCCGACTTTTTCTTGGCCGAGTCTCGCTGCGCCGACTCTCCGTCGATTTCTACCGACAAAACGCCATTTCTATCGACGTCTCGGTCGACTTCTAAGGACAAACCGTCCCTACATTCTGAATTTCGCCCTCATCATTTTAATTCATTTCCTGTAATGCCGGATAACCCCCCACGTCACCTAAAATGGCGTCGCGTTTACGGCGCGGTAGTTTAATTTTCTGTGATTTATGAAAGGGGGTCGGTCTTGTCTCTCGGTATCTCGGTATCTCGAAAGAACACATAAATAGTCGAGGATTCCAGTCCCCAGAAATTGCGAAACGACCTCGACGATGCTCGAAACGTGCTTCTCGAGTTAGCCTCGAAAGTGGAACTCTGCGCCGCGCCCCCGAGCCCTCTAGGCTGTCGCAACTCGGGGTTCTTTTTTTCCTCCTCTCGGTGGTTACCGAAGTGCTTTGAATGCCGCGTAAGTGACCGTAAGAGTTGCGCGTGACCGAGGTACGGGAGTACCCCCGAGTGCCGTCAAGCCAACTCGAAGACGAGACGAGACGACGCGCCGCGGAGGGTTTCACTTTCACCGTCTTCGGCGGTGGTTTTTGCTCGGGGGCGGCGAGATCGCGCCTTGAATTTCTTGCCAAAGGTTTTCGGCGACTGGCAGGAAGTATCGCGCCGGTCACGCGAGTCGTTGAAACTCCGAGGCGATTTCGCAAATTTGACCCGGTCCCCTTTCGACGGGGCCGAAATGGAGTAACCATTAAGTAGTATGAGGAGACGTAAGGCCAGTACTCGGTTCAACAAAAAGTGACCCCAGAATCGGGAGTGAGGAGCTTAGAAAAAAATCAACGGATCTTGGACCCCTTGGACGATTTTAATACATGGCGTTGTATCTGCTTATACTACTTCGTGGGAGTAACCTTGGCGACCATCTTGGAATCCCCGTGAAGCTTCTCGAAACGGCTCTAGGGTGCAACTTCTCATCCCTCTGGAGGAAAAAAAGTGTTATTCGTAATATTAAAAGCCTCGTACATTTCTCTCGATATAGTCGTATCTCTTCTCTCCTTAAATTACGAATGTAATAACGAATCTTGTATGTATATCACCACCTTCTGTAGGATCACGAAAGTCGCCGAGGAGCGACCGGAGGAACGACATTGCGACCAAGAATCAAGATCAACAACGACGAGGGACGATTCCACCTAATTCTAGCAATCCTTTACATAGTTTTACAACTCCGACCAAACATCTCTTATCGCCGATTAGCGTCGATATCAAGAAATACGACCATCCCCGTTGACGATCCGGCTCGAATCGCGGTCCAGCTCCGACCTCGCTCCTCGATATATGTTCTGTTAAATCCTTCTGTTATTCGCCTAATCGATAACGACGGTGTAAACCTTAGAAATGTAGGAAGATAGAGAAACGTGTGCGCGGCGTTTTCGCTCTCGATACATCGCCGGAAGATCCGACCGACCTCGACAGAGTCGGGGATCGCTCGTCGATTTCATAGTTAATTAATTAATTTGTAATTAACGAGCAATCTCTCGCTCGCCTCTGTCCGAAACCAAGATCGGCGGATCCGAACCGTAAAATTGGAACGACGGTCGGCACACAGAGTAGCCGGAAGTACGTGCGAGTACGTGAGAATACGCGAGTGCGTGTGTATGCGTGTACGTAGGTGCGGTCCGAGAAAGACAAAAATCGACGACGAACGCGAAGGAAGAGAATCCCGGCGACTCGCGTTAACGAGATTAAGAAGCGAGTACGGAAATTCATAAGGAGTACTCATTAGAAAAGTCGCTAATCGGAGGGGAATCGGCGCCGCCCGTTATCACCGGCAGTGACGTCGAGTCGATAACGACGTCGCCATCTGCGACGAAGAGTCGTCCTCGCCGTGAAAAAGGAAAGAAAATGACGGGAAAAATCCAATTTCGCGGTCCCTCGGCGAACGGGCGGAGCCGACTTTCCTCGACGGGGAGGAGGGGCGCTCGGAAGTAGAAAAATGGAAGAGTACAAAAGGTGACGGTAAAAAAATCTCTCGTCGGCGCTTAACGATCGCTCGGGCTCGCCGGGGCGAATATCGAAGAAAAAACGCCGAGTCGAGCGGACGTTCCCGCGGTTTCCCGATTTTCCCAATTTTCCCCTGCTGCGCCAGGGCCTCGCTACTAATACCGAGACTCGGGGACGAGTTACGCTCGACGCGGGAGGGGGATCAAAAATTGTCAACGTCTACGGCATGCTCGATAACGCTGATAAACGTCGGAAATCCGCACTGCGGAAGTCTTGCCTAGACCGCGGATCGGTTCTTCCCTTAACGTTATAACTAGGAGTCAGATCTTTCTCGCTATTAACAAGGAATCGAGACGAAAGGTCTCGCATAACCGTGGAATCTTAAAAATATTGCTTCGTTCCCCTTTCCGCGGTCTCTGCAAACCGATTAATTGTCTAGCTAACGAGGTCTTAAGATACCTTTGAGCGAAGGAGCTATTCACTCGAGAATCGATGAAAAACGATTTCCTTCGTAAACGTGATTCGATAACGAGGGACGATCGTCCTTAAAATAATTATCAATGTCTCGATAATTTCCAGCGATCCCTGCTTGCATTTTCCTGATTTCCACGTAATTTCGGGTATTAAGATCCAGGATTTGCCGAGTGAATAACCCTTCTCTTCATGGATATGCTGACGAATGGTCGTGGGTCACCCTGTCGCCTCCGGTCGACCTGGACGAGCGAACGTTCCTCGCAGCCAGGAGGAAGAGAAGGCGCCAGACCACGCGGGTAGGTCAGTCTATTTCGGCCACTTCCGGGTCCTCCACGGGTCGCTTCCGCGTGAACTTCCGGCGCAGCAGGACCGTCTTCAGGATGCTCGAGGTCCGGGAACCCGCGACTTCCGGCCGCGGGCTGATCCGTTACGCGCCCTTCTGCTTCTTCCTCTGGTCCCGCCTTGTCGGGATCCCTGAAGGGTTCGCCACGGAACCGCCTCTTTCGCAGTCTGCGGTCGGCAGGGGCTTCAGCTCCCTAGAATAATATAAATAATAAATAATACCACGATGCATCCTGGACAAGTATTCACGGAAAGTCGGCCAACCTAAAGCTGAGGAGGTCCTCGTCGTCGGGCACTCTGGAGAGCAGGTCCAGGAACTCGTTGTTGGGCACCGAGTGGGGACGCAGAATCTTCCTGGAGAACTTGTTGACCCCCCAGGCGAGTATCAGATACCTCACCGGGATGAGGTAGAGAACGACCACGGCCAGCACGGCCAGTACCATCGCCAGGTAGCTCAGGTAAGGCACCGTGAAGTTGAAGAGGTTCTTCACCTTCTCGCCGAGGCTGGCCACGTATCCGATCGAGTTCTGCACGGTCTGGGTCACTTCTTGAATGGTCTGCAGTCGTTCCTTCAAACTCTTCTTCTCCTCCTACCGAGTAAAATACGGAAGACCCGGTGGATTAGTCTCGGATTAAATCTTCCAGATGCAATTTCTAGGCTGCCGACCTTGTCCTTGTCGTCCTCGTCGTCGTCGTCGTCCCCGGGCGTGGCGGGGCACTCGTCGGAAATGGCTTCTCCTGCATCCTGAAGAGCGAGGCTCGTCTGGTGCGACAAAGGGGCTCCGGTCACTACAGCGACCTAGCCAAAAATCCAGGAAGAGACGCTAGCCAAGGTGAACTCTCAACGTCTTCGAGAGACAGGAATGGACGTAACGAATTCAAGAGATGTAAATAATCGGGGGCTTTAAATGTCTACTTTCGCTTACCAGATAGTACCTGAAGAGGATAAGTAAAGCGGCCGCGGGTATCATGTAGGGTTCGAAGTAGTAACATCCGAGGACGAAGAGAACTAGGGCTACGACGCTTCGCGTCTTGCTCTCCCACTCCCAGCAGCTTCTACGGGTGAGAACGGAAGAAAGAAAGAGAGAGAGAGCGCGAGCGAGACGGGCTGGGGGCGAGAGAGAAAGAGAGAGACAGACACAGGGAGACGAGGGTACGTATTCAACGGGAGCTCTTCAAGGTGTGGAATCGAAATTCAGCCCTTACTGTATGTATTTCCCAAGGTTGATGAACCCCAGGATGATGGCCTTGAACCTGAGCACGTTCCTGAGGAAGAGCTGCCGCTTGAACTTGACCTCCGGTTCCATGTACTTCTTTTCCTTGGGGTTGACCGTCCTGACGCAGGCTCTCAGGACGTTCCAGACGACGGTCAGCTCCAGCAGGATCTGCGGCGAGTTGCCCTTGGCTCGGCCCCTCAGCTTCTTGTCCTTCAGGGCGTACCACCTCTTCTCCCCGTTCCTCACCCTGAGCAGCGGAATTGCCACCTTGCCCAGGAACTCCACCTTGTGGTCCCGGTCCTCGTCGTAGACCGTCACATCCAGGACCGCGTTGATGTCCTTCACGTTGCTGGAATTTTTCCGTCCCGTCATTTCGAGTTAACTCGATCCCGAAGAGGCGACTTACAAGGTGAAGATCTTCTGCCAGTTGGGGGCGAGGGTCTTGTACTCGGTTTGGGTCTGCAGTCGCGCGTTCACCAGCTCCAGGACGCAGAAGGGGTCGCTCTTGCCACCCAGATCGGCTGCCGCGAGACCCTGGGCTCGGTAGACCTTGAAGAGGGCAACGAGAATTTTAGTAATCTAGAAGTAACCCATTTAGCAGGCTAATTGAATTTTAAATCAATCGATCACCTTCACCGTCAGGTGGCCGACGTCCCTCGGCCTCTGCAAGGTGTTCATCAAGGAGTACCTGTGCGTCAGTCTGACCCTCTCTTCGGGAGTCTCTTCGTGGGCGGCCAGGTCGCTTATCGTCTCGCTGGCAGTGGTACCACTTATCGTCAGCAAGAGAAATATCTTCCCTGCTCCGTCTTCGAGGTCGCGCCAGAGTCTGTGGGTGGTCTCTCGCTCGAGGACGGCCAGGTCGATGGTCACCCGGCCCATGAAGTCGTCCTGGTGACTTCTGTCCCTGTCCCAGACCGTCACCTCCAGGTCTTGGCCTAGGTAAGGGTCCTCGTACAGGTGCAAGTCGAACTGCTCCAGCCAAACCGGGTTCAGCGTCTTCATGGCGACCTTCGACTTGTACTTCTCGCTGCCCAGCCTGAGAACGGATTTAAATGGAGATGAGTAATTTATAAAATATCGAATAATTTTCAAATCTTCCATTCCATACCGGAACTTCACGTAGGGATCCGAGAGCCCGTCTATGTCCATCGGGAGCAGATTTTTCGCCTCGACGAGGACGATCGTCACCACCGAGCTCCAGATCTGCGACTTCAGCTTCCGATTGACATCCGCCAGCCTATTGGTCCTCTGGAAGTACTGCAACCATAAAACGGAAATCGTTGAAAGACCTTCCCTGGATGGAAGAAAAAGAAAAAACCCGAACACGTCGATGACCATCTTTTAGAGATAGCGGGAGCTGACCTTTCCCAAGCTCTCAATTTTTTGTATCTCTAACCAGAGATTAAATTCTGAAGCTTTCGGACCTACCCTAAAATACCGTTTTCTATCCATAACCAATAATGAGAAAAAAATTCATAGAACCAATCAAACGTGCCTTTGAATAGTAAGAAAAAAATATATTTTGTATTATTCACTCAAGTTGTTAAAATTCCGAAGAAACGTCACATCCAATTTATTCGATTTTATTTCGGTTAAATAATTATTCCTTGAATCGACAAAATATTTTATTGGCACTATAAAAGAATCAATTCTCTGGTTAGATGAAATTGTTTTTCTTAGGGTATAATTATCACCCAATCGTAAATCTACCCGGTGGATCTCCTCCTTCTTCTCCTTCAAGGTCTCCTTCAAGCGGTCGATAAAATCGTTCCCACGGTGCGCGGCGTCCATGATGTCGTTGAATTTTTCCAGGTTATCGGGCCGATCCGTCGACCTGGGCAAATCGGGAGAGATCCTGGATCCTTTCATCCCAGAAGAGTCCTGATACCTCGGGGAGGGAGACCTCTCTTCGGGACGAGCCCTCCTCGGCTTCGTCGGGTGATCCATCATCCTGTTCTCGGGGACCATCCTAGTCTGGAGGTCGGGTCGCGATTTGGAGAGCGTGTCCTGGTTCTTCGGGTACTCCGTCTTCAACCTCTTGACCTCGCTGTCGGAGCTGTATCCTCGAAGATCCTCGTTCAAGGCCACCGTGGAGCTGGATCTCGAAGCAGGCCTGTATCGATCGACGATCCAGGTCTCGATGGGCTGAAGCCAAGGATGCCTTTCCACGCTCTCTTCCAGGAGCCGCTCCATCCTGTGCTCCAATTTCCTCTCCAAGGACTCCACCCTCCTCTCCAGGGTGCAGCGGAATGCGCCGACTCTCTCCCTGCGAGTCTCGCTCTTCGGGGTCGACCCGTCGTCCTGGACCTCCTCGTAGATCCCGTCACGACCATCCTTGACGATCCTGGCCGACATCTCTTCGTCTTCCTGGCGTGCTCTCTTCTCCAGCTTGACGGAAAATCGCTGCATCGCCGACCCTTTGCCATTCATATCGTCTTTTTATCTCGCCCCTTTGTACCGTCCCTTTAAATTCAACGCGTCTTTATTTTTCCTCTCTCTCTCTTGATCGAGAGACCGAGACCTCGTGGGGAGACTTCCTCTCCTCAAGGTCGACGTCTCGTTTACGCAGATATGCCAGAATTAAATCATCTCCTTGTGTCGTCCCTTTAAACCGTCCCTTTAAATCCAGCGCGTCTTTATCTCTCCCCTCTCTCGTTCGAGCGACTAAGAGCTCGCGGAACGACTTCCTCTCTTCGAGGCCAACGTTTACCCAGGTGTGCCGGAATTCCCGGATCCTCCTTCCACCTCCTGTCTCCCGATTGCTCGAAAATCCAGACGAGACCTCAATGGCCGCCTCGACCGGGCCATTTCGAGGCTGGTGTAACACTCGCGAGAGGCCTCGTTTCGCTTTTGATAACGCTATCCGAGGATAGGTAGAGTCAAAAGGAGAGGGAACATGCCGAAGAGGGGGAACGAGTTACCGGTTACTCGACGCGTGCACGACGCATACGCGACTCTCTCTCTCTCCGGACTTCGTCTGGGATTAGTCATCGCTCTTTTTTATCCTCCTTCTTCTGGCCCTGTTTACGAGGAGTTTCGCCGGGACGGGGAACGCCGTTTGGGAAGATTTCTCGAGTGCTTCCCGCTCTAGATCCCGACCGACCTCTGGATCGATCCGCTTCAAGGCACGGCATTAACTCGTTAATTAAATTTGCAGATAAGCGAATCCTTTGGCTGCAGTTGACTGCGACTCTAGGAGCGCCGATAAAACACTGTAGAAGAGATCTACGACTGGCGTCGATAAGAGGCAAATCCGCCGCATTCACAACTTCGCGGACAGCCTCGAAGCCGTACACGAGGACGAAGTGAACGACCCTAATCGGATCCGTCAAAACGGATGCCATCGGCCAAGAGGAGTTATGACAACCAGTGCAAAGCTCGATGGGTGCACCGGCAGTACTCCAAAGGAGGAGAGGAAAGCCGACGACGTGTACAGAAAAATCGTCCCGGGGAGTGAAATGCAAATCGCAGGCAATATTCCCTCGGCAGCGAGTCGTAAAATTCGACGCCGGCCAACCGCGAGCACCGATGCACCGCCGATATTGCCCTACCGATATTGCACCACCGACAAGTCCCGAAATGAATTTCCTATCAAGAGGTAATGCACAGGAGGGAACCGGTCGGCCTTCGCCGCAGCGATTATTTTTTACGCCGTTCCAAGGAGTTTCCCGTGTCGATAAGGAGCAAAAAACGCGGTCGCCGATTGCGATTAACTCCACGACTTGTTTCAAATCTCTCCTGGTTGTTCATAAACGACCAGTTGAGATCGATTCGGATCGAGTCGCGTTTTTTAACGACGCACCTAACTCTCGGGAGGGTCGACCCTTCACCAAGTTCTAAATCCAAAGTGCGCCGATTTACCCGGATCGGCGGTATCAGGAAATTATCCCCGAATCGATCGAGCCCTCCGCGGGGGTGAATCGCCCTCTCGCACCCTGGAGGCGGCCCGAAGGGGGTAATTCGTCCCCTGGAGGTCCTCCGTGGGGCGTGGGGGTTATTCGCCTGCTCGCCCACCTCGGGGGGGAATCGCCCCCTTACCCACCGCAGGGTTCCGCGTCCAGAGGCCGGAAAATGGATCTCGCCAATTTCCCGACCAAGGGACAAGGGTTAACGAGGTTCGACCGGCACCCCCTGGATCGCCCCATCCCGATCGATGGGGTCGAAGCACCCCTCCGGACGACGCAATTCCGCCGCTGATAAGTACCCGGCCTTCGGAAAAATCGATTCTTATCACCGACGGGGTGTACCGGTATTTTTCCACCGGAAGGGAGGGATCGATGTGAATAATAATAAGGAAAGAGAGAGAGAAAAAAAGAGAAGCGGTGCATCGAGGGTCGGGAGACCGGCGTTGAAGCGTACAGGAGGGTTCGAGTCTGTCGTCTTCGTAGTCGCGTGGGTAATCAAGGGAAAGGGGCGGCAACGTCGGCGAAAGTGAACCGGGGTGTAAAGAGAGGGTGAGAGAGGGTGAGGAGCGACAAGGAGCGCGGTAACGAGTCGAGAGGCCGAAGACCGAGAGGAGGGCTCGTCGATCGATCGGCCAACGCAATCGGGCCGTTCCGATAACTCTCGACGCGCACCCTTCCCCTAATTGCCGGCCTTTGTCGGCGACGCAGCCCGCCGTTCACCGCGACCCATCGCGAAGACACCAGGGGTGACCCTCGACCCCTGCCCCAAGCCTCGATAAGGATTTCGAGATCCAGGGATCTCTGGATCGTCCTCCCTTCCACGATAAAGGACGGATTTCGATCATCGTTAGCTATTCATCGGCAGGCCCTCTCTCTCCCTCTTCTCGTTCCCTCTAATTGCCGGCCTTTATATCGAGCGCCCGATAAGCGGAAGCGGTGCCGGAGGTTTTCAATCAACCGACCTGCTCCTTGTCCTGCTGGTTCCTGGGCCAGAGGGTAGCGGTCAGGTAAATCTCCCCCAGGTACAGTCTGGGCCTGACCGGGTCCTTTAATTCCAGGACGATGTCTTCGGGGTGGCCCAGCTCCAGCTTGCGGAGGTCCAGCTGGGCGGCGCCCATGAAGTCGTCCTGGAGACCCCAGTCGTAGTCGAAGACCTGCAACGTCGACGGAGAATTCGTCGCGTGTCGATAAAACGCGACATCCCGGAGGGCAGGAAGTTGATTCGCCCGTCGAGGGGCACGTTACCTTGATGTTGAGGGGTTGGAAGGGGTCCTCGATCGGCAGGGTCACGCTCTCGTCCCAGACAGGGTTCAGGTCGCGGTGAACCGTCCTGGACTTGTGCAGGAGGCGGCCGGAGCTCTTGATCTTCACGTAGGGGTCGCTGGCTCCTAAACGGAAAGATACTGGATTTTTTTCGGATCTCCGGTGCGACTCGCGGAAAACGTACCGCATCGGTCCATGGCGACCAGGTTAGCGCCTCGGCGTATGTGGAGCCTCAGCTGGAAGAAGGCGTGCTGTCGGAGGGCGAGCTCCCTCCTCCGGGTGGTCTCGTCGTGGAGAAGGCCCCCGGCGACGTCCTGCGTCCCGGAGGCATCCTGACCCTGCGATTCGGCCAAGAGATTCGACTCCTTTTGAGCCTGAAAGCCGGAGGACCCCTTGGAGGAACCGTCGCTGCCTCTTCCGGGACTGTCCTCCACCGAGGTGCCCGCCTTTTCCCTGGCGACCCTTGCCAAGGGAGACTCTGGAGTTTAAAGTCCTTATTAATCCTTATCGACCCTACTTAATCCAAAAAGCGGCTTAAATGTTTCGGATAAACGGCTCACCCTGGTGAACGAGCGCGTGTCTGGCAGGACTCTGAGTAGCCGAAGAGCTCCTGCTGTGCTCCGAGGAGTAATCCGCGGCATAGTCGGACTCGGCCCCGGGAACCCTGAAGGAATCCTGTGGCATAGCCGAGGGGTCCTTCTTCTTCCGCTCCTTGCTGCGGCTACGCGTCCATCGGCTCTTCAAGGTCGCGAAAAAGGTGTGCGTCCTCTGGGCCACGGTGGCGTACCTCGCCGAGTGGCGAGGGTGATGATGCTGTTGCTGGTGTTGCTGCTCTTCGAGGCGGTCTCTGCCGCGATTGGTGCCGCCGGACTCCCCGGAACCACTGTGTCCTGGGGAGCCTCTCGCCCCCTCGCTCTTTTTCCTGTGCCTCAGCTCCGTGGCGCTCCTCGATAGCGGTCTGCTTCCGTTCAGGTTCAACCTTGACCGGTCCTCCTCCTGAGCCCGATCTAAGGGTCGAGGATATATAATATATAAAATCAGCGGTGAACACATGCACGCTCCTTTCCAGGCCTTATCGCTCCCAGCCCGTATCTTCCCCTACCGGAAGTCGGCTCGCCATCCTCCGTTCCCGCCAGCAGTTCCACGCTCTTGCTCATTTTATCCCCCGAAGAGGTGGACTCGGCTTCAATCTCTTCTTGAAGTGGACCAGCCTGCGACCGCCCGATAACATGGTTCCGTCGAGGAGTCGGTCAGCCTAAGGACCATCGACCGCGAGGCACATCCTCTTCAAGGGGCTCTTCAAGATGCGTCTCGAGGGTTCCCCCAGGTCCTGGCGTCCCTTTACCTCCGAGAACATCCGTGACCTACAAGACGAGACGAGCCGGATTGATTTTCCGACGTTTTCCGCTGATTCCGCCCGCCGATATGCACCTCTCAGTCCGTATCTCTCGGATGCATCGCCCTCGACTGGTCGTCCAGCTTCAAAGGACCTCAGAGATCTCCGAGGCGACCTTCCAACCCGGTTCCGAGCACCAGGCACATCCGCGACCTGGAAGTTAAAACAACGACCCAGGATGTCGGCACGCTTCGGGTCATATCCCTCGATATTACCAACGTTTCAGGATGCACATGTCGAGAATTCTACAGAAAATCCGGAAGGACCTCCGAGCTCCCCAAGATCCTCCCCCGGTCCAATCACCCGCCTGAAAGTGATTTAAAATAATAAATTAAAAAGCCATCAAAGTCAGGTAAAAATTCGAGGAAAATTAATCTCTTCCTAATTCTCGACATATCTCACATACAGGGGCACCAGGGTGCGTCGAGGCCGGCGATCCTCTTCGAGGTTCGTTTCCTCCTGGCGCCTGTCTTCATCTCCGAGCCAGGGGAACTCGACCGTGAATCTGGAAGGAGGGTAGAAAGAAATTAATCTCGACGGAGTAACGAGTAACGTCGGGCGGTCCGATGGAAAAGGCCGGTTTACACGAAGGTCGGTCGCCGTTGGGGGCTTACATGAAATTCGTATCAGAGGCGCCGAGGAGCCACGAGGGAGGCGATATGCGTGACTTCCCTACGTGAGACTTAAAGGGGTCGTTCCCTGGTGTATTAAAACAGGGCCGGGGTCTACGACTTCCCGAGCTAATTTTGGGATAAAACGCCCGGAACGCGTCGATAACGCTATCTAGGCGCCGATCTACGTATCGTTAATATTAAGGGGTGGCTTTTCAGCGGCCCGATCGTGTCGTAAATTTCTCAGCGATCGAGGGCATATTTTGGGCTCGATTTCCCGGGCTAACTTTAGGATGAAACGCTCGCTTAAACGTCCGCAAAGCGTCGATAACGCTATCTAATCGCCGATTGGCGTATTATTAACAAAAAGGGGTGGTGTTTTCTAGGACCGATCAGAGGGTGATAAATTTCTGCGCGATGCACGTATTTTGGGATCAAACGCCCGCGTGGGCGACCGAAACGCGTCGATAGCACTGAGAAAAAAAAATTCATTGCCCCCACAGAAATATTTCATTAAATAGTATCAAAGGAATATCTCGTTAATTTAATGAATCATTGATTCGACTCGAATAAACTGAATTAAATTGTCGTAATTCCGGGGAGACGTTGCATCCAATTAATTCGAGTTTATTCAGAGCAGATAATTATTCTTCGAATGAAGAAAATATTTTCTTGGTTCATTGACATTTCTTTTCTCAGGGCATCTGCATATTATTAATATTGGGGGGTGGCTTTTTCGAGGGCAGATCGAGTCGTAAATTTCGCAGGAATGGGACGCGTTACTCGGAGAGGCAATAAAGGCGGCAAAGCGATCGTCTCTTCGAGGTGTCGAGCGTTCGATATGTCGTTTGACAAATCGATAGGACCGAAGATGACACGATATCGACGCTCTTTGTTTTTCCCCGAGATCGTGTCAAGGGCGGAGACTAGGGCCAATAATTACCCGGGTGGAGGGACAAAAAGGAAGGCGTAAATGCCGGGTCAATGGGGAAGGATTGAATAGCATTGTTATCACGACGCCTCGATAAGGCCGCGGAATTTGAGGACGCCTATGAAAAACGAAACCGAGGATAGGTCTGGTCTACGTGCCAAATTCCACCGGCATATCGTCCTCGTAAATCGAGGGTGAGACGCGAAAGTCAAGGTTGCGGATAAGGAGGATCGTGACCATCGAAACGCAAAGATAAATTTAAAAAAAAATGGAAACTGAATTTCAGATGAATTTTCTAATTCAGAGGAATCTGGACTTTCGCGCAACACCTATCGACTGAATATAGGGAATCGGGGGAAAGGATTTCTTCGGATATGGCTCGATTATTCCGAGCAAACGGAGTGGACCGATTTGTAGAGCCGATAAACTTCCTGCGGCTTCACCGAGTCGCGGCACTGAACCCTATCACTGGGAATTTCCACGTAGAGGCGAAAAAAAAAATCCCCGATTCACGAAAAAGGGTTCACCGGGTGACGGAAATCGACGGAGCTCTCCACCGCGTCGCCACGAGAAAATGACGTTTCAATCCCGAAACAGGGAAGCCCGGGGTCGGTTAAAAAAGGGAAGAAAAGGGAGAATGACAATATCCATCTGGTATGAATGAAAAAAAAAATCGACGATTATTCTGGGACGTTTAGCGCCGATAACCGGGAAGCGTAATCCGCAGGTGCGAAGTGAACCGGTGAAGAAGCGTCGCTCGGTGGAGGCTTCGACGAGATCGCGCACTTATCTTGAGATTTTCGTAATTACTGATAATTCGCGGGGAGTCGAGAATCACGTCGAGCGTCGAGTCGCGCCGCGACCGGACCGAAGGTTAGTTCCGGTCGCTCGAAGGTCCGAGAGGCCACTGACAGAAGTCTCGGGCTCGCCGTACAGCTCGCCGCGCGCGAGTCGCCGGAGTCGGTGGGCCCGTGAGTGCGAGAGAGAGGGCGCGAGGGGGGCGCGCGTGGGCGAGAGCGAGAGGCAGCGAGGAAGAGGCTCCGCGGAGCCCCTATCGACCCGAGCCAATCCGCGCCACCTACGGTCGCGCTCACGTGTCGCCGCGCTCCCTCGGAGATCTCGCCCTAGCGGGCGCCCCAGACACGGGGCGCGAAACTCGCCGGGAAGAAAAATCTCCCCCGGAAGCCGAGGAACATCCTGGAATTTTTTCGGAATTTCCGATCCCCGGAACACCCGGAATTCCTCGACGAAAGCCCGGGAGCCTGCTCCCGTGGGCGCAGCCGCGCGCGCCGCGCAGGCTCGCCGCCCTTTCGCTCGGGTTTTCAAACGTCCGGAATTGCGAAGTCGAGCGATCAATTTGCCGGTCTCCTCTCCCCGAGGAGGATCTCGAAACACCCCCGGAGACCTTCCGCACCCCCGTGGGCGCGGTTTTCTCGGACTCTTCGGCAATTATTCTAATGCGCTCCCATTAGCTCGGATGAAAACGTCGGGGAATTAACGAGCACGCGACGCCTCCCTCCACCGGCGCCACTTCGGCCCTCGTTAGGGCCGAGTCCCTTTGCGGAATTTTCCCTCATCCCGGAATTCCCTTAAACGACGTTTAAACCTGTAATTTAATTTCGTCGGGGGGAGTTTTCTTAAATATACTTAAGTTTAGGATTTCATCTCCTTTCCTCCCCTTTGCTCGAGTTTATGCCCTCGAAAATGGAATGCCTTCCGGGTGGAGTAAAATCGCTCCTGTGGGACGATTCGCTAATTACGGGGACCTATCGGTTTCCCGGTAGGCGTGCGGAACCCACGCGGTTTTGTTCCCTTCGCGAAGGGAGCTTCGTCCAGGCGGAAAACCGGCGGAGGGAATCGATACGCATTATACATCCTACTTGAAATGAGTGCGGCCAGGCTGTAAGGCTTTCTGCTTTTATTACGCAATGTACAAAACGCTCGGCATACACGGTATGCAGTAACGAGGGAGCGCTCCCGCGAATTTACAGGTCCCCTTTTTTATTTCTTACGTTATCTTTTTTTCCTTTATCTAAACGATAAAAAGGGACGACGCCGGAGACGAGTCGACAAAACCGACCGTCCTGTCGATCGCCTTAGAGATCGGATAAGCGTCGATGCGATTTCCGCCGCATCGAGAAAAGACGCACCGCTAAAAACAAACGACTGGCTTACACTCGGACTGGAGAAACGGAAATAATAAATAATGCGTGTCGATTAATTAGGCGATATCCTCAAATCAAGGACGCTTCGTCGAGGACCCGCGTGGATAAAACAAGATGGCGCCCGGCTCAATCGGACTTCGATAAAACGAGATTCTATCAGAAATTTTCGCCCATCACGCATATCGTGGCAACGGATATTCGTTAGGTGAATTTAGAGGAACGTTTCCTCGGAACTATGGAACCTTTTGAAAGTCTCGTTTATTTTAGGATACGTCCATTTTTACGTGTATGTCCACTTCTGCAGGGGGAGTTCATAAATGAACATTTCTGAGGAGGAAATCGCGGGGCTTGGAAAAATTAGAAATTCGCCCTTGACTCTCCAGCATCCCCGGGGGTTCTCTTCATAAAATTGGAAACTCCGAATTCCCTGATAAAGTGAATCTACTCTCGATCTCTTGATAACGTGAATTCCCTCGCGATTTCTTGGGGCGCAAATTTATTCCCGCCGCCCCGATAACGCAAATCTACTCCCGCTGGTCGCGGTGGCACGAATAAACGAAAAGGAAGAAAAAACGGTCCAGGGTCTTCTCTCCGAAAAGTGGATCTTTCCTCGCGAGCCGCGCATCTCATTAAATGCGAGGCGTTCGCCGCTCTGCAACACAAGAAGAGAGAATTCGTCAGCCACAGGATGGCGAAGTCTGGCAAATGAGTAAATAGGAAGACAAAAAAACGAGTAAACGAGTGCACACGTAACGTCATGTAAAATCACGCGAAAGAAACCCCACGGGACGTGTCGCAAAGACGCCGCTGTTTTACCGGCCGCGTGAAAAAAAAAGAAAAAAAGAATAAAAATCCGGCCACCAGAGACCAATTACACATCCCATCCAGAAAGAGAGCATTTTATTAGTCTCCTTCCCACCAAGAGTCGCAACCTTAAGCCGTTAAAGGATATCGAGTGAAAACGTGGAATATTAATCATAAAGGAGGGGCCGGCCCCCGCAGGAAGTCAAGGGGCTTATAAACCGCGTCAAAGAGGTCGTAGATGAAAAACGGCGGCTCTGAGCTCGGGAGTCCTTCGAAAATCGAAATTCCTCCCCGGGTCGAGCGAAGAGAACCTCCGGAGTGTAGTGAGGCACTTCGGAAGAGTCTGGGGAGATGCACGAGGTGGACAGAACGTAAACACTGTATTTTATTAATACAATTCTAAGGTTCCAGGGTTGACATGGCTATTTTCGAAGGTGGCGGGAGGACGCGACGAGGATAAGCGGCGGTGGTCACGATGCATCTCGAAAACCGTGCATCGGACAGAGACCCAGAAAAAAGAGACGACATCCCTTCTAAACCATCTCCTGGGTGTCCGGTCCGTCCAGATGGGCCTAATCGGGGTGTCGCCACCTCCCCGGGTCCCGCTGGCGCCGACTGCATCTCGCAACAACGTGTATATGTATACATATATATACATATATATATGTATGTATGTATGTATATATATTCGTATTTATATCTATCGTATCGTTTCATATCGGTTTATGTATATATATATCTCGGCACACACGTATATACATATTTATATGCATACGTATCCGAGCCATGGCCGCAAGGAGGACGCAGGGCCCGGAGGGTGCAAGTACGAGTGGTACCGCGAGTCCGTCGTCCGGGTCACGACCCCGTGCCGACCCACGACCTCGAGGAAACGCGGCAAGGGGTCCCACAAGGTGGAGCCACCGAGAAGCCGGACGTTCCGCATAGATGACTAGTACCCATCGCGTCCAATCGCAGGGTCCTCCTCGAGGTCAGGGGTCGGCGGGGTACGGTAGTTTTCCAACGGGACGCCGACTAGGTCCGTGCCTTCCAGGGAGTGCCGACAAGGGCCAACCCCGAGACGGAGAGTTTCGCGAAAGGGCGCGAGGCGCTCTATATACAAAGGGGGCGTGCCAGGGGGCCCCGGGGTACGATCGGTTTTACCAGTTGGTACCGCGACCTCGACCCCGGAAGCCGCCGCCCCTGAATTGTCCACCGCGTTTCAGGCCCCTCGGGTGGAAGGTACCGACCGGTCCCCGAGGTCCCCTGTCCCAGGGGGCCCTGGGGCCTCCCCTGAAGCCGGCCCTACCCCGATGAGGTCCCCGCCAGGGCGGAAAAGGAGCGGTGGGCAGGCCGCGAGGTCGGAACGTCGGCGTAGCGTTGGGACCGTCGTACTCGTACACCACCGCGGGGTGCAGCTCCTGCGGCCCGTTAGCCCCGGGTCCAGGGCCGGGTAAGAAGCTGCCGAGGAACGGCCGCTTCTTCAGGGGCGATGGCGTGGCCTCCCTGAGCTCGGCCAGGCTACCGTTGGCGGACTGCCGGTCGCCTCCGTTCGAGTTCATCATGGCTTGGAGCTGCTCGGAGAGCTGCCGCGGTGGCTGCGTCGTCCCGGGGTCCGGGTCGTGCGGCTCCATGATCTCGCGACCCTCCGGGCTGATCTCCTCCTGGGAGTCCACGCGAGCAGGCCGGCCCTCTCCGGGCGGAGCCGGCTCCTCCTCGTTCCGCCGCTCTTCCTCCTCTTCGTGCGCGTCCCTCAACGCCTCCTGGGGGCACTCCTCCGGCTGCTCCGGGACGACCTCTTCTTGGCAAGGCATCGACAAAAGTGGCGCGTCGTCCCGGTGGTCCTCCGGTATCGCTGGCTCCCGGTCCGGGTCTCGGTCCGGCTCCTGCATCTCCCGCTGGCATAGAATCTCTTCGAAGGGCCTCGACGGCGCGTCCGGGTCTGGCTCGCGACCCTGCACCAAGGACGGCTCCTCCACCGTCGACCGATTCTCGTGAACGTGCTCCTCCCGGAGGACGTCCTCGAGTTGGTCGCTCGCCAGCCGACCCTCGTCCTCCGGCAGGCCTATCGGCATGCCGTCGTCGTCGAGGACGACCACGGTATCCGGTGGTTCCAGCAGGTAGGGCCTACTCTTCGATGGGCCATCCGGGAACCTGGTGTTCCTGCGCTCATCCGCGAGGTTGCGGTGCTGCATCGAATTACCGTGGTCCTCGGAGAAGCGGTCCCGTCGGTTTCGGAACCCTCTTCCACGGCCGCCTCCCCGATCGCCCCTGTGGAACATCGGCGAGTCCCGGTGATGGTGCTCCTGCTGCTGGAACCTGCCGTGGGGGAACTTGTCTCCGTGGAAGTCCGGCACGCTGCGCCGACCGTGCTGGTTCTCGTGGAACTCCTGCCGGAACTCCGACTGCCGACCCTGATGAAAGTCCTGCTGGAACTCCTGTTGGAAGTCCTGTTGGGATCCCTGGTGGAACTCCTGTTGGTTCTTGCCGAATCCGGGGCCCTGGCCCTTGCGAAAGTTCGGGCGGAACGGCTCGCCGACGCTGCGCCGGAAGTCCGGCTGGTTCGCCTGGAAGTCCGGATTCCTTCCCTTGTGGAACTGGGGTGGAGTCTGGTGTGGACCCTGGTCCATCTGCGGATTCGGGCCCAACTGACCCATCGGCAGTGGGATCGCTCGCATGTCCATATCAACGTGGTGCGTGCCCGGCGGCTGCTGAGGAGGTCGCACGTCCCGGTCTTGAGGGCGCACGTCCACCAGGACTCGGCTCTTCTGCTTGTTCTCGCCCTCGTCGTCCGACATCTCCATGTCCACGCTCTCGACGATGTCGCCGGGCTGCAGTTGCTGCCTGTAGAATCGATAGAAAAAAAAAGACAGCGTCGGAATCAAATAGAAAATTGCCGAAAGAATCCCGCGTCTACTTCGCTCTTCGGCAACTCACCGATAGTCTTGGTCTCCCGTGGGCCACATGCCGGCATTGTTGGGGAGAGCTGGCATGAGAGGAGCGTTCACCGATTGAATGGGAAGCTGATGATGATTCGCCGGGCTTCCGGTGAGGCTGATGAGGTTGCGATGGTCCACGTCGGCAGCCTTGGCCAGCCGATGGGACAGTTGCGACTCGACGGACATCGGCAAGGGTATCATTCTGCCGTAACAAAAATCACAAGATCAAAATCTAGGGCCGTTGAAAAAATTCCAACCTAAGCCCGATCTTATTACTCCATTACCTGTGGTCGACGTCGCTACTGCTGCTCAGCAGCGACTCCTGGGGCTGCGTGTCGTTGTACTCGACGGGGTCCTGGAATCCCGACTTCTCGTACATAGGCGGAGACTCCGGAGTCTCGGACAGGATGTCGCTTTTCCCCCTGGCCACTGACCACGCCGATTCGCTTCCAGACTCCCATCGATCGTTCCCCGAGTCGCCCCACAGAGACTTGTTCCTCTCCTCGATCTCTCCCGGCCATGACGGGTTCATGCTATTTTTTCCTGCAAATCGGTCCATCAATTAGTAACCTATTAATGGCGATCGAGACAAAGGAAGACGAAGACTTAGGTTCAGAGATATTCCATGAGACGTTAAAGGCTAAGCATGAGTATACCCCAAGTTTGGAAAGCGGCGAATCTCTTTGGCGAAGGGAAATCGTCCTCACCCTTCTCGTCCCACTTGGCAGGGTCCTTGGACAGGTCGCTAGTCGGCGTCCAAGTCGGGAACTTCGGTGGCAGTTTGTTGTAACAATTCTCGTCGTCGAGGAATATTGGCGGCGGTAACGGCGGAGGTGGTAGCGGGTTTACGGTGTTGCTCACGGGATTTACGGAGTTGTCGAAGGGGAGGACGACGTTGCTCTGGCTGTTCTGGCTGGAGTAGGGGGACGGAGTGTGGGAGTCCCTTGTTATGCTGCGGACCGGCAACGGAGTGCTGTGACCGATTTGCCCGCAATTGTTGAGGCCGCCGATGGGTGTGCCGGGCCCGCTGAGCATCCGGTTCATAGCCGGAGTCAGTGGCACTTGTCCCATCACCGGGGAGTGCCCGTAGTCCGGACGCTGCGGTGACTCCAGGTTGTTGTCTGGAAGATCTAACCCGAGGCCGGGGATACCGGAGGGATTTGGTGCTCCTTCCGATGAGGGAAGCACCGTTTTGAGGAAGCTCGATATGTTGAAGCTATCGTTACTGTTCTCCGCCTTTGACGGACGCATGTTGATGACTTCGATAGGCTTTGCCTGCAAAAGTAGTATTATTAATAATTGACCGAAAATATTCAATTAAACTACGGCTGTCCGCGGGATAAGCACCTCCAGGGAATCGTTGTATTGATTCAGAATAGTCGGAGTTGTCGATCTGTCGTTGAACAAATTTCTCTGAAATGGAATGTAGGCCAGGTTATCGATGATGTCTTCGGGTTAAAGAAATCGAAAATTTTTTTTTCCAATGATCTTACCATATCAAAATCCATGTTTCCTCCCATAAAGGATGAAAAATTGTTGGTGAAGTCTCCGGTAACACTTCCCGATTGTCCATCAGGTGCTGGCACTGGCATTGGGTCGTAGTCTGGCCTGTACGATCCGTATATCGTGGGAGGTGCTATGTCGATTAGAGATTGATTTCCAATGTGATCGTCTCCAGGAAGGTCTAGATCGCTGTCGGGACTCGGAGAGGGTGCATTAATGTCTGGAGATGGGATCGGAGAGATCAGCGTAGGAAGTAATTCATCCAATTTCTTTTTTAGATTCTTCACTCGGCTCCCGAAATTTCGGTATGCCTGAGAAAAAGAGGGAAAGAATGTTACCATTCGAAATGGACTTAAAAAAAACATGTGCTAGTTGCCACGTCGCGGTCACACCATGTACTTACGTTCGTCACTATTTTAACTTCTCCCCTCTGCGTTTCGTAAAACTGATCTGCCTGTTCCAGTAATTCGAGAACTTGCGTCCTCTCTCGAATCTCTGCTTCCAAAGCACGTACATAGTTCTCTACGTTTCTAACGGCAATATCCACATCTTTTTCGGCATCCTCTACATGCCGCCTATCTTTAAGCGAGGCACACAACTCCTCCGCATTGTCAAAATCGATATTGCATTCTCTTAGATCACGTAACCTCGCATCCGTAGCTTGTTCTAAAGTTGCACAGGACCTCATAGTAGAGATAAGAAGCGCAGCCTGGAATTCCTCCGTCGGTACGACGGGTTGAGGGTCCTGCTTCTTCTTTGGTGCCGCCGATATTAGACCGGATAAGTCGGCTAAGAACTCCTCGTCGTAGACCTGCCTTTGATCCCATATCTTGAAAATTCTTAAAATACGGTGCTTCACCTTCTCGTCCCTGACCATTGTTGTTGCCCTCTGGAGAGTTATGCCCCATGATTCCACGAACTCAAAGTTCTTTCGTTTTGAATACTGGATCACATCATTTGCCAAATAAAACAATGTAAGACGGTGCTCCACTTTCACTGCAAAAAAAAACACACCGATATTAATACAATCTCTGCTGTCGACTACCGTTAACGCTCTGTCGTAAAGTAAAAAACTAGTCTTTAAAAAGCGCAGCTATACCTTTCTTTAAAACTTGCAGCCAAGTAGCAACGATCTTCTTGTGGTGCTGCCTTCTCTCGAGGCACCATGCCGAAAGACTTTGAATCGACTCCTGGGAATCCTTAAGGGTATGAAGCCTCCGTTCGAAGAGCTCCACATCGAAGTCGTTCGCAGCCATGGTTCACTCTTGCTTAGAGCACTAAACGAAGTCTAACACTCGAGTAGAGGTGCGCTTTTTAGGGCGAACCATCGAGAGGAGCGCCGGCAACGTGCAGGCGTCATTCTGGCGACCATCGCCGCACCAACCTAACCAAACTTCCGACCTCAAAAGAACGAAATCACTCCTCGAAGCGGGCGCTGCGCGTGTCTTTCCCTCGCCTCGAGCTTGCGGAAAGAAGTCCAGATTGCGTACCGGTTGACGAGCGCACCTGACAGGGAGAAATCCGTGAATCGCCAAAAGCGTTCGCCAAATTCTCTGGACCCGGACACGCCGACGAAGCGCCCGCGAATTCACAGAATCGAAGTTCCTTGCACTCGGTCGGTCCAAAGGTCTCGCACTCACGGACAGGAACGCCGATTCTTCCGCAAATCGCGTCTCGTGACGATGCAATGCTTGCCGCATTCACCAGTTAATTATTGTTTAAAACTCGCGTGGTTCGTAGGGCCGATCGCGAAAACAAGAATCCGCCATCTTTTTCGGGGACCGCGGGGACCAAAATACGAGCGCGCAATGGGCGGCGATGGCGGACAACATCCGCCGGCGCGAAATTCAAATCCCTCGCTCGTCCACTTCATTCCCTTTCAAAATCCATTTCTAATTACCAATTGCGCCAAAGTCACGCGATACGACGGCGCATTTCCATTTCGCCCACCGCCCATTTAAAAATCATTCTAAATAATCCCACGAGCTACTAGCGCCATCTACCAGTTGCCACTTGACCGACACTCCTGTTTCCACTTTACCGTTCACAAATACCTCGTCATATTAAATCATTTTACGACCTAAAAAAACTCCCGAAATATAATAACCCTTGAATCCAAGGTCTCTTCCACCCCGTAAACCTGGAAATCAAGTAATTTTGGGCAGGGAGTTATAGCGTATAAAATCAGAGGTGGAAGGAATCGTTCGAATTTGCCGCTTCGCATGTCGGGTGGTATGGAGCCCGTTCGGGCGGATTCGGGCAGGTTCGGGCACGGTCGCGGGCGTTCGCGGTGCGCGTGTGCGCCCAGTGTGGCCAGTGCACGCTGCGCGTGTCGCCCTGTCGACCGCTTCGAGTGATCGCCGCAGGTATCCTATTAGCAAGTTTCCGTAATCATCCCCCGCAAGTTTCCGCCCTCGACTGCTCCCGACTCTCCTCTTCGCTCGCGGCTCGCCGGCCGCGGAAACTCGTCTCGCTCGCGCTCGACGGCGCGCTAATTGGCCCGCCAGTCTCGCCGTCTCGCCGCCATGGAGAAGAGCGACGACGAGGAGCGAGCCACCGCGGCGGCCCTTCAAGAGGCGGCGGCGCCGGAGCACGTTGACCGCGAGGCGCACGACGGTCCCGAGGAGGACTACGGGTGTGCGCACTACAAGCGGAAATCCAAGTTCGTGGTGAGATAACTTTGCAACCCGCGAGGGAAGGAGGGAACGACGGAGGTAGAAAGAGAGAGAGGGAGGAAAGAACCCACCGACCGCGAGTACGACGTGGGGCGGTCCCTGGCTCGTCTCGCCACTGGGTATTTAAACGCCGCCCAAAGGCGTGGACTCCGTTCTCGCACGCCGTCTACGCCCTTAAGGGGCTCGTCCGGGCTCGCAAAGAGATCTGGCAACGTCGCGCCCAACCCCGCGTTGCCTCCATTTCGCCGGATTACGGCCGTTTAAACGGCGCTCCGCGTTTCGAACACCCACGTTCGATTCGCTGAAATTCAAAAAATACAAGTGACTCACTACGTCGCTTTCTTTTTTCTGGTTTCTCGATATTTCGCAGCACTAAGCGGCCGATTCATGCACGGTTATCTAAGGGCGCCATCTTTGCAACTGCGCTACGTGTTCGATCTGTCGCGGCACCGTCTGGACCTTTCTCGTTATTTTATATATGATCCGTGTCTTTATTGGTACACGTACTCGGCGACCCGCTGCATGATCAATGAATGGAATTGTCTGATATAATTTTTTCTTAACCGCGATCCATGTCAGGAGATAATGTGCAGGCTAGCGTAAAGTAAACAATGTAGACTCCTTAATTATCTTTAATCAAGGAATTAGGATAGACAGATCCTGGGTGGAGAAAAACTTGGACTTACTGGTGGACGTGCAAAATTTTTAGTCGGGGGCTCATGTCAATGTGGAGGACCGAATAGAATTTGACATTTGGAGGAGAGAGCAAGCTAATTGGTATTAAATGTTTGCAAGCATTAATATCGATTTCTGGGCGCGTTAGGCACTTGCGCGTGTTAGTAATTCGATGGCAGAGCTTAGAGGATCAATAGTGACTAGCGATGCCACGTGTACGCTTAGTTCCATCTAGAGTGTCTCTCGGCGTGCTATAGAATGGTCTTGATCTTATGAGATTGTAGGTAATGCCTAGTCATTCGATGAGACCCTAACTACTTCCATGGTTTTCAGACGCCATGCTGCAATAAGGTGTACACATGTCGATTCTGTCACGACGAGGAGGAGGCCCACACGGTGAAAAGGAAGGAAGTGACAGAATTAATATGCGTTATGTGCGACACTCGTCAACCGGTGCAAGCCACCTGTCAGGAGTGTCACTGTCGATTCGGCAAGTACACTTGTCTAAAGTGCAACCTTTTCGACGACGAGGACAAGAATCAGTATCACTGCGATGGCTGTGGCATCTGTAGGGTAGGTGGGCGAGAGAGGTACTTTCATTGCGCCAAGTGTAACATGTGCTTGCCGGTTCAACTACAAAATGGCCACAAGGTGAGTCGTTACGATTTAATGGCCCGATATTGGCATGTTAAAATCACAGTTCATCTCCTTCGATGGATTTTCCCCCCTTCGATTATTGCCCGTTACCTCTTGCCGAGACGTATTCTAACCTTTACATGAAGTTTTGTGATAAAAAAAAACACGAAATCGTTAAAACCGGTCAGCCTTGGAGAACGTCGATAGAGGTTAATCTTCCGTCATTTAAATGCAGAGAGCGGCTCGTTTACGAGTTGGTAGACGTCACGTGTACTATTTGTTGCATCACAGGTTGCGCCGCGAATCTCTTTATACCATATCGACTCCTAATCAAATTAATAGTCAATGTCTTCTTGCACAGTGTGTGGAGAACGTATCGCATGCCAATTGCCCGGTATGTCTAGAAGACATCCACACAAGCCGTATTCCTTGTCACATTCCCAACTGCGGGCACTTGCTGCACCGGACCTGCTTTGAGGAGCTGCTGCATTCGGGCCATTACGCCTGTCCAACCTGTCAAGTGTCGTTGCTCGACATGACCGACCTCTGGAGATTCCTGGACATCGAGGTGTCCATGACGCCGATGCCTCAAGAATATCGAGACCATAAGGTCAACATTCTCTGTAAAGATTGCCATGAGGTAAGCAATTCGTTAATCGTCTCTCGATGCCTTCCGATCGCTCTAATGTCGAACATAAAACATTACGGTCCAAACCCAACCTCACCTTACGGTCTCTATTCCACAGGAATCAACGGTAAAATTCCACGTAGTGGGGCTCAAGTGCTTGAACTGCGGCAGCTACAACACGTGCAAGATCAAGAGTTCGCCCTCTCCCGGTAGATTAACACTAGAAAAAAAAGAAAAGAAAAAGAAAAAAAACAGCATGAAACATCCCCCCCTCCCCAGAAAAATCCCCTAGAATTACCCGTCGCCTTGTCGCCGTAGATCTGGAGTCGCTGGACGCCGCGGCGGGCAGCAGCGGGGCGGCCGATGAGGAACAGTGCAATCGGAACGATTCCGAGGAACCGCAGTAACGGGGAACCAGGATGCTCGCCCTTCCCGTGGGTCATCTTCGACACCTCCCAATTTTTGCCGGACGATCATCTCCAGGCCGGAGAAATCATACCCCGGCCCGGAACCCCCTGCGACGCGTCCAGGCGGATAGTTGGTGCAAATCTTCGCACTTACATATCGTCGTCCTCCGACAAATTTATCGTCCAGAGGATGGCGAAGAACAACGCTTACAGAGCGACACACTGAACGCTCCAAAAATTAATTTACATGAATCGCAAAAATTCAGATAAACCCAATCATGGTAAAAAAAAAAAGGAAGTAATTGAAGTCGAAACCTCACGGTGAAACATTCGACGTACAGTGCGTCGCCCTGTATATACATAAACGACGTTTCGTGGCGACCCCCTCTCTCTCTCTCTCTCTCTCCCTCGTTTTCGTGGCATTCCACTTCGCTGCAATTAGGCATTTAATTTACGTGTAAATAACGTCTCGCATAATATACGTAATAACGCGCGCACGTCGCGGTACATAAAGTATCATGAAAGTACGCATCCAAATGGAAGTAATATAACGAATTTAATAAGGAAAAGCAGAGGTTAGGAAATACTCTTCTCCGACCCCTCGTCGGGGGGCACTTCACGAAAAGACACCCGTCATCCGTGTGCATGCGTGTACAATGTGTGTGTGTGTGCGTGTGGATTTTTCGCCGCTTTATTGTTTTTCCTCTCGTTGTAAATTGAAATACCAATTACAAGGTTCTTTGTACATAACGGCCCGCAATAATATTTTATATCATATACACGTAAATATAGTGGGTTTCCAATTGGGCGAACCGACCACGGCGGGCTTTCCGAGTGGGACCCGGGGGAGCCCTTCCAGGGAAACGCGTTCAAACCGATATATCTCCTCTTTGACTAAGTATTTTTCCTTTTTTTTCTCTCTCCTATCCGCTCGAACGTCGACCTAGTCGACCGTGGTCCATCCACCCTTAGGAACCGCCTCCGAGTGTCTCCCTTCCTCCATGTTTAATTTTCCTGTGTCTTTGGATTCTCGCCTAGGTCCTTTTTCCGCGTGAGACCGACGTAACGGGGTGTCACTCTTCCTCTCGAGGATATTTTAGAAGTTCAGGGAACGGGGCTTCAACGCCAGGAGGCCGTTCGCGCAGAGGAAGTGCCTCGCCGCTCTGGTCATCTCTATCTGGTCTCTGGTGCGCCCGAAGGCGATTATGGCCCACTGGGCCTCCAGTTGCACCTGAAAATCGAAAATACAGCGTTTCAGAAACCTCACCTTCCATCTCTACGACCCGATTCGGATGCCTAACCTGTACCGATCCGGTGATACAAGAAATACCGCCGAAAAATCGTAATTAAATTCAGAAGAAACGTCGACTCGAGAGTCTCTAGATCTAAGTTAAATACTGTAGAAGTTCTGGAGTAACGTGCACTCACCTTCCTGGCGCGTTTCGACGGCCTGAGAGGCAGAGGCAGAGGGCTGAGGTTACAGGGGTTCTCGAAGGCCTCGAACAGGATCGCCCTCTTGGCGTTTGTTCTCCGGTGGGTGGCAAAGTCGTGGGAGGTCTGGAAAGGAGATAGACACACTAGCTACAGCCGGCACTCCAAGGGAGAGATAAAAAATATTAAAAGGAAAAAAAAATGATAAACGCAAAGAGAGAACCAACGTAGCCCTCGAGGGGGGTCCTCGATGACGAGGCCGCCTCCTCCGAGTGCGGAACAGAAAGGGAGAGAAACTCGATATCACCGGAGTTGGGGGTGCGTGGGAAAGAAAAGAAAAAAAACGACAACCTGTGCATCAGAAAAGGAAAAACAAAATGTCCTCTCGATCCTTTTACGCGCGTTCGAGATCGAGGCACCTCGGTCGACTTTCGTAAAGGGTCCGGGGTGCTTTCCGAAATTAAATTCCTTTATGCAAAAGCCGCATGACCGCTCGTTCACCGGATTTACCGATATCCCTTGCTTATCAATTTGCGAAAATACGACGCGTAAAACGATCGCTCCAGAGAGACCGACTCGAGACGTTGATAGACGAGATAAAATAAAATGTAAAAAATAAAAACAGGAAATAGAGATAGACCAAAGAATCGGGTTCCGCACCCCCAAAGGAAGGGTCGATGTTCCTCGGCGAGGATCGGGAGGGATACGCTAGGCCTGACCGGGAACGTATCGAGGAAGGGTTAGTGTAGTCATGCGATTTCAGCTTCCCCGAGAGGCTACACCCCTTACGGAGTCAGGGCGACGAGAAAAAAAAACAAATAAAAAAAAAATAAAAACTTGGTCCTCGACCCTATGTACAAGTTAATAACTAAAGATAACTTCTCGAGCGTCGCTCGGTTACGTCCACCCTCCATAACGGAGCACACAAACCACCGGGGACACGTTGCAAAATAAATTAGGGGAATAATAAATAGCTGCGACGTCGGCATCGCTGGTTAATTGGCGAGTAACGCTCTAATAAATTAACATAACCGTTATAAAGGGGGAAATAATAGAAATATATATATATATATATGTATATAATATATAAAAGTAGAGGCTACACGGTAGAGGGGGGGACAACATTATGTACAGTGCAGGTTCCTTTGGGTTAGAGGCCTCCCCGGGTCGTCCAGGACGAGCGGGGAGGAAGGTAACGAGAGATTAACGCGGCGATTCGTTCCGCGGGTTTCCTTAAGAGGTTAGTTCGCGTTAGCGGAGAGTTGTCGAGTCTCTTAACCATCGAGCAACAACGTTAGTAACAACAAACAGCAACAGGGGACAGAGAAGGTAGAGGAAGAAATAGAGAGAAAGAGAGAAAAAAAAGTCGAGGCCGGCTAGCGTGTCTAGAGGCGGTTGTTACGGGAGTAGTACCAGGAAAGGGTATGCTGGTTTTGGATTTGGTTTTGACTTTGGTTTGGCTGTTCTACCTTCGCTGGACTAGGTCCGGCTGCCAGGAAGCTGTCGTCCAGGACCAAGGACGCCGGCGAGAACAGCTCCGAGGTGTCGAGGCTCTTGCTCTGAAATCGGGAGATAAGGGATTAATGTAAAAACGCAGTAGGGCTACGAAACGACGTCGAAACATCGTCGAGGCATTGTCAAGACACTGCCAAATTGAGATAACGAATTACCGGCGTCTCGACGGCGAAGCTCATGTCGGAGGAGTCGTGGGTGCTCGCCCAGGCCTGACATAGAGCCTTCCGAGCCCGCTTCCCCCCGGGTGCGCTGTTCTCCTTTCCACGACGCCTGCCGGTGCCGTATCCCGAGTCTTGCAGGACACTCGTGCCGGCCAGAGTCTCCTGGTCGGTCTCCTGCTTGATGATCTCGGTAAGGGCGTCCAGCCGACTCGGGGTGGCCGGCAACTGCGTCGCGGCGCCGCTCCGGCGCTCCAGCTCGGCCAGAGCGTTCTTGAAGGGTGTCGGCGTCCTCGGCGTGCCGCCACCATCTGCAAGTTACGGCGAGTTTCAAGACAATTCCATGCGCGCCGGAGAACGAAAGGAAATCGAATTACCGGCGTGATTCCTGCGCATCCCCGAGGGTTGCGGCGTGGTCAGCGGACTGTTCGGACTGCCCATCGGAGTACTGGCTCGCGGCCAGGACGTCTCGGGGCTGAGGCTGTTCAGGAACTGCGAGGGACTGAAGGGTAGCTGCTTGATAGGCGTCGAGGGCGTCGTGGCGCCCGACGCGCCGCCATGGTGATCCCCGTGATGGGCGCCCTGGTGAACCCCGCCGCCCCCTACGTGGGGATGGTGGGGATCGCCGGGTATCGTCAAGTAGTCCGACTGGTTGCCGCTGTCGGGGGTCTCGGTCCTGGACTGGTCCAACGAGTGGACGTTCCTCTTTCTGCGGAGGATCGGCGGAGGGCTGCTCCTCTTGCCGAGGGGTTCGTCGACCTCCTCGAGGTCTGGCATGGGTAGCAGTCTGATGTCGGAGCTCCTGGAGCCGGCCGCCTCGGTGGCGATGTCCAGGCCGAAATACCTAGAGAACGGCGACACCTCGTGCTTGAGTCGCAGCCCCTCCCTCGTGGGCGAATCCAGTCTCGACTCGTCCACGGAGTCCTCGGGGTCGTCGCGACACCCGGACAGGACGGGCAGCTGGGGCGCCCTGAGTTGCTGGCGCTGTTGCTGTTGGTGTTGCCGTTGTTGCTGTTGCTGCTCCCAGGCCCTGCTCCAGTCCAGCTGGTCGACCTCGAGACCCTTGGAGCAGCTCGCCTCCGCCAGAACGGAACCGAGGGAGGCGCTCGTCGACGAGGAGGTGCCTTCCCGGTTAACCGAGATAGGTCCGTTCCCCCCTCTGGTCGCCGTGGGCTCCCGTTTGGGAAGGACGACGGTGGGCTCCGACGATTTTCTCCTGCCTCGACCTGGAGAAGGAAACCTCCGTTTCGCTAGGTTCCTTAATAACTCCCTAATTATTCTCTAATTATTTCCCAATCATCCCCTAATTATTCCCGCCTCCGACACCGACCTCTCGATCCGTTGGCTCTGCCCTCCTCCGTCTCGTACTTCCTCCTCATGGTGGAGTTCCAGTGGTTCTTTATGGCATTGTCGGTCCTACCGGGCAGCAGCTTAGCGATCTTGGCCCACTGGTTGCCGACCCTCCGGTGGGCCTCGACGATGATCCTATCCTCCGCCTCGGTCCAGGCGGTCTTCTTGATCCCAGGGTTCAGGTGATTGTGCCATCGCTCTCGGCACTGCTTCCCGATCCGGCCCTTCAGGTGGCGGGCTATCAGGGTCCACTTCTTAGGTCCGTACCGCTCCACCAGCTCGACGACCTTCTCGTCCTCCTGCGAAATCATCCAGCGGATGAAACAACGGTCACTCTCGCATAAACCCTCCGCGAGGATGTGGCCTCTCTTTCCAGGGTACACCTCGCCTCGGTTTTACCTTTCGCGACACCCTATCTCCCGCAATGCGGTGCGCGCGGAACACCCGGATAGAGGGCCTCACACGACGCTCCCCTTTCCTCCTCGAGGGACAAAGGAGAGTCTCGCGTTTCGCGCTCTCTCCCTCTCCCCGCCTCCTGCCTCCGTACCAGGAGAAACGGAGAGGCTCGATTCTCGCTCGATTACGGAAAAACGCTAGGGGTCTCACCTCCTTGGTCCAGGGCCCCTTGACCAGCTCCGGATTGACCACCTTGGCCCATCTCTGCTGGCACTGGACGTCGCTGCGGTCGGGAAAGTGCGCGGCTATGGTGTCCCATCGAAATCCGGTGCCGAGCTGCTCGACGGCGCTTACCAGCTCCTTCAGCAGGGCATCCTGGAAGAAGATAATCGGCGGATTAAAATCGGTCGTCACTTATCAAATCAAATATGCGTACGTTTATATCTTTTAACGAAGAAACGTTACATATAACGAAGCTCGAGTCTTGAAAAATATACATTTGCTCGAGGAAGATCCTTACCTCCTCCTTGGTCCAGCGACCCTTGTTGATGTGCTTCCCCTGCAGCTGAGTGCCAGAACTGGTCGAAGGGTTCTGAATCCGCGGATTCGCGCCATTCGCGCGATTCGCGCGATTCAACGGTGAACTGTACTCGCTCTCGGTGTCATCGCCGCTGCTGGAGTCGTAGCCCGACCGGGACCTGGGGAAGAAGGAAACGCTCAATCAGGGCGGAGATCGTGCTTCCGGTCAAGTTTTCTCCCTCGAGATCGACCTAGGGGAGTCCCCGGGTATCCGGATTTCATAGGAAGTTCTCGACGGCGGTTACTTCCCAAAAATCGGGCAGGATATCACGGCTGGCTTAACATCCTCCCAACGTCCGTCCCGATTCCTTCGGGCGATCGAATCACCCCGGGCACGCACGTGCATCCACACCCCGAAGGAGGGCTCGAAAGAGGGCTCGGTCACGGCAGCCGACCTAACGACATCCTGCGCCTCCCTCCCCCTCGCGGCCCGAGGGGCTTCCTCCCGGGTGTCGCACCCACCCTGACGAGATCTCCCCTCCCCGGAAATATCTATTTTTCTCCTCCCCCTCCCAAAGCGTGCCGCGATAATTTGGCCGTGGATTCTTGGAACGATCCGGCACATTCCATAAAGGTACGTCGATGGCGACGCCTAAAGAGAAGAGGGCAATCGTTCCCGGAAAATCCGGTAAAAACCTGGAGACATTCCCCCGGGATTCGCGAGGAGCAAGGGGGGAAAGATGGCGGCTTCTCTCCGGCAGGGTCGACGGTCGCGAAAAGGGCCCTCCTGCTCCCCTCATTTGGGAATGGCGGTCCCCTCTCGGCCGCTTTTGGGCCGCTTTTGGGCCGCTTTTGGCATTCCACGAGGGAGAAGCGAAAACGAGTTAGCGGTCCCCTCCACCAAGGGAACGGTTTTCACCCTCTCGCCTTCCACGCCGAAAATCGACGAGCGCGGGCTGGGATCTCGCCCCGAATAAACAGGGTTTAAAGGCGCCGGCCACGGGGGCATTTTAAAGATCTACCCCCTCGAGTCTTGAGAAACCGCGAGGGTGAAGTGCCGACATCCCCGATGAAGCCGGATTTAAATGCACTTTCCAATTTTTCAATCTGGATGCGCTGGGTCGCATCATTTAATTTTGTCGATTTTACAATTTGAGCCAGCCAGTTCGGAGAAACTCGGAGAGACAAAGGTAGGTGCCCGAGACCGAACCAGGAGGGCAAGACCCGGATAATAAGGCCGTAAAGGGAAAAACGGAAGGAGGGGCGGCTTCGGGGCGGCTTCGGGGCGGCTTCGGGGCGGCTCGACGCGAGACCCGCGAGGAAGTTTCGCGCCCTCTCGGGAAGCAGGTGCCTCCTTTACGTCGAGCAGCTGTCCCGGCTTTCCCCGGTCTCGCCCCCTCCCGGTCGGACTTTCCCGAGGGCGTCGGCCACGCTAATCGCGCGCCCACCTCCGCGACTCCCAGGGTGGATTCCCAGGGTGGACTCGGTGACCAGGTGGGAAGGCGCTTTGCCGAGGACGCGTCCCGCGCCAGCTGTCGCCTCCCTTTATCACCCCATCTCGACGCTGCACCATACGCTCGCGATCGATCGCCGCGGACGACGAGGGGGTCTTTGTTCCACCGGGAGGGGAGGAGAGGACAGGACGCTCTCCCGGTCGTCCTGGCCGGGGGCTCGTCGAATTACCCGCTCCGACGTGGAACGCGGCGAGAGGGTGCCGGTGAATCGCTGGAAGACTCACGAAACTCGAAACGAAACCCGGGCGGAACGCGATCGGCGTCCATGGGGTGCAAAGTGCCGGAACATGGTCGACCGTGCCTTACGTACGGGATGAAAAAATGCCGGAACCCGAGGGGTGCGAGGGAAGTGTGGGATCCCGCATTTTTTAACGATCCCTCCCCCTCGGACGGCGAGTTGGGGTGAGTCGGGCGCGTCGTGCCTCGTCGCCCCGGTGTCGATGCACGGGTCGTTCCCCGGGTCGTTCCCCGGGTCCGGGGCGCGAGACATCTGGCTACCACCTGCCTCGATGCCCTCGGTCGTGCGCATTCACGCGCATTCACGCGCATTCACGCGCATTCACGCGCGCGCGCTCGCGAGAGCCCGCAACTCGGACCCTCGCGCTTTTTACTTGGGCATAATGCCCAGGCACCTCCTCTCTCTCCGTCTCGCTCGGCCACGTGGTCGGCGCCTAGCGGAGACGAAGACGGATAGAAGGAGACTATTTCCATCCACCTAGAGCAGGACTTCGCACGGACGAGGCGCGTACGGAAATATACGATAACGCGAGTTCAAATCCGATGCCAATGCCCGGGCAATGGACGGGCGGCCCCTGGAATTACGAACTACGGATAATTAAATGGTGATTACAAATTATTTTTCGAGAAAAATCTCCACGGACGTTTACTCGCTCGGGGTCGATAGAATTTCACGCCAGATACTTTTAAAAGCACGAACGGACGGGACCGAATACTTAACGTCAAATTTCGGTATATCAATTTTATCAATATTTATATAGTAATCGAGTGATCTCGAGAAATACATCCCCCCCCTTTTTTCCTTATTACAAGATTACCTTTACATTTTTTTCGCGTAACTCGTTGAACGACCGAGTACTATACGCCGATGGAATATTCCGCAACGGCGAGACAAGGATAACGAGTCGAGCCTCGAGGGGTGCGCGCGCACCCCTCCCGGCTCGCCCAGTTCCCATGAGACACGCGCGACGCCTTTTCCCTCGTGGATCCCCGATTCACCGTGGGAACCGAGAGGGTCCGTCCCCGAGGTGCGCGCCATTGTATCTTTGTTAATTCCCGTAGAACCCCCAGGGAACCGGGGTGGCTCGACTGTCCGCGACGAATCCCGAATCGACCCTCTAATGGCCCCTTTCGGGACGCGTCTCGACTCGAAATAGCCCCGTCCCTCGATAACGCCTCCGACTTCCAAACCTCCCTATTTACGCCCATATCCAACGGCTCCACGCGCGATACAAATACGTATACCCCGTCCGCGTTATCGCGCTCGTTCGTACATCGGCTGCACTCGCGATAAGGCAGCATCCTTTGATATATCAACTATCAAGTGCGCGCGGTTTCCTTTCCTCCCGCGCCCGCTGCCGCTGCCGCTGCCGCTGCCGCTGCCGACGCTAGAAGGAGAGAAAGAGAGAAGGAACGCGCGAGCAAGGAATGAAAACAAACCCGGGGAAGATAAACCGGAGGAATAAATCAAACGAACTGGGTCAATGACGACGAACCGAGATATCGTCACCCGCCGTCTCGTAGCGCCGTCTCGTCCCGCCGCCGGGGTTTTTCCCTCCTTTTCCTCGTTTCCTTGTCTCCTCCTTTCCCCCCCTGTCCTCCACGAGATCAGCCTCGCGTCTCTCGTTCCAGTTTCCACGAAACGTCGGCGCAACGTCTCGCCGAAATACGTTAACCTAATAAACTCGACCGGCGCGAAGTTGCCGCTTCGAGGTGGAAAACAAAGATGGCGGCACGGGCGAGTCACGTGGGGACGGCGCGTTTGAATTTCCGCGGGCCGGAAACAGGATAGGGACAATTGAGAAAGTTAAGCCTAGTCCGGGACTTACGCTTCGGTGGGCGGGGGCGAGTAGAAGGTCGAGTGGTAGGTCGCGGCGTCGACGATCTTGGCGGGAACCAAAAGGTCGGCCGGCAGGAGGTCCATCCTTCGAGTGCTTCGACGGGCCGATGGCCCGACCCGTTACGACGCGTCCGTCATCCGAGTCCGCACTCTGGCCCCTCGGGCCGTCGTTACCTCTTGCGAGCGGCCGCGCGCATTCCCCTACGTTCGTCACCGACTGCCTCCTCTCGCGGACTGCGGAAATCGGCACGCGTCCTCGAGGTTACCGGCGTTGCCGTGCCTCCGCTCGGCGACCGGCCGGCGCATGCGCCAGAGCGCGCCTTCCCGTCCAAGGTCCGTGGACTCTCCGTGAAGCGAGCCCTCCTCTCGGTCGAACGGCTCTCGCGAGAATTCGATCTCCGGAATTAGCGTCTCTCTCTCCAGAGAGAGAAAGAGAGAACGACTCGGGAAAACTGGAAAGCCCGCAGGTGCGTCCCCTTCCTCTTAAGACTCGCCCTTCTCCTTCCACGCTTTTCCCGGGGGGAGGGAAATTAATATCCCAGGATGCAGCAGGTGCGCGCACCCTCCGCGGCTGCGTGCGCTCCAGCAATGGCGCCGCACAGCTCTTGCTCTTCCCGTACTCCTGGCTGGGTTAAATGTCCCCCGAGTGACCGAAAAACTTGCCTCGATCGATCGACGGTCCTCCCTGATTTTTCGCAACTGTCGCTCGTCCGAAGATCGACGATTTAATAGATTCAATCCATTTAGTCCATGTAATCCGAAACGGTCTCACGTTCCCCACAATTTCAATTTCGTCCCTCCTGCACGGAAACTCGTTCTCTTCCACCACGGACCGCGACCGCGGGAAGTGCGTGCGACGAATCGTCCGCGGGAGAACGGCGCGAGCGAGCGAACCGCTCGGTGGTCGGACTCGAACTGAGCGACTGCCGAAGAGGAGGTCGGAAAGCGCCACGGGGTAGGGAGGCTGTAAGGGATGGTGGGGCGGTGGGGCGGCGGGGCAGGGGGTGGCCGAGAGTCCGCCATATCTCCCCTCGCGTGAGCGCTCTTCCCCCACCGTAACCGAGGTCTCCCGGCGCTTCTAGCGAGCCGACCGATGAGGCGACCCCGACGAGTACCCTCTCTTCTCCGATAAACCCTAAATTCGATTCTACCGACTCTCCCCGAACTATCGTTCGAGTCCATTCAAAAAAGTACAAACCAATTCGCGCACTATAGAACTCGGACTCGAGATCTCGCAAAAATTGAAGATATCAATTTTATTAATTATATCCTTACAATCCCATCTTCTCGTAATCGCGAATTACTTAACGACCGTAACTGCCGCGATTAATGCACGTACGCGTAACCCTCGTTCCATGTCCACCGAAACCCGAGGCATGCGAGGCCGCGTATCGTGCGAAACGGCAAACGGCAAACGGCAAACGGCGTCGTCAATGAAACCGGCGCCACGGATTAGATTGCCGGGACGGCCGTTGCGGTTCCGCTTGGCGTTATCAACCGGCGGCTCCACGCCCAATTTCTCCGGGGGACCGTTGCGCACAGTGCGCCGGGCACGCACGCGTCGCACTTCGCCTTAAAAACACCCACCCTGGTTTCCGTTGGCCGGCATCGTGCGTTCCTTTGTTTCTCCGCACAGCTCCACGATAAGAACTACCTTAACGCGTTACAAAAGCGTCATATGTACCAGAAAATGAAGATATAAAACATTTCGTCAAACTAGGTGCACCGAATCATCCGAAACTTGAACACGCGATCACGAAGATCAAAAGTTTCATCAATACTTTAATGTATACATATATACAGAATGACCCTTTCGTATCACTTTAAGATATTTCGTCGAACGCGAATAATGGTCTCTCCCTTTTTATTTCGGAGAGAATCGCTCCTCGAGGGCCAATTAGCGACCCGGAGGTCTCGGACTCTTATCTCGAGGGAGAGGATCCCCGAACTCCAGAGAACGCGCCTTTTTCGGGGGAAAAAATAAAAAATGTAAAAAAAGATAAAAGCCGCGTGTCCATACATTATACATCATCGGCCGTCCCACGTTTCTACACTTGTCTCGAGGAGGAGGAAGGAGAGGAGGAAGCGGCTCCTCTCAGGGTCGTTCCTCGAGTATCGGACAGGTTCTTCGGTGAGCACGCTCCTTAGTGGGAGGGTCGCATTCCAGCCTCGCGGACGTTCCCAGGAGGTCCTTTAAAGCCAAATAAGCCGCGAGGAGAAAAAGGAACATGGAAGGAGGAACGAGCCGACCGAGCGCGGACCGCGTTTCCGGCGGAACCTTCCACCTTCCACCTTCCACCTTCCCGTCTCGAAATCAATGGCCGAAACTTCTCCTTTTCTTCTCGTTTCAAGGATCCCTCTCGGTGAGAACGCCAGAGTCGAGCGAGAGGACGAATCTTCGTTAACATCGTGATAACTCACGCCTTGGGTAATAACGTTATCCCCTCTAATTGGCTCTCGATTAAATGTCTAATTCCACCGGGAACCGAAAGTTGCGGGCAATTCGGGCGGCGAATTGCACCGTGCCGGAACGATACAAGAGGGCAAGAAGCAGCTGCGCCGTTTTACCCCATGGTCGAGACCGTTTCACGCAGCCGCACCCAGAAGGCGGGCGAGCCGAGTGTTTTCCGCCATTCCACCTATACAAGTAGAAGGTACCCTCTGTACGCAGGCCCACACAATCGAGGCCTCGACCCGGCGCCCATGGAAACGAAATAGAAACGCGGCACGGGCGCCAGCCATAGGAGGCCGCTCATCTCCGGCCTGAGAAAAAAGCGTCAAGACCCGATTGAAAAAAATAATTACGCGACCGAAATAAATTCGAACGACTCGGTCGTGACGCGTCTCCGCAACTCCGAGAATTTGACTCGATCGAAATGAATTGTTCCTTGAATTCGCAAAACGTTTCCTTGGCAAGCAAGGTCGAGGGAGCATTCCTACGTTTCGATGAATGCATTTCCCCCCCGCCGAATGGAATCTCCATGACCGAGACGGCGATGGCGAGACGGAGGAAGAGGGAAAGAGCCGACTCGTTTCCCATTCATTAGCGATTCCTCGGAAGAGGCGCGCGTTATGTAAAACGCGATCCCCCGAGAATGGCACACGGGCAGAGGGTAGGCCCCGGCACGGACGCACACTCGGACGTACACTCGGCCGCCTCTCGTGTGCCCACGGGCCACACGGCGGAGGGGTCAGCGGCGAACACGCGTGCGTTTATCCTTCCGTCCTTCGGTCCCGGTTGCCATGCGGGAGTGCGCGCGGACCGATGTCACCGCCGCCCGCGGCCCTCGGAAACCCGGAGACGAGGAACCTCCGGAGGGACGCCACATGCCACCTCCGTCCAGCTGCTGCAACGGACTCTTATAAATATCCAGACCCCGGGGAATCCCTCGCGACCCGTGCCGAGGTGAGGTGTCGCCCGGAGCGCCAACGGACCTAACACGGGACCCACGAGGATGCCAGAATTTTTCGATTCGCGCGTGCATCCGCGTACGCATACACGCGAGGTTTCCTATTTATTCGTTACGTGGAATTTAGCACGCCTACGAGGCGAGGTAAAGTAGACACGTCGAGAATCCCGATAACTTTCGGACGCGGGTCGGCTCCGAATCGGCGGGCGTCCACGTTGCGCCTCCCGCGCGCAGCTGTCAAAAAGCAGCTGGGCCAGGGAGAGAAGAAAGCGAGTGCCATGTGCTCCGACTCGGACGCTCTTAACATTTCTCCCGCGCGACGCGCGTGTCCTTGCGATTTAAACGACGATTAAATAATCGCATCCAAGTTTCCTCGGTTATCGCGGCGCCGTGCCGTCTCGACGTATCGTTCGATAAGGGGCTCCGAATTTCCCCACGGTCGACGATCGCAAGGTAATGGATTTAACGATTGAAAGGGGCTCTTTCAAAATTGGATGGCCACTCTGGGCAGGGAAAACGCGAGTCTGGATCGAGCTCTCGAAAGCGTCGCCCGGCACATCGCAGGCGCGCCGGCGCGCCGGCGCGCCGGCGTCCCTCGTCAAATCTTTCCCGCCAAGTGAGCCGGCATTGTTTACCTTTCCCGTCCTCGGAGACAGACCTCGTAAGCGGCCGTTTCGTTAAGAAAAACCTGCCGGAAAATATTTACGTTCTCGTCCGGCCTCTTATCTTCACCCAGGGAAAAAAAAAAAATACAACGAGTACAACTTTCGACTCGCGGCTTCGAACGGCTTGCTCAAAATCGGCACGTCGTGTGAAATTATTCCCATGATTTTACCCCGTCATCCGTTTCCCCGTTATTTAACGACGATGCCGAGGGAGAGAAAATCCGCGAATGCTCTCCTAGTTCCCTGCACGTGGCGCTGCAGTCGCACAAGGGCTTCCACCTCTGTGGAAACCTTGTTTTTACACATTCTAAGAACAATTATCGTTACTTCGGATATTCCTGCAACGAATGCTCCTTGTTCTCCTCCGGTATATCTATCGGTCCACTACCCCGTTACCTACTGTACACCATTCGAAGTACGTTAATATCCGAGGCACCGCGTTATCTCTCTCCGACAACTTAAATTATCCCTACCGTCTTAATTATTATTTACGGAGTACCCTGACGAGTGCCTCGCAGTGTCAGAGTACTCTGTTGATTAATTCCTACTTAAATTAGCGACATCGTAGGCAGCATCCTTCCCGAAGTATCCGTTTAGCGATGACTACTAATTTATTGGTCAACGCTGCACCTCGGAACGCAGAGCTCTGCAGGGGCCTCTCGACAACTCACTTGACGCTGCAGAACTGCATCTTCCTCGGCGTCAGTCCATGGTCCTTGGTGTATCCGGCAAGTGCGTCGATCGAAGGAACGCCACTTCGCGAGTCTCCCAGCGGCACTCCCGATCTTTGAAATAAGTCTCTGCAGAGATTTCGGACCTCGCCGGGTCACGTCCTGACGCGGGACTCGCGCTAACGCGCCCAAACTTCACGGACCGCGTCCCGGAACGCGCAGGAACGCGTCTGATCCAGTCCGATCGCGCCCGAACCGCGAAACACCGCGGAACACCGCGGAACGGAACTGAGTTGCGCGAGGATCCGCGAGAGGGGGCTGCGCGCGCACCCTTTCTCCCTTCGCCCCTTGACGGCGGCTTGCCTCTGTTCCCACTATCTCGATCTCTCTTGCTCCTACGCCTTTTCTTGCGCGCTCTTTCGCGCGAAGAATGTCCCTTTGTTTATGAGATATCTTGAACGCGCCACTATAACGCTCTCTCTCTCTCACTCTCCCTTTCCCTCTGCTGAACTTCCTGGTAAACAATGGCGCGTTTTCGCGCCACTGGCGAGGACTCGTAAGTACGATCCGTTGTCACGGTTGTTACTCGATATCGTCTATCGAGTTCCCCGAAATTACCGTAATCGATACGAAGGACGTCTTATGGATTATTTAAATATGGTACTCGACATTTATTCGGAATGTTTTATTGATTTTCCTGGGGTGGAAAATAGAACGCTGTGGTGGCGCCATCTGTGAGAGGAGCGGTGAAGGTTTGACGGGATCTGTCGGTAGAGATCGGAATCACCGACACCACGCTATATTCCCGAGAAAATGGCCGAAAGTAAATAATTACGTTTGTCCGAGAACGATCCAACGCGATCGATCGTTATGTCCGACGAATCCGAGTACGACATCGAACCGGAAGAATTTGACATTTATAAAAGAAAGTATCAACTGTTACTCGATAGATGCGAAATCCTTCAACAGGTATGTTCGCCTGTAGAAAAGTGTTATCCTGGGCCAAATATAAATTTACACATTTTTGGCATTTTCATCCACTAATTTATTATAATTGTTTTTTCGATTATGTTATAGGATAATGAGAGGTTGGTTTATCGTATCCAGACTGTGAGGAAGCTACTGAAGCGGACACGAAAAGAGAAAAAGTACGTCGTCTAGGTTATGGGTTAACTGCGACAGGTCATTGATGTAAATCGTGTACAATCTCATACTTTCAGTGATACGACTGTTTTAGTTTTAAACTCGTATTAAGGCATGGTTTAATCGGACTTGAAATTCAGGTTCTTAATAGATCGCTTGGATCAGCACGGGGATAGATGGCGTGAAGCGCCCATGGGAGTACTCGAGGAAAACAGTGTCTTTCAAGCTACCCCTAAATCAGAAAAAGGGTCAAAGTCAGGCTCTCATCACTCTAAGGACGACAAACCTAAAAAGGGAGCTAAAAGGAAAGGGACCAAGGCAGACCCAAACGCGCCTAAGAGGCCAGCCAATCCGTTCTTCCAGTTTTGTCAGGAACAAAGGCCACGAGTAATGGAGAGATTAGCGGGTGATCCGGAGCCTAGTAAACAGGAACTCACTAGACAATTGGCAACGACATGGAAGTCTCTTAGTTCCGAGGATAAGAAGGTAGGACCTTTGGGCGTTGAAAACTTTTCCCCAAAAATAAGACAGTTATTTTATATCTTCCATCTTTTATTTACATCGTTACAGGTCTACTACGATATGTACGAACGCTCCAAGGAGAAATATGTAGCTGAAATGCAAATTTACAATAAGAAATCGGAAGACATACCCAATCCGACATCTGTAAGCGTGACGTAGCAATGCGAATTTAATTGTAAATATGTGTGTTTGTAAATGAACGATCGCTGCTTGATATGTAAGAGTTAAGTTATCTTTATAAGTAAGCCTTCACAGTCATTTAATCTGAGTTTAACTGACCAAAGTGTAAAAAGTTTATGCGAAATGGAACAATTAATTGATAAAGTTCTCATATCAAGAAATAACGGAGCTCTTTGCATCACTTTGTATCTAATAAAGTTAAAGCATTTATTTAAGCTGTAATTTGATTACGGCTTGGTCAATCGAAACAGAAGTCTTATTGATTTATAAACAGTAAAAAAAGTACTAATATTCTTGTGCAAGTAATCGTAAGGTTCTACCACCTATCTATCCCTTGAAATTATCCTTTTCTTTTCGTAATGCTGCCATGGTCTGTATCGGATCGGACTGTTTGGCATGTTCCATCACTGCCAATTCATGAACTCTCATAAAAGGGTTGGTCTTCTTTTCGTCCTCGATAGTACTGGGTACCGTAGGTTTTTTCATTTTCCTCTGCTCTTGAACCCACTCGATTTTCTTCTGAATCGCTTTATTTTCTGGTTCTACATGAATTCCGAATTTTAAATTCTGCCCAGTATATTCGTGACCACAGTAAACTTTCTGCAGTATATCAATAAAATTATGAATTTTCAGCCAAATATCAAAAATCAAGAATCTGGAGATTTACCGTGTTATCCGGTAGCTTCCCTAAGACTTCCACAAGTGCTTGATACATCTGTTCAGCTGTGCCCTCGAAGAACCTACCACACCCTCCTGCAAAAAGTGTGTCACCTAATCGGCAGACATTATTCTTATAAATTTCTGCCTTTTAATTATGACCTCTTATGTACAAAAATGTCTATCTACCACTGAACACTGCTGGATCTTCTCCATTTCCTGAGACATAATAACAAATGTGACCAGTCGTGTGACAGGGTGTTGCCAGACACCGAACACTTAATTTTCCAAGCATAAAAGTAAACCCATGTTCAACCTTGTGGTTGAGGGCATCGATCCTATCGTCTCCACCGTACACTTCAAGATTCTTCATTTTTTTGCACAGGGCTTTGTTGCCTCCGGCATGATCCCAATGATGGTGGGTTGTGAAGACTTTGGTAAGATTAACATTACTTTGTTCAACAGCAGATATGACCGAATCAGGATCTACCGGATCTACAATAGCTGCTTCTTTAGTTTCGTCATCCACGATCTGAAAAAAATGTTAATCCCATAGACTCTATTGTCTATTAATTGTCCAGAGTTTTGCATAGAATGTACAGAAGTAAAACACATACCAAATACATATAATTGTCTTCCAATGCTGGTAATATCTCGACTTTCATGTTGTAGTGATTCACGAGAATAGGAACTGTACGAAGATGTCTAGAACCATTCGTTGAAATACTTTGTACTGAAATCATCAAAGATATGTGAGCCCATTATTAATTATGATAGTAATTAAAGTATATCAGCCGTCCGTGTAACAAATTTCTCTGGTATGCTGCGAACAACGTGCATGCCCCTCTCATTGGACACCTGTCGAATCTGACCTTGAGACCGCTTTAAAAACAACTCGTTATGTATCTACTTAGCTTGCATCTTACATCTGACACATATCAAACCCCTTGTTTAGACATCCAGTGCCAGTTAAGTGGATCTTTTATTTCGGTTAAAGAAAGACGCATGAAAATGTAAAAAGTTAATACCCTTAAAATATGCAGAGGTGAGTTTGGTTTCTAACCAGGTTGGGCACATGCGAAATGCTGCGTTCAGCATACTGGAAAAATTACTGGAATAACTTTCGTTGTCCGCCTAACGTGCTTTGAAAGGAACTGCAAACTTGAGCGAGTTTAACAACTGCTCAGTAGGAAGATTGGCAAGTTACTTGCCTATTTCTCTGTTGGTTAAATGACAGAAAAATCCTCAGGATGCCTCGACAACTGACAAACAATCAAACAATTCCAGCCCAGGGTTGCCACTGCTGCTCCCAGCTGCTCCGATCGGAGTAGATCTACTACTATTAATGTGATTTTACTACTTTACTCCAACTTCTATGTTTTCTACTCCGTTTTATTCCTGAACTACTATATATATATATATACATGTATAACTGACTGTAAGCAATGAACTTAATTATTTTATCATGAAGAAATTTGTCTAGTTCTCACTGTATAGAAATACATTTCTAGTTACGTTTGCATTCTTCGGTTAACCCATCTGATGACAAGATTTAAGAATGAAAAGGAACATTTTAAATATTCCGCCGTATCCCGAGTAAACCCGAAAACAGTCCTCTGGCTCCCAGTGCGAAACCAACAGCCAAAACACAGATGGACGACCTGCAGCCAAAACTAATACACTTGTCCTGCAGCGACCCACAGCAGCGACATGTGAAAAGAATAACGTTATGTTAATCCATGCAAGGTTATGTAGGTTATGGTTGGTTATGTTGCACTTGGTTTTAAGGAATAATACAAGCCGATATGTAGATTATTTTTCTGACCGAAAATTCCTGAGGATTTTCAAAAAATGTCCGCCGGCTCCTCGAAAGATGCCAAGACTGTCGATGAAAAGAACTATAAAGGTTTTACATTTCCAAGTGTCAAACATTTTCATAGCTTATCCAGATATTAAAAATTCTTTTTTCCGCATAATATTTCACATTATTAATACACTTGATTTCAATTACAGCCACAGAGGAAGAAGAGATAGCAGCGATAGACTATGAATTGAGACAAATAGAATCGGAGCAGCAGAAGCTCGAGGATAGAAAAAAAATCCTGACTCAACGTAAAGAAAAACTGCGTGACGATGCCCTCCTTAAAAAAAGCTTTACCTTGTCCAAAAAGAACTGGGATACTGAAAAGTTTCCCTGGTCAAAAGACTTGAGAAAGGCTCTAACAGGGGTTTTTAAAATTGATTCTTTTAGATCACTACAGCTGTCAACAATGAATGCCGTTATCTCAAAAGAAGATGTCATTTTGGTCATGCCTACTGGAGGTGGGAAAAGCCTTTGCTATCAGTTACCAGCTGCTATTAGCAAAGGGATCACCATAGTAATATCTCCACTAGTCTCCTTAATGGAGGATCAATTGCATGGTTTACGTAAAGTAAACGTTAAAGCAATGATGTTAAGTTCAAAATCTGGCAGAGAAAATACAACTGCTATCATGAATGGTTTGGTGGATAAGAATTCTGATTTACGTCTAGTGTACGTGACTCCAGAGTATATGGCTAAGTCAAACCGTTTTATGGGAAAGCTACAGAAAGCCTTTGAAGCTGGTCGACTGGATCGGATTGCTATAGACGAAGTGCACTGCTGTAGTCAATGGGGCCATGATTTTAGACCAGACTACAGATTCTTAGGCATTCTTAAGTCCATGTTTCCAGACGTTCCACTTCTTGGTCTTACCGCAACTGCGCCAGCACGGGTAATTGTCGATGTACAGAAAATGTTGGACCTACAAGGATGCCTGGTTCTAAGGGCTCGATTCAACAGACCCAACATCTTCTATGAGGTCCGCCGAAAGCCCGTCGATAAAGACACTTGCTTAGCGATGTTAGAGAATTTACTTAAGTGTAGATTCGAAGGTAAATCAGGAATAATCTATACAACCACTATCAAGGATGCCGAACAGCTGACAGATGATCTCAGAGCTCGTGGCTTGAAAGTGGGCTGCTATCATGCTATGCTCGAAGCGGACTTTCGCTCGAAAGTTCACTCCAAGTGGCTCTCTGGAGATTACCAGGCTGTTGTAGCAACTATTGCTTTTGGACTAGGCATCGACAAGCCAAATGTACGTTTCGTAATCCACCATTGTATGTCAAAAAGCATGGAGAATTTTTATCAAGAAAGTGGAAGAGCAGGTCGAGATGGTAAAAAGGCTGTCTCAATAGTTATGTATCGTCTTGCAGATATCTTTAAGTTAGTAGGAAATATTCTTAATAATACTACAATTTTTCTCAAATTTAAGAATATTTTACAAATTGTTTTTGTTTTAGACTAAGCACTATGGTTTTCCAAGATAAGGTTGGTTTGCAGAATCTTTATGGTATGTTGCTTTACTGTCTTGATCGAATTACCTGTCGACGAAGCCTGATAGCAAAACACTTCGAGGAGGACTGGAAATCCAGCGATTGTGCACAAATGTGTGACCACTGTTACAAACCTAAGGAGTCGAAAGAAATCGATGTAGGTCCATATTGCCGGCAATTGTATAAAATTATAACAAAAGCAGTCCAGAATGACACAAGACTCACTGCGCTGAAACTCTTGGATGCCTGGTATGGAAAAGGTCCAGTTGCTTCAAGAGTCTCTACCGTGCCAATACCTAAGTTGTCTAGGGAAAAGGGTGAAGCAATCATTGGACATCTGTTGATCAATGGTTACTTACAAGAAGAATTTCATTTTGCAGCTTATTCGACAATAACTTATCTCAAACGTGGACCTAAATCAGGGCTAGCTCAAGTCGAGGATCACAAAATTATGTTTGACTGCGGTGACTGATGCTTGCAAGACTATAATTATAGTTCTGCAAGTGTTACAGGGATTTTAATTTAATAATTGACTGCACTTTTGTGCCATGGATAATTAGTTATTTTTATCCATAGGACCTGACTTTGTTATTTACACCAGTATTTATTTTGTAATGTCAGAGTGTTTGTTTATCGTGTCTTCAGTTATAACATGTTATATCCGTTATGCTGACACTAAATGCTCAATTCCCTAATTGAAAGGAAACGTGCAATCGTGCACTCTTCATGTACGCACGTGTTTTGACAACGTTTTTACATCCGACTTTACCATCCATGCTGTGATAGTATTCGCAAATAAACTCTGTCAAAACTGACCTAACCTAACCTATTTTTAAGTAGTGCGCACCGTAGTGGAATTCTCTGAGCTCGTCATATCCACGACAAATCAATTGTCGAACTTATTACCCTGTCAAAGGACAACCGTAATTGAATTATTTTTCAATAACTTGAAGCGATTAGGAGAGGAAGTAGACGCAAGGAAAAATCAATATTTCCTTGACGCAAACCGTAACGTTGGCTAGCCGGTTAGTAGAACGCCGGTCTACTCAGCAAGACACCACGAGAAATCAGATGGGAATATTGATTGCTGGATAAAACGCATCTGTGACGTGTGACTGTTGTCAAACACTTTTCGATACTTTTCGCGGTTTGAAACTGAAGCTATTCTCATTAGACATGAGAGAAACCTGCAATTGATTTTCTGGAGTATATCAATGGTAGGACGTTATCTTCCTTATGGAAGCCAGAATAATGAACACTTCTTGTAAAATGCTTCTCAGACTTCTCGTAAATTGATAAGATAAAAAAATGATCTCGTGTTGTTTAATCACGAGAAGAAGTATATTTGCACCGAGAATGTAGGATCAAAGTTTAAGATAAAAGCTGCGAGAACGAATGTAATTTTGATTTCATTTCAAACTAAAGGCCGTTTCAGAGCTTTGCTAATTAGTAAGAACTAAACCATGGGGATCAAAGAATCGTCTAATCATTGTTATTTTGCATATTCAATTTCTTTTGAACGGTTGATAAAAAATCAAGTGATGTTAATTGCTCGGCATATAATTGTAAGTAATGATAAATTAATCTTTTACAGATTCATGCATAAGAATGTACCGTAAAGAAAACGAAGCTTTACTTTTTCGGTTCAGGTTCGTTGAAACTTCCAATCTGTTTCTCTGCACGTGTCTCGTTGCACTTGTGCCTTGAACTGTGACTCAAAATGAACAAGTATGCGTTGACGATATAAACAGTATAGCAATCTGAGACGAATGTACATGTCAGCATTGGTATCAGTACCAAATGGTGCATATGCGACCAGGCTAATTAGTTTGGATAACGTGATATCGCGCTTAAGAGAGCGTGAGACTTTGATAACGAAAACAATGAGTAGTTGTCCTTATACTCCATTGTTCAAGTTATGTAAAAGAAAGAAAACGAAATGACTTAACATAGTGGGTAAGCTGCACCAATCACAAGATAAAATAGCGAGGAATGAAAAATAACATTAAATAGTCTGTCACAAAAATCTGAGAACACAGTTATATCATCAAATTGATATAAACATCTTATTTCAGCTAGAAATTTGGACCGACCACAATGAGCCTGATAACATTGATTTCCTGATGGAGAAGGATCTGCATTGTCAGATTCAGAGTTTAGAAAGAATTATTGTCAAATCATTGAAACAATGGAACGAAAAATTTAAACTATCATCTATAACTACTGATATTTAGCTTCCATCATAGAAATCAGTCATCAAGATAAACATGATTATTAGAAGCACAACTAAATAATTAATCCTCGACAAAAGAATTCTCAGGAAAGTTAAAAAGCATTGTTAAGCATCGATTATCACGGTTTAGGCACGTTTTCACCATACAACGTATGATTTCGTAGAGTAAGCAAAATGCCGTTACCAAATATCCTAAGAAAGGCAAGTAGCTATATACTAGGGGATGGAAGCCAAAATAATTGTCGCATGATGTACCAAGATGGTGAGGTGCTCTTCTGCAAGAATAATGTCTGCGTACACCCTCCGACCCTCATGAGGCAGCATTGTGACGTCGTTCATCACCCTGGATATATGACTATCACCTGCAAAGTTAATAAAAATTCTACAGTGCCTACATTGCACCTTAGTTGGATTCCGAACAGCACTTTAAGAAGACATCCGACTACCCTGGAAAATGCTTCGACGAAGAGTCATATATCAGAGGAGAGCTGCGATGCTAGAATTGACCATGAGTGTGTAAATGAAAAAGTGGATGTGTGTTTAGAAGTAAAAGAACCGATAGACTGTGGTGACTGCGAGAGGGTGTGTTCTGGAGGACTTTCTATTGCTAAAGAGAGCGAACAAGCTGTGGGGAATCAGTCTACAGAGAACACTTCTGCAGAGGTAATTTTCAAGGAGCAAAATATTGAGGCTGAAAATGATACAGTTAAATTTAAGTCTAAATGTCAAGAAGACGGCGAACAAAATGACAATACGAAACTAGACGAGGGAGTTTACTCGGAGGATTCACACGTGCCACCTGACGATTCGGTATTGGAGTCAAACAAGGACTTTGACAGAATTGCCTCTACCGGAGATAAGAATGTTAAGGGATCTGAAACTTCTTTTCCTACGGAATCTCCCGAGGTTCTTTATAGTCTAGAAGAAAGGTCATTGAGCGCGGTAAACGAAGATAAAAATCGTCTTGTTAATCGGTGTCACTTACGTTCCGAATCCTTAGATTCAAGAAACGAAGATAACGTTATACTGCGAGAGTGTATCTTGGCAGACTCGAGTAACTATGACGGTAAGAGCCTGGATGGTATCAGCATAAAGAGTCGCAGTTTATCGCTTACATCAACTTGCAGCTTAACCGTGACAGGACCCATGGAAGGTACTGGTATTATTTAAAAAAAAAAATACTTGGAAATAAAGCGAAACCTTATACGCTTTTTTCTTGTTTTCATCAACTCTGTGATTTTTTACAGCTGAAGAAATTCCAACCTGGATGAGATCTCCGGAACTGTTGGCTCTGCAACATAATTTGACATTTCCAGAAAGTGCAACTGCCTCACCTGTAACTTTGCGCAGAGTTCATAGATGCAGGAGGTTTTCGGTGGACTTGGACCAGATGCGATCTCTCAGGTTGTTCTTTGCCGATCCAGCATGCACCTGTGGCCAGCTAGTAGTGGCCAGTCGAGAGAGTCAGTACAAAATCCTGCATTTCCACCATGGAGGTCTGGACCGACTGGCTGCTATGTTGCACCAATGGCACCAACTTCTTTATCCTAGGCTAGACACAGACACCGAAGAGACTCTTCCTTATAGGTTAGTCGATGACAATTTTTTATTCCAACTCACCGATAGGAAAAAAAAAAAAAAAAATGGCAACTTTCTTCCAGGCACTTTATGGTGTGTCGACCAGAGGTGGGTAGAGACGAGCTCCATCCTGAAGAAGGTCAAGTACCGATGATCACTTCATTGGCCTGGAAAGACCTTCTAAACGAACGAGGCCAGGTGGAGGATGACCTAGCCCTACGCAAGGGCATTTTCTTCGGGGGCCTGGAACCAGCGTTAAGAAAGATCGTTTGGCCCTTCCTTCTGCATTGTTATAGCTACCAGAGTACTTACGAGGAGAGGGAACGCATCGATTCCATCAGGAAGCAGGAGTACGAAGACATCGAACGACGCCGCCAGACCATGAATACGGTGCAGGCTGAATGGTTCTGGAGGAACGTCGTCTGTATAGTCGAAAAAGATGTCGTTAGAACAGATCGAGGGAATCCTTACTACGCTGGGGAGGATAACCCTAACATCGAAGTCATGAAGTGAGTGACAAGTGGTGTTCAATACTCATTGTGCGTAATTATATACCGATAACTGTCAATTACTTACCGCACACTACAGACTCGGGTAACACTCCGCACTAGCCGAATGAACACATTTCACGATCAGGGCACATACAGCCATTTGGTACACCCAGTTGACGGCGGTATGACTTCACATTTGATGTAACTCTTTTTTCACGTTATCCTCAGAAATATCTTGCTCAACTATGCTGTTTACAATTCCCGATTGGGATACACTCAAGGCATGTCGGATCTTCTGGCCCCTCTGCTGGCAGAGTTGAACTCCGAGGTGGAAGCTTTTTGGTGTTTCGCAGGCCTGATGCAGAGATCGGTGGCAGTGTGCACTCCTACCGATACCGACATGGACCGGAACCTCTGCTACCTCAGAGAACTCATCAGGGTCATGGTTCCCGACTTCTATGCTCATCTCGAGAAACATACCGATGCACTTGAACTGCTCTTCTGCCACCGATGGATATTACTGTAAGTTTATACCGATGCCACGTTCGGAACTCCATTGTCGTTACCTCTCTTTTTTGTGTCGTAGGTGCTTGAAGAGAGAATTTCCAACGGAAGTTGCTTTAGTGATGTGGGAGGCTTGCTGGGTGAATTACTTGACGGACCACTTCCACCTCTTCCTTTGTCTGGCCATCATGTGTGTCTATGCCGATGATGTGATAGCTCAGGACCTTCGAACGGATGAGATGCTCTTACATTTCAGTTCTCTCGCCATGTACATGGACGGAAATGTCATTATCAGGAAGGCAAGAGGTCTGCTGCACCATTTTCGCCAACTGGTACGTTTACCTTGCACTCTGGCTGGACTCTGTCGTCAGTGCGGACCTGGAATGTGGGACAGCAGCCATGATCCAGTCATCGAGTGCGTAGGCCACCAGGATGTCCCTTGCCCTTACGCTGAAAATTACGAATAGACCAATGACATTTCTCTCGAGTGTTACAATTTAGTCCGCAGAGAGATAGTCTTCCGGCCTCGCTGTGTAATCGGTGTAACTCTACGGATGGTCAAAATCAAAATCAATTCCTCGCGTTGATTGTGCAGAACTAATAACGAGATTTCATGGACTATGAATATACGGTAGATCGAAGAAAGGAGATAAGGCCTAGGATATGCAATTCATCGGAGTACTCTACGGAGTCCGAGGTATCTTTCGGAAGGGACTACCCAAGTATATGCACGTTGTCACTGCCTAATTTATATCAAGTGATACCTCTTCGTAGAGAGTTATCGATCCCTGGATATAGAACGAAATGTAAGGATCTTACCGAGATGCATTTAAAATTATGCTGGTTCCCAGTGTGTAACGTAGGCCATTAAAACTATCATATCCAGGTTTTGTCCGTTTCTTTGAGTATCGACTTGCTATAACTTCCATAGAAAGAAGTTTACAATTCTAGAAATCGGTTCTTAGAGCGAGCCTCGGATGTCCAAGAATGTTTGCAGCACTTATGGTCTCAAATACCTGTAGTACAAGATAAGACTGATAGAAGAGAAAAAGTGACACGCAACACCGAGGGGTTGTTGCGAGCCCAGGAATATAGAGAAACTTTGGCACTTCTTCGAAGAACCTGAGAAGTGCCAACCGATGATTCGATACCAACGAGTGAACTAAAAAATGGTGGCATTAAACGAATCTAATCGATAGTTGCGAGAATCAAACGTATCTCCGCGTAGGACGGCACGCTGAGTAGTTTAAACATTTCTAACGATAGCATTAACGATACGATTAGTTAGCAGCAGTATCGATTCAAACAACCGGCCGGATTTATCGGGATCCATTGTCCTTGAAATTCTGTGAATCATCCGAAATTGAATCGTATGAATTAAATTAAATTACAATTTTAGAACTAAGGATAACTAGAGATAAGGAGAGAAATTAGAATCCTTCGAGTCGATATCCCACATGACTAATGTACTTCTGTCGATACACGTATCAAACAATTTAGAGGTCAAAGTATTTCTGTCCATCCAATTGAAAACTGGAGTATCGATTCGAGGGGCCGGTTAGTCGTTTTGGAACTAACAAATAAATATCAAAGGCTCGGTCAATTAGCCGACGCACCTGCATCCACTCTTCGATCTAATTGTATACGCCACGTTTCGTACAATTGTTAAAGACTATTGCGATGTTTGCACGTGCCTGTCAGTCGACAAAGGGAAACAAACCGAACCGAGCAAAGTCTCCCTTTGGTCGCGTTGCGTTGCTCAAAAATCTATGATCTCCATTAATTTCCACCCCTTTATCGAACGATCAATTAAGTTTATAATTCACTTTTCGGGAAAGGGGAATTCCTAAAAAGTATGTCCAATATACCGATGATTTACTTTGCCAAAGGATGTATTAAACAAAATTGGTTAACTCGATTCCTACACCACCGATTAAAATATGATTGACACGTGAATATCAGAGTCTACTCGATGTTGGGCTAAGGCTTTGGTTTCCTTCTTCAACCTGGTATAAATGCCTTTGGAAGATGCCTCGGTATGTTAAATGATAAGAGCAGAAAAAAAGAGACATATGACCAAATACCTCGACACCATTCACCGAGGCAATAAATTTATCTATAAGATATAACACCTAACTGATATCGTAGAAACAAACAATTGTGGACGTTAAAAGGACCCAACGGGGTACGTTTCTCACAATTTTGGAGAATGGTTTCGAGGTGAGTGGTCCCTTTGCTTTTACTGTGCTACCTTGAGTCGTTGGAATAATGAAAAGAAATCTATTCGTGTTAAGACCTCGTCGCGCTCGACTCTGTCGGCATGAGATGTACATGACGCTAAGTTAATATATCGAAATAAAACTCGTATCAAAGACAAGGACTCCGTTGCACTACTCTCGAGAACTCCTTAGAAAATATACTCTTTAATGTACAATACATATATATATATATATACATATAGAGACGGACGCACGGCGTAAATTGTCTATGTCGCGACTACACCGTCGTTTGGCAGCTTTACGATAACCATTCCTGTATGTAAAAATATCTAAAACTCATTTAATACAAATATCCCTTCGCTCCGTTTCTCTAACCACAGGATCGCCATTCTGGCGAATATGTCGTGCCCTCTTTCCCACCACCGGCGTGAATTCTCACAGAACTGACACAAATCAATCGATTCCCTTATTTTTCGCTGGAGAATCTGTTGCTTCTCTTCAAGATTAATTCGATCGGTACTTCGGAACCCCTTGTGCAACAAGTTGTAAAGTTTAGAAACCGGTGCCTCCACTATAATATTCCGCATGAGAGATCTATCTTCCATTAAAGCGTATCAAAACACCGTATCTGTCAAAATAGAATCTTTTGATCACTATTTCACATAATTAACTCACTTCGTTAACCTGTCGTGGTTAAATGCGATATGTAGACACGTATGCGTCACGGTTCCCTCCAAGAAGAAGTTAGGTGTACCTCGATAAAGTTAACCGATACCAGAATCATGCTAGCAATGGACCAGAAAATGACAAACAGCAACCAAGAGTTGCCTTTGAAAGGACTTGCGAATTTATTGGTCACACCGAGTCCGATCACTTTGTTGGTTTTTCTTCTGGCATAGTAAACTAGGAACGTAGGGAACAAATATTGGATGCCAGCTCCGGCATAAGATCCAGTTATCCCGACAAGAATCGAAAGATCTTTGGTGACCATGGCTATAAGATATGGAGGTAAGACTGCCAACACCGGGAAGATGATTTTCCGCAAACAAATGTTATACGTCGTGTCACTGTCCAGAAACAAACTCTGCAGATTGTTGCGTAAGGTGATCGCTATAATGGGGAAGTTAGTACTTAAAGTAAAAACCGGAAACAGCGCTAGGAAGTATTCAATGGTCACTATGAAAAAGTTGTTACTCTTCGAACAATCTCCTGACTCTCGTGGACCAAACTGTAGGGTGTATAGGTCTTCGAGGTGTTCGAAGGCAAAGGCTCCTGTCAGTGCTAGCAAAAGATAGAAAAAGGCGATAGTGAGATAGTCCAACGCCAGAAATCTGTTGATTTTCGACTTGTTGGAAATTGGTGCTATCAAAGCTGGCAACGAGTGGTGGCACATGAACGAGTAGACACACGCTCCGAAGAGGCCTGGGATTCCTGAAATAATAGGAGGAACAAACGGTAAGTTCTCAGGTAAACCCTTTCAAAATAAATTTGAAAGCCTGTTAAATCTAACCAGATACATTAACCGGTACCGGCTTGCCCTGTGGTCCATCGACTATCAGCTTCTTCGTGGCGTAAATGATCATGATATTAAATGCGAGCCAGCGCATTACCGAGGTCAACATCTGAAGATACTTGGTTTTTTGTACATCGAAGAACACAAAGGAGCCGAGTGAAAGGACAAAGACAGTCTAAAAAAAGAATGAAATAATGCATGTAAAATGTATCGACGAGAAGAAAATATGATTTCAAGAAAAATATTTCTGGCCTCTTAAGCTTCGATATTATGTAACTTACAAGGGATATTCTGTAAGCATCCAATCGGTTCAAAGGTGAATACTCCCAACACTTTTCAGTATCTGGAATCGTTTCGTTGCAAGTTAGGTTTGTCGGTTGATACGTGCAAGCCACATCAGCTATCGACTTGGCGACTGCTGCGCCGTAAATACTGAGGTCACCGTAGAGGTACATTGCGAGGCACAGATAAAACAGCGTGGTGCCCATTTTGTCAAAGAAGATTCCAGCCATCTCGCCCATTTCGATTTTTTCATGTATGACATAATAACGATAGGATGCTTCATTTCGTTCAGGAGTAGTAGGCACGGTGGCGACTAAGGGAGTGTCCTCCGAGTCGGAATTCGATGGGCCAGATTCCCCGATCGACCGCAGCATCTGTGATAGAAAAATCGCGTTGAATAAAATTTATCATTGTACTCGTAATTTGGTCTTGGGTATTTTAAACTTTAGTCCTTTTCGATAGCATAAATCGTCTACCCGCAGATAGAACATAAGCGAGACGATATCAAAGAAATAAAATCTACCAAGACCTCGAGTTCAATTTCGTTGCAGGATAAGTCACTCGTGAGACCTACACGTTTCCGATGTTGCATACGACGCCATGTGGCAATAGCATTAGCCGATGCCATCGTCTCGACGACGAAAGTAACGGTTATGAAACTGCAATGAGATCAAAAAACATACCCAGTGAATATCTACCATAGTATGTAAGCAATATCAAGTAAATAACTCCATTATCGCTACCTTATAAAAGCTAGTACCAAGATAATACATAATCCAAGAACCCATCCTGCCCGACTGAATACAGCTGGTAAAGTTAACGCACCAGTTCCAACAATTAGGTTAAAGATGTATACAAGGCCAACCTGAAAGTCAAAAAATAAATGAAACACGCAAGCAACACATAATCAAAGTACACAAAATGGAAAATATTTTCGGAAACAGAATTTGAAACTAAAAGAATCGCGCTAAAAATTAAAAATTCCAAACATACGTATCGAAGTACATATAAATAATCATAAAACTAGAATCAAATAGATTAAATCAGTTAATCGCCAGCGCGAATAAAAATCATAATGTAGCATATGACAGTTCAAAATTCGACACACTGAAAATACCGCCAAGCTCTACGTAACAGTACGCAAAATAAATGCAGAAAAAGAAGTACAGATGCAAGGGTGCACTGTTGTCACAGCTGTCATCCTTTGTTTACAGTTTACAGGTTATGTCAAATCGCGTAAGAGGTTATATTACACCCGGAGACGAGTTCCTGCTGCGGTAGTAACTCACCCAGGTCGAATACTGGTCACGAGGATTTTGCTCGGGCATCTCGGCTATAATTTCGCGGCGAAGAGTGACGGAACGCACGTGGTTTATTCCGTGAGCTTACATGACGCGCGTCAACAATGGTGCAGAACGCTCGAGCCTGACCTCTGGTATCCGTGTATCGTAGGAATCGGCCAGAATCGAGACTAACGAGCACCACGTTTTTCTCGGTTCTCGAGCAGTTAAACTAAGAGCTGGGTTCCCCACTGGATAAAATGAGCGTTTTATTCAGTTATATTCCTCTTCTCGAGCCAGCAAACGTGGCATCTCGCGATATCCGTTCCCCGAATGGGAGCGGAATGATGCGCGTGGAGCTTTCCACGCGATGCAACCACGGACGCTCGCAATTCATTTACAATTAGTTACTCGCGATACTAGATAGATACCCTCGCGCCTCGATTATCATCCCTTGACTCATCGCAGGCATTGAGAAATTAAATGCGAGTGCGTATCTCCCCTTAGTTACGCGAGAATAGATAATCCTGGCAATCGCGGTGAACTCTCGAGACCGATTTAAATTATCGCGCTGGTTTATCGACCAGGGCGACGGTGGCGCCATCCATCGGGAACGCCGTCAATTTCTTAGCAACGCCACGCTCGTCCTGCAGATAACGAAAGGGTGAACTACCACCGCTTAATTACGTTCCTTTCAATATTCCTATGTAGGTATCGGCAAGACTTAATTTCGACAATCTATAAATTCGCTTGCAAGTCTTGTAAATTTTGATTACAGGAAAAGGACAAAAATCTCGCGTAGAAATATCACCCCCGCATTCCATTTCCCGCGACGATCGAAAAGATTTTGAATTGATTCCAATGTCTACATGCGCTACATGCAATTCCAATTAACAGAGCACATACAATTACCAATATACTTCGCAAACCTCGGCGTGGAGTCTCCGCTTGCTCGCAAGTGACTTATTTAAGAGTAACTTAGGCATACTCGTTGAAAATAATTTTATTGGATTGAAAATATAAACCTAATCCTTAGAGAATAATTATCGTAAGTTTTAATCGCAAATCTTAGGTTATATAACGATTAATGACATCGGAATGGTACAAAAGCTACGGCACGAGCAGAGCAAACGTGAGGACCCACAAGAAGGAAAGTTTTTGCGAAAGCATCTCCCTCTCCGCGGCGGACGCGAGTTTTCTATCATCGGTAAGAGTAAAAGGGAAGCTAAGATACGTTCGAAGCGAGAAGAGTCCCTCTCGATACTTTTACATAAAACCAGGATGAAAAAAAGAGAGAGAGAAGAGAAAATAGGATTTCTATATGTCCCACGACTCGGTCTCGCGGGGATGAGAGGCGTGCGCGTGCGCGCGCACACACATATACATACACATACTTGGCGAATGGTGGTTTTTGCAAGATTTTATTTTATAATCCCATAAGTCTAAAGTAGTCTTTTAAGGTTGTGGTCTTGCACAATACAATGGGAATAAATTATAATACTTTGGCTACGCTTTGCGGGGTCGAAACCGTAGTGTCTTTCGGTTTCTCGTTCCCTTCTACATCGAGCAAAGGTTGGCCATCCACAAGACATGGTACGTTGAAACGTGCTCATAAACACAAGCGTAGAAATCGTCACCGCAATCATCATCTCCAAGGATATCCGCACCCTGTGGAAGACCAACGGCGTCGAAACATAGACAAGGGAAAAAAGAAAACGAAAGCTGTGTCGCGCTTAGGAGGGTTAGCTAAACGCTACCGTAGGCTGGCGGGTTACTCCAATATATATATAATACAAAGAGGATTCTCTGGAGAGAAAGAGAGATAGGGTGGGGGACGAGAGGAGGGAGAAAAAGGAACGAAGGCCCGAGCATTTTTAAGATATATAAATGGTGTCTAGTCAAAACGATGAATGAACGAAGAGCAAGGGGTAGAAGAGTAGTTGCAGGAGCAGCCCCCCGCACCCGGGCCTCCGGAGAGAGGAACTCCCCTTTCGGAGGAAGGACACGAAGGAGGCCGAGAGGGCCTCGCGGAAGTTGCCGAAGAGTCCGCCTGGTAAAAAAAACTGGAGTACGGAGAGGCTGCGCGTCCTGGACCGCGATACGAGAGAGGAGGTGGTTGGGGGGGCGCGCGTTCGTGTATGTGTGTACGTGTGGTAATGAGGGGGGTAAGATGCGCGAGAGGGGAGAGAGGAGTAATCGCGAGGATCTCCGCTTTAGAAGCACTTCCTGTGGACGATGGACGGTCCTGACTCGTCGTATTCCTGCTTGGAGATCCACATCTGCTGGAAGGTGGAGAGCGAGGCGAGGATGGAGCCTCCGATCCATACGGAGTATTTCCTCTCGGGCGGGGCGATGATCTTGATCTTCATGGTGGAGGGCGCGAGGGCGGTGATCTCCTTCTGCATCCTATCGGCTATTCCCGGATACATGGTGGTGCCTCCGGAGAGGACGGTGTTCGCGTAGAGGTCCTTACGGATGTCGACGTCGCACTTCATGATGGAGTTGTAGGTGGTCTCGTGGATGCCGCAGGCCTCCATCCCGAGGAACGAGGGCTGGAAGAGGGCCTCGGGGCAGCGGAATCGCTCGTTCCCGATGGTGATGACCTGACCGTCGGGCAGCTCGTAGCTCTTCTCCAGGCTGGACGAGGAGGCCGCCGTGGCCATCTCCTGCTCGAAGTCGAGGGCCACGTAGCAGAGCTTCTCCTTGATGTCGCGAACGATTTCTCGCTCGGCCGTGGTGGTGAAGGAGTAGCCGCGCTCGGTGAGGATCTTCATGAGGTAGTCGGTCAAGTCGCGGCCGGCAAGGTCGAGACGAAGGATGGCGTGGGGCAGGGCGTATCCCTCGTAGATGGGCACCGTGTGCGAGACGCCGTCCCCGGAGTCAAGGACGATACCGGTGGTACGACCGGAGGCGTACAGGGAGAGCACGGCCTGGATGGCGACGTACATAGCCGGGGTGTTGAACGTCTCGAACATGATCTGCGTCATCTTCTCGCGGTTGGCCTTTGGGTTAAGGGGGGCCTCCGTCAGAAGGACCGGATGCTCCTCCGGCGCCACTCGGAGCTCGTTGTAGAAGGTATGGTGCCAGATCTTCTCCATGTCGTCCCAGTTGGTGACGATACCGTGCTCGATCGGGTACTTCAGCGTCAGGATACCCCTCTTGGACTGTGCCTCGTCTCCCACGTACGAGTCCTTCTGTCCCATGCCCACCATGACGCCTTGGTGCCTCGGCCTGCCGACGATCGACGGGAACACCGCGCGCGGAGCGTCGTCTCCGGCGAATCCGGCCTTGCACATACCGGAGCCATTGTCCACTACGAGGGCGGCAACTTCTTCGTCACACATCTTGACTTTTTTGTGGTTTTACCTGAAATTTTTCAAAGCAATTAGTCGAGTTATCGAATACCAGGTTGCAATTAATCTACGATTAAGTCCCGTTTCAGGAACGTGCAACCATGAATTCCGGTATTTGACATATAATAATCGCATCAAAATCGCCATCACCGATCCAAACCCTGGCGTCGGATATTCTATTTCCATTCACAGGGGAAAAAAAAAAAAAAAATATATATATATAGATAAAAATCGTTTCAATCTCTCTTGACAGACGCGAAATCCCGTCGATCACGTTATCGGCCCGTCTCCAGTCAAGGACCGTGATAAAATTCCTCGGAAATACTCGCCGGGGCCCCGGTGTATCACGTGACCGGGGCGCAGTCAAGATGGCGGCGAGCGAACCACCTCGCCCGGCAAGTGGAAATCCGATCCTTCAACGTTTCGATTTCGCGAAGCCAATCAGAAAGCTTTGAAATGCCGAGAATGCGAGACGGGCCGCCAACGGTTCTTCGAACCCTCCAACCCTTTCGAATGCAGTCATGCCCACCAACCGCACCCTGCCCCGCCCAGCCCCGGTGCGCCGACGGTCGATAACCGGCGCATCTAGACTAATCCATGCTCCCGGGCGTGTTTCCAATGGCGGCGCATCCCCTGCGGGAATCCCAGGTCTAGCACGAACTAATCACCGCGCGAAGAGGGTCGAGAAAACTCGCGTCAAGAGACGTGTCACACCAAATATGGCCGCCGGTGCTCGAATGACACCCACTTTCCCGGTTCGGAACAATATTCGGTCAAACTGGCCGCGCACTTTCCCTAGAGGGTGTCCCGGGGAGTCCCCGAGTCGGTAGTCCGCCAACTTACGTTTAGTCGTGGGTAAAAGAGAGAAGAGTATTTACAGGGGGTGACGGTCGACGTGACGCGCTACGGATCACCACTCGCCGGCAATCCTTCCTAGCACCGAACACGGAATGTACCCGACAGTCTGCCCACCACTTGTATTATACGAACGCAGCCGTTAGCCGTCGCCCCCACCATCGACCGCTCAGCCAATAAGGGCAGGACACCCTCGACCAATCCCGGCTTTCTTTACCATATATGGTATTGAGAGTCGCGGAGGGGTACCCCCGCCGATTCCCGACCCCTCCCAGGCTACGCGACCGTGGCGCCCTCCGTCGCCCGCTCTTCCGACCGGCGCGGACGTGTCCTTTCCCCTCTCGTTACACGTTACTCTTCAATGTCAATGGATCTTTTCACTCCCCTCGGTCGCTTCCGATCTGCGTTCGTACGATCCAAGGGCACCGACAGGGATCCTCCTAGGGGAAACTTCCTAGGACTTTGGTCTTTCACTCACAGGGTTCGCAAACCTGGTGCAATTTATGTAAAGCATGTTCCTCGAACACCAATTAAGTCAATTAAATGGAAAGGTTCTCATCGCTCAAAAGATAGCAGAATTACTAGAGATTAATGAATATCGGCTCGCTGGGAAACATCTACTCTGGGATTCTTAGTATTTAGGTGGAGATAAGAGCTATTGTTTTTATACCCATTATATCTACTTATCCATGTACCATTAATTCTGTCCAAACTTCGCACTTGAAGTACACGCAATTTATATACTATAATTGATAGATTCAAAGGCTTGCCAAATGATTGTCGAGTGAATCGATGCTTCGAAATGTCAATATCATCGTGTGTCCCCAATCTCTTTCTATTCTTATCGATATATCAAATTCATATAAATTTTCTCTACACGATCACCGGCATTGATAATCTTAAAAAGAAATAAATTTACGTAGCTCGACTCGATGCCCTCGATCCTTCTTTAAGACATTAATATAATCCTTGTAAGACTACTACAACCAATTTTAACGTTATGAGAAAATCTCTTCTCGAGTGCCATGAATTAAAACTGCTTCTCCGAGGTTTTCCCAATCTACCCGATAACAGTCTCGACTATCCGTCGCAACATTCTGCAAACAGGTATCAGCCAATATTTAATGATTACCAACCAAGGGAAACCTGGAAAAAAAAACCACACAACTTGCACAATATCAAAAGAAAATTGAGAAGTACGAGACAGGTTTCCCTCCAGCTTTCCCTTGGTTAATCGGTGACAACAAGAAGAGAGGTTATGTACAAGAGATGTTAAAAAGCTGCCCCTGAGCAAGTCGCAAAGGCCGCATATAGATTCGATCAAGGAAAACTATATATTGGCACGAGACACGGGACAGATCATTACTCAGAGAGCCGATGACTCCAAGAAACGATTCTTCCGGAGATCGATCATTTCCGCATAACTGACGGACGTACAAGAAGCGGCTCCTTGGCACGCGGCCGTACACGAGGGGATGCAGCTTCTAATAATAGACCGGTTCACATCGACCACCTGCGCGAGGCGTGCGTCAGAAACGACCACTTGTCCCCGCGGAACAACCTGTCGGATCATCCACGAGACGAAAACCGCGTCAAAGAAGGATTCATAAAAGGAAAACCGATGGAGCTAGCCGACCAAGTTTCCTTCCACGAGGGAGCAACGCCCCGGGCCAAGATGGCGGCCACGTAGCCGGCTCGCCGTTGAGCCGGCTTTCTCCCGGTAACTTTGACAGTTCGTGACCGAGGCCGAGAAACTCGCTCAAGAAAGATGCCGGTGGTCGACGCGGTCGCGATGCCTTACCTTTATAGGGTCACGACCAAAGGAGAAGAGCCGACAAGGAGGCTTAGCCTGGAGTTGCCCAGCGACACTAGACGGACACGCGAGTCGACGCACCGAGCCTCGAGAGTCGAGAGACGACGCGAGTTGCGAGCACTGTGACGGGAATGGCGGAATCCTCGGCCGGGGCCCCCGTCGAGTGAACTCGCCCAGAGGGGAGGGAGGTTGCCCGCGGCCACCTGAAAAACCCTAGAAATGACGGACCCCTCTTTACGATACGACCTTCCGGGCCCGGAAATGGATTTCTGGAGACGCGATGGACCCTTTGATCACCGGATATCACAGATTATTGGCTTTCTAGTCGAGATTTCACCGATTTCTCGAACGGCGGGCTTCCACCTGCCTCCCCTCCGGCGACACAGTGGACTCGTCCGGCTTCTCCCACCACTCGGATTCACAGCCTTGCCATATAAGGGCATAAAACGAATGCGGCTCTCCCATTGGTAGAGCCGTCGGCTGCCGGCTAGATTCTCCAAATGCCGCTTCAAACTGTACGATATGCCCGGCATAAAGCCTCGTGCGAGCGTACACTAGATGAGAGCCCTGACTAACCGCCACCGCTTCCACCGGTGATGGTGTGCGTGTGTACGGGTTTAGTCGCTTTGTCTGCCTCCCTCTGCAGCCTTTCGGACCTGCGCTTGTGTAGGTGTACCGGCAATACTCTTCGAGATATCCCGAGCGTTCACACGTTAACGGGAGTGATTTTTGAGCCTGCGGACGCGCTCTTGGACCTCTTGGAAGAAGACCCCTGACCCATCTCCACATGTCCAAGAGCGAATTAGCCTAGGCGTCTCCGTTCATGATTCATCCACGTTTCTTATGTCGCTTTAGGTAACGAATATACGAATATACGAATATGTTTTATTGGACGCCGACTTTCTCGGGCGCGCCGATGAAAATGAACGTCGAGCCGCATTATTAAGACGAATGTTCCGGAATGGTCGAAGGGATCGCCGCCGTCTCGGTAAAGCTCCGGCTAACTGCGCTTCGCGACGAGTACGACTTAATGGTCTTACATTATGCAAGATTGCCGGTTTAAGTAAAACCATTAACGTTTAAAATCGTATTTCCAATCCGGGGACGGTCCCGTTGGGCCCGAGCGAGCATTCCGTGCCTTCTCGTGGATCCTTGAACCATCGCACGCGAATCGTGCACCGACTCTAACGGTGAGCATTATCCACGTAGGCCGATATTAAATATCTATGGAACCGAAGAGTCCTGAAGTATCGGTCGATCGCACGAATAAAAGGCTGGAGAAATTAGCTGAATGTATTTTAAAATCGGAACGTTTTTAGGTTAAGCCCTTGTCCCGCATGCTCGAAGAAAAACGGACGCTTCCAGGTACTCGACGAGACGAGACTTCGAGATGCTTCCTCAAGGCTTTATACATATGAATTAGGTATCGACTTTTATATTTATGTAGCGATGGGCTTGTACGGGGCGTAAATAAAAATAAATGTGACGCGTATGTTTCAGCACGGTGTCCGAAAACCGCCTCTCAAAGCGAATTCTAGTCTCGACCTGGGCATTTACATCTGGGTGTTGCCGCGGCTTGACCATCTCGACCTTGTGAGTTTGATCGACGACGATCGCTTTTCGTGGTCGGTTTGCAGTGTTGGAGGAAGTGGACACCTTGGTTCCCCTTTTTTTATGAATGATCACTCGGCTCGTTTAGTCGCTTCGGGAGCCCTGGTTCTGGTTAAAGCGGATGGAACGATAGGTCGAGACGCGTCACCTAGGGATCAAGGTGCTGGATAGGTGGGAACTGAATTTTTTTTTTAGATCCGATGGAAGTGCCAGATGAGCGATTGTTACGAGAAACGCATTGCGAGATTATTGTAACGTGTTTTCATTTTTAGGCAGAAGGATCCGGAAATCTGGAAACGCCCAGTCGGAGCAGAACCGGCCGTTGATCGTGTGAGGTCGATGAAGAGGCTTGGGAAGGGTCGAGCTTTAAATTTTGAGTGGGTGAGAGAGATTTTTCTTGTTTTAGAGGGGCAGGCCTAAAGATAGATTCAAGGGCACGGCTTGGGTGCAGTGGGCTATGACCACGTCGCGTGAAAAGATCGGAGCCCTCGTAGGATTAGTGCGTGTACGAGGGTGGGCGCGCCCTAAGGACGGAGCACTGTGCGAATCGATATTCGCCACTTGGAGGCCCTTCAACCTTGTCGCATTAATCTCGGCCAGGATGTCAATGATTTGCCCCAATGACGTCCGGTAAGAGGTCAGTTTGCACGAAGAAAAAACGTAAGATGCATGTCTCTAATATGTATACGTATATTCTTGCAACGTGTATTAAAAACGATATATATTTTTTTCATTAAAAACAGGTATCAACGTGGTGCTATAGAAGTCAACGTTCGTCGACTTGGAAGCGGTATGTCCGGTGAGGGTATGAATCTGGAATCTCGAAGAAGTTCGACGGAGCGTGCACGGTTTTAAGGTGGTCGTTAACCCGGGACCTTTATTCCTAGGTCTCGAAAAATGGAGGGGACGTCGACGGTCTCGCCGAAGATCCGGGAGACTCCGGGAGACTCCGGGGCAGTCTCCGGTGCGTTGAACTTCCCATCGTACTCCGTATTGATTTCAACGGCACCCCGAGACTCGAGCCAGACGTTACCAGCCGTTACCTACTCTGCGTGGCTCGCTCGTGGACATACCCGTTCCCTTTTTGCCGATTCGAAATGGGCCCGAGGAACGGTTCCTGATGCTAGGGCACCGAGACCGAGCCATGGCTCGACCCGCACGGCGCTTCACTTTCACTGGCTACGTACTCTACTACTACGTGCATGACTTATGCATGGCTCCGCGCTTCCCGCTGACCGTGCTTCCTTAAACGGTGCGCCACTAATTAAGAACCTTTCCATCTCCCCCGACGGAGAAGCGGTCCATTTCGCTTGAAATACCTACATTAATTACACGCGATTTAACGAATACCGCCGTGGACGTGCCGGCATTAACGAATATAGTCTAATGTTTTTATCTATGATGATCGATAGGAGGAAAACTAGGCGCATGGCTGCGGGAGAAAAAATACTTGTCGGCGCGGAGTTGATACCGCCTACGTCGTGACGCACCTGATATTTCCAGGAAGCTCTAGCGTGACAGGTACATCTGAATTCCTATCTAGGTAGGCCCAATAACGTACTGTGACTAACTGCGAGGTGTTTCAACTCTAATTTTCGGGCAATTTACTTCCCAATAGGCGTGGAATGTTTTCGCTAGTCGATTAGAAGCGGTAATACATATGTAATTTATTTCCTCAACCTAGATGTTCCGAGCCTGATCACGATCAGGTTAGGTAGAAAGTCGGGATGCGGAGATGCCTAGCCGTTGACTTTCCCAAATGATAGCGAACATGTGAAAGGGGTACCATTTGGCAGAGGTGGTCTCCCGCGAGTTAAGTTAGGTAAGCAGGTTGAAAGCAGACATAATCGGTTAATCGTCATGGCGATGGCACGACGAGGCCTTACGCAAGGGCGAGTAGGCCTTGACGGGTCCTTATTTGGGAGCAAGGTCGAGGCGGTGCAGGCCATCGGGTTTCGAGGACAACCGGACTGAATCGGGAGTCGCGACGAGTCCGATTCTGGATCTAATTCTCGCCCCCTCTCACTCTCTCTCCCTCTCTCTCTTTCTCCATGTTGGCACACTTGGCCAAAATGGATCGCCTCGGCAAAATTTGCGCGGGACGACGCCAAAGACAGGCCGTATTTGGCGCGTCTGTGTTTTTCTATTCTTAGCCACTTACGACGCTGCTCAGCGAAGGCGCGTTTTAATTTCATCTCATTAACGTCATTTAATTCCCTTGAATCTAGATGCAATCGATGCGAATGCCTGATCGGGAAGAGAGGATTCACCTGCGCCAACTCGGGGGAACCAACCCCAAGGTGGCTCGGAATGCTTGGTAATATAAAGAGTTTTCTTTTTATCCGCGTATAGGACTTGCTTTCGGGTACGCTCGATAACGAAATCGCTATATTTAGTCACTATTTCTCGCAGATACGGAGAATCCGGTGACGCAGCTCGCCGGCCGATAACGCCGATTCCTCTCCGGAGTCGACCTCGATGATCCGGCCGATCGGAAGATTCCTCCCGTACCGCGTGGATTCCAGGTCGGTGTCGAAGAAGTTGCCGTCACTCCGATGACCTCATAGAGAAAACTTGCTCTCGCCGCGTCCGAGGACTCCATAATCCCCGCCAGTTTGCGAGTCCCGTCGTCCGTGACAGTTATGTCGATAATGCCGAACGGCGCCGCAATTCCCAGGACGTCGAATTCGACGCCCTGACGCGCCAGGTAGTTCCCCGAGTCCTCCACATAATTTTTAATATTTTCGGCTATATATTTCTCCGTGTCCGCCGGACGGAACGATTGAGGTTCTCGTCCATTCCTCGATCTGGTTAATTTTGATGGCTAGACCCCAAGATATAATTATTCATTAGCAAGCATAAAGGGGGTGATGCTCGAACTGCTTATCGGAGAGGTTCCGAGTGGTAAAGCCGAACCAAGCGTGACTCGAGATCCGGACTCGAAATACGTTCCGGGGAAGTCTCGACTTATGGTCCCTAAATTTCCTTAAATTGCAGGCTTTAAGCCCAGCCGGGTCTCGAGTCGAGGTTAAGGCCATGCCTTTATCGCTTCTTGATGGCCGGGTCGAGATGTAGGCCCAGTTTTACGGGGAATCGGGTACCCACGAGAGAAAGGAAGCCTGGGAATAGAAAGGACGTTCCCTTGGCATGAGCGCGCGAGAATTCCGTCGAAGCCGCCTCGAAAACCCGGTGCCGTCAACCTCTTCTCCCACCTGGCGGGAAGAAACTCCGATTTAAATTGCAAATGATTAATTACCTGGCGCGCGCGGGCACATCCGCTCGTCGCGAGAGCGGCCGAGGGAGTGCGCGGGAACGGTCTCCGCTGCGATTCGCCCGCACCGCTCCACGTGACCCCTCCGAGCTCGAACTTGAACTTGACGCGTATCTAGAGCGACGCGCTCCGCTCGCCCGCGAAATTCAAACGAGCAAGCCTCGACGAAGGTTCGATCAACCCGGAAAAAAAAGGAATCTCTAGTTCAAAGGAGAAACGTCAACGATTTTGCGAGCTTTGACGACCAAATATTTCGGGGAATAATTTAAGCACCCAGTCGTGGAGGGTATTCTTAATTCACGGTTCTCAGCAAAATCTTCCGAAGGTCACTCGTTGTGCACGTCCCGTCGATACGTTATGCGCACGTGAATACACGCGTATATGCCGGTCGTTTTGCGGAGCCTCTCTTGCAACGTCCGCAAGAAAGTCTCGCTAAAGAAAGGACCGATGTCATGTAGGATTCAGCCCGGCACTCGTTAGTCGACGTCCTTCATCCTCTCCTCTTCTTCACCGCCGTCTAGGCGTCTGGATGCCAGACTTTTCTTCCTCCCTCCTCTCTGTCGCACCCACCTACCCTGGATCGCACTTTCTCTTCCCTTCCCTCGCGGTGGGTCGAACCTTGGCCTCGCGTTGTCTCGCTTCTTCTATTCGCGGGTCTTCCCTTACTTCTTCTCTCTCGGTCCTCGGATAGTATATTTGCTTGTGTTCCAGACGCCTGTCTGCACGCGTCGCGTGCACTCGTATGCACTTTCTACACGTACACGCGACTCCACGGAGTTTCTTCGAGGACACGTGCGTGCTCCTCCCATTGAAGCGATCCCGCGTCCCGATTTAACGAGCCTCCACCTCGAGCTTCGCGTTTTTCTCGGGACGGAGGAGTTCCGATTGACACGTCGGATGTTCCTCGTTCACGCGACGTGGAGAACGTAATTTCTGTATTCCCTGTAAAAACGCATTCCACGCACGGCTGATATTCTCAGGAATTTGTACACCACATACGGAGTATTCAAAGGCCAGCGTGCGGCCTTCAAATCTGTTCTGTATTTTTTTTTTGCCCTTTGAGATTCCTTTTTTATGGCCACTTCGTTGCTCCGCAGTTACCCTCACAATTAGCTGAATTAGCTCGTGTAATTTGTCGTCCTTCACGACCAGGGGAAGGAAACGCGAGTCCTCCGTCGAACGGAAGTGGCTGTATGTAAGCCCTTGCACGCGACTCGAATCTTTACGTCGCGAGCACGAGAATGAAAAGGGAAATTCCGGAAGGGTGGAGGGGACACGTTCCATGCATGTTCGTCCACAATGGAGAGTCTGTCTTCTCGAGAGTTCTGCTTATCGACACTCAGGTTGAGTCTTCTTTTCAGCGACTCGCGGCGACCCACATATCGCCCCTCGTTCACGGGCTTTCGCCGGTTAAGTGAGTATTTATCGCGCATACAGAGATCCCTAAGGCCTGCAGCTCTCACGGTGAATACGTAGATAGCCGGACGAGAAACTCTACGAGCCCTAATTGCCTTTTTCATTTTATTAGGCGGTCGTGCATCTGTCTCGAAGCGCGGTGTCGAGTTGTGCAACCGCAGGTCGCCCGTCGAGTTCCCCGTAGATGCATTTGCGGCCAAGAGGCAAAACGTCTCGAGTCGGGTACACGTCCTGCGGTAATGGCCAGTTTCTCGCGGCTAGGCGCGCAAAACTCGCCCTTAGCGCGGGACCGTTCCGCGGTCCGGCCGCAGACGTCTCTCGCCTCGATTTTTAGAAACGCTTCCACGGAGTCGCACGTTCCTCACGGAAATTTAAAGGCGGGAGACGAGGAAATAGCGCGATTTCAGGAAGATCGGTGGATGAATTTTTGACAACCTCTCAACGATCTCGACAACTGCGGCGACGCCACTGGTTCGTGAAATGGCATCGGTTGGCCTTCGAGGAATGCTCTTGTAGGATTCTTGGAGGGTTAACCTAACCTAACCTTGTGTTCGCAGTGACCTAGAACCGGTGGACAACGGGTGAGAGGCGGTCAGGTTCACCTGGGCTTTTGCGATTTTTAATCGGTCTCATGGATCCAAGGATACTTCCAAAATGGCCGATCTCCCGCTTTTGCCGTTCCTCTTACGGCGCGTCGCATCTTGAAATGTCATCTCCTTCCTTGGTAATGCTTATTGAAGTCAGTTCTTAATAGCGCCTCATATATTATTAGATCTCATCTCATGTGGACTCGTGTGCTCTTCGAATCGCGACATTGAGCCCCGATTACCCGGCAATGGCGCGTGAAAACCGGACGCAGTTAAGACACGGTGTACAGTTATAGAGCCGGTCGTGTTCGATGAGCTGTGGAGACGCGTCAAGGAAACGTTTGACTTGGAAATATGCTTCGATTATTTTTTTTCTTAGCGAGCACCGAAAGGGGACCAACCATCCCAGCTACCGTAACGAGCCGCAAGACCCGGAACCGCAGGATATTCGCTATAGGGAGTCTTTTACTCCCATCGGGTGCATACCCCGATTACGATGCCGGATGCATCGATCGATGCTCATGATAAAAATAGAATCAATCGGAGCAACAAACTGGGACATTCCGAGCGATTATTCCGCGACTTGGAAGCGAGGGCCCTGAGAAACGCGAGGGCGCTTGCACGAGAAGGAACGACAACGGTCACGAGAGAGCAGATCTTAATTCTAAACATTTATTTCCCCAGATCTTTTACTTAAGCAGCAGGGACCGCAAAAGGAAACTCGGTTTTACAGATAACGAAGCTATCGCAAAAAATTACCCAGGCCTGCGGTTAGGCGCCGGAAGATGGTTAACAATGTACACCTCACCCTCGACTCGACGCGTTCGTTCAATTAGATCGGTTAAAAAAAAATGTTAATCACGTGAATCGACATTATTGACGGTGTACTTGAACGATGCAAGTAATCGTTAATGTAATAGATTTTAATTAATTTAATTGACACGATTTTTGTTTCAGCGAGTACCAGTTTGTCCGAAGTTCCACCACGGCCTGGGTTCTACGCTCTCCAAGATGGCGGACGTGCAACCGCGCCTTGCCTTTCGGCATCGTCGGTGGCTGAAAGATGCAAAGCGACGAAGAACCGCCTCCCGTCCAAAATTGAAGACTTGCAGGTTAGGCAGTCCCACCCTGCAAAGCTTTACCTTCGCCGTGGATTATCGAGTGCGTTGCACCTCCACACCCGGCACGACGCATTCCGCGATGCGAGAGAGAGGAGAGAGGAAAGATACCCACCGAGGAAACGGAGGAACGAAGACGGGCGAAATCTCCGACCTGAAGAGAGCACCCAAGACGGAGGGGGCCGGAGGAGAACCTGCTTCCAGTCCGCCCCACCTGTCGACCCGTTATGCCGGGCCTCCAATGGCTCTCGCCCTGCTTCTATTCTCCTCGGTATCTACCCGTCCGCGAGACTCGTTCGATTTTCCACATTTGTTAAGGCCAAATTCAGCCCAAATTGAGCCCAAATTAAGCCCTTGGCTCCTAAACTCGTAGCTTGGGCCAAAGAAAATTGGACCGACACAAGGTACTATCGGTGCATCGAGTCTCGTACGAATTCGGTATGGAATCGCCATAAGATTTTAGAGTCGAATTTACCGGACACGAGGCACCTTGGGTTTTGGTTCCTCCCTCTGGTTAATGAGATCGGAAACTCTAGATAGGTCGTATCGAATTTTCGTCCTGTCACCCCACGCGAGGGTGACTCATCCTGGGGGAGGGTGTCGGCCGATATCCAGATTGCGCCCAAAGGGTCCCTTATTTTATTCTCGATATCGTGTCAGCGTACAAATCGGTATGGATCGTGGAATCAGACGGGAGGATTCTCGTATCCATGTGTCAGAAATGACGCACGACACGTGGAGTATGTACATATCGATTGGAAGAGTCGAGGGAATCGCTGCGCGAGAAATCGGCAGAATTCTAGAGACTTATCGCTTTACAGCGGAAACCCTTGACTCTTACCCTCTTGTACGTGTTCATTTACTCTGGTGACATATGTCACCGTTAGTGGAATCCGATGTTGACGCTGACGGTTATCGCAGATCCGTCAGCTTATCGCGAGCGGCGACCGAGGGAAGCTAACGATTATCTCCTGGGCGGAGACAAACGATCGAACAAACGCCGCTCAAATAATAAACACCTTTCGCGCAAACGGTAATTATGATTTGCGGAAAAAACGGAACATTAGTTTTCCGGTTCTCTGGAGGGGCTTGGTATCTTTACGAGAATCGAGGTCCCTGGCGCTCTCCTGGGAATGGAATCAAGGGGCTCGAAAGAGTCTCCGTTCTCTTCGCAATAATTTCTTTCTCGAGCTCTAATCTCGGGTGGACGTTAAATGGAAATTTGATTTTCAGGCCTTCGGGAGGCGGATTCGCAACATCCCTGGGAAGCGAGGTCCTTTGTGGAGTCCTGGACACGGGGATCGATGAGAGACGTCTGCAGTCCGCACCACGCCCATGTCGGGGGTGGTTCAACGTGACTCACCCTCTGCCGGGCATGCGGAAACCCCATGGAAACGCACCCACGAGGAATTCTACATTCATGGGTGTCCCTGTCGAAAGCTCAACGTGCGCAGACGAGTTGCCCAGGAGGGAATTTTCGGGGCGACGTGACTAACGTCCTATTGGGGTAGGTCACCGGGATCCTGGGGGATCTCGAATGAATCACCAATCCATATTACTCACGCGACTCGTTAATCAATATTTCATTCCAATTCCAGGATACAGAATTTCGGAAATCCCGGATTCCCGTTGGCATCGTCCTCGTATTCCGCCGAATTCTCTTCCCAGTTGGTGAGTTTCGATTAAAGCCGACTTCGGTGAAAATTCTGCATTTCTACCTAGTTTATGCATGCCTTAACCCTGATTGGACAATCGGTGTCACCGCGTCGATAACTGAGAGCGGACGCAGCTCGTGTGAGTACCCACTGCACGTGTACATACGTAAACGCGCATAATTAGCTGAATCTCGAGATGATCCGCTTCGGTGCTTTTCGGGACATTCTCACCTCCGGCCCGTTCTGCGTGCAATTTACTGGCGGTATTTATCACGGCACCAAGGGTGTGCAAAAATCCGACCGGTTTGGAGAATCGATACGGACCCGACCTTTGGGCAAGCACATCCAACGAGGCTGCATTTGCGTACGGCGACGCGTCACGCACGTACACGTGGAAGGCCAGACCCGGTCCTCGATTCCCCGAAGGAGAAACTTGTCGGTACCAAAGTCGTTGACTTCGTGGCTTGGTTTAATTGACTCGGCCGACGAGGAGCTCTTTTCCGCGGCGTGCGAATCAAGGCCACTCCGCGCTCACGAAACTCCGGCTGACCTGCAAACGAAACCTCCGACGACGCCCAGCCTCGTGAATTCGTTAAATAGACATTCCAGCTAAATAACTATTTCTTACAGGCATCCGTCAGCAAAAACTGACACGCTGGGCAGTTCACATGGGAGCGATATCCTGTTTTCCCAACGACAAGGCCCTCCCGGTGATATCCTGCGGATGCGCGTATCCTGAAAGATAAAGCCCTTGCAGCCATTGCGCTCGTCTTCCTTGCACTCCGCCGAGGCTGAACGCTAGTTTGAGGTTCACGTGGAGAGATTGTCATTTTAGCGTTTTGTCCGAATAATCCGTCTTTTGATTTTTCGAGGAGGAACGTCGTCCTCGAGATGCTACCTACGGGTCGCGAGCGCTCCTAACTTAAAAATTGGCGCGGCCTTCCGCGGCCAACGAGTCTTCTTATCTTATGGTAATACGACTCGGTCTTGCCTACCCAAATATAGGAGCGGGTGCGAATCTCGCCATATACGAATGCGTGTCACGGCTTTTTCGCCGTCCTCCCCGGGGGACCGATCGACACCGCGTAATTCATATTCGGGGTGAGCTCGAGGATCGCCTTAAAGGGGCTCTCGGGTGAGTGTTTGCCAGGTCACCTCGTCGACTCATAGTTTTTCGCTGTTCTTTCGGCCTAGCCGTCGTCGAGGGTGACCTGCTAGAGAGATAAACTCGGATCAGAGTCCGCTCGACTAGTATGTTCGTAGAATTAGGTATGTTCGTAGATGAGAGGTCGATACGACGAGGAAACTCGGAGCGTTGGATGATGAGCAACTATTAATTCTGAATTTCTGCCCTTATGCCACAGGAGGGGAAACTACGGCTTCCGGCTGGTAACCGAGTGAACGAGGGACGTAGTACATGACTCATGGCTCGTGAGTAGCGGTCCCGGTATTCTACTCGATTTACCGAGAAATCGACTACTCGGGTGCTCTTCGGCGTCATGAATCATTACCATGAATCGCCGCGACCCGTGGAAATGGCCCACTGATCCAATCACTCGTTTGAGTCATGAATCGAGATCGGGAAATATTAATAAGGTCAGGTAATCCTCAATTATGTCTCCTCCCGGCGTCGATTTTTCAGTTAATGAAATCAGTCAGTGAATGATTGTATAATTTGCATATTCTCCCTCCAGAGGTCTGGCGATCGGCAGAATTCTCCGAGTCGCCCCTCGCGCAACACGGTTCGAAGCGACTCAGCACATTTTCGAATCGTCGAGCGCAATTAAGCCGTCGTTATGAAATTTGTTTGCGAACTGCCGCGTCGACAATGGCGTGCGTTCCGTTAACGCGTGATCCGGTGTTTGGGATTGCGTCGCGTACTCGACGGATTCGGAATGATCCGCTTTGGTAGATTGCATTAACGATGTTTTGCAGAGTAAGATTTTCGCACGGTTACGATGGTTAAGATCGACGATTTGGGCAACTTCTTCGGGAAAGAAATTGGAGGGTGACTTTTAAGTTCTTTCGCTCCTTAAAGTTGGATGGCATCGGAGTGAGGTACAGGATGCAGGAATGCAGCTTGGATGCATTATGGATGTAGCATTTTCATGTAGATTGTGACGCCGGTGACGTCATCGGCGGGTGAATCATCAACCACGGGAGAGATGAACGGAGGGGTCGAAGCACAGATTTTGTACCCAGTATGGGATATATCTAATTCTGCGTCAGAAATTTAATTTGCCTTCTAGAAGTGTATATTCGGCTGATAGGAAATCATTGTATCATTACATTTTTTACGGTAATATGAAATTGCGTTTGGCCTGTAGTTACCTACATTCGGTTAGCCTCGGCCGATGAAGGCTGCTGCGTCATCTGACAGCGGAAAGTCGAACTTCGAAGAAAAACAACCGGGCATCGATAGAGCTGCCAATCAACGCGCTGGTTGGAGAGGTATCTGGCGTCATCGTGACAGGACAACAGAATTCTAGCTTTGACAGATAAACATGCGTTGTTCAGGTGCAAAAAGATAGACGGAGGATGTTTCAAGCCAGAACGTGCCGTTGCTGAAATCTAAGGTTAGGAGGTGAACCGTTTTAGGATGACACAAGCAAACAGGTTAGTCTGTGTTTACATGCTGCTCCAGTGACATAACCTTTAAATATAGCGTAGCAAGTAATGTGTTTGAAAGAGCGGGGAGACTTTTCAGGGTCCGCTCACTTCTATCACCTACATAATTCGATTGTATGCGAGAGGTTTTATTCCCCAAGCTGTCTGCTTCGGAGATCTTGTACCTCGTACCGATTGTTTGTATTCAGGAAGAGAGGCCGAAGTGCAGAGGAAGATGCCAGCGAGTTTATGCCACTCAGCAAGAGGATAAATAATCTACACATCAATGGCTTCCCAGGATTACAGGAGAGAGCCCTGGAGAAGATGGATTCCGACTGGGGAGATCGAAACTTTGCTCCGTCTCCGAACAACTCGGAACCGTCGCAAGGATCGTCCTCCTGCGACGGATGCAGCTCTAGCCAAAGCAGCTACACGGCAGAGTACAGGCCAGACCTTGATGCCAACGACAATCCCTTTTATTACGAGAACAACAAATTGCTCTATTCCTTATACATGGAGCGTATGCAACGGTCGTCAGAACTTTATTGACGATGGATCGGTTAGATAGCGCAGAAAAGATATGTCGAGATCTCGGTGCTTTCTCATGGTGTAGCTCTGCAATTTTCAGCAGAGCAGAATAATTCAATTTCTGAGTGGCACAGATCATACGGTGCGAGGATCTCTCCTATGTAGAATATTATTAGGCAATTAAATGTTGTGAAAATTCCTCTCGAACGTTACTCATAGGCAGGCTTTAAAATGTTATTTAAGAATCAGAAATCATATGTAAAATTATCACCGCTACAGCGGTATATCGCGTAGTATTAATTTTCATACCGAATTCTCATCTAATACGATCGAGTTTATTTTTGCACAACTTCGTCGATGCGGAGTCCATGTCATAGCAAATCTATACAAGATTTGACAATCGATTATTTGCAGGACATTTAACACGACTATGACATCGCTCATCGAAAAGCATTCTTAGATTCGCTGCATATACATAATTGTATTTATAATATCCTAGCGTTTATCAATGATACGTGCACTCGACATTTAACATGATTCACGATGCTGTTTTATAATTCTAAATACGTTCTATAATGTGAAATTAAAGACGTGCTCCTGTGATCGCAGTTTGCACATTTCCGTGTAGATCTTCCGCATAGATCTTACTTAAGTCAGCCCGTCGTCTAAAATATAACATCCGATACCAAATTAACGAGGATTTTCAGTAAACGGAGAGTTAAAATGTCATTCCTTTATTATCGCTGCATTTACTACAAACGTATAAAATTCCAGTCTTTAGTCGGAACACCAAAGTTTCCTGTAGTTGCATGGTCCCGCACGGTAGCGGTAGTTTAAACGTCGCGCGCCCGCTCGGCGCTCGTCGCGCCATCTGCGTCGACCTAACCTTACGTTCGATAGGTGCGCGCGCAAGTCAGTGTCGCTTCTGGCGCCCGCAACACGTATCGAGGAGCCCGTAGAGCGGAAAGTTTCCGGTGAAACTCGCGTCCAAAAGGCACGGCTCGTCGTTCCCACGGGCTCGAGTTCGCGCCGAGCGCCCGCCTCTCCGTTAAATCCGTCCGATAACTCGGTTAACCCGCGCGCTTACGTGCCGTCGCGCTAGTGAGTGCCCGTGTTTCGTCGGAGTCGGTCCACGCTTCGGGAGAGGGGCTCTCCCTTCCGCTCTCGCCGCGCAGGCGCGAGGCCATTGTCCCTTCTCCCGAAATAGGGCAGCATAACGGGGAGGACTCGCCTTCGCCTTCGCCTCGCGATTGGCCAATCGCCGCTCCGGAGGAAATGGCGCGTCGCGACCTTGCCGGCAGGTGGCGCCCCACGCACTAGAGGAAAAAGGATTACAAATAAACCCAGGTATAAAGCCCGAAACGCGTAAATTCCGGGCCCTAACCTCAATAAAAAAAACAACTCGGCAACATTCCCGAACTTTCTCCTGACCGCGCAAAATGAACTTCATTCCGCCCGCACGTAGCCACTAAACTTCTCGCCCGGCCCTCTACGTTTCTCGAGTTCCGGTAAATTGACCCGGACGGGTATTCGAATTCTCCTTCGGCGGCGGGACGCGATTGGCCGGTGGCCGGTCTAGGGGAAAGTCCCCGTTCCGTCGGGTAGATGGCAGCGCGGGCTCGGCGGGAGGGGCGCGCGATCCGCGCGGTATACCGGAGGGAGAGAGAAAGCGGCCGGTGACGCTCGACCGCATGTCGGGCATATGTCCCGTTACGTCGGGGCAGCGGGCTTTCTCGGCCGTCCCTGCTGCTGCGCTGCTCCTCGGTCGCGTCGGTAAGTAGGACGCGCGGTCCGGGCCGATCGCCGCGCCGCTCTCGGGAAGGACGGCGGTGGCGGCGGCGGCGGCGGCGGCGGCGGCGTGCCTCGTGCACCTCGGCGGGCCGCGCCGTCGGGTTCTCGGCCCGTTAGCCGGAGCGCGCCTCGCCTCGATCGCTCCGTCTCTCTCGGCGGGCGCGCGGGGCTCGCGCGCGGTCTCGCTCGCGCAGCCCGCTTAGAAGACTCTCGGTCGTCCGCGCGGCGCGTCGTCGGCGCCGCTCTCCGCGCGCGGCCAGTGTGCGAGTTGCCGCGAGCACGCGTCGCGCGTACACGTAGCCACGGTATATACCCGACGGTCGGAGAATTAATTCGGGGCAAGTCGCGGCACGAAGCGGGAATTGAAGACGGAGGACGGAAGCGACGAGGGATCATCGAGCGGGGCCCTCTCGCCGGCTACGTGGCGGTGAGTCGCCGCGGTCGGAGGTCGGGAGTCGCGAGAGGCGCGAGAGGCGCGAGAGGCGCCCACCCCAAGACACTAAAATCGTCGCGGGCCCTCGCCGTGGCTCACGGGCCGGCTCGGCTTCTGGTGGGGTGGTTGGAGGTGCGGACAGTGGTTGAGAGGCTGGTGGGGTTGGAAATTGCGTGGTGGTGGGTGCCCGCCGAGGTCTCCGAGGCCCCTCCGTGGCATCTCGCTGCCTCTAACCCGCGGCGAGGTGGGGGTGTAAACAACAGCCCTGCCGCCGCCGCCACCGCTGCGAGTCGCGATCCGCGAGCCCGCGGACCGGAGCCGCCGCGACGCGCCCGACCCCTCCCTCCCTCCTCTCCACGGTTCCCCCGAAAAGCGCCAACGACGCGGGTCGTCCTCTCGGCTCACTCGGACGGACGCCCGTGCCCGGGGCGGGAGCGCTCCGTTTTCTCGGGAAACTTTGGAAAGTCCCGACCGCGCCGTACCTCTCCGCGGGCCGTTACGTAAGGCGTCGGGCGGAGCTCTCGCTCTCCCGATGCCGCGGATTTAACCGGCGTTCCCGAGCATCCGGCTTCCGGGCTCGGGACGGATCGATGAGACCCCGAAGGCGATCTCTAACGAGCCGGGATTTCGAGGCCGATGCGCGCGGCTGGGGACTCGAGCAGGAGGAAAAAGCCGTGACGGTTTCCGCTTTCCCCGCGCCGAGAGGCGAATCGAGCCAAGATGGCGGCGCTCTCGACGCCCGCCGTTGCGAGGCGAGGCGGCCAACGCCCTACCCTCGGCGGACGCGCCGACTTTCTCGACGTAACCTCGAATACTCGGGGGGAAAATCGCGACCGTCGCGACCGGGTTAAGGAAGCGTGGCGCGTTCCTCGGACGTCGGGGCATGAGTCACCCGGGACTCTTTCGTGACGGCGCAGTCGCCGGGTTCGCGTAGATCGGCGGACGAGCCTCGATGCGTGGCAGCGGCCAACAGGTGCGACGCTCTCGTTCGGGAGGGGAACGGCGGGGCCGGGTCGTCGGCCCTCGTTTTCTCTTCTCCTCTCTCCTCGTCGATCCCTGCCTCGAGCGCGTTTCCCGTTCCCACGCGCCGTCGGGCTCGGGCCGAAAGCGCGGCGTCACGGCGCGCCCCGAGAAGGGGAGGCGGTCCGCCGGCGGGAACGGCTCGCCGCCATCTTGGGCGGTCCGCGTTCCGGCCGTTCCGCTCGGCGCGAGGCTCGCCGGCCAGCGGCCAGGTGCGGCCCCGCGACGGCCCGCAAAGGTCAGAGGTGGAGGAGCACTCGGCGCTCCTCCCCTTCTTTCTTGGCGCGTGCCCCTACCCTTTCTTCCTTCCTCGCGGAGGGCGAAGTCGGCCGCTCCCGCGAGGGACCGCGGCGGGAGTTCCCTCTCTAGGTCCCCGGCGTGTCCCACCTATGGCTCTCCCCCTGACCTCCTCCCTTGGCGGCCGCGAGCTCTATTTCGCGACGGGGGCTCCCACCTATGTGCCGTGTGCGCTCCCTCCCCGGGGCCGGGTTCCCCCCTACTCCCCGACGAACTCCTTCCCTTCCGCCGAGTGGGAAGGACCGTGCAAGTTTTTCGACCTGCACGTCCCGAATCCTCTCGAATTCCACCTCGTCGAGGGGAAACTTTGTAGAAAGGTCTCCTAACCTAGAAAACTTCGACCGGGGGTCTCCCTCCGCCCCTCCGCCACCTCGACCGTCTAACCCCCTACCCTCGCACCCTACCTCCGGCACCCGGTAGTGGAGGGGGCGGAGGTGGAAGGGAAGCTACTCGACCGATGCGCATCCCTCGCGACCCGTGGACCGGGGGGGAATTTCTTCCCGGTGGAGGCGCGACCTAACCTCCCTCGCTTCTAGAGAGCGAAGGTGGAAGGGAAGCGTCGCGACCGATGCCCATCCCTCGCGATTTTCGACTCTCAATTTTTTTATCGCAATTTGTGGGTCAGGAGGAAATCCCTTCCCGGAGAAGGCGCGACCTAACCTCCCTCGCTCTTAGAGGGCGAAGGTGGAAGCGAGGCGACGCGACCGATGCGCATCCCTCGCGCGCAGGGTATCTAGTCGCGAACTCGTTTAAACCCTCTATGCCCCGATTTTTCTCATGGCCGGAAAGAAATACGTAACGCGTAAAATGTAGAAAATTTGCAAAACCTGTGAAATAGAAGTTGGGAATTTTTGCAGAATTTCTAAACGCGTCCCGTAGGTGAAGAGCGTAAATAAAGAATACGGATACAAGGGTGTAGGACTTGGTCTAGCGAAGTCACGCGGAGGAGTCGCTCATCTCTTCGGCTCGTTGCAGGTCCCGCCGCCAGCAGCGGGGAAGATGAATTTCACTCCATTCCCGGGGTTCACGGCAGGCTCGCTACCCACGGGCACGGTGCACCAGTTCGCCACGGCCAAGTTCGCCCAGAACCTGACGACCGGCGGGCAGGTGGTGGGCGTCCTCTCCGGCGGGGAGGGCGGCGTCCACTACCTGAGGCCGGTCGATCCGAACGGGTTCGCCGTGGCCCAGGGCGGGAACAACCAGCAGCAGCAGATCATCACCCTGCCGATCACCGTACCCGGGAAGGACGGTACCCAGCAGCAGCAGACCGTTCAGATCCAGGTGGTCAATCCGAGCGTCTCCCAGAGCGGAAACAGCGGCGAGCAGCCCAAGTACCACCTGGCCCCGATTTCGTTGGGCCAGTTCCCCCAGGGTACGGCGACGGTCCTCACGGTCGCCTACAGCCAGCAGGGCGCCGATGGGGTACAGATCCAGGTCCAGCCGCAGAACACCGTGGCCACCACCCAAACGTACGGTTTCCGTTTCTTTCTTTTCCTACCATCGGCTCGCTTCTTTATACATATATATTTTTTTTAATGATATATCTGCGCGTTACGTACTCTTGCAGCTCCGAGCAAACGACGCAGAGCACGTCGACCACGGTGACGACGACGGCACAGCAGACGATCCAGCAGACGGTGCAGCTGCCCGGCGCGCCGGAGGGTCTCACGGTGGTCGCGCAGATCCCCCAGGACCTGATCCTGAGGGAGGGCCTCGACGAGTCCAAGGACGACGTGAAGGAGGGCACGACGCCGGTCGCGCTGATCAAGCGAGGCACCGTAAAGAGCCAGGGGAACCAGAGTAACGAGGAGTTCATCACCTCGATGCCGGCCAGCTGGCAGAGCTTGGCCACCCCGGGCTCGACGGTGGCCGACTACCTTTCGAGGCTGCCGGCCAGCACGCTGCCCCTGAGCCTCCACCACTTCCTCAAGTTCTCGGCGGAGACGATCAAGAGGGAGGCGACGATCGAGTCGAGCCCCCTCGGAGCGGACGGCCTGGACGCGTCCGGGAGCGCGGCGACCGGCGAGCAGACGGTCCAGATCACGGTCGCCGGGGGCGAGACCGAGATTATCCCCGACGTGGTCGAGGAACAGGAACCCGGCACCAAGCCGAAGCGCAAGAAGAAATACAAGAAGAAGCCCCCGAAACCGAAGAAGCCGAAGCCCGGCCAGGTGAGCATAGTGACCGCCCTGGACGGGACGCCGATCTTCTGTTGTCCCCAGTGCAACATGGGCTACCCAGAGAAGGAGCTCCTCGAGCAGCACCTGATCGGCCACAAGATCGAGAGGCGGTTCATCTGCGACATCTGCGGGGCCGGGCTTAAGCGCAAGGAGCACCTGGAGCGGCACAAGCTCGGCCACAACCCGGACAGGCCGTTCATCTGCTCGGTCTGCCTGAAGGGCTTCAAGCGGAAGGAGCACCTTAACCTCCACTTCGTCATCCACTCGGGCCAGAAGACCGAGGTCTGCTCCGAGTGCGGCAAGGCCTTCTACCGGAAGGACCACCTGAGGAAGCACGCCAGGTCGCACCTGGCCAAGCGGGCAAAAGACGACCCGCTGGGTGGCGCCGACACCTCACAGAGCCAGCAGCAGCAGCAGCAGCAGCAGCAGCAACAGCAGCAACAGCAGCAACAGCAGCAACAGCAGCAGCAGCAGCAGCAAGCCGAGCAGCAGCAGCAGCAGCAACAGCAACAGCAGCAGTCCACCGTCGCGGAGATCCAGCAGCAGCAGCAGACAACCGTGCCGGAGCTCCAGCAGATCCAGATCCAGGTCGGACAGGGCTCCCAGGCGCAGATCCACCAAATCGCCGTGAGCGAGCAGTCTACCGTCGTCCTGCCGACCGCCGCCGAGACGGGCGCCATGGCGATGCTCCACCACCAACAGCAGCAGCAACAACAGCAGCAACAGCAGCAGCAGCATTAGCGCCGAGCAGCCCCGGGAACGACCGGGCGATTCTTCAGGATCAGCCGACAGCGAGGACGCGAGAGTCCTGCGCGGGATGTGCCCTCTGGGAAGGACGAGCCTCGAAGAGGGAACGCCATTGGTCGCTAGCCACTCTAGGCGAGACTCCGTCTCGGTGTTCCTCGGGTCTCGCGCGTCTCGGTCGAGCGTTTCCCTTCATCGGCGCTATCGTAACGACTCTTCGAGCCCCACCCCCGGATCGACCTTGTACCCGAGACTCGAGGTTAAACGTGTATCCATGTTCCGTTCTAGCGACGGAGACGAGTCGGCTGGTCTCGATCGGGTTCGCCTTGACCCGGAGGATCCGCATCCGACGCCATTTTCCAAGAAACCACATCACTGCCGGGACGATTGGAGGCCGATGTCGGGTGACCCGGTATACTCCTCGACGGAATCGGGCCAGCAGACCTTGGGCTCGCGTCACGGGTGAGTCCCTGGGCCCGGAACCGTGACGCCGGGTTCCTGAGGTTTCTTTTGGTGAAGGTGGTCCCGTGGAGCCCGAACTTATTCCGGAGGACGATGAAGAACGAGCTGACCGCGGTACCGCTCGCCGGGTTCGCGCATCGAGAAGAGTGCATATNATATATTTTTTGAGACCGCGAACTGGATTCGCCGATTGAACTAGTGGCGACCCCTCTTCGGGGACAGTTGTCGAGATCTTCGGAAAACCCCTCCGGGGACGCGATACGTAAATGCTAGGAGACAGTTAGCGAAGGGGGCGAGAACTAAATGAATGAAGACGGAGGAAGATGAAATGGTGTAAATAATAATTGCGGTTTTCCATCCAACTGGAGGGAAAGAAGACTGCGACCGTGCAAATACGAAGCGACACTTCTATCTATATCTCTCTAACCTCTCTAACCTCTCTTTCTCTCTCTCTCTCTCTCTCTCTCTCTCTCTCTCTCTCTCTTTATTATATATATATTTTTAATTTATTCTACTCACTGCGAGACCGAGAGACGACAGAGATGGCGTGTGTTGGTTCACAGCGACGTCCATTATTATTATTATTATTGCTATTATTATTATTGCGATTAGTTACACCGAGCATGTTGTATTAAGGTTCAACGCGCATCGACCGATGGAGCCCGTCTTGGTCGGCGAGGGTTTTTTGGAGTTATGTAACTTTGTAACCGTACATTCATAGCGAGATTGCTCCCAAATCGTGTTGATAAATTTTCTATGTTACCTCCGGGAGGTTAAAGCCCTAGCTGGCGAATCGTCCTAATTTTTTTTTTCTTTTCTTTCTACAAGAAATTCCGATAGCCTCTTTTCTCGCTCCTCGAGACGCGGCTCCACTCGAGGGAGATCAATTATGACCGTAAAGGATGCGGATCGATGTATATTTTTACAAGGGTGAATCACATCGGACTGCCGTCCTCGTGTAGGATAATTGTACATTGCGCGCACTTGTCCCCGGGGTCACGGGCCAGGGAGAGGGCCCGGGAGAGGGCCCGGGAGAGGACGTGGGAAGATCGGTGCGAAATAGACCCTTCCCCATTTTCTTTATTTCTCTTTTCTTAAAGTTATTGCACTCTGCGTAAGGGGACGACTCGGAGGGATCGCCGACTTTTCCAAGTCCTCGATTCGACAGAAAATCGACGGAATGCGGGAGGGCCGCGATCGTTCGAGCCCCACGACGGAAACTCGTTCGTCTCGGGGTAATTTTCAAACTGTTCTTTCCGTCCCGAGATTACCGCGATAATTGTGAACCAGTGCAGGGACGGTATCTAGAATCGTAGCCGAGTGAATGCCGAAAAACGAGGGGGAGACCGAGTCGCGGTCGTCTCGCCGAGAAGAGGTCATGTCTCCTCTTGGCCGCGGCATTCGGGGCGAGGATCCGACGATATTCTTTCATTTCGCCGATACACTCGTAAGATCGTAACGGTCGCGGTTATAATTCTACTCGTAACCCTTCCTGTATTATCACCTACCAACGGCGACCATAACGCCGTTTGCGTACCTACCGGCAAAACCGGCGATGACTTTTCTTCACTTTTCTTCACTTTTCTGACAAAAACGATGCAACTTTCGTTTATTTGCATTATTACCGTCGAAAAAAAAAAGCCACCGGTTTTGCCGGTCGCGCGCTAACGGCGTAATCTCTCGACATAATCGGGAAACTCCGGCCGCTTTCTGCGCACACCTCGCGAGCTCCGACATTTTTTGCATAGCCCAGAAACTCGTAGAATTAAGTGATTTGTATGACGCGTATACAAGGAACAAACGACAATTAGTTTTATAGCGAGCGTATAACGTAAGACGTGGGAAGCGCGGCGATCAAACGTAGATAAGACGTAAACCTATTTTAGGAGTACGTATAAATAGTAAAGTTTCCGACGTTCCAAGGTACTACCAGAGGGTGACGTCTTTGGGTACTCCTAATGTACGGACATTCGAAACGCGCACGCGCAGAAAGCAACTCGGAGCGCGTCGGCTCTTTTCCTTGATATCTTTCTTTGTTTTTCTTTCGTACCGGGCTAGTAACACGGAAGCACTATTCGGGCGAAAAGTTGCACGAGATACAAGGGACGCGCCGAATCGAGGCCAGACCCGAGGACTCACCCCGGGTTGGGCAGGAATTGGTAATCGCACGCCCGCGCATGAATAATCTTGTTATATATATATGTATATTTTTGTAATTCCCCGCGGTGTTTGCAATGGGGGCCATCGTATAAACCCTGATTTCTCGTCGGGCGGGGTATCTCCTGAGTTATGTCGAGGGTGTACACCGGAGTTCGTGTACATTTTCGAAAAGAACGGCCGCAGAGGAGCGTAATTCACGTTGCTTGTATCTCTCGTGTGATTTTGCGCGGCACCTTTTTCTCCTTACCTGGAGATCTCGCGTTTCCTCGCTTTCCGTTTATCCCTGGAATACGAACGCAGGGGGCCCGACTTGCATTTCTATCTCTATTGCAGAGGCGCAATCGGCGACAATACTTGCCCTTGACTGGTGGAATTGATAATTAGACACGACATTGAATTATTGAACTGCGCGCCGTCGTTCGATGCGATGTGTCGTTTAAAGGCGAGACTTTCTCGGTGTGGATGTCGCGGGGGTACGAGGCGCATCCACTATTTCCAAGGTTTACGGATTCCTCGGATTTCCGGGGGCCGTCCGGCTCGCGCGATCTTCTAACCTCTCCAACTTTGGTTTCGGTGAAACTGTGAGGTTGTTCACGGGGGTTGCTCGATCGCGCCGGCAGAGGGCCTATTCCGTAACTCGGAACAATCGTTTCAATGGGCTAACGGTAACGATATCCGCCATGCGAGTACGAGAATAGGGCCTCGAGACGAACGATCCAGAGACCTCCGTGCTAATCGCGTATAAGGTTCTCTCTGCCGCTCTCGTCGGGTCATTGAGTGAAAGAGAGAGAGAAAGAGACCGGTCTCTCGCCCGCGGAGTGCGGGTGCCCGATTAGTCGGTCCCCGCGGCGACTCGATCTCGCACCACCTCGTTCGGAATTTTCAAATCTTGTTTACACGGTATTTCCTTTTCGTTTTTCTTTTTTTTTTCTCTTCGCATGAAAAATAGTATTTCCGCCCGATCCTGGCTACGACGATTTGTTTGTTTTTTTTTTCTTTTTTTACCTGACTCGAAAAATCCGCGAATCTCGGGGACGGCGAGACAACCCCGCAGTGAGAAGGGGAGCGGCGTATCTTTATTTTTTATCGTAAGCACATCGCATTAAAGGCAGTGGGTATAGCTGTACGAGAATATCATTACCGATTATTTTATTAAAATATTATTCTAGCTATTACCGTAGCGATTATTGATAGGCCGTAAGCCATTTTCAATTGTTACTTACATAAACATTGGAGAAAGAAACAAAAAAAAGTCTAAAATAAAGCGTACATTTAATATAACTCACCCCCGTTCTACGTACTCCTCGTTACGCTGTCATCTTTCTTCCTCTCGGGGAAGTCTCGGACGACGCCAGGATTTGGCAATTGTTCGTTCCATGTCTCGAGTGCTTCCTGAAACCGGTACTCAAAGCGCACGTTTTTTGAATAGTTAACATTGAACTATCTAGACGTCGCGCCATCTGGTTCCTTTTCTCGAGGACCTGCCACAAAAGAATACTCGGGCAAATAAAGGAAAGGCACCTCGCGCTTATCGCGTGTCCCGAGTTATTCCGAAAAATTCTCAAAACGCGCTAACGTTCGGAAGTCTAAGAATACGAGATGCGAAAGAAAGGTGGGACGGGAACCTCGTCGGTAAGGAAGAGCGGCCGGCTCGTTTTTTGCCCGGCGGCGCTCGGGTATTTTCGGGAGTTCGTGGCGGGGGTGGGGTGGGGGCTCCGCAGAGCGAGAAAAAATAGTTAAGAGGCCGGCACAGTAGAGGGCGGCGGTGGGGTGGGGGCTCGCCGACGGCGCCGACTGGAGGGACAGGTGTCAACGGCACGAGGGGCACGAGGCGGTCGATCTCGTTTCCGTGGTCCTCGGGTGAAGAAGACCGCGCCGGACGCGCGGAGTCGCTGCATCGCGCCCCGAGACCGGCGGACCGGACGGCCAGTTAAATGGTAAGCGACTCGGCGTGGAGGGCCGCGCGACGCGTCGCCGGCGCTCGGCCATTTTCCCCTGGGTCTCGCGCGAATCCGTATCGACTGTGCCGAGAGGGGCGGGGAGGGGGAGGGGAGGGCGCCGTTCCTGCCGCAAGGTCGCCCGACGAGCCGCCCCCGCGGCGCCTCCCGGGAGACCGTCCTCTTCCCGTCCCTTTCCCTTTCTCGCACGCGCCATCTGCCCGCGCTCGAGCGAGGACGCGTCTCGAGGGAATCGGCGCCGCCATCTTGCCTCCCGCGCACGGCCCTTTCCTCGCGGCCGATCTGAAGGTCGCCCGAAGACGGATGTCGCGCGGTTCCCGATATACGTTTAATCGCGTTTGATCGCGATTGATGCGTCGCAAAGCTCGGTTTCTCGATCGGGCACGTACACGGCTCCTAGAAACCCGGGCAACGGGCAACCACGGTCGAGGGTCGTTCGAACCGCACCATCCCCGGTTTCTGCCGGTTTCCTCCTATCAGGGGGAGTTCGGCCATTTAAATGACCGTGGATCAAGAAGGTTCGCTCGGAGGGAGACGGCGCGGTGCGTTTTTCTCGGCCGACCACGTGGCCTGTAAAAATCTACACCCTTTCCACCCTGTTTATCTCCCCACGTCCGGGCATCCGTTCCGCGCGATAACTTGCCGTATTCTCGGCCTGGAATTTTTAACGGTTCGAGATTCGAAGGCGCAAAGTGTTAACGATTGAGACGTACGTGGCGGAAAGCGGACGGTGTTCGGTGAAGCGGGAGGCGCGAAGTCGAGCGACCGCGCGCGAGATGCGGCAATCCAAGATGGCGGCCGCTGGGTGCGAAGGGCCGCGGAACCCTAGAGGGGGAGGCTAAGGTCTCGCGGGCGCCCCCCTAGCCCTCCCCGGCCCGGCGCGGAGTAGGCGACCGCCGGGTGGATTGATCTCCGCGGCAGGCGCGGCCCCTAACCTCTCACCCCTCGCGCATATCGCGCCGCCACCCCCTGCGAGTCTCGGTACGCTGAGCCGCGCGCGCGGCCCTCTCGCTCCGACCACGGTCTTCCGAATTCTCGCGTACCTCCGAGAGCCGTCGACGAGCTGCGGGGAATCCTAACCTAGACGTCGGGTCGGCGCGCCGTGCCGCGCGAGTTCCTCGTCGAAGGGCAGGCTCGGCGTGGCCGAGGGAGAGTGAGTCAGCGGGACACCGGCGGCGCGACAAGCACCGGAGAAAAAGTGCCATTGTCGGAGACAGTCGGAGAGGAGCGACGAGCACCGCTCCGAGGAGGGACGGCACGGGGCGCCGAAACATGGGGAGGAACAAGTCATTGTGAGTAACCCTGGCCAGGAGGGCTCGGGCTTTGTCAGGGTCCAGGAGATGCCTTGGATCTCCAGGAAATGGAGAGCTGCGGAGAGGTGGTTCCGGTGTGTTCCTTTCGTGGAAGCAGATTTTCTGCTTTCGGGTTGCAAGGGGCACGGGTGGTGTTATGGTGCACCGAAGGCTTTCGGTGGGTGGGTGATCGTCGAAAGATGTGTAAAGGGAATAGCTTGGTGTCGATGTCGTTACGATGACAAGGATGGTTCGGAGAGGAGGCATCGAGTGGAATCGGGGTGACGTGTCTCTAAGTGCTGTGATTCGTTTCAGGTATCTAATTGACGGTCTGCAATGAATTTCCCGCCGTTCGGAGGCCACTTTCCCGGTACGATACCGAGCATCCATCAGTTCACGACCGACGGTTCCGGTGGTGCGGGTGCTCGCTACGCCAACCATTTCCCCAACCAGCCTCCGATCGGAGTGCCGGTTATGGGAAAGTACCGTCCCGAGGCCAACGGCGTGCAGGCTGCTCAGTCGCAAGTAATGATGAACAACAAGACGAGCTATCCGAACAGCAACGTCCATCACTATCCCAATGTACCGTACTCTCAAGCACAGCCGGTGCAGCAGCGCCCCTCCAACTCGCCAGGAATGCAGGAAAAGCGAACTTATCATCAGGTAAGGTTAAAGTTTCTTTTGTCCCTGCTGTCGAAATCGTTTGTCGAAGTGCCCGGGGGTCGGTGGCTTAGAACTTCGGTGAAACTTATTCGGCTTGCCTACTACACCCTTCCGAATCCGTTCCCCCGAGCTGTCCAAGGTCTCCTCGCTACCGTTAGCTCTTGTAACTCGACTCGAAAGCACCCTGCCCAGTGCAATATGCACTACCCTCCGTTACTCTGTTAGCAGGCTACAGAAACGATAAATCAGCAAGACGTGTGTAATCTCCTGCAGGACAAGGACAAAACCAAGGATAAGAAATCGGAGGAGCAGCAACGTAACGGCGAGGCGGCGACCAACGGAGGCCAGCAGGACTACACGATGCATCAGCACCATCAGCAGCACGCGCACACCCAAACTCCGGCCACGATGCCTGCGACCTGGCAGTCGTTGGCCACACCTGGCTCGACGGTGGCGGATTACCTGAGCCACCTCCCCGCGAGCACGCTTCCGCTGAGTCTTCACCACTTCCTCAAGTACTCCGCGGAGAGTATCAAGAAGGAGTCCGAGATGGCCCAGACGACGTCGGTCGCGGTCGCCACCACGACGACGCCCAACATCATGATGTCCCCGAACAACAAGAAAAAGAAGAAGAAGAAGGCCCCGAAGGAGAAGAAGCCCAGACCGAAGCCGGGCGAGATCAGGCTAACGACCGCTCTCGACGGCTCCACTCTCTACTGCTGTCCGGAGTGCCACATGGCCTATCCGGAGAGGGAGCTCCTGGAGCAGCACCTCCTGGGGCACACTCTCGAGCGGCGATTCGTCTGCGACATCTGCGGGGCCGGCCTTAAGCGGAAGGACCACCTGACCCGGCACAAGCAGAGCCACAACCCTGAGCGGCCGTACGTCTGTACCGTGTGTCTCAAGGCCTTCAAAAGGAAGGAACAGCTCACCCTGCACTTCGTCATACACTCCGGGGAGAAGCGGCACGTCTGTACGGAGTGCGGAAAGGGCTTCTACCGGAAGGACCACCTCAGGAAGCACACTCGAAGCCACATCGCGAGAAGGGTCAAAGCCGAGCTCAGCCAGAACGCGGGTACGTATCCGAGTTGTATTTAGCTGGTGGCATTTATTCGGCACCCTCCACGTCTGCCCTCCATTAACGACAACGTCGTCCTCTTCAGGTACCCAGCAGAGCCAGCAGCAGAACAGCGTGTCGAGTATGCAAACGACCACGGTGACGGCGTCGTCCGTCCTTCCGGGCGGACACCCGGGTCCCCTCCTGTCCTGAGCCCCGCCACCAGGGAACTTCCAGGTTCCCCATCCTAACAACATCATCCACCCGCACCCACCGCATCACACGCTGCACCACCACCACCTGACCGCCGTCAACGTGGCTCACCAGTCGACGGTGCCCCCGCTGGCGACCGGCACCCACTACCAAGCTCACGAGCTCGGCTTCCTGGGCCACGTTAAGGACTTCTGAGAGCAGGCCAACGCCTCGGCCAGGAGGTAGCGGCTCCCCGGCCACGGGCTGACGGCGTCCAGGTAGCGCGAGGAGAAGACGGAGAGGTCCTCGACCGAGATCGTCCTGGGAGGTAGCGGCCTTCCGCCTCCGGCCAACACCGAGGTCTCTGTACGTCGACCGAGGCGGTGGCTCCCCAGGTCGTGACCGGCGACGTTCACGCGTTGCCGAGGTATAGGGACCGTGGGAGGGATTCGAGACTTAAAGAATCGAAGAAACCGATCCACGGCTGGGCGTCGGGAGCCCCCGGGGTACGGGACACCTCCTCGACGGCGCTTCTCCCGTCGTCACCGAAATAACCCCCGGAGGCTTAGGAGAGATTCGATGCCCGAGGCGCAATGAGTCTTGCATTGTAAACCCGCGTAGGAAGACAAACATATTTTTCTGCTAGCCTGATTATCGCGTGGAAGGTCGAGGCGCGTCTTCTCGAGACGGACGCGTTCGTGCCACCATTTTTCCCCACAGGTCCGACCAGGGTGGACGCCCCTCGACCTTGACGGGAGAGCCGGGTGATCTTTTGCCGGCTGTCGTCGGAGAATACGTATTGGAAGAACTCACTGAGCGACAGGTAGGTCCGTAGATGTTTAAGGGACTCGGGCGGCCGTTACCTCGTTGCGCTCTCCCACGTGAAATGTCTGGATCTCTCCCCGAGAGAAGGATACTTTGTATACGCGTGTACCCACGTACACGCGCGCTTGGTAACCTCCCTTCCGGTTGGACGTCTCGAGACTAGACCGTTATAAAAAAAACCGCGACTTCCGGTTTAATGGAGCTCCGGCAAGGCCTTAGGATTATATCAGGTTACGCTAGGTCGACAGAAATGGGAAAACAAAAAGGAACTATGTGGCAATATTTTTTCGTTCGGTGAGAAAGAGCGACCCAGTGAGAGTGTGCGTGAGAGAGGAAGAAAGAGAGCGGATAGACGTTAGGCAGAGAAAAAAGGACGGAGATGTCCTTCGTTTCGCGGCGGCTTCCGCCCTCGCGTTTGCTCGCATCTTTGTTTCTTTCTTTCCCTTTTATCTTTATTATTATTATTATTATTCTCTTCCTCTTGGTTAACGATTATATATGTATATGTATATGTATACGCAAAGTTGACACAGTATTTCCTAGATGTTTTATAACAAGGGAAGAGCTCCGAAATTCTCGCCGCTTGCGCTGCGTAGACAAAGCGCCGTGTACAAAGAATAACGTTTAGGGGAGTTCGATTCGCGTTCGCTTAGGTTTATCTCCGCGTTTAGATATGCATTTTGTGATCTCCGAAGGGTGGGGGAGCGAGAAAAGCCACCCCGGGGCGTAGAAATTCTCCAGTCCCGTCTCGCACGATCCGAAATCGGAGTTGAAACGAAGGCAGGACTCGATCGAGGCGCGTGGGGTCTCGGTAGAGTTTCGCACCAGGTATGTCTGGGTGGGGGGTAAAAAAAAAAAATGAAAAATGGAGAATGCAGTCAGTCGTTCTCCAACAGTCGGCTTGCCCAGTATTCTAGGGCGTTCGGACGCGACTCGCCGCGCTTCCGGATGCGTTTCGTACCTAGCATTTGTATATATATTTTTTTATATACTCGTAGAGATAAGAGTGGCGTCGACGAAATCGGAGGGTCTCTCCCGCGTCCTCGCGTCGTGCGGGACGGGCTCTCCCGAGAGAGTTTCGTTTCAGAGTTCTCCTCTTCTTTNATATATACACACATTTTTTTTTTTTTTTAATTGTCGGTAAGCGTTAGTCCGTCGTATAGTTTTATATGTGTACCAGAGAGAGGACTGGAAGGTGTGTGCGCGTGGGCCTGTTTATGCGATAATTTTTTCGTTCCGTTCGAGCAATAGGGAAACCACGAGTACGATGCTCGGTACTTTGGCAAGAGGTGTATGGGGTAATACACCTGTACAAAGAGGAACGCGTTAACCACGACAACCTGGGCTCGTTTAGTCGATCACCGAGACTCGATATTTTTAGCCGTAACGCGTGTCGCGTCGTGTCCGACATCCTTCGTAGACTGACAGATAAATGCCTTCGTGTGTCTCGTATCGTTACCGAAAAATGTGGATTGTAATTTAATTTAACGTCCTCGACTGTACGAGCTCGCGTTGTCGGAGTTTCTAAACAGGTGTTTGAGGAGGTGGAAGTCGCGCGGCCGAGAACGCGACGTCGCGAAATGGCGGCGATACATGTACCGTATACATTATATACGCACGTGGAAATATATGCACACGTGTGGGTGTGTGTACATCGCGTTCGTGCAATTCAGATATATTTTTTCTCGCGTCGCGACTCGACGACGCAGAGGAAATATGGTGATTCGACCCTTAAGACAGGGAGAAGAGAACGATAAAAGTCGCGATTCTAGCCGATCTAAGTTAAGGGCGCCCTCGTTCTCGGCCGGGACTCCAAATTTGTATCGATTAGTCGCCGACGGAAGCGAAACTCGGAGGAGATGCGAGGTGGCCCCTGCGACCTGCCACGTGGCGCACACGCGTTCGATAGGAAACCATGTTCCGCATTTGATCTCAGCGACCCGCCACGAGGAGGAAACGGCGTGGAATAGGTCTCTTGAGGACGGTCAGCTGGAATCGCGACCAAGGCCGCTGCGAGATATTATACGTGCTCGACTTCGAGGGGTGCCTAGACGCAGCTGGGTACGTCTGGCTACAACGGGTTCCGTAAGGTTCGCATTCCCGTGGCGGAGCGACGGGATTATCGACCTTACGGGCCGGGGACTCGAGTCGCCCCTCTCAGGGTCACGTGTCACCGCTCCGCGTCCACGCGGGGCTGCGAGATAATAAATGGAGAAATAATAATGGTTAACGGTAACGATAACGATAACGATAACGATAATATTAATCATAGCTTCATATTATATTTTTTGAGAATCACAGCCGGCACGTCACGCACTCGGCAAGGCGCGCTCTTAGCAGGTAAAAAGAACCGCGATTATTCAGGTTACGTCAGACCTCAAATGTAAGAATATAAACGCTAAGGAATACTATAAACATAGGTAAACATACCTGAAAGCCACATATATATATATCAAAGTATATATATATATTTTTAACAGTCTCTCGTTGGCATTTATACGGAATTAGAAGCAGTTTACTGCCGCCTAGAATACTCTTGTCCGTGGGATGCACCGAGATGCGGTTCCCGCGGACGGTTGTGATCGTTTTGCTTGCCGATTGAAAGACAGCCTCGGCAAAGCACCCACCGATTGCACTCGCGAGGGTGGAGTGACTCTACCCCGCGGTGCATGCCCATTACACGTCGTTCCTTTGTTTTGGTCTCTCGATAAGTCTTGTCAGCATATACAATAGCTCGTTCGTTCGTTTTCGAATAAGACCCGTGCCATTGTACAAGTCTTTTATTATTATTANCCGCGATTATTCAGGTTACGTCAGACCTCAAATGTAAGAATATAAACGCTAAGGAATACTATAAACATAGGTAAACATACCTGAAAGCCACATATATATATCAAAGTATATATATATATATAAGAGAACGAGCTGTATTAAAATACTCCACCGCCACGTACTTGTAATCGTAAAAACGAGAGTGAGAGAGTGGGAGAGAATGCGCGCGTTTTGTGTACGACCGAGAGGGAAAGAGTACACCTTAGGATAATTCTTTTTAGTACGTAAGTTTGTATACAGACAACAAAACGGTACGTATGGTCGGACAAGGAGAGAAAGAGAGAGAACGAGTGAACGAGTGAGAGCGAGGGTGTAGTGGCGAAGCATTGTACGTAGAGTACGCGTAGTTAGTCACGCTTAAGAGGGGATTGGAAGGAATAGCAATGGGAAAGGAGAGGGAAACTGTGGAGAGGATGAAACGCAAAAGGGATACAAAGCCAGAGAGGCCAGGGAGAGGTTCGGAGGGCCAGAGCTCCCGCGAAATTCTCGAAATTCTCGAAATCCTGAAACTGGGCGTTCCTTCGAGTACTTTCGTTATCCTTTCCATTTATATCGTTGACGACACGAGAGATTAACTATTTTTTTCCGTTTTCCTGTATTAGGATAACAACCTAGTCTCAGGTATCTTGGACGAAACTTTTGCCGCCCGGTTTCCGGAAGATTTCGACGTTGAGAAAATGAAAAGAAATTCACGGAAGCGGAGAAATATTTTGTTAATTCAACGAATTAACGAGTGAAATAAATTCAAATAAATTTTTTGACAGTTCCGAAGAAACGTTGCACCTCATTTATTGCAGCTCGTCTCGCGTCGAATATTTGTTCTTTGAATTGAGAAAATATTTCTTTGATCGAATGAAAATTTGTTTCTCGGTGGAGGGGCTCTCTTCCCTTTTGGAAAATGGGGAACCAGGACGGAGGATATATTTTTTTTTTTTCCCAGGGAACGGAACCGAACAGAGGGAAGGGTTTCTCGAGTTGGCGAATTGCGTGGCCGTTAACCGTGGTTAGGGACTTCGGAAGAGCCTCCCTGTACAGTTGCAGCCTGAAAGGCGGACGAATTCGGAGGACTGTTTGCAACGCCCTGTATACTAATGCCGCCGCAAAGTACAACCTTCGTGTTGGTCCGACGAGTTTCTTTTGTACTTCGACACACGGTCCTTTCTGAGATATACGGAAATGGTATAATGCGAGTCGAGGAGGAGACGGACTTAATGTGCGCCGATGCGTACTCGAATGCACGTCGTATACGAGAGTCTCCCGGGGAAGATTTCAAGAGTTCCCTGATCGAAAGAAAATGAAAAATAAATAAATAAATAAATGGATCTCATGATTTAATCGCAAGACTAATAATTCCTTCTTCGTGCCATTGGACACTTCTCGTCGCGGCCAAATCGACCGGAAAAATGCTGCAGGCTGGAATTAGGTCCGTCTCCGTTCTCCAATCCGCGTCTCGAAATCCGCGAGAAACGCGACAGAGAATAAAGCGAAATATTTTTAGTAAGCACAATAGCCGAGCATAATTGAGGAGAGAAACAGAAGGATATTTAAGATTAACGAGGAACTGTATGTACACGATGGCAAGGCAAATAAATGGAGACTTCCCGTAGCGTTGGAAAGTGCGATTTTGCCAGCGAAGCGAACGTTGAAGAGGGGGCGCGCAATATATAACAATTGTACATATATATTACGTACCCTTTCTATTAACAAAATCTTACATTAATTCCTCGTGTCCACGCAAATCTCGTGGAGGTTTCCTCGATTTACATTTTTTATTCCCGCCCATCTGGGATTTTTATTTGCAAATCGTTCATTTTTCAGGTCTTCCTAGGCGGACTAAAGAGGACGTCAGCAAGATGAGAGTTCTCGAAGGTGCTTTTTTTTTTTAANATATCCATAATCCGCGCAGAGGGAAACGAATCGGACAGACTCCGCACTCGGTATGCCGCAGCTAAAAAAAGTCCAAGACGATCGTTCGCTAACTCTATCGTGAACGGTACAGTACATCCGCTATTACGTAAGGTAATGCCAATATATATGTACAACCATTCGAGATTACGTGGTGCCTATGTAAGGTACACTCTTTCCGCCGTTTATCCGAGGACGGGCTTTATAAAGGTTTCTCAGGAGAGTCCGATACGATCCATTTCTCTCTGCACGCTCGAGGTGTAAATATCAAATACCTTGAAATCAGTACTCGTAATTAATCGGTCGGTGCATTCGGATGCATCGATGTCATGTCAACTTTCGGTTATCCGTGGAACCGAAGGCGTCCCTATGGATGGTAGACGCCATGGGACCGAGTGCTCCCGTTGTTAATGTTTAATAAGTCACGATATAGGGATTCGCACTAGGTACTAGACTTACGCTACACGTTACTCTTTGAAACTACATAACTAAGTCGGACCGGGATTAGAGACAAGAGGGAAGGGCGTAATTCCTCGCTAAGTAACGGTGGCCATTGTTCAAAAGGGAGCGAGGACAAGACATCGGTGAAGATTCGGTGGATTTAACTCCGCTATTCTTCGCTGTGACGTTTGGAATGTTGAGAAATTAATTCCTAATTGCGTTATCGGTTAGGTTAGGGTGTTCCGATTCTCTAGACCGTTAGGACACTTCACCGAATACTCTTCCTCGGCCTCTCTTGGGGAATATACTCGAGTACATGGTATTCCCTTCCAAGACTCGTCCCAAAGGGATTGGAAACGGAACGTATGGATTATGGGCGAAGCAAGGGGACTTTTGTAGGAGCTCAACGAATCACTTCGTGCACTCGATTCGACACAAAACACCGTCACACGTAACCGCGGTAGGAAAGGGGAAACGATAAATCGACGAGTCACTTGGTAACAGCTGACCGTTTAGAACCAACAGTGTCGAGACGTGCACTCTTTTTGTGACGACGTATTCCCAGACGAGAGACGTTCGGCTATTTCGGCACGCGTTTCTCGATTCCACGATACCAATTGATTGGGAGATTTTAGGACTATGTCCTCAGGATGGAGAACGGAGGCGGTCCGGCCTGCCTCATCATCATGGCGAAGCCTCCTAGTGCTTCTTCACTCGAGCCTGGGGCACCCTGATTATTCTGGGATGGATTCAGTGGTTTGTTTCTGCTGCTGCTGTGGCTCTGCAAATGCTTCTTCAGATGGTCCTTCCTGTAAAATGCTTTTCCACACTCCGTGCACACTTGGTTCTTGCTGCCAGAGTGGATGATCACGTGGCGAGCTAGGTGCTCGTTGCGCTTGAAGGCCTTGCAGCACATGTTGCATCTGTAGGGTCGGTCCTTGTTGTGGCCCTGCTTGTGACGGTCCAGGTGTTCCTTACGTTTCAGACTCGCCCCGCAGATATCGCAGATGTGGGGTCGCTGTCTGTGGTCCTCCAGGTGCTCGTGCAAAGCCTCTCTGTCTTCAAAGCGGTATGCACACTCTGGACATTGGTACACCAACATTCCTTTGGAGAATGGAAGGTCGAATATAATTTTTTCTATTACTTTCAGGAGTCACTTTCAACGGTGGAATCGGGAAGAACGGTCTATAGATCTCGTCTGGCGTGCTAAGGGGTACTCACCGTTGATGTGCTGAGGCTCCACCTCGAATTCGATTTTTGGTCGAACTTCTTGACAGTTGTGCGAGGAGGTGTTGCTGTTCTCCTCGTACTTGGAGACGTACGGTAGGCCCAGGGTGCTCGAGCAACGAGCCAGGTATTCCGAAGTCAGACGGAAGTCGATTTGCAGCGGGTCGGTCATAGTAGCTGCGTCTACTTTCTGTATGGTCTGAGTACCGGAAGACTGATGCGTGCTCTGAGTGCACATCTCTTTGTTGCCACAGCCATTTTCGTTTCTGTTCTCGTCGGTGCGTTGTCCGTGCTGAACAGGGTGGCTTCCATAGGGATAGCCCGTCATGTTGGTCTGAGGATGCTGTTGCGAGTGAACATTTGGTGGGTACTTGACGTTTCTCGGATCGTATGCCATCTTTCCGCAGTTGTCTCTACTCCATGATCGGTTTCATCTATATTACACCAAATAATTATTATAATAATCAAGGTCACGCGAACAAGGGGAAAATGACGGAAACAAACGACATTAAACTTTTCAAACGGCAAGTCGAAATGTCCAAACCGTGCACTAGATAGACGCGAAGGCAAACTATTTTAATTTATTGCAACACAATTGGCTGTGCGCTAATTTAACTCGAGTCATCGAATTCCATTTAAATTTCTTCCTCCGTAATACTCTGCCGACTCGTAGACAAACTAGACCTTAAAGGTACGAGCCGAAGCACCAAGGTCACCCACCTGCGAAGCCACTGGAGGTTTAGGAGTCTCCGAAGAGTGCCAAACATTTTTCATAGCTGCAACTTAACCAGCAAGAGCCCAAGACGAGATCTCTTCAAGAGGAACTGCCGCATCCGAGTCGCGAAACGATAAATCCGGCACCAGACCGGGAGGAAACGAAACGAAAAGACTGCAGAAACGAGTGCACGAAATTCTCCCGAATAATGCGAGCCGGCGTGCGAATGCGAGCTCGCCTTATTTGGAAGTAGAAAACGCGAGGCTCGAGAAGTCCCCGTACGAGGTCCGGAAAATGTCCTATTGAGCGGGTCAGGAAAGCCCTCGATTGGCGATCCGAGGAGGCCGCAAAATCGACGCTCTTCGATGCGAAAATTAATTGCAAAAAGTCTACCTACATCCAGTGCCTTGCACCGCAGGGGCGAAGATTTTCAAAGATTTTTAACGGGTCGCGACTCAGTTCGCGAATCCAGCACACTGCTGCGTATTACGATTTGTTTGTATCGAAACCGGCCATCTTGGAACATGTTGGACATCAGCTGCTCTCAGGTGAGTTAACCGTCATGAAAACATTATTCCTCGACAATGACGGTCACCCGAAAGAACCCTTTCTTGCTCGCCAAAAATTCCGCCGTATCCAGTCCGGATCCCGCTATGAAAAGATCCGTAGTAATTTATTCATTTAAACGCCGTGAGACGGGAAAATAAAGGGTCTACCTGTAAATGGAGCACCCTTTGAAATTGGCGCTAATTTATTCAGCGGGTCGGGCAGTTCTCGAACTGTCCAACATATCTCGGGCTACGTGGACTTGGCTATAAATAATCGAGTGGAAGTAAATAGTAAGAACCTGTAATTTTTCTCATTTCATTCGTACATAAGTAAAATGTTCATTCCAAATGTGCGTGGATATCATCGATCGGTAATTCAGGAAGTTGGGTAACCGACTCTGGGAAGTAGTTTTGCGAATCGCGGCAGAGATGACGCCACGTATGCCGCGCGGCGGCTATTTCAAAATAGCTAGGCGTACTAACGGTCGCTCAGTTAATCGAGATAATTGGGATCGATCGATGATATCTTGCAAGACAGGAATTGACAACAGGAAGTCAAATCTACGCGAGTCTAGATATTTGCCGGCATTTCGAGGAAGTCGAGAAAGAGTCCCGGAAAACTCGAAGCAAACATGTTCGCCGCCCTGCCGCTGATAACTCACAACTCTCTTCCCCTCTTTGCCGTTCAAGACGATACCGTGACATCGGAGGTCACGATATCGAGTGAGTTTTTTCCACGAGATCGGACGAAAGTTCACTCTAGGTTCAGACTAGGAGTCACTTCTCGGATTTATCGCCATCGCGAATTCGCGCGAAATCGCGCGAATTCGGTAAACGGGATTTCCCCCGAAAGGATGCATTTTCCCAATTTCAATCACCCTAAATGCAGTTCTTCCAGATGCAGCGACCATAGGCAAACTTTCCAGGAACTTAAGATTTACATACCGATAGGAGAATCCCTATTTGAGGACAAACCAAATAACCGAACGTTGGCCACGATAAAGCAGATTACGGCGGCGCAGGGAATCCCGATAGATCTCCGAAGAATTACGAGATATCCCCGAATTAAGTCGCGGTACCCTCCACGTATGATCTATTATTTACCGTTATATTTAATATCCAATAATTATCCTCGCGTCCTCTATTAAATCGAAGACCATGCCATGGAGTTAAATCGAATGGAGAAGGCAGGAGTTCCTCGGAAGCGAGAAATAAATATCGATTGATAATTTCCAGGAATCGGTGTAGGAAAAGTGGCCATCGCGAGGAACGAGGTGCAGGTACCTCTCTTTCGTGGCTGACCCTGTCAGCGATAAAAGAGCCCGTGCGAGTCTCCCCCTGCTAGTCGATCGCGGGTGCTCCGACTCCGCTCCGGGACGCGTCAGAAGTCGAGAAGCTGTCGCCGATAGCAGCCGAGCTGCACCGCAGATAATCGTCCGGAAAATGTCCGTGACCTAGAGCTCGCTCGCCGAACTCGAAGACCGCATTTGCACCTGGCTGGAAATCCCCGGAATAAGAATGGAACCCTCGCTGCTGCTCTGCCTGCTGCTCGGGTTCTACTCCGGGTTCTACTCCGGGTTCTACTCCGGAGCCGTCGACGCGGTCAGCAGGTGAGTGCGCTCCGATTTTCACGGTCGATTCGATCTCGAGACGTCTAAGAGGGTTTCCTCCCTCCCAGGGGCTACGTGTTCACCGCCCCGAAGAGGCTCGTCTCCGGGGATACCGAGAACGGGTGTCTTTCTTTGCACAACCTGCAACCACCCGCCCAGGTGCGACTGGAACTGCTCTCCCCTGCCGACGTCGCGGAGGAGGAGGAGGTCCTCGCCAGCAGCACCACCGTCCTAGAGACCGGCGAGTTCATTGGTTCAGAATAATTCCAAATCGACGCCGGAGCTCTCTCGAGCCTGGAGGAGCATTTTCGAGCTGCGGCGCGCATTTCCGGGCCCGGGTATTTTCAGCCGGTCAGACCGGTCTCGTCGCGCGGCGCTCGACTTCGCGACCGAGTATCTCGAATCTACGCCGAACGAAATATCGTAATCGGCAACGGTTCGCGCTAATGGAATCTCGTTGATGGTCGATACCGTCGTCTTTCGACTCGAGTCGAGTCGAGTCGAGCGGCCATTGAAAAGAATGGTCAATGAATCCGCATCGGTGACCCGTGCATATCGGCAGGCCCGCGATAAGCGAGAACGAGCGGTCGCGTGGAGTGCGGATCTCCGCGATCCATCGGTCGATCGGCCTTTGAGGGATCTAAAAGCGAATCGAATCGATCGTCCGTCGTCGCCGTCGTCGGAACGCCGAAGGGCCGGTTTTCCCATGCGAAGACGGCTCGGCCGCGAGGGGACCCGGCCAATTCACTCCCCCGCAGGAAGCGGCGACAATTTCAATTTGCAATTCGTTTAGAGAGCCCAGACCTCCGAGAGGGATCGACGTTGCCAGCGGGCGTTATTGCCCGCAACGCGCGAGGACGTCCTCCGTTTAATAACTAATTCAACGGATGTCGTCGCGCTCTAATGGGGAATCGCCGATAATCTCTCGGCCCTTTTTCAACTTTGCGTAAGCGACGTTTCGCGACGGCGGCGACCCTTCGAGCGATAGAGATCACTGGACGAGCACAATGACGAGTAGAAACAGGAAGTACGCTTTCCACGTGGTAACTCGATTGGACGGTAATTGAGACGCAGTCGGTTAACTCGCTGAAAAGACCGAACGGCTTCGTTTGGCCAATGACCAATTAACGAGTCACATGCCAGCCGCGTCGTTGCGCTCGAGGAATCTACCTTGCCGACGTAAGTGCACGGCCGCTTAAGTAACGATAATCCAGAGTAATTGCGTACGGAGAGGGATTCGTTCGGGAGGCTTATCGCGTATTCCTTCTTCTTTCCAACAGGTCCCGAGGGCTGCATCGAGCTCCTGGTGCCCTCCACCAAGTACTCCACGGCGAGGCTGAGGCTGAACATCAAGTTCTCCAAGCATCCGGATTACGTCGTCAACGCGGAAAAGGAAGTCGGCATAGAGCACGACTCCTTGGTGACGTTTGTGGAGACCGACAAGCCGATTTACAAGCCTGGCCAGGACGTCAACATCAGGATCCTGTCCCTGAAGCACGACCTGAAGCCCTGGAAGAAGCCGGTTGGTTCCTTCGGGTTTATATCTTAAATGTGTCCCTGCCTCGTTAGATACGTCGATCACCTTGGGGTGGCCGTAAGCGATATGGGATTGAAAAATGAGGACGGCTTGGTTGCTTCCAGATCCCGAAAGTATGGATCGAGAACCCCACCGAGGTCAGGGTGGCCCAGTGGGCGAACGTTACCACCAACCTTGGAATGGTCGACCTGCTCCTTCCTCTGTCCCCGGAACCGAGCTTGGTAGGAAATGATCGGGCAACGAAGAGAATTCAAATGTTCTTTTCGCCTAATACCTTAATCATTCCAGGGAACCTGGAAGATCAAGGTGGAGAAGAAGAAGTCGCATCATCAGCTCATCGACACTGCCACCTTCGAGGTCAAGAAATACGTCCTGCCGCGGTTCCAACTGACGATATCTTCCCCTGGGTACATCCTCGCGGATGCCGGGAACGTCACCTGGCACATTTGCGCCAAGTAACTGGAATCTCTCGCTAATTGAAGGCGATGCAAATTAGGTACAAGTATAATCGAATGGTCCCTCTTCAGGTACAGCTACGGGCAGCCCGTGAAGGGCTCCTTGCTGCTGAAGACGATGTCACAGACGCCCAGCTGGCGGAGGAAGAAAAATCTCCCGGAAATTAATTACGAGACAAAGGTAGGTAGCCGAGGATCTAACGGTCACCACGAGTACCCCTACGTCGTTCCTCAGCGAGTGGATATCTGCAATTAGGGAACTGTAAGGTCGTAAAAAATTATTACAGCTGAATTCCCCGGACGGATGCACGGATTTTACGGTGTCGGGGAACGAGTTGGGTCTGGCGCACTGGAAAGTGGCTCCGAACAACATCATCTTAACGGCGAACTTCACGGAAGCTGGTACCGGGATCGTCGAAACCACGAGCAGCCGAACCGTCGTCGTCCATCAGACCCTGAAGCTCGAGTTCGCTCCCTACACTCCAAAATACTTCAAACTAGGACTGCCCTATCATGGAAAGGTGAAGACTTCACCTTCTATTTTTTTTTTTTTTTATCAATCCTTAGAGAGGGGAAACAAAACGACTTCTTTCTGACACGGTTTCAGCTGAGAGTCCTTCGCCAGGACGACACTCCAGCCCCGAACGAAAAAATCCAACTGTGTCTACGTGTACGTGGCAAGGACGAGTGGCTGCGAGTCGTAGTGGAGTGTCGAAACTTCACGTCCTCCCCGGATGGGTTCGTCGACTTCCTGGTCCCTCCTCAGCACAAGAACATCGTCTTGCTGAGCTTCGTGGCCACGGGCATCGAGTACCCCACAAAGTACTACTCGCCGGACAAACGGTGGAGGGTAGGAGCGCATTTCCGTCGTCCAAGTTCCCGCACTCCGGGATGAATTTCTTCTCGCTAGGTTGATTAATATCTTCGATATTTTACACGATTTCGAAAGGTGTTCATGGACCAGCCATCGGCGTACTTCGACGCGAATCCCTGGTACTCGCCCTCGGACAGTTACCTCGCGGTAGCGCGAGGCTATCAGCCCATCGTCTGCGGGGAGAGGTACTCCTTCAACGTGATGTACTCGGTACCGGTGAACAACGACACGAACAGGACGATATCCTTCCACTACTCCATCAACTCGAAGGGCGACCTGCTGATATTCGGACACGTGAAGCACCGACCGCATCGAGAGTCCGTCCTAAATTACTCGGAGTTCCGCAATTTACTGGGCGCGGTCGACACTCCTACGAACAAGACGGAGCAGAACCACGTGGTGCACAGGTCGGTTTGGCCCGTGGATTAAAATTTAATATGGATTCAGTCGCCAGGATATTAACCGCTAGAATGAAACTTCAAAAGGTTCCCTCTGAGCGTGAAGGTGACTCCAAGTATGGCCCCGGTTTCCGAGTTGCTGCTGTATTACGTGCGCCCTGACGGCGAGACCGTGGCGACGACGTACACCATCGAGGTAGGCCACTGTTTCGAGAACAAGGTGAAGACGGCTTGGCACGACGAGTCCCAGAGTCCAGGCTCGGCCACCCAGTTCCACGTGGAAGCTTCACCTTGGTCGATTTGCGGAGTTTCGGTGGTCGACAAGTCCACGCGTTTCCTTGGAGGCTCCAAAACTGGCCTGGTGGACGCGGATCTGGTTTTCAACCAGCTGAAGGCCTTCCACCTGGCCCCGGAGACTCGCCCGATCCAAGAGGCCTGGAACCACTGTAAAAGTACGAATTATTTCGTCCAATTTCAACCTACCAGACGTAACTTTAAGTACAGATTAAGAATAATCTTATGTGAATCAATGCTACGTTGAAAAACAGAGACAGCGGAACCGGAAGCGAGCGTCGAAGAGATAGATCACCTGCCCCGACCTGCGGTGGAGGAGCCTCCGGTTTGGGACCAGCGAAGGAAGAAGAGGACGACGTTCCTGAGCACCCATGTTAATTACGTGGACGCCATACAGGCCTTTGACGTTGGTTGCAGATTTTTCATTTCCTGCAATCGGTCGAGTTATCTTTTTTCATGGTAATTGAATGAATCCTTACGTTTCTCCAGGATTTCGGAGCGATTGTCATAAGCGACCTGATCCTGGAATCGCGTCCATGTCCCAGTATCTCGTTTCTACCCCATGGACCCAGAATTAGTCTAAACAACATGATGATCCGAGAACTCGACGAGCCTGGTAATTATATGGATTGATCTATTAATTGCATGCCAGATAAGGCGATGGATTATTAACTTTCCTGCGTTTCACAGACAGACTGTTAAAAACCGTAAACGCGTTGCCTCTCGCTTTCCCGCTGCTGAATTTCCAAGTCCCTGGTCTTCAGGGTCCTTCGGTAAACGCGGGACTGGGCTACGTGGAACAGCCTCCGGATCAAGCGACGATCTTGAGATCCTACTTCCCAGAGACCTGGCTCTGGGAAACGGTACAAACAGGGTGAGTTCTCTCGCCCTTCTCGATGATCTGCGTCGGCCATTTTCCAGCCTTCTTGAGGAGGAAATGGTTATTTCAGAAAAGAAGGAAAAGCGACACTGGAGCGCAGTCTTCCGCACACCATAACCGACTGGATTGGCCACACGGTTTGCATTTCTCCAAAACATGGTCTGGGAATTTCGCCCCCGACGTCCATCACGGCTTTTCAGCCCTTCTTCCTCGACTACAGTCTACCCTACAGCGTGAAGAGGGGAGAGATTCTGCGAATGAAAGTGTCACTCTTCAACTACATGCAGCACAGTTTACCCGTAAGTGCGTAATGCCTCTTGCAAGTTCTTTCCATTTCCTCTTTTCCCCTGACAATTTCGTGTCCTTCTTCCAGGTGAAGATCAAGCTCGAAGACGCGAAGGGTCTCGAGCTGCAGAAATCGTCAGACGCCGCCTCATACTGTGTTAAATCGAGAGACAGCGTGGTCCACGAGTACGCCTTGAAGTCAAAAGACCTAGGAGAAATTAACATCACCGTATCGGCTGCAATTGACCCTGACTATGCCGAGCCATGCGGTCCCGAAACCTTGGTGTACACCAGGTTAGCTACTGTATTACGCTCAAATTCTCACGAAACGATTTTAATTCTCATTTTATTTACCCCGCAGAGATGAAATAGTGAAGCCCATCCTGGTGCAGCCGGAAGGATTTCCCGTGGAGTTGACCAAGTCCGCGTTCGTGTGCCCCAAGGACTTCAGCGACGACTCGATGATCTCCTGGGTCCTCGAGCTCCCCAAGGACCTGGTGCCCGACAGTGCCAGGGGATACGTTTCCTTCATCGGCGACATCCTGGGACCGGCTTTGGAAAATCTCAGCAACCTCGTCCGACTTCCCATGGGCTGTGGCGAACAGAACATGATCCTCTTCGTGCCCAACATCCATGTCATCGGGTATCTGGATGCCAGCGGGATGCAGAACGACGCACTGCGCGCCAGAGCCGTAAAGAACATGGAAAAAGGTATTTAAGATATTCCAGGTATATATTTGGGGCTCGCACACAGTGGAAGTACTAACTCCCAAATTCTTATCGACGCCAGGGTACCAACGAGAGCTGAATTACAGACACCCTGACGGCTCTTACTCCGCATTCGGACCGGACAGCTCGATGAGTGGCGGCTCCATGTGGTTGACCGCTTTCGTCGTCAAGTCCTTGGCGCAAGCTCGCAGCATAATCCACATAGACGAGCGGGACTTGAAATTCTCGGTGAAATGGATCACCAGGAGGCAGCTGGAGAACGGCTGCTTCCCCCTGATCGGAAAAGTCTTCCATAAAGACATGAAGGTCCGTCCGCGTCATGAAACCCAAATCAACGAATAGAGATAAAGAGAGATTTTTTAAACACATGTACCACACTCTTCAGGGTGGTCTTCAAGATGAGGAGACCTCGTCCCCCGCATTGACCGCGTACGTTCTGATCTCCCTGCTCGAGTCTGGAGTGCCCTTATCGGCGTCCCTTATCAACAATGCCCTGTATTGTCTGGAAAAGGGCATGGAAAGCGACAGCGAGAACCCCTACACTCCTGCCCTGTCGACCTACGCCCTGGCATTGTTGGAGCACCCGAAGGCGAAAATCAATCTGCAGTCCCTGATGGCTCGCGCGACGAGGCATAACGTAACTCTAATTTTATCACCGCTTATTTCACGAAGAGTTGTCGAGGGATCGATAAGAAGACGTGCCTATTAATTCCAGAACCTGCTCTGGTGGGAAGACAAGGTAAAGCCTTCCATGGGCCTCAGCATCGAGATGACGGCTTATGCCGTGTTATCGTTGGTCAAGCTGGGTGGTGAAGATAACATGGTCGAGGCCCTGAAGGCCGTCAGGTGGATGTCGAAGCAGAGAAACGCGGAAGGTGGGTTCACCTCTACGCAGGACACGGTTTTAGGTCTGGAGGCCCTTTCAAAGTATGCCGTGGCCATGTCCACGAAAACCACCGACCTCTCCGTTCTCGTGACCGCTGGCGACGTCGACAGGGTCTTCAAGGTGGAGAACGAGGACCGGCTGGTCCTCAATCAGATCAAACTCCCAGTTCTGCCGACAGTCGTCGAGGTCTTCGCCGAGGGGGAGGGTTGTCTGCTGGTCCAGGTGAACGGGACGAATCCTTAATCGATTTCCTTCTTCCCTCGTTATCGGCATTTTATTTAACGACCTCTTCTGCAGAGTAACCTGAAGTACAACGTGGCTCATGCCACGGGTTCCCAAGCTTTCGAGCTCTCCGTCACCGCGGAATCCGTAGCCCTGGTCGACGAGTGCTCCATGCAGAAGATCACCGTCTGCGGACGCTATAAATTGGCGGATGAAGAGAGCAACATGGCTTTGCTGGAAATCGGCATGATCAGCGGATACGTGCCCGACAGGAGCAGCCTTCACGGCTTGCTAGAGGATCCCAGCACGCGTGAGTAATTTAAATGTCACGGTACCACGAGGTCAAGAGAATTTACGAGGACTAATCCGAGAGGGTCTCCGCAGAGGTGAAGAGGTTCGAGGACGAGAAAGGCGCGGTCACCATCTACTTCGACAAACTGACGGCCCAGAGGAAGTGCATCTCCTTCATCGTCAACAGGGAGAACGTCGTCGAGCGCCCCGAACCTGCCAACGTCAAGTTGTACGATTACTATCAGCAGGAACTAACCGTAACGACGGTATGTAAATCATCGTTTCATCGGTCCAAGAGATTGGAAGTTGGAATCTAATCGACCGTTGCAGAGCTACAACTTCAAGGAGTCGTGCAGGAGTGCGGAGGAAGTAGAAGAGCACGACCCGATCCCGAACCCCATGCCGGTGGAGCCGGACCCGAATAAGCCTGCCATGGGGAAGACGATTAACGACAGAATCATGGAGAGGTCCTTCAAGGGCTCCGGCAAGGATGGGGCGAGCTCCAAGAACAAACTCGCCGCGTCGATCACGGACAAGCCGGAGGTGAAGACGGTCCCCCCGGCGAGGGTCACCGAGCTAATAGAAAAGCTCCGAGAGAGGATCGCGGCGAAAACTAAAAGCGAGAAATCGGAAGCATCGACCTCGAGGACGGACACACCTCTAGACGTGGCCTCGAAGCCAACGGATCCAAACTTAGACGGAGCCGACCCACTTCCAGGTGCAAGTGAATATTCTCTCGTAAAAGACGTTGATTAATTTCGTAAATTTCATGTCATCTTGAACGAGCCCGTTCCGTCGTTACAGTTCTGCACGACGACTCCGGAAGTGGCCAGCAACCAGAGGGTCCGGAGACGGGGCTGAACCCGACATTCGTCGAGATCGATCACGACCTGGAGGTTCCGGAAGGAGTCGAGGGGCCTCCCCCGGTGTTCGTGAAGCCCACCGATGAGTTCGTCCAGGTGGACGAGGACGACGTGCAGAGTCCCTCGAAAATCCGGCACGAAAAGGGGCGATTCAAGGAGCACTCCGAGGTGGCTGCGGCGAGGAACGAGAGTCCACGTGAGTTCTTCAGCTCTTGCGATAATTATCCACTCTAGAAATTGATCTAGAAAATCGGCTACTAAAAGGGGATGCATTCTCTTCAGGGACGGTCTCGAAGGACGCGACTTGTCCGTGGTGTGCCGACGTTCCTCCGGCGAACGCAAACGAGACGTTTTGCGCAGCTACGAGTGCCGTCAAGGTGGCGGTAAGAAGATGGCGCAAAGTCAGGCTCCTGTTGGACATGAAGGCCCCTCGTCAGCCTAAACGTTTGCGCTCGACGGTGCAGCTCAAACTGGACGCGGATTGCTCGTGCCAGCCGCTCGACAGTCGTAAGAGTCCTTCGGCTTCCTGGATAGCGATCCGTAAGCATTAGGATTAATCGAATGAAATTTCAGCCGGGACTTTTGCCCTTTTGCTGGACTCCGAGGGCGTCAATTGGACCGCCGTCGAGGAGCACTCGCAGTTAACGGTGGGCAAGTCGATGTCGGTTTACACCTTGCCCAACGTCGAGGGACTTTTGCCGCAATTCGCCGGGGCACGCGCGGCCTGTCCTTCGGGATTGAACGAGAGTATCGACAAGGAGGGAAGACAGTGAGTGAGTCGGACAGTCGGTGGAATTAAAAGGCAGATTTAGGTTTTCCATCGCCGCAAGCCGACCGTATGGACGCAGCTCCTCGGCCACGGAGAAGTCGGCGAGACTGCCCGAGTCCCTCCGTATATAAGACCGGGCTCTTCGATTCCCGAGGGACTTCCAAAGCGAATCTCTAAACGTCGAACAGAGTTAGGCTAGCGTAATCATTTAGGCGAGTCGCTCGTTAAGGCTCGATAGTCCGTAATTAATAATATAATTGCCCCAGAGGTTTGTACCGAACGATTGTCCCCTTCTTTTTTATATCATAAACCGGACCTGTAAATAAATCGAAGAGAGAGGCCTCCTACGTACTCGAGGATCTTATTTACATCCTGGGTCAAGGATATAGTGGATGGTAATGTTTACCCGTTCAGGAAATATGAATATGGCTCCTCGAGTCGCACTCACGGTTCGCTGTATCGGTATCGTTTATTATCCTCGTATCCTTCCGATGCTACTGCAATAATTATTACAAATTAACAATCATCTTTAGGTAGTAACTACATTTAAATATTAATTTATTACAGCGGATTTACGACTACGTTAACTTGCCTCCTAGGAAGCACTGCCCTTTAAGCCCCAGGACCCGACCCGCGCATTTCTCAATTATTTGTACGATCACGCGGTCGGTCGTCTCTTCTCCCCGTGCGGTCCATTTCGGATCTCTCCCTTCCCGAGAATCGGTGCAAAATGAATACCCAAAGGAAAGCCGTCCCTTCGAGATCGCCTACGCGGAAAATAAAAAAAAATCACTTTAGCAAAACGCTGCCCAGGCAGGGCGTAGAAAAACGAAAAAGGGTGGCCGACGTGGAAAAATCAACATCGCTCTCGCCGCTTATACTCGAGTACTAACTAAAAGGAACCTAAGCGATTACTCGGCGGAAGTAACGGTCGGTACTGCCGCATAAACGAGTCCTTCTCTTAAATAATTACATCTAATGGCCCGTGAACCGTCGAGTCCGAAATATTCGGCGTTACTCTAGACGACGAGAAAAGCCGTATACTATTTTTTACATCGTTCAAAATAACGTAGATGCAACGTCAATTCCCGGTTCACTCGACGTATCGAGGGGAGAAGTATTCTTCGAAAATGGCAAGAAGTGTCAGCAGGACCGGTAAGTCACCGAATCACTCCTATCGTCGAGGAACCCTCGTCTTAAAATCCGCCTTTTAGCCTTTACGAACAAAATGGCGGCAGTCTACCTAAGCGGATATCGGTTCACTTGATTCGGCATTTTAGGCTTTAGCCGTGACGATATGAACACTCGACGAGTTAAAATCGATTCGAACATGGATTCGGCCGACCCGACCACGCGGATTATACGATATTATTCCTGGCGCCTGGACGTCTAGATATTAATACTCCCTTAACGATAAAATTCCGGAAGATGAGGATCGACTTTAAGAGTCGGACGTTCTTCGACCGGAGAAATTCCTTCGCCCGTTTTTGGAAAATTTCGCCGACGAGTACCCCCTTAAGAGCTACCCTATTTTACAGGTGAACGGTTCGGTAGCTATTTATAGCCGCGTTCTAACAAATACGTAAGGTACAATTAAAGGAAACACGTACAAAAAACATTATGAACGTAACTCGGCGAGTCTTATAAAATTCAAAACCGTGTATCGATGCATTTCGCGCGATTACGAGGTTTAACGCTTATCGGTAATACGGAAAAAAGTCCCCCCCCCCCCCCCCAAAAAAAAAAAAGAAGGAAAAGCGAAACGTTTAACCCTAAACATCTTATATCCTTTTTACAGATTTTTCTTTTACGAGTAACGTTATCGCGTTTCCGTAATACTATCGCCGCGAGTGTAACGATATGGCGCGAATTCGCGAAAGGTATATCGATCGGGAGATGAAGGAACAATCGGGGAATCGAATGCGTACAAAGTACTCGCAAGAATAAAAGAAAATTGCATGCCGACGCCGCAGTTATAGATAACGGATCGATACTTCCCCGGGAACCGATAAAGTCTGAGATTCTCGCTCAAGAAAGGGACCCAAGAAATTCATATAAAAATTCATAAAAGTCCAGTAAAACAGTCTCCTCCTCTGAATAAATCCTCCACTCGTGTTCGATTCGTTATTCTCCGTAATTCGGAGTTACACAAGAGAAAGGATTCAATGTATTCCAAGTGTAAAGGTACCCCTAGATTCCTCCGTTCGTCCCTTCGCTCCCTATTCTTTTTCTCATCTCAACGTACCTACATATGTTCATTAGTTAACTTAATTATATATATGTATAATCTTGAAATATTGTCACCACTTTGCCGCCTCCGTTATCCGCGTGACAATAATACTCGACAGCGTTCGTCGTGCGCGCGATCACCGGCCGATTGCAATTTTGAGATTATCTTGAAGGTGTATGCAAATATCCTAAATATCCAATATGTAGAAAACGCTGCTTTAAAACCAGGCTCGAGGGCGTGGAGGAACCAACGATACCCAGGAATGAACTTTCCATTAAACGTAACGAGAGAGCTCGTGTATTCCTCGTTATAATTAATGTAGCGTGCATACACCTGCATATTAACATCAAGATCGCAACAAACCCCAAAACGTCGGCCCACTAAGGGCAACCTCGAGAGGGCCGCGTCCTAACCGACGTCCTCGAAGTTCTCGAAGACCAGAGAGAGAGGTGAGATTCAACACCACTCGATGCCTCGTCCAGAACGACGAAGCGAGTTTTCTACATAGACTCGAAACAGCATTCCTCCTGCTTCGATCGTAGACCAGTCCTCCGGAGTCTGGATCGACCTGGGCCCCCTCTGGGTCTGGTGGTGCCTAAGCGTCGGAATCTATCAAAGGAACTTACGTGCATAGTTTAGAACATCCCCTCGCCCATACGTTAGTCGGACTTCCCCTGGGAACGAAGTCTCGACCGATGGCAGTGGTGAACCAGAAGAGTCGACGGAACGTCTCCTTCGAGTCATGGACGCCCCCGATGGTGCAGGGTACGGTGTTCGGTTCGCGTCCATTTGCGTTTCAGAGCCTGGGACTGGGCAGCCTCTTCCTCGAGGCGAGGCGACAGCTCCGAGGTCTCTACGAGGGCCGGCGCGTTGGTTTCAGTAAATCTTGGGCGCGGAACGGTCGTTGATTGGCCCGCTGGTCTTGCGCAAGGAGGTGCCTCTTCGAATCTGGTCCATCAGGGAATCCCTGACCTGGAGGGGATCGACCACGGGCACCCGGTTGCCCATGATGCGCCTGACACTGGCGGATCTGGTGCTGCCGGTGTTAGGGGACTGCTGCACGATGGGCGCACCTTGCTGTTGCTGCTGAGCGAACTTGGCGTTGAGAGTGTCGAGGAAACTGGAGGTCAGCTTGGAATTCTTCTGCAAGTCGACGGAATGTTTTCGCTGGGACTTGGGGCTAGCAGGGGGTGCGTTGGCGCTGCTGGTGGTGCTGATCAGCTTGGCACTGAGCACCGCCATGAAGCTCTGGCCGACGCCCCCGGGGCCCTGGCCCTGTGCAGCGACGGGGCCGCAGGACAGTGTCGTGGTACCGGCCGGGGTTGCGACCGGAGCCCCCGGGACGACGGCGCCGTGACTACGATCCTGAGAGCTGGACCGTTTCGTGGAGCCAGTGCGTTCGAAGGTGCAGCGCGTTATCTGAACCACGGTGTTGTGCTGCACCGTCGCCGGGGGGTTGTTGAGCTGCTGCATGCCGGTCGACTTCCGCAGAAGCGAGGGGCTTGCCGGGGTATGCCGCAGCTCCGTCAGCGTCCTGACCGTCTCGGACACGGAGATCGACCTGCGAATAGGGAATCGTTGCATCGACTACGTTACCGCCGAGGAGAGCAGATTCCGTAAGAAGAGGCTCAAACATCGTCCCCCCTCGCTGCAACGTACCGTTGAGGCGTAGGACTCGCAGCGGGCGAGGACCCCTCCAGGAGGAAAGCCGGCGGCGGTGGAAGGTTCTCCGCCTCGTCGCAGACGTTCTCCGCGTGCTCCTCGGCGGAATTCGAGAGCGCGCTACCACCATGGGTGCTGCCGATTATGGCCGAGGTTCGCCTCGTCGGAGGTGGAGGTCGGCTCGCCTGCTGCATGGACCCCCTACGAGACAAGAGCGATGACGGGGTGTTCCAGTTCGTATCGTTTTGATTGTGCGTCGACTGGGAATGAGGAAGGGTCGTCTGGCTCCCGTACCCGCTGCTCGACTCCAAGCTGGACTCCGAAGTCTGGCTGCTGCCATCCTTCTCGGTTCCGTCAGTCTACGGCGTGACAGAAGATGCATGAACAAACCCTGGATATACCGAGGTAAACGGCGTTTCTAAAAAACCCAGGGGTCCATTCCTTACCTTCTCACCAGCGGCTGGGCCAGCTGCAGCCGGAGGCGGTGGAGGAAGCATCTCCTGGGCGCGACTCGCGGCCAGACTGGCCAGTTCGTGCATGTTCACGTACATGGGCTGCTGCAGCTGGTGGCTGGCCAGCTCTTTCGCCAGGTGGGCTGGAAGAGGAAGCTTCGGCTTCCCTCGAGGACTCCCCGGCGGTTCGCTCTTCGTCGGCACCGTGGGCCTCTCCAAGCTGGAGCATCTGCTGGGAATCGGAGGCCTATTGGCGCCGTTGTTTCGACGCAGTTGGACGCGACTCAGCTGCTGATTCGCGGAGGAACAGGAGCTGGAGACCGGGGAAGCCGGTTGGCTCTGGCAGCAGCCGCTCGTTTCGCGGTCCAGGGCTTGGAAGGTGTAAACGCTGAGAGCTGGTCTCTGGTGGCCCTTCTCGTACGCTGAGGAACAGCCCGAATTACATACGTAAACTGCTGTGCGATCCTGCGCTTCCTCCCGACGGACGCCATCTCAACCAGACGATGATCCTTACCCGAGGAAATCGTGTGAGGCCTCTCGTTCACCGTGCCCTGGTTCTGTTTCTCGAACTGCACCGAGGTCTCTTGAAGATCCGGCCAGGTGAAGGTCGTCACCGGCCTCATGGTCGCGCACCCGGTGCTCTGGTTGCTCTGCGAGGATGCGTTCGACACCTGCAACGAATCGAGCAGCCCGAGGGTCTAATTTTTTACGTCGTCCCATATCGTAGACTAAGTGCTCTACGAGGAGTAGGAGAATGTAACCGGGAGATCGAGACCAAAAAGTGGCATGCTTCTTAAGCGGAATACGTAGAGACGTTACCTGATGCTCGGAAATAGGTTGTGCGTACAGTGTATCCTGAGAAGTGAAGCCAGAGTCGCGAGAGCTGCCGGTGGCGAAGTGACGGAGGGTTCCTATACCGCCGATGCTGGAGGGTCTGATGCCAACAGGCTACAAAGGAGGCACAACATCGAGCTACCAACATTCTCTAGGCTAACGGTTACGCAGCGCCTCGACATATATCCTGCCAGGGTCTACCAGCGGCTACCAAGATCCACAACGCGGGGGACACGATACGAGAAATAAGCGACCGCTACGATAATGCAGGCGGGCCTTAACGCAACGATCGGCCTCTCAACTACGTGTCATGCCACGGATCATGGGACCACGATCCGGCGTTGCACAGCGAGCACAGAGATCAAATTAAAAGGGAGAATATGAAATATACAAAGAGGAAAAAAAAAAAAAAAGAAAATAAACAGGAACGAGCCAACGGAAAGGGAACATGTAATCAACGTAACGAGCCTTTTAATTAGGGTGACGTCGATGCCACGTGTCGAGGAATACCTGAGAGAGGGACCGGTGCCAAGGGTGGCCCGAAGGACTTGGGTGGCTCTTGCAGGACCCGCTGCTGCTGCTCGTCAGCGAGCTGATCGAGCACATCGAGCTCTTCCTGGAGCCTAGAGATAAGGATGGACTGGACGGAGGCGTGGCCAGGGACCACTGGACAGGGTCGCAGCCTTTAATGTCGGTGATCACCTGTTCGGATGCCGGAGGCAGGTGGTGAGGAGAGGCCGCGTGCCTCTGCAGTTGATCGGAGACCTCCTGGAGATGCGTCAACTCCATCAGCATCGCTATCTCCTCGTCCTGAAGATCGAACCTTGAATTACGATCGACTACATGGAAGAGTGTCGGCCGTAAAGGGTTTATACTGACGAGAACTGGCTTCAGAAATCTGGCCAGTTGACAGAATCTGCCTCGCTCCTCCAGGAGAGCCGCTCGCACGGCTTTCCTCTCCGTCTCTTCCAAACTGAGACGTTTCTCTTGAACCACTGCGGCGGATGATTCGAGCAATTTGTTAAGTTCGGCGTCGGTAGCACAGCTGATGTTACCCTGCAGTTGGCCATGCAGCGGCCCATGCATCTGGGACTGGCCCTTCCGTGCTTTCTTCTTCTGGAGTCTCAAGGTGTCCGTTGAACGTTTCTTCAATTCCGCCCTGGCCTTTTTGTACTCTGGAAATGGCAATTAAGGCTGATGATTTATCCCTCGCCTTCGTTAGTTCAATTCCTTATAAACGTACCAACCTTTAGCGTGCTCCTTGTCCAGATTTATTAGAGACTTCTTCCAGTCTTCCAACTTCTCTTGCAGAGGCATTACCAGGCAATCCATGATAGCGCTGTTTAAAATGTAGATCGATCAATCGTTGAGAATTACGAAGTTGGTCCTTTAAGTAATATTTTACTGTTATCCTCGAGCTTGGGTTGCGACTTACCTGGTGAACGATTTCATACGCGTTTCCACTGCTTTGTGACGAAGGCATATCCTCGTTAGGGCCGTTCCGATCTCCTTCGTTGCTCCTTAATTAAATATCATGCATTATTCATTACATTTCGATATCTGCCTCTGACGTAAGAAGCGGTATCTCCAATTTCTACGTCCCAATTGCCAGGAATGACGTTTCTCCTCGTTCTTAACGTTATTATACCGCTTAGTATATTCACAAAATGTGCACAATTAGGGGGAATAAATTTTCAGCCTTGCCGTTTATTCCTTTCTCATCTCGTTGTCGAAACGTATGACATACCACAGATCTCTCGTAGGTGGTTCAGGGGTGGCAACAAGTGGCTTACCGCTGGTGGGATGGAGTGGGATGGAAGATCAATACTATCATTTGGCTAGTGTGTGTAACTAATAAAATGGACGGTAAGAGGGCCGGGGTTCTCGACACCTCAACCCATGCTCTATATATATCTCACTTATATCTTTTCGATCAAAAAACCAATAATATAAGCGCCCTGCCATGCGCGATTAAAACCTCGAGTCGCACTTCTATCGGTAGCCCTTTTGTTTCCAATTAATCGTACTTTAGAGAATTCTCGATAGTCCGATCTAAGGGGGTATAATTATATCTTACTCAAAATGTACATTCCATTCTCTGTAAGGTTTGGTGAAACGAGTTTTTAATAAATACTGTGAATTACCTCTTGCATTGGTTGCCGTGTCCGCAATCTTTTGAAAGGCTTCCAGATATGCCGATATCGCCAGAATCGCCGCTCTGCAAATAATCAGCAAAATTGCACAATGCACTAATGTCGCAAGTAGGCTCGTAGGTGGCACACTCGTATCTTCCATAGGCATAAAGCATCGAGATTAACCTCCGACGAATACATACTTTAGGCACGTGTGTAGTTTAGTGGCTTTTGAAATCAAGTCCTCCCAGAGTGGAGCTCCGTTCTGTAAACGAAAATAGAGTAAATAATAAACCCTTGCGGGATACTACAGATAAGGAGATAAAACAGGCCCAGGTACTTTCTAGGGCGCGTTCAAAGTACGACGCCAGGAAAGGCTTTTACAAACGACCCAAGGAATGTACGTTGAAACACGTGCCAATGGTCGGTGATAAGATAGCCGCGTACGCCTACCGATCCATAGAGTATAGATCCAACTCGAAGCCGAGAGACACGACGGACCGATCGATAAATCTCAAAATGTTCAATGAAACAAGGCATACTTTTTCACATTTAAGCTCGATTATATCCAGATGTAAATTACACGACACAGTGCCTAGATAGAAAATTCTAGACGCGAGAGATATTTTCATGGAGCCCGCGTTACGGGGTCTGGCCCCGAAGCGCTACTTCCCCGTAACGAGAGCACGGGAATCAGGATGCATTCGTTCGTCGTGCTCTGTCTGTGACATCCGCGCGAAAGAGGACAGCCCTCCGGAGGCAGGGGCAGACAGAGAGGGAAGGATAGGGATCCGCGTGCACATAAGAGAGAAGGCATGCGCGGAAGCGGAAGAGGAAGAGCGAGAAAGAGCGAGAGAGGCCGAGAAGCGCCCGCGCGGCGCCGAGAGAGACGCAGATGGTAAACAAGGAAGGCGAAGGCGAACATTTAGGTTGACGTTTACGCACCGTTTACGAGAGCACGACGCGCGAGGTATTCGCGATCTCGAAGCGTCCCTTCGGGTGATGAAACGCGCGAGGGGAGGAATATCACATTTTCGTGGTCTCACCTTCATGTCGGTGATAATCTGTTGGAAGAGTCCGCCCAGGGCGCTGCACTCCCTCTCGATGCTCGCGTCCATTGTCGGCGAGGTTTCCGCCCGTTTTGCGGTTCCGCGAGATCGGACGACTCCTGGGGGTCTCGAGAAGGTTTTCGGACGCTTCGCCCTGTTCGCGGCCAGTCCAGCCCGGTCCTGACTGCGTCTGTGCACGTCCGCGCGAGGGGTACGCGAGTCCCTGCTTACATCGTTCGCGGCCTCGCAGACTCCTCGGTGAAGACGCTCGCCTACTCCTCGGACGATTCCTGGAGTTTCTCGCCGATTACCTCCTCGGGCGGGACACGCGCGACAGGGACGCACACCGAGAAGTGCCGAGAAGTGACGGGACGGCTCTCTATCCGGGCCGCGTCCAGCCGCATCGAACTACGGAACCGACAGATCGCGCTCTCCGTGTGAACGTGCGACACTTCGCGGCGGCCGCCATTTTTACCGCCCCGGCGATTGAGGTTATCCACGGAAGGTAAGAACCCAAAGTTATATACAGGGTATGATAAAACTCGTGAACAACCTCCCGACTCATCTCTGTCTCTGTCTGCTATCACCACTTCGATTCATGGTCGAATGGAAACGCGTCTTTTTTTGGCGGCACTACGAATGTATTTGCCGGTATTTTTCTTCATTTGCGTTCTGAACGGCGTTCAACAATATGGTGCTGAAAACTGATAATCCCGCGGAGTCTTTACTGTCGGAGCCTAACAAAGGACTAGCGCAGACGTTCGAGAGGAAGAGACTTGAGTACAAAGACTCGAGTGCTGTATTTTTTCAGGAATCCGGAGATTTTTCAAAACAGTTCGCGCACGTGTACTCTGTTCGGCTCGCCGAGCTAAGGACGGTTCTTTCAGAACTGGTCTCTGTGAAATGGCGTAAGTTACTTTAATTAATAGCTAATTAAAGGCATGGGAGTGTAAGTTTTGATGTGCAGGATTTTATTTTTTATTACAGAGAAACTTAAAATTACGAGGCTAGCGGATCTGGAAAAATTGGAACACAGGAGATGCATTGTGATCGGCACGTTGTTCAAACATCAGCAATGGAAACCATCGATTTTAAGGGAACTAAGCGATGAACATCAGTTGACTCACCAGGTATCTAGAGAAAATTATTGCTCCGAAGACGATCAAGCTTTCCTCGAGGACGAGATGCTCCGTGTCAAACTAGTGGGAAGTTGCGTCGATATTAAAAATATAATCACCGGTGTAGTTTGCGCAGTGATAGGCCATGAAAAAGAAGATGGCACTTTCCTTGTAAGTTGTACTTTGAGAAACATTTGTGCTTAATCCTGTCAGCAATGAGGTATTTAATAAGGCATTTTTAATAGGTTGAGAATTTCTATTTTCCTGGGCACATACCCAAAAGTCCTGCATCGTACTCTGCTAGTCAAGGAAAATTACTTTTCATCTCTGGGCTGGATATGACTACTGGTGATAACTTACAGCTTAATCTTTTAAACGAATGGATATGCGGCATGATCGGCGATCCTAATTCACAAAACAAGGTGTCATCCATTGTCCGAGTCATTATAGCAGGTACATTTTTTATATCTCATTTCTCATTGTTAGAATGTAAATGTGAATGGATTGATGTACAGTATAGTATGTTTGCAATACAGGAAACAGCGTGAGATCTTCTGCGATGGCTCACCATAGTAAAGGGCACATGGAAGGAAGGGCTCAAGATATCATGTTTGCTAAAGAAGTGTCTGATTCTACGAAGCGATTGGATGAATTTCTTAAAACAATTGTAGAATGTTGTAGCGTTACTCTAATGCCAGGTCAACACGATCCTACCAATGTTATGATACCACAGAGAGTGTTACATCCTTGCCTATTGCCAATAACATCCAGACACAAGAATTTCCGAGGTGGCTCTAATCCATGGATTGGAAAAGTTGGCTCCCGTGTAGTAATGGGATCCAGTGGACAACCGATTAAAGACATCATGAAAGTAAGTGGTGTTACAAGTGTAACTGCTCTGGAATGGCTTGAAAGAACACTCGAATGGAGACATTTATGCCCAACCGCACCAGACACTTTACCTTCGTTTCCTTACTGTGAGAAAGATTCGTTCATAATGAACGTTTCCCCCGATGTGTATTTCATGGGTAATGCAAATAAATTTGAAACAAAATTAGTAACAGGTAAGTGGTATAAACATGGGATGTCAGGAAATAAACCAAGAGTTCATCTCAACGGAATGCACGGTCAGATTAATGTGACATATTTGCATTTGAACTGTTTTAGGAATTGAAAACCAGAAAACCAGGTTGGTGTGCATCCCACGTTTTTATCAGACAAAAACAGTGATTTTAGTAGATATGGAATCCTTGGATGTTCAGCCAATTTCATTTGGTGCTAAATTATAATAGAGTATACTTTTTAATATTTTTCACATGGTAGAATATATTTATGTATTAAAAGTCATGTTGGCAAACATCTATTTACATTAAAAATATTTTTATAAATCATATACGTAATTAAGAAGTATGGTTTTTATAAGTAATAGACTTTATAACTACTAACAGTTTATGTCCCAGTTGATATAGTACATTTCCAGTACATACACTGACATGATAAGTAACGGGGAAGGTCAGAAATAAATCCAATTAATATGTTTCTTCTTTGAGAAGCCTGTATTACGATGTTGATGACACTATTCGATGTACAAATACTAGTTCATCCAATATTCAAGTTGCATTTTAATAAGTAGCATAGATATTGGGGTTCATAGCAGACCCTCCATTTCTTGCATAAACTGCATGTATGCGTCATCCTTAGTTTTAGGTTGCGTAGTTCTAACAGGTTGAGCCTCTGGTAACCTCTCTGGCAATCTGGGCATTATACTAGGTTTCTTCTTTTCATCACGTTTTACACGAAGCGACGTTGGTAAAAATCTCGTCACATCAGCTGCGAGATTTCTAATTTGAGGCTTTGCCTCTATGGTTGTCGTGCTCTTGCCATCTTTGTCTTTCCTGTTAATAAGTTGTGGTGCAGCGGACAAAACATTGGGAGTTTTTGACTGAGAATTTAGTATTGATTGTGCTTGCAACTGCGCAGCTGCCATTGTTGGGAGACCTGTCAAGTTTGGCATCTGCATAGGAGAAGGTGGCATCCGTGGCATGTTCGGAGGTCCAGGTCTCAACATGCGTGGCATTCCAGGTGGTGGACCTGATGAAACAAAGCAAAGCAGTTAAGAATAATTGTGTAATTAATATAGTAGCAGATATCAAGAAATCCATTCCATGTACACAAATTAAATTACCTGGTGGCAGTCTAAGACCGATGCGCGGTGGTGGAGGCGGTGGCATCCTTAGATGCATAGGTGGTGGCGGAGGTCGATAAAGGAGAGGTGGTGGTGGGAGCCCCATGGGAGGTAACGAATGCTGTTGCTGATGTTGATGAGGTAGGGACGAGCCCAGTTGTTCGTGAACTGCCGAATGATCCGAAGCTCCTGGAGGTTCTAAATCGTCATCTTCGGACTTTCCACTGATTTTATTATTAGATTTTGTTTCTGATTCCGCTTCCAATAACGATAGTCTTGCATTAAGATCTTGAGCCCGCTCTGTTTCTCGTTTTTTATGAACAACCTCCATTTCCCTCATAAACTGATCGATGTCCTGACCAGCCATTGCTAACATTTTTTGTTGCAACGTCGTAGGTTTCACTTTGGACATTTCCCTTTCTTTCTCTCTATCTTTTTCGTCCTTATCTTTGTTTTCAGCTTCTTGCTTGTCATCCTTGTCGTCCGCAAAGCGTATTGTTCGTGATTTTTGTGCCGGCTCTTTTACCTTTAAAAAAAAAATGTACATATATAGCGAATCTAATCGTAGATAGTTTACGTATCATTTTTAGAATACCTTCTCGTTCACATCTTCATCTTCGCTGGATAAATCTGGTGGTGGAAAGGGTGGAACTCCTGGAGGTTCCTTATTTGGTGCTATCGTTGGTACGCTTGGTGACGTACCGTAGGCACTAGTCTTTTTTAATATACTGGGTGGTATAGGTATATTCATAAGAGGATGATGCTGAGGTATATAATGTGGGTGAGGTGGATATAAATGTGTCGGTGGTTGTGGCATCTCAGGTAATGGAATTTGCGATGTTAAAGAACCTGTGTAATACCGATATCGAAAGAATAAGAAATGTATCACCTTGTTTGATTCCTATCTGTCTGTGGATAATAAAAATTGTAATTTACCTGTATACATTCTCGACACATCATTGGCAGCAGATGGCAAAGGGATTTCATCAACCTGTACTTGCTGAGCATGTCGTACAGCTTCAAAGTATGTTACTAAATCTATTCTCCTTCGTTCGTACTGAATCAGTTGCTCCTTCAGTTCGACCCACTTCTCTTGGTCATCCTTTGCCTAATGGTAAATACCATATCATAATTCAAATGAATGGACACGAATGAATATTTATGCACGACCTTACTGACCCTATAAATGTATTAAGGCTAAAAAAATGGATTCATACTCACATACATTTTTAAAACACGATCTAATGTTTCTTTTAGCTTTTTTCTTTTATCCTTCAATACTTTTTCATTTAGCGGTGGTGGCTGCATTACATTATACTCTGGAATATAGTTACTGTGCTATATTAACTTTTTTAAAATAGAATGTCAAAAACAGAAACTGGTGATTAAACAAACCCATTTGATCGATCTTTTCCATTTCCTCGATAATCTGTGTAGGGTCTTTCCCCTTTAACACAGCAGCTCGAACCAACTGCCTCTGCTTCTTGTTCTTTTTTAATTCCTTCTTACGTGCTTCCTTCCCTATTTAAAGAATTAAAGAAAAATTCAATCATAAAAAGAAACCATTCAAATAGAGTCATATAATTTCCAAAATACAAGAAAAATAACGTCGTTTTCGAAACCAGGTTATGTAGCACGAAACTCACGAGCTTGATCCGTAGGATTCATATATTTCCCACTTTTCGTGGTGTTAATCGATCGGCGACCCATCTTTTTCAAATTCTTAAGAACAAACGACAAAGCTAATCACGAGACTTGACTGATCCTGAATTCCAGAATGAATCCCTTGATATTCAAATCCTACATCAATATGGTGTCAGAAATCACCACGATTTAGTAGCTTGCATAGACGCATGGACACAGCACGAATATCGGACCGTGACAGGTCCCATGTGCGCCTCTACGTGGAATTTTCTCGAAGTCTATGAAATTGAGGTTTTTGACGCTTTGCGAATGCATTGAACCCATCTACGATGGAATTTTCTTCGGCCTGCTCCATTGGCGGAGCCGGCACGGGTGCGCGCGCAACCACCCAATTTCCTCCATCATGGCTGCCATCATGGCGCAGAACGAGTCTCGGTCTGGCTTCTCGGGTGCGTTAACCGCGAAGATGTCGAATCGTTTCGGTGCGAGACACGTGTAATTCGAGGTGCATCATCGCGGCTCGAGTCCCAGCACACGGGCGCATGCCAGAAGCGGTGAGTGTCGGCGAATTGTTCGTGGAAACGCGCGCGAAACCGCCCGTGGCGCCGACACGCGCCCAGCCCACGGCCTCCGGTGACCGCGCGGCGACCCGCCAACCCAAGGATTCACCGAGGATCGATAAGGAGGCGCTGTGACCCACCGGATCTCCAAAGATCGCCAAAGATCGCCGTTCGATCGTCTCCTGGACCGATCGCGCACTGCACGAGACGAAGGTAAACAACGCAAGGCCCTCCAAAGTGTCTCCCGCGTGTTCGCCCTTCCCCGAGCCGTGCTTTTATTTAAGCGATCGTTGCAGGAACGACGGGGTGGACGGCATATCTGGAGTCCCAGCGACGTCGAGTCTGCAAGGATCGTTTAAATTTAGTCTTACTGATTGGAGGGTGTTTCTTGTAGGTTGCATTCAGGACAATGTCTGGAAGTTGCCACCTGGCGCCCTCCACTAGAGCGTATGTCTCAAAATGTTTTCGTTTATCGACTAGATCGAGTAGTCAAATGCCTTCCAAGTTCTCCGAGTTGCCTTTTTGTTTGCGAGAGTACTGGGAAAAATGTGAGGGTAAGCGGTATTGGAAGTTTTAACCGATCGCTAATCCTACTCGGATTGGTTCGCCGTATTTCGTTTGATTTATTGGAGCGTATTTCTTGTAGGTTACATCCGGCACAATGCTCGGATATCGTCGCCAGACACCTTCTGTCGTGGCACGCAACTGTAAATGTTTACGTTTATGGAATATATTGAATAATCAGACTGCTCCAGTTTCCTGAAGCACCTTTTTGTCTACCTTGAATAATTTAAGGGTGAGCAGTGTTTAGATTTCCAAAGGGTGGTGAAACCTTAATTTTTGAATAATTTTTGGCGATAATATTTTAAACGGTACCTGAAAGGTTTCTGTCTTAAAATCCTTGTCAGATTAAGAAGTATTGAGTTTTTCCACTTGTAGAAATGTTCAGAAAGTGTTTATCCTCGTACCACAATTAAAATCACATCTTTCCTAGTAGTTTCACGTATCTGGCATAAAAGATCTGTTTGCTGATAATTTTATTTAAAGTAGCAAAATTAAGTGGATTAAGATTTACCATTTTTAAACTCTTATGCAAGTGGTCTATGTAAACAAATGTTTGATACAGCAATGTAGATTTAAACATTAAAAGACTTAAAATGCACGGTAATGTTGAGTCATTGCGGCACCTAAATGATGTGATTTTTTCAGGGACGGTTTGCTGAATTAATATTGTGAACGCTTAGGACAGTAATGCCTGCAGTAAGCATTCGTGATCCAGTGGCGGCAGCGCTCCGCCATTCTTTGGAGTCTGGTCAATCCGAAACATCGGATGACCTGTCAATCTCCTTAGCAGGGGGTGCCACGCGTATACTGCAAACCGAAATTGAATACGAGGAGACTCCTGGCTATCGGTCGAGCGTACTCGACCGACTCAAAGCAAAATATATCGTAGTGAGTCTACCCCACGCAGAACGTTCCGATAGTACTAAAGCAAAGGACGCTAGTAATCTTCAAAAGTGCGAGGTAAAAGAGATGGGACCTAGTCTGCCAGAGCCATCGGTTACGCTCTATCCTGCCAACAAGGTCAATCTAGGTTGGAAGGGTACGTTTCCAGTTGGTGCTGGTATGTATAACGTAGGTAACACCTGTTACCTTAATAGCACCCTGCAGGCACTGTTCCATGTTCCGGCTTTAGTCAATTGGTTGCTGTCTGATACGCATCACACCTCAAAATGTGAACAGAATGGTAAGACTTACTGAATTTTTTGTAATGTAATAAAAGCGAAGTTCTAAAAAAAAAAAAAAAGTTAGACAATACAAAAGCGGAATTTATTTCTTACTGTTTTTTCTTCAAATTCTTTCCAGACGGCGGAGGAGAGTGCCTTACATGTGCAGTGGCGAAGACTCTGCAGTTCAGTCATCAGAAGTCAGGAGGGGCCATCAAACCCTTTTACATTTATAACAAACTGAAACGTGAGTTTCATTTCATCTTTTATTACTTATTTGCTCTAGTAAGCATCCGGAAAAAGGAGAAACGAGTCCAATAATAACAAAAGTATTTTTTCAGTGATTTGCAGAACGATGGTGCCAGGGCAGCAAGAAGATGCGCACGAATTTCTACGCTATTTACTCGAAGGAATGGAAAGGGCGTATTTAGTTAGACATAAAGCAATTAAACTCGATAATTATTCCAAGGAAACCACACCGGTGAATCAAATATTTGGAGGTTACATACGTACCGAAGTGAAATGCCTACAGTGTCGACATGTCTCGACAACTTTTCAGCACTTCCAGGTATCAGGTTTTTTTCACTACCTTGTATCATTGTTAACGAATGAGTCAAAGAAAATTCTTACGCGAATTATTTAACGACGTTAGGATCTACTGGTGGACATTCGGAAAGCAAGTACTTTAGACGAAGCACTGACCGGTTACTTCAGCAATGAACAGTTAGACAACAACGACTATAAGTGCGAGGCGTGCAAACGGAGAGTGCCAGCAACGAAGCAGTTCAGTTTGGAGCGCCCACCGAAAGTGCTTTGCGTACAGCTGAAGAGATTCAGTGTCCTGGGCGGGAAGATCTCGCGACATATCGATTTCAAGCAGACCGTAGACATGGGACCGTACCTCTGGAAGGAGCCAGGTGAACCTCCGAGAACGTTGACCTACAAACTCATGTCAATAGTCACGCATATGGGTCCTTCGGTCAACTGTGGACATTACACCGCTGTTGCTCAGGTCTCCTCTGGACAGTACTACTCTTTCGACGATTCTTGCGTGAGTAGCATATAACCAAGAGAAAAGGGAAACGTCATTCTCCCCCTATGTATTTAAATAATAAAAAATGATCGGCGATATTTAAATATCGTGTTTCACAGGTTCGACCGATAACCATAAGCAACGTGCTCAACACGAACGCGTACATAATGATCTTCGAGATGGAGTCGCAGGCGCAGAATCAACTCCAGGGGAAACAGTCGGTCAAGATGAACGGCGCGGTGATCAAGGCGACTTCGCCGCAAGCCAACGGGGTGAACAAGGCGATCGCGTCGAAGCCGTCGACCTCGGGGGTGGCGGTCTTGAACGGAGTGACAAACGGCAACGCCAAGAGCAGAGAGAGCTCGGAGGACCCGGCGACCGGGTCCCAATCGGCGGCACACAAGAGCCCCGGGGTCCAGCTTCCCGCCCAGAACACCAGCTTCATCGGGCCCCAATTGCCACCAAAGTCGGTCGAGAAGCCTCAGCCTAGGTTGGTAATGCACATAAAAAATGGCAAGGTGTTAAACGGCAACAGTCTGGTGCCATACGACGGCTCGAGCGAAGAGGAGGGCGAGAGCGCGTCGAGCAAGACCTCCGTTGTTGCCGGCGTCGTCTTGCCGAAAACCGCTCCTTCGAGTGCCGCCAACGTTGGCGCGCCAAGGTCCGCCCTCGGTGCGAGGGAAGTCTCCCCGAAATTATTCCCCAGCGCGAAAGACACGTCGAGGCCGGCGAAGCTCGCCGGGAACGGCGTTGTCAATTCGAGCCTGAAACCCAATCTGAATGGCATTCTGCAATGTACAAAGACTCACAACGGAAACACTAACGACAATTCTCTTAGCCCCCTGAAACACCAAAATGGAAAGTCCGAGAGCAACGGGAAGGCGGAGGTTAGTCTTAAGGAAAAGTGGCACCATCCGGTCCGGGTCAAGACGGGACAGGACGAGAAGGTCGTCACCAAAGCGGCGAGCAGCATCAAGGGGTGGCAGGTCTCCAAAGACACGCCCTCGCCGACGTCGACGACCACTCCCAATGGATGGTCCGTCACCGACAACAAGTGAGTCGCACTTCTCCACCTCATCTCGGATATGTATTTCCGCTTGCTTCCTTGCCCGAAATATCCGATTCCCTTTCCAGCTCCGCCAAGGAAGATGCCGCCAAGCTGTCCAATCATGCCGCCACTCTGAGCGTCGCGGCCCCCAGGAACTTCAACGGGACTAATCGTTCCGACACCGTCTCGCATCTGCTCAAAATGTCTCATCGGGGCTACGGAAGCTCCTCGGGTCAGTACTGCAAAAAATCGACACGGAATACCCTGCCGATCCTTGCCTTCTCGAAACCTCCTACGATCGATCCCTCCAAGTCACGGCCAAGACAAATGCCCCCACCGGGTGCGAGCAAAAGAATTGCCCCGAGATCCTTGGCGTCTCGTCGACTCGAGTTTGGACCAATGTACAGCCCGCAGATCGTTCTCCACGGAAGCGGAATTATCTCGAAAATTAGCGGCGGCCCGGACATCGGTCCGAAATCCTCGTCGCGCGTCTCGAAAAACGAAGTCTTGGCGTAGAGAAATCAATTCCTTATCGCTAGTAACCCCTCGGAAGTCTTTGCATGCCTACGTCTGTTGGCTCGGTTCCAATTGAGGTAATGTCTCTTTTTTTATTTATCTCGTCCGAGAATGGATTTTCGTTCGCGCTACGAACTGCAATTCAAAGAATTCCAGCGTCTCTGGTCTCACGTTCCTCTTTTCCACAGTCCGGGTGATTTTGATAAATGTTACCTCTATGCGATGAAATATAGAACCTCGATGTTGTACGTGTCGTTTTGATTCTAGCGTAAGAAGCGACACTATTTTTTTGGAACGCGTTTCTTTTAACGTTTCAGTCGTTAGCTGGAACGGTGGGAGGACTCACATGGAGAGGGAAGTGGACAACGAGCGAAGGGACGAGCGGAAGAGGCACTTCGACCCCGAGGACGAGGAGCTAGACCGAGGTCGGCTGAAGAAGGTCCGGATGCACCGGGTATACGAGGGCAGGTCGAACCCCGACTACAACCCCTTCCAGGAGTACCAGAACGGGAAAAGTTGGAATCGTCCGCTCAGCGGGTACCACGGCCCTCGGAGATACTACTACAACACTTCCTCGACTCATCCGCGACAGCGGCACGGCAATAACAATTACAGGACGTCCCAGTATAGGTACCACGGTCACCCTCGCGGCCAATGGCAGCGCAGGTAGAAGAGCCTCGGAGAGGTTCCTCGACGTTCACCTCGGAGCGCGAAGGCCCCCCTGTACATTGCGACCGGTCTTCGGGTCCGTTGGAACGCCAGGAAAGACTTGACCGTCGAAGACGAACCGAGATATCGTGTCTGTGCTCGCCTCCGTTATGTCAATGATAAGCGACTCGTTCGTTGCATTTCGATTTTACCTCGAATGTTCCTCAGAAAGACTGTTGGCTCGCTTCGCCTCTGCCTACTAGTCCTTCATTTCGTGGCTCTGTAAGACGTCTCCCCGAAGGCGGACCGTTGTCCTGTAACTTTGCGCCGAATTTTATCAGAAGGGAATCGAAGGTTCACGAGGGGCCGTACCTTAAAAAGTATTCTACACGGCAGGGGACGCCATTTCCCGATTTCCCTCAACTTTCGTTCGGTTTTCACGATGTTCCTCGGATTTTCCGCTGGATAACTGCCACGAATTTCAGGTGCGACCACTTTAACGACAATGTCGGGACTTTGGCTCCGAGTTTAGAAGCGCGGGAGGAAATACCGACGTCTCGGATTTGAGGTCTCCGTGGTGGCGTATCGACGATGCCAAGGCAATCCGTCCTCCGTCTGCTCGTTCCTGGACGGAAGTAACGATAAGGACTTTGAGAGAGAGAGAGAGAGAGAGAGAAAAAGAAAAGGCTGGTTGCAGGGCAGCGTCTTCGACGAGTACTTCAGAACTTTCCAAGAGATATATTCAGACCTCGGCTCTATATATATATATTGTATATCGAGCTTCTGTAAAATACCAAGCCAGAGCGACTAGGCACTTCTAGCGATTTGCTTTTTAAACCTGTTCTACGAGTGCAAATCCTCCGTGCAAAGTTGTGTCCCCGCTTTTTTCGATGATCCTCCAAATGACGTTTCGGGTTTCGAATTCCGCGGTCGGTGGGTGACCACCCGCAAGATGGACGGTAAGGGGCGGTTAAGTGCGTAGGCTAATCGGTAAATAAATTGTAAAATATACATAGATCTAGGGTCGATTAGTTCATTTAGAGCGTAGATGATAAGGGCTACTTACTCGAAGTCGAAGAGCCGCGTCGATCGAGCTCGATTATGGGAGCCGATTTCGAACGGGGAACGAGGCTCAAGTATTTTCATTTTCAAGCCGCGCTCTGACCTCGCGATACCTCGTTATGTCACGTTATGGGTTAATACTAGCCAAAAAAAAGCAGTTATAATTAAATACCGATAATGTAACGAATAAGTAATAATAACGCTCATAAACTTGATCGGCCGGAGAATCCTTCTTTCGATGCTCGCGCTGACCGTTCAATCGTTTTTTTGTCGTCTTCTGTTTCTTTCCGAGTAACATGGCCTCTTCTCTAGATCTAGTTCTTCGGGAGGAAAACTTGGCTGGTTTTGCGATTTCCATGCCGAAGTCCAACCGGGTTTCGACGTTCGGTCATCTCGTGGAGGTGTTGGAAAGAAACGTAAGCTTTGATCGATGTACTGCTGAGAATCTCAGGTTTCTTTTTTTTAACTTATACGGAACGTTTGATCCGTCGGAAAAATCCGTAAGCGGTATAAATTGTATTTTGAATGATTTTTCTTTTAACCACCAGGCTGTGATTCTTCAACTGGAGGCACATCATGGCGTCAAGATCAGCTCGGAATTGGATAACAAGTTGGAATGGTTTGCACAAATGTCCGGTGGTTTGTTGGGCAAGTTGCAGTCATTATATTACCTTGCGGAGGTTCAGGAAAACGCCACCGAGGTCAAGGAATTTGCTAGTCGAGTCTCGACGGCTTGGACTCGGGTGAACGATCGGGTAAACCTCGAGAAAACTCTTTTCCTCGGACATGATTCAATAACGACGATTTTCAGGTCCTCGGAAATCTCTCGAAAATTCGAGTCGCCAGTCGCACCGTGCCGGGGACGCCGCTTTCCTCGGTTTTGGAAAAAATCCGGAAAGAGGCCAACGCTGCCAAGATTTCTCTTCGGATAGGAGAAGTAATGTACACGAAGGAATACATCCAAAGAGGATTTTCGGCGTATGAGAAGATTATCGGACTCCTTCGTGATCTGGAAAAGTGCGACGATAAGGTACGCTTTGGTGATGGAGCATTGTCTCTTGAACGATACCGTATTTTTAATATCTTTGAACCATTTCAAAGGTTCAAGAATATTTAGCCGTTTGCAAGATGGTACCGTACATTCAGAAATTGGAGTCCGAGGTTGACAAGTTCGTCGAAAGCTCGAAACTCGCGCCGAAAACGGAGAGGGTGCTTCCAGTTCTCGATGTCTTCGTCCTGGTCAGTAAGCTTCTCACCGGGGAACTTCTGGATCAAGATCCCATTGATCCTCGTCAAGTTTTATCCGCGAACGTCCCTAAAAAGCCGATATTCATTACGAAGAACAATAAACGGAAATCGAGTGCGCATCGATTAGTGCATCCGATAAAAGTTTCAAGTTCTTCGGTGCCTTCGTTGTTTAATGCGTCCAGTAAGTATTACTGATCCGTAGTGGCGAAAAATTGGGTAATCGTGGCGGTCGCGGGTGATTTGAAACAAATATGGTGAAACCGAGTATTGCAGCTGGGTTCGGGTGGAATGTTTTAGTTAATAGGGACGAAACTTGTAAAGCGGCGTGATTAAAAAGTCGTGCTAACGGAGAAATAATAGTATCTTTTATTTTCCTGTAGGCGGTTTGGTTTTCGCCGTTACATCGATTGACGGAGCTCGGAACAACGCTCTTCCTACAGTCGAAAGAAGGACCGTCCAATGTGGATGCGGTACGTACGTAACTTACATTTAACCACAATAATTTACAATGTACAAATGCGTGGAACTCTACTTAACGGTAGAGAACGTCGATCTTACCTAATTGCCACATAGTGAGGAGATAGAGCGAAAATCCTAAAAATCTATAAGGTTCTGGAAAGGGTGTAGTTAAATTTTTCGCGGTATACCCATGCCAGATAAAACCCTCGATAAGACGGGCTATCGCTGACACGAACCGTACGGCAAATGCGAAATGAATAAAATGCGTAGCGTGTCTTTTCGGGTCGCCAGCCCGAGGAGGAAACATCCCGCGGTAATTATTTTGTGGAAAATCCTGTCGCCTCCTCGAGCAACAGGGAACACACCGGAAGAATTATAAATCCGCCGATCGGAGCGACTTGGTTCGCCAGGGAATGAAATGCTGGGGACGTGATTTCGATTTTAGAAACACCTTATGTCGTTTCCTAGTCCCGAGAAGGTCCTACATGTACGCACTTGTAGATATCCTCTTGAATGTCAGAGAATATCCGTGGACTAGATTAAAGTATACCCTCCAGGTCCGGTAAGGCTGTGGGCGGAGCGAGGCGTAAGGACAGATCCTTATTGCGTAAGACGGAACGGGGAAATGTCGGTTTCTTTTCCTGAGGAAAGAAAAAGAGAGGCAAGCGTAAACGTTAGGAAGAACGTGCGATCGAAGGGAAAGGTGAGGTTTAGTCACAGACCCCATAATTAAACCTCACCGGTGGCCTACAATTCGCGGGAATGGAGTTTGTTGCAGGCGGTGCCCAGCCTTTCGTGTTCAAGCATTTGTAGCAGAGTTTCGGCTCGCTGAGACATTCCACGTGATAACCATGACCGCAGCCAAATATCACCGTATAGTCCGTGCACTGGGACAGCAATTGTCGACAGATAGGACAGATCAGGGACACGGTGGAGGTGCCTCTTCCAGCCTCCCTAAAAAATTCATCTATATTGAAATCCAAGCATAGAAATGCACGCAGGGGTAACGCCCGAAGACGCAATTACCTCAGCGACTTCTTCAAGGCTTCGTGTAGCTCCAAGCTCACCAGTCTCGACGTCGTCTCTACCAAGGTCTGTTCATAATGGGAATGCGTGAGCACTCCTGCAAGCAACTGCCTTATATCCCCGATTGTACCGCTGGTTGCCAAGGGGTGCTTCAAGATCTGCTCCAAAACGGTCGAGAGAGCGGTGGTTCCACCCAGAGCTTCCAAAACTATCCTCAGCAATCTTCCTCTCAGCTTCTCGACTGCAAAACGAGCGCAATTAATTCTCACGAGATTCGTATAGACCGGCAGCCTTCTACTCACCTTTCTGGTTATCGTTATCCGCCGAAGGACGAAGGACCGCCTCTACGAGCGGCATCCAGTCCAGCGCCCCGGCTGATCTTCTACACAGACTTGCCAGTTGCATCGTTCCACGAATGGCTTCTTCCTCCGACGTCGCTCCTTGGCAACACTATAAAAAAATATATCTTCGTTATTTTAATACAACCAACGGTGACGTAGGAAGCTTGGAAAATATCGTCCCTACGAACAATGAGGAATGTAACCTGAGCTCCCATGATTCCGCTTACCATTTCAAAGCAGTTTCGGAGTCTTTTTAGCAATAAATCGAAGGCTTCCTGGTAGTTACCGAGTTTCTCGAGCATTGCCGCCTCGGCATCTTCGCACTTGGATTCTTGCACTATCCTCAGAGCCTCGTCTAATCGGCAGCCGTGGGGACCGTGCAAGTGACCGACTACCTGCACCAGGTACAAACCAATTGAGTATCTTCGGCTCTCCAGTCGATTAACTGCCGCTTTACTCACATTTTCCGGTTCGTATCGACACATCAACATAAGGTATCGCTCCAAGAGGTCCGTCGGCAACTCCAGCTTGACATCGTCCTCCTTGTAGCGAACCATGTGGTACAGAGCGGCCAGAAACGCGTGCTCCAGTCTGGAATCGCTTTCCAGTCTTTCCAGGACGTTTCGCATTTTATTTGGCATACGTGACGCGACTAGGGTTGCCAATTGGCAGGAGTCTATGGCAACTAGGTCGACACAGTGCTCCATCATGACAGTCTGAAAAGATATCGTGGGGAGTCTCTCCAACCATGGCCAGACCTCGAGGTGCCTCGAGGGGTCCGCTATCAGGCATCGGCACACCGATGTCCAGTCTTCTCTGGCGTTATGCAGGTACTCTGCCACTCGCAGGCTGCAAGGTTAAGCGCTACGATAGAAAGAATTATTTATACTAGTGGCATGTAGAATTAAACGAGCGGTCTTAAACATATTGCGAGAATCCACGCTGCTCGGCTTTGCGGCCGATGGATGCTTGAATTATGAAAAGAAATTATCGTCGTTTCGGGTCACGACGTCGCGACGACCATCCCGACGATGCGCGAGTACTCACAAATTGGCACGCTGCGCTAAATTGAGCAACGTGTTGTCCGACACGCTGTGCAGCTTCTTGGAGTGCAGTAACAGAAGCACGGCATTTTCCCGCTCGCTTTTGTAATCGTTGCAGAGAACGTCGATGACCCTGTTGAGGACAGCGGCCTCAAGGCTCACGGTGCTCTCGGCGACCTCGCCGGCGACGAAGATCAACACGGCCGATCGCTGTTCGATCGTTAGATTTTCGGAATTCGTGGGACTGGGAGGCATGGCGGGCATGACGATGGTCAACAAGATGTCGACCAGTCGCTGGCGTTGCCTCATACCCATCTCGGAGGTGAACTCCGGCTCTTGGAAGGCGATGGCAATTACGTCGAGGAAGCCGCGAGCGTCGAACCTTAACAGAGTCCTGATGTAAGGGTACTGCCTCTCGTTGTCGGCGCTTAAGCTGGAGTGCTGAGAAAGGAGGGCTCGAAGGACGTCGGATTTTGCACGCTGATGAGACCCTTCCGGCAGCTCTCCTCTGGGAAACTGCCGCCCCGTTAGGCAGCAACTCGCGTACACCAGAAGCGCGTTTCCCAGTCTGATGCAGTCTCGAGGGAAAGCGTCCTGGACACTGTTCAAGGAGCTCCGCAGCACCGGCATCAGCTGATGAATCGGGGCGGCGAAGTCGCCCAGGGCGGTGGTCTGGAGGTGTATCAGCGCTTCCCATAGCCCTCGCTGACGACACACCGTTGTCACCTGGAAAGAGATCTCAGCTCCAGGTAGGAAGGAAATATGGGTACACCGCAATGCCCACCTGATGAATGTCTAAACAGTCGACGTTCAACAGGACCACGATAGACTGCAGGGGATCCAGTCTTTCCTCTTGCTCGTAGAGGATCACCAAGTGTTGGGCGATTAATGGAGGCAAACGGGGAGGCAGACTTCCGTCGAGCAACGGCGCTTCCAGGGCTCGTAAATAGTTCGCCCTGAGCCCTTCGGAATCCGAGACCAAGTCCCAAAGCCTTCCAAAGAGCAGCTCCGTGTTCTCCAACTGGACGCAATAGTCCACGCAGGTGGACACCACCTCGTTCTCGACGTTGTTGTCGCTGGAACAGTGCCGCAGCTCGTCCATGTACTCTACCAAGACCTGGCACACTTTGTCGCGAGCTATTTGTTTTCTACGCTGCTTAGATCCGCGCAGGCCGACGACCGCCTTTCCCTTGTCTTGGTAGAAGGACAATCCTAACGCCAAAGCTTCGGGGAAGCGTCTCTGAAAAATTCAAACTTCGTTGTACGGTGCAACGGTGTAGGATCGAGTTTACGGCATTTCTTGGGAAACGAACCTGAAGAGTCATGTGTCGCAGCCTTTCGGTCCATGTTCTGATGCACACCGCGTGTAGACTTTTGGTACCTAGCAGAAGAAGTTGATTTTCGTACGTTACTACTGTATTGTAGCAGGCCCGTTCGCCGGCGAGCGCCATTGCCTGAAAGGTCGAATATTATACGGATAATTATGGTATCCTGGAAACCGCGACGCGATAAAGTACCCTTAGAAAAAAAGGATGCACTCGTCGGATTAAAAGTCACCGTTAATTGACTGGTACCTTCGAAACATTGCCACCGGTGGATAGTCCTTTAAAGTGGCTAGACGCGTATGAAATTCCGACTCGACTCATGTCTAATGTTTCTAAATTATCTTGGGTCCTAACATCCAGCAAGTGTAATCTCTCTTGAGTGTCCAGAATTGCCAAAGACCTTGCGTTCAGCCATCGTAGATTGCTGATTGTGTACGTCAAAGTGACTCTGCGTAGAGGTGAAAGACGTACCCTAGATCCAGCTTCCGAACAGACCTGAAATTTTCCTCATAGATCGTTGTCGATACCTTACCTTCGAAGACTAAATTGCGTAATTAATTGCTTTGTAATAATACTTGATAAAAATGAATAACGTCGTCTCTCGCAAGGGCCAAAACGGGATCGATTACTCTAGAGGCATCGGCAGCTTGAATGACAACTAGCTGCCAAGAAACTTGAGGTGGAGCAGTCGAAGACCTATTCAATCCATGAGTCAATAATACGCGCGTTCGTGCTCTTATACAAACAACTATGACCTATTAACAAAATTTACAACAACATGAGTTAGTAAAAATATTTTATTATGATGCGATAAAGTATTTAAATCTTACCTTAGACAAGGTGGCCATGGCAACTAGTGTGTAGTTCTTCAAGGGGTGTGTCGGTAGGTCATTTAACAACAGTGGTTCCAAAGTACAGACTTCACCTCTGGATCCACTGAAGAGACACTTGCTTTCGCACCCCCTAACACCCATGACTCTTGTAAAATTCAGTTCAAAAACGGAGCCACCGCTATCACTGCAAAGAGCCAGCTTTGGTGAATCTGTGAACTGAAATTATTTTTAACACTGACTGATTTACGGAACTAAATTATTATATAAAGTATTCTCCTATTAATATTGCAGGTTCTAGAAAGTATGGGAAGTATTACTTTGACGTGTAGCACAGCTGTTCCAGGTGGATGCACCTCTGTAAGAGTCCTCAGCACTTTACCATTCGAGCTGTCGATCATGAGAATATGGCCCCTGGCAAAGCCAGCCAATAATCTCGTGCCATCATGATTGAAGCACAGTGCAGAAACTGAACCTTGATGTCTTGCTTCCTGATCGCACCATCGCAGGGTCTGTGTTGAATCAAAACCCAAGACCAGTCCATGACTAGTGCCTATCACCAGCATGTTTCCTCCTGCAGTGACTGCACTCGCTAGCCCGGCATTAACTCTTTCCTGCAGAAAGTACACAGAAGAGGAAAATTGTATGTTTATCGTAAGAAATGCATCAGTGTTTACGGGTTTTCTCTATTTATACTCACACTAGCGGAAACGATTTGGGCGGATATGCCTTTGAGAATGATGTGCCTCAAGATGGCACCTGACGAGGGAGGTTGAAGGGGCCTTAATGGTTTGCTCAATGAATTGAGGGACAGGAGACTTCCAACACTCGCCGTTTCGCTACCTCCTAATTTCTCCAAAGAAACCGCACCGAGATCATCGTCGGTACCAGACAGCGATCCACAATCTGGCTCGGTTAAAATACTCTCCAAGGAAGGTAATTCCTCCACAGCTGGTATTGCGTATTCTGCATCATCAAGCTAAATATGACAACCAGAAAAATTTCAAAATCATACCGGTATGCCAAAGTCGATGATAGGATTCATTAAACCCTAGGGATGCAATAATTGCATCTTTCTTTCGTTGCTTCTGCTTATACTTTACTAACATCGCCTAATAAATTGAGTAAAGATAGTAAAATATAAACACTAGCACTGAATGTACTAAAACACCTAGGAATGAAACCTAACCTAAAGCCGGAAGAGTCCTTATTAATATCTATCAAAGTAGTACGCTTGAAGGGCATAATTTAGTAATCGGTTATAAAGCATGTATTGATTATTTAGTGCTATCATGTACCTCCTCGATATCCAAATTAATTGCCTCGCTACCAAAGAATACTTCAGATCCGCCATCCGATCCCAACCCATTTTCGGCCATCTTTGTTTCATCTGTCATTCCACAGCTGACATCGGTAAACACGATTTGCATTTATACGAAAGACTGCCGATAGAACGTTTAATGTACGATCTCATGTAACGCATTCCTGCATGATATTCAATATTTATAAAATCATAGAAAACGCTTGGTTAATTTATAATGATTTAATTATTTGTTTTGCCTAATTGTCGGTAACGTAGAGACTGCGTGAATCACGTGACCTGCTGAATCGACTTAGGTTTATTGAAGACTTAGTTCAGATTTCCATCGACAGGTGGATAATATAGAGGTCGACATTTCTAATGAGAAGTGAAAGATGGTTGTCACTTTATTAGCATTAATTGCAGCAGGGCTCGTTGTCCTTATTGTCATTCTAACATTTTTATCGCGTCGGAATTCTGGTACGTAATAATTTTCAAAATTGTGGTAAGTCTTAGTTAGCTTGATGTTTGGCAGTAATGTTCGTTTCTGCGAGTAGACCGTATATAACCTGAAAATTCGTCACAGATGTTAAATTACGTGACACTAGGGTGCGTATAAATGAAAGTTTTTAATTACTACAGGTATCCACAAAAAGGATGACGACCAAGGGGCAGCACACAATCAGCCAGTCAGGAGAGCAGCCGGAGCTAGAAATGCCCGACGTCGTTTGCGAGGAAACGCGGCTGCCCAACCAGATAGGGTGGATAACGTAGCTAGAGACGAAGGCAACGAAGAACAGGAAGACAAATCTGGAGTACCCGATGGTAAAATGGGCACTAAGAAACGAGCCAAGCTCGAAGCAAAGGCTGAGAAAAAGGCATTAAGGGAAATAGCAGAACGTGAACGAGGAGAGCGTAAAAAGAGAGATCAGTTGCTTCTGAAAGAACGGGAGAAGCTGAGCGAAGAAGAGAAAGCAGAGGAGCAACGTCAAGAGGAGGCAGAGAGAAAGGCAAGAGAAGAACAGGAAAGAAGGGAGTACGAGGAGTATCTGAAAATGAAAGAAGCCTTCAGCGTGGAAGAAGAGGGCTTTGACGAAGACGACGAAGACGAGCAGAGAAACCTATTACAAGAGTTCCTCGATTACATTAAACAAACAAAAGTAGTACTACTTGAAGATATAGCTCTTCACTTCAAGATGAAGACGCCTAAGGTTATCAAAAGAATTCAAGACTTACAAGCAGACGGTATCTTGACAGGGGTCATAGACGATCGTGGGAAATTTATTTACATTTCGCAGGAAGAACTCGAGGCTGTTGCCAAGTTTGTGCGCCAACGAGGCAGAGTCAGCATTTCAGAGCTTGCGGAAAATTCAAGTCGATTAATAAACCTCAATCCAGATAATATTATCGAAGCTAGGTAGCGTTATTACTAATTCTATGGCTACTACTTAGTAATACGAATGAATCCAAGTTGTAATTATGAAGTATAATAACTTATTATATAAGTTTATTAAGTATCAAAAGAAATAATGGAATGTTTAACAAATTACTATATTTATTTTACACCGGAGAGAATTTTTGTTGGTGATAGCACAAACTGTGTACAGAAAACGAGGACGTACTCCTTAAGGGGCCACATTAATTTATCGATTAAACTATTACCTTTCTCTATAAAACTCATTTTTTGTCAATTGTGGAAGTAACCAGGATCGATATAATTGATCCATTTCATTTGCAAATTGTTTCCCAAGTTGTATGCATCTTTTGGGTCCTTACAGTTTACGTCCACGCAACCGAATTATTTAAGCTCCATTAACGAAAGCCATAAAATAGATTTACTGCAATGATGCTTATAACAAACAGCTGAAATATGTGCGACCGACCTATGGTCCGAACTTGTTCTTAAACAAGTTCTATAGTTAGTTTATATACAAGTAAGCTCGAAAAAATAAGGATTTCAAGATGGCACCCTATGATGCCACGCGAATCAAATGTTGCGTCAGATTCTAGTTTGCCTTAACTGCAGGATATATGCAGAATAGCATTTCCCTGAATGTATAATTTATGATTAACATTCAAATGATAGGTAGAGGGACGCTGAATTCCTGTGGAAAACGTTACACGGTACACAAACGGTGCCGTTCCTCGAGAGATCGTTGCTCGAATTATCCGGTTCAACTTTTTGATCTCGCGTCCCGGGTGCTCCCGGGTGCATCTTTAACATTTAATACCGTTGAAAATATTTTCATTCGATATTAACGTCATTTAATTGACTTTTAATCCCGATCGGATTTATTACTGGCTACGATTGCAGCGCCACGTGGAAAAGAAAGAGAAGAAAACAGGAGCTTTACGTCAATTGTCCATTCTGGTACAGATTGCGACACGATCTCGTCCTTTTCTCTAAACGACGCCTTGGCAATCTACGCGAGCACGCGTGCGAGATTTCACGTTCGACCCGCCTCTTGAAATTCGGCGAAATCATCAACGAAGGGCAAAGGATCAAGAGAGGAAACCCGCCAATGGCGGACGGAAACGACGATGGATCGAGAGACGGAAAAACCCGGGAGTAGATTCGATATAAATCCCGGGAATGCAGGCGAGAAACGGAGTGGCTTATTCCGGTGGACTTTCAACCCGGTCCCAAAATTGGCGCCGGCCGATTTCTAGCCCCTGCATAATTTCGGTCTACGTGGCACGTCCTCGAAGAACTGGCCGATCTCACGCATACACGTTCGCGAGGTGCCCAAGGAGGTCTCGATCCCCCCCCCCCCGATCGGTTCGCCCGGTTCGCCCGGTTCGCCATCGGCCCAGGAAGAGGGGAAAAGGACGTTCCCGGGGCGTAAAGCGTAAAAGGTGCGCGATTTCCGAAAGAGCGCGCAGTTCTGCCGAGAGATCGGCCGTGATCGTCAGTTGGCACCTCGGTCCTGTGCTGGGTAGACCGGGAAGAGCGGAAGGACCAGGGAATCGGCCATCGTCGTCGGTCCCCGTTTCACGTAGAGTAGGCGTTCTCGCAGACCTATGTGCCGATGAGGTGCAAGGTCCTAGACTGCCAAGGCAACTCCCCGACCTTCTTGGCCAGCGTCAGGTGAGCTGGACGACGAAAAACAGGTTCCAATTCGTCAGGGGCACCTTGGGTCCGTCCTGTCCTACGGCTATCCTGCGGGTCAAAACTGGACAAAGAACTTTTTCTGAACGCGTAATCGCCACTTTTCTCTATTTCAGGCTAGCGAAAAACCTACGTACTCGCAAGGGTAGCAGACGCGGTAACGCTGGAAACTGCCTAGAGCTCCTGGTGTTGGTGCACCTGCATCACGTGCCATAGGGTGAGTCGATGCCTGAAACTCCTACGGAATTAATTAGAAAGTCGATAACACCCTGAGAAGAAGAAATTTCACCGAACCAAGGAAATATTATGTTAATTCGGAGAATAATTATTTCCCTCGAATAAACTCGAATCGGATGCAACGTTTATTCGGAATTATTAGGATTTCTTTGAGTCAAAGGATTATGGTTCGGGGAGATCTCTTTTCCCCGTCCCGGCGATATCGGTAAATAAGATCCGGGACAACTCAAGGACGACTTTGCTCACAGAAGGGAACACCCGTTCGTCCCGAGACTCCTCTGACAGCAGCAGCCACGGTGTCGGATCGGGTCGAGTGAATTCGGGGCTGCTCTCGAATCATTGTCCACGGCGACGTAGCGTCCGACTCGCGGAAGAACGGGAGGGAGACAGGAGCCAAAATGGTTCACACCACTTACGAGGGCCACACGGTCACAGGGCCCTACAAGGAAGTCAGGTAAACAGCGGAAACCGAGCCAAAACGTAAGTTTTGACTCGTTGGATATTTATCCTAAATGGCCTCGATATCCGCAGGAAGGAGAAGGACGAGCGCTCCTCCCATCAGCATCGGCAACAGCAGCAGACCGGAAAGGATAACAAACACGGGGCCTGGGGCCCCGTCTACAAGAACAAGCAACATTTCCTCGATATGCACATCTGTTAAACTCTAGAAGGTTCGCCTTCTATCTATTGTAATACGTGGGTGCGGTTTCGCGAGTAAGGAAGGCTGGGTTCACCCAGCTCGAAGGTTTCGCCGACGACCTGCTGGATGATCGGAAATCGATCTCGCCTCGAGGATGTCGTCGAAACCTGCCGAGGGGTGGATTCGTCGAGGGTGCCGATGCCTCTCGCGACTACACACCGTTACGTTCGACCGGTTAAATCGCAGCGCGAGGGCCGTTCGATGGAAAACTCGAGGAAACGATAGAAGATGGACGAGAGTCCTGGGCTCCCTTTATGAAGACCTCGAGGTCGGAAAACCGCGGGAGTCGAGGACTGGTCAACGTCGCTACACCTGCGAGAGGCACTCGCACCTGCCGGCGCCGTGGACAATGGTTCGGGGATATATTTTTTTTCTTAACTAAAGGGAAAATGCTAAAAAAATGGTAACTATAGCTTATTCCACGCGCTCGAATTCTTTGGGGCGCTCTCGCTTCTCTAAGCTTGCTCGACGCCGAGCGACTCTCTGTAGCCCTCGGATCGATGAAATAAAAAGTGTAGCTTGAAGAGACGCTCGCATCCTCGACGAGGTTCGGGGGACAAAAAAGGGCTCGGAGTTGCGGGGGCCGTTCCGGCGGAAACGCGGCACGCGTCGAAGGGAGGCGAGAGCGGATTAGGTCCAGGGGAGGGCAGGCACGTCCTATCTCGAGGATCTTCGCGCTCGATCGCTCGCTCCGCGTTCCTATGTCTTCGGAAGCGATGCATAAAATCTAGAAATACTTTCGAGATCATTTAGAAAATGACGCAAAGATCTGGAAATAATTTGGCAAATCACGGGACAATCTATAAATATTCTGAAGATCCTTCCGTGATCGTTATCATTAGCGGAAGGTCGAAGAAATTGACGGGAAGGACCGCGACGCGAGCGGCGCCTCGCAGGATGCAGCGATTCCGCTCCCGTAGCAGCTGAGAGAAGAGAAGAGGAGAGAAGAGGAGAGAAGGGAGGATACGTCCCCCTCGGGTTCGGGGAAAACGATGAAGAAAAAGCTCGCCACGGCCCCGCAGTCGGCACGAGTCGGTCCCGGGCTCCGGACGGTCGTCGCGAGCGAGTCCGTCCTATTTATTCTATTTATTTATTTATTCGTTAATTCGTTTACTAGTTTATTTATTGACCGCCTCCCACGAGTCGCCGTCGACGTCGGGGCGACGCCCGGGTCGAATTCCCAGTTATCGCGGGGGTCGTCGCGGGGATCTCCAGGAGATCCCGTCTCCGTCGGTGGCGTCGGTCGCGTCGGTCGCGTCGGCCGATCTCGACTCGATAGGAGGCTCGGCTCGCGATCCTTTTACGTCGACCGACCGCGCCAGGAATAGGCGAGAGCGAGTGCCGGGCCGTGGCTTCGAAGGAGGGAATAAAGTGCACCGTGAAAAACCGGCGGAGGAACGCGGCATCGCGCCGCTATTTCGAGGTCGAGCACCCGGTAAGCTTTTATACTCCTCTCCTTTATTCGCGAGCCGCGCTCGCTGCATCTTCGCCGACGCCACCCTTTCGCTCCCGAGAGCCGAATCCAGCTCTCCTCCTCCCTAAAAATCCCAAATTTATTATTTCATCGGTTAACGATCTCGCGAATACGCGACTCTCCTTGGGCGTGACTCGAGCGACATCGGCGGATTCCTCGATTCTCCGAGGAAGTCCTGAGATTCTGTCCTGTCTCCTGTTCTACCGCTAATCGATTTCCATAAGTTCGCTCGAGTCGTCGGAAGGAGGGCGAAAAAACCAGGCGAGCGGTACAAGAAAGGCGTTTCCGGCTCGCGCGCCACTCGGGCGTACCCTTGCTCCGGATTTAAACCGGAAATAGAGCTTCCCTAGACGCGACTTCTCACCCCGGAGGAGGAAAGTCAACGGACTCGACCCTGCCTAAATCTCGCTCTCTAGCCCCTCGCCCCTCGCCCCTCGCCCCTCTTCTTCCAGTCTAAATTTCTCCGCTGCCCCTTCGCGTTCCACCTATGGATGCGTCGGAGCCTTCTATTCTATTTTTGACCGCACGCGACAGCCACTCGTCACTCGATGGCACCCTTCGCAAATGCGTCTCCGAGTCCACCCTCGGCGCGTGCACCCCCGGGTGCATCAACAGGGCTATTAAAACAACGTTTGTCATTTTTATCCGGTTTCGAGACGGACACCGCGATCATCGATTTTCGGACAAACGTGCAAGTCCCCGAAATAACTGGAAGCGAGGCGGTGTTAAAACCAGAGGAATCCGTACACGGCGGCCACGTCGGTGGGAATTTCATTCCGAGTCGGTCCTGGTTCGTTAAACCCTCGTGAAATTGATGGAGACCGAAACGCTTCCCGGAGAAAAAAAACAAAAAAATACCTGACGGAAGGGTCGCCTATTTTCGGAGATTTTCGGAGATTTTCGGAGATTTTTGGAGAAATCGGGAAAAGACGGAGGGACTCGCCGCATTCGAAGAGCGGTCGATACCGGGTCGATCGTCCACGGTGATCGGTTCCAATTGACCATTCGACTCTTCTCGACGCGCCGCACCCCCGTGGGACATGTGCGCCGTCGCGAGTGGGGAAATTCGAGGGCGCTAGGGGAATTATAGCACGAGACTCCGGTGACATTTGGAGGCGCGAGTTCGTTCAACTCCGGGAAATGGATGGTCTTCGAGCCGGCAAGGGGGCCAGTCGGACAGGGGACGAGACGGGACGGCTGATCGATATCGATCGTTCCTCCTAGCGTCTACGGAGAGTCTGGTTTTAATTGCCGAGGAGCGCAACGGGGAGAAAATGGAAAGGAGATACATTTTCGTCCGAATTAGTCGGGGCGGTATAAAATTGCACTTTGC